GGCTTCTTTTTACAAGGTATAAATGTTCCTCAACATTCTGTATCTAGACGTTTTCTCTTCAAGTTTGCTATACTCGTCTAACGGGATAGTCAATTGAAATCATCATTGTCCAAGCCCCTCACACAGTACACAAGGAGCATAGCAAGTAGCTATACGAGGTCTGTCTCTGGATTACAGCCATGGCACAACACCGGTGGAAGTGATGCAAGAAACGGGTTGCTAGGGCCTTGCCGACGACAAGGACTGGCCATAAGCATGGAAATCGCATTCTATAATAAGGCAATACAGGACTGCCGTCAAGCTATCTATGATACCTTTTACAGAGTTTTCTAGGCAGGATGCAGGGGATTAAGTAGCGAGTCTACTCAATACGATGCTGAAGAGCAGATCATACAAGGAGTGAACCCGCGCAGGTTTATGGGTCGTGATCACAACGCTGATATGCAAAGGGTATAATTAGGTCACCCTGCACTCGCGGGTTTGTGCCTGTGCTGTAATTTTGCCCAGCACATACATGGAGTTCGGCAAGGAGGTTGTGATGGGTTGGTAGTAATTATTGTTGTTAGTCGAGCCACCGAGCTGCCGTCCACAGTAATGCAGTTCTTAGCGACATGACTTCTAACATCTATCTAAGGGTATATTTTTACTCTTACTTAGAAGTAGCTCCCAAAACCCATGGGTTGTAAGACCAATGCTTGAAACTACGTATGTTGCTAGTCTAGACACTCTTAAGTGTGTCTTGTAAAAGTTCATAACCTTAACAGAATCGTCCTAGCTATTGGCATCTGATTAAAAGAGAGGCGGACAGTACACTTCTTAGTCTTGGCTATTATCAATATTTCCATTGCGCATAGTGCAGAGAAAATAGGGTGCTGTTAATTTAAACCACTCATAGATAATTGTATTACGGATGTGCTGGCTAGAGGAGTATAGCCGGAGAAAATCAACATTGCTTAGGTTAGACGCGCCATTCTCAACAACTATTGGAATGCAGGCAGTGCTAGAAAGTCAAACCTTGAATCGTTAGTAGATAGTTCAAAGGTAGAGAACGTATCTTCTTCTACTGCAAGCCCTTGTGCATGGCGCAAGGTAGTGTACCTTAGTTCCATGAGCACATCCAGGAACTGAAGCACCAAGCGGCAGATGCGGGTGCAAAGATAATTTCAGCGTCACCAAAAGCATAGATAAGTATCCTGAATGGTGGGGGAGCTTGCGGATACCGCTAGTCTACTTCAATGCGCACAGTGACCAGTTCTCTCGTTCGCCTAAGCTCACCTGGAGCCCTATCACCACTTATTCAACTCAACTATTATTCAACTATATATAGGCTTGCGATTTTTTTTCTTTCGTAGGTTTGGGATAAACTCTGCCTACATGTTTCATGCGGTAGATAGTGTAGATAGTGTAGATAGTTGGCGCTTAACATTAAGAACTTGCTAACAACAGACAGCAACGGTCGGTTCGAAACACCGGTCAGCCCCCGGAGCTGGCCGCTGGCAGCGTTTTTTTTTTGGCATTTTCTTAAGGTACGTTTCAATGCCAAGACAGCGTAACAACAGTGAAAGAGCATGACGCGTGCCCTAACGAAGCCCTGCCTTGAATTCCCAGAAAATCTCTCTTTTTGGCCCTGCTTGGTTCCTGTGATAACATATATGCAGTGGCCCAATTCATGGCATGTTGAGCCTGCTTGCAGTCTTATTTGCGCAAGCTCTCCGTTACTCACCGCAATCTATCATCCACAAGGTTTTCCTCCTGCTCCTCTCAAGGTTAAGCTCAACCACAACATCCTCCGACGCTGCACTAAACACAGCACGCACAAGACCAAGAGCTTCGAAGTCGCTTGGCTCCAAATATCGCGATAACAAAACGTCCTTGATATTACCTACAACCGCGAGCCGTTCTCAGAACTGGCTGTTCATTCAGAACTTCTCGCGCACGTCACACAATCGCATCTCTGCACAACCTACACAGTTCTCACCCCATTGCGGCGCCCACGAAATGGCAAGGCCTATCGTGTTCAGGTAATCTCCTTATACTATTTGCATGCTGGAAGTGTCTCCCATCGATCGAATGCACATCTTTTGCATCTTTGAACTAACGGGCTCCTCACAGGGACAGATCTCGAAAGCAGATTCGAATACTCTCACGAGAGCAGACTACTGGCATCGCCTGCTGCATCCGTCGCATCACTCACAAGTGAGCCCTACCCATTCCCGAAGACGCGTACCGAATCGATAATCACATCGTTAGACAAATATACCGCGTCCATGGGGCAGCTAGAGTAGATAAAGGGCATTTTGGCGCGTTTGGCCGCATCTATCTGTTAGATGCAGACTCATAGACCGTGAGACACTTGTTCAAAATTCAAAGCTTGGGTTCATACATCGCATCCGTTCACCGGGATTCTCTAAGGCGTGGACTATACAATCTTGTGATCCTCTACAACGATACATCAAGCGCTTCATTTCTTGCGGATCTCTGTCGCCCTTACGCTTAGAGTCGTAACCAGCTCTTCCAATACTTCGATTACAAAGGTTACCAGGCGATGGTGATGGCATATCACATAAGGCGCGAGGCTAAAGGTTGTTGAGAATTCCTGGCGAAGAAGCCGAAGCACGGGAAGGAGTCTGTTAGCTGGGGTAAGACAGTGATTTTGTAAATCAGGGGAGTAGTACCATAAAGTATCTTAGGCTCCTGTTTATAAATATAAGAATTCTACCCACTATCTTCAACTAAAAGTAGTAATGTTCTGAGTCAGTACTACTAATAAATTCATCGCAAAATAGTATACACAATTAGATCGTAGATGCCTTGTTACTAGTTGCTCTGGCGCAGGAGGTTTGAGGTCTTTTGGTAGGAAATTGCGTCTACGCTTTCCTATAAGATCTCCGAGGTATATAGTCTGGTTTCTGCTATTACGGCAGCAAGAAGAGTAAACAAGACGTAAGAACTATACATTAATAGAGTTAAACAACTAATCTACTACTTCAAGGTCGCATAGACGTCTTCTTCTAAAAAAGCGTCACGTATTTATATTTGCTTAGTTGTGGTATCAAGTGAATGCGCCTATCAAACAATAACAAGGTTGATAGGATGTTAATATCTTGTTTCTGTGCGCAATCCGCGTTTATCCTGTAATATGAAATAGGCCAGTAATTCTATGCATGCCGCTTACTAGCGAGAAGATGCGCAATTCTTTGTGCATATTGCCGTACTTTGTAAAATCCTAAGAGAATCTCTTAATCTCATAAGCAAAAAGGCATGCGACGTGTGTCTCGCCTTAAGTCTTGAACACAGCACTAAAACCAACCAAAACATCTTACCTCAGGTTACCACGAATACGAATAAGAGAATTCAAAAAAAGAAACAAAAAAACGCTGCCAGCGGCCAGCTCCAGGGGCTGATCGGTGTTTCGAACCGACCGTCTCTGTCTTTTGTTAGCGAGGTCTGGGTTGTCCGGAAGCTTGGGCAAGCGGCTGAGGTTCGATTCGATTCGGTTCGATTCGATTCGGTTCGTATACGAGTAAATCTGTGAGAAGTTAGCGGAGACGAAATGAGGCCTAACTGTAAACTATATATACAGCAAATTATCGTTTGGTGATAGCTTTCTGGGTTCTAAGGTTGAGGGCGTGCCCCGTTTTTCCGGTACGCTACGCCCAAGGGGAGGTGAAGTTGTCCGAGCTTGGAAACAGCGAGGCGGCTTCTAAGTCTCCACCTTACAGAACGAGCATTTTTGCAAAGCAGTGTTGCCTTGGATTACCGCCTTCCTCCTCACTGTCCTAGGGAATCACTTGTGCTTGTATACCTCCATGCTGTTCCGCAGAGTCCTGTGTCTTAAAACCTTTCCTAGAAAATTCGGCACTTTTTCAAAGTTCTGGCCACTTGGGGATGCATATTTGTACCTCCTTTGTACGTGTCGTCACGTCTTACAGCCGTTTACCATCTTACAGAACCTTACATACACTCTTAACTAATTGACTTCGCTATGCATGCCTGCATTTTCTTACGCACCTTTAGAATCTCCTACGTACGGGCCCTTAATAGCGCATCTCTACACCTGCCACAAGAATACCAGCTTCTTCTACGACTAGCTACAGCTCTTCCAAGCCACTTAAATTTGTTTATCGCTATCCGCATGCTTATAAAAGAATTAGAACATCCTTAGAGATGCCCTATTATTGCGATGCATCCTAAGGATTATCTATTTCTAATTATCTATAATATCTCTGCATGTTAGTGCAGTACCATAAAAAATGTATACACTCTCTTGTGAAGCTCTGTGTGTCTCCATGGGGACTTATGGTGCAGAACTGCACGCAGAGTTCAACGGAGAGTGTCAATATCTAAGTTGAGCACATAGGCTGCATGTATTGTTGTAGACCTCGCGCATTTCCTCCTTCTACCTACCTTCTATATGCATGAACAAGCAAAAATGGCTTTGTGTTTGCTAGTGCTTTGATGCTCCTAGTCCGCTGTATAGTATGATAGTGCAGTAGGCAGCCTCAAGAACTTGCCAACTTTGCATACAGCGCGGTGCAGCTTTAAAAATCGCCTGCAGCCTTGTTTAGAACGATAGGCAGCTTTTCTCTGCATTGTATCGGACTACCTAGGTACTTACACCAAGTCGCATTCAAGCTACGCTGCCTAATTAACTTCTTAGTTCTGATTTATTGGCTCATTTTGTGGGCGAAATCATTCGCGGGGCTCACTGATGCTCGGGAGCTTCTTGTGAAGGTGATACTTTCGCCAGCTCCTCTCCATGACGCCAACCATGAACACCGCTGCAAACCCCCGACATCATAGCGGAAACAACCCTCCCCTACGGTTGCCCGCAACCTTGTCCGCCTTTAGAACCTTGCCACGGCTATACAAAATGGTCTCTGACTACACCACAGCACCTTGGTACGAGCCAAGTCGCTACGACATCAGCGCGCCATGCTACATAGTAGCTCACTCCATGCGACACTAGAGGTGAAGCTCTCTCAGCATCTTGCAACATATTCAGAGACGTGCTGGAGGGGCCGATAGAATTATCACTTACGCAGTGGATCTGGCGTTGCGACGGCAATGAAAAGCGCAAACACAAGCACAAGGCCCTTTGCAAACCAGGCCCCATCAAAAAAAGATAGGCGGCCAAATGAATATCCAGGCTAGCTGCCTTACAACAGGAAGGTACGTCAGTAATCGAAGAGCACCGGAAAGATCTTCCGAAAGCTTGTCCACATGGCTCCAGTGGACGGCAGACCTTTTTCTGCGATAAAGTATACATTTGCATCTGCGCCAATGGATCATAGAGCCCTACTCGCACTTTCAGTAGCGAAAGATATCAAGGAATACGCCTTGTGTTTTGAGAACTGCTCAGGGCTATTGTCTACACGAGCGCCGTCATGGCTTGGTTTACAGAAGGTATGTCAACGATTTAAAGCATTCAAAGGCACTGGGCTAACAATTAAACCTTTAGGATTGTCGACTGGAATCTGAGGATTACAGATTGAACCTATCCCCCTCAGCACGAACTCAACTGTGGCGCATCGGCGGGCCCAGTCCAGTGATCACGTAACGTTACCGTCCTCATTCCTACACGAAACCCGAGCCTGCGGCAGACAACGACTAGAAGAAAGGGACCAGGCTTAGAGATATCTGGGTAGAGGGAGCCAGGTTGTGGATTGCATAGGGGTTCGGCTTGGGTATACAACAAATGGCAATAAAGGTGGACGACTATCTCTGGTACAAGGTCAGAGAAGGCATCACTAAACTCGCTGTCTTTAAGCATCCTCATGGTATGCTGACTTCAGATGGCGGACAAAGATTTTTGAGAATTTCTGTCCTAAGCATGCGCATGGTGTGGCACAGGTAAAGGTGCTTTAAACTCGCTATCTTGAGTATCCTCTGCGACTCCGCCTTCACCCGATCAGCATCTCGAACAACACATACAACTCCACGCTGTCTTTAATTGATAAAGCCAGAGGTTACTCTGAGAACGACTTAAATTAGCAGAAGAGCTTCATTCGGACTTGGAAGCGATCGCTGCAGAGGCCGGCATAGGTCAAGGCGGGGTTTTAGAGCTTCAACTCTAGCTTTACTTACCTCCCTGCTACCACCCTAAGACGAGAAACATTACTCTTCAGACTATTGCAACTCAAGAGAACTACGCAAAAAATTCTGGAATAGGTAGGGCTTATCAGCATCAAGCTTGAAAATACGGAGACTACCGCAGTCAAGGCGGAGGAGATATTGTAGTTTCAAGTCAGTCCCTACCTTCGCAGTCTCTACCTTCACTTACGCCTTCGTTACTACCCAGTGCTGAAGGAAATCAGTCCTACATTATTATAACTCGAAGGATACTAATCTTCATATCTTTGCGATAGTCAGGGCATGACGGCGTCGATATTGGCAGCTAGGTGCCGCTGCAGATCAAGGCGGAAGTGTTACAGCTTCAACACTATCCTCCGGCTACATTTACACCTTCACCACTGCCTCATGTCGAACAACATCATTCCCAGCTCAATTCAGCCTAAGTAAACGTGCTCAGGACACTTATACAATGGTTAGACCTAGCTTACTGGCATCAAGATCAAGATGGCAGTGCTGCAGCTTCAACGCTACGTCAGGCTTGTTTTTGCACTTTGGCCGTCACCCAACGCTGACCGACACCCCCCCCCAACTGGATATAGCTTCGGATCGATTACTCAAAGCATTCCTCAGATATTCAGGTTGGCTTTCCTTGCATCGAGACAGGCGGTGCAGAAGTCGTCGCAGATTAAGGCTGACCTTGGACCTTGAACTGTAAGTCTTCAGCTTCTTTTGAGCCGACGTTGGTACTCAAAACAGAAGAAACCCATCGCTTACTCCGGATTCCTCCAATCTAAGTGTCTGGAGCACTCCTTCAATAGGCAGAATAGGCGTTGGTGGCGTCAAGATTGCTTGCGCAGAGGCCGACGCTAGTGAAAGCGCATGACGAAATATCCTCCTCGACGAACGTGGCGACGGCAAGCAACACCAGGAGAAACATCACTTTGCGTGTATCAGTGCTATCTAGGTGTTGTCAAAGTCTCAGGCAATTTCTTGTAGTAAGCATCGTCGGCGTGCAGATCGCAGCGCTTAAAGACGCACACTACAGCGAGCTCTCTGGTAACTGCAGTAATATCTGTAGCGGCAAAGCCGTTCTAGCAAAGTTGCATCTTTCTTTGCAACATTCTTTCTGTAAGTTATATTCCCCTTGCGCACACGATGAGCTGCTCCTGTCGATTAAAAAGAGTCGGCTTGACAGAAGTGCTGACTAGCAGCGCATCGGCAGGCAATTTAGCCTCAATGTCCTTTAAGAACAGATGCCTATAAAGCATCCTTGAAGGGGAACCTAGGCTGACATCTGTCTGTTTAGCATGAGAGAAGATAGTTCTAATCCCCTCCTTACCCACGAAGCGTCCGGAACGCAAGCCTGTACACCTACAACCCCACCATGTCTGCAGGATCTCTATGACATCATCACCTACCACGGCCAAAACGACAGTATACATGGCGGCCAAGGAGGTGTAGCAGGGTGTATGGAGACACTTCGCATGGCCTGAGGCTCATGTCATTTCTTCGATAACCGGCGGCAACGCTGGCTGTGGATAGCAGCCATGACTACCAGCGCAGTCACGTAAAGGAACGGCTGAGACACTATAACCGCGCGCGCGTCATATACCTCCGAGACCTCCTACTCGCCACGTAACACCTTTAGACACGCCATTCCCGTTTGCTACTGGTGGCGTACATGTGGACATCCATTGACCAACACAGTCAGCAAACAGGACGTCCGAAACGAAGGCGGGGAACATTCACAACTGTCTCCTTCTGGTGCAAAGCTTGCAGTTGGTCACCCCTCAAGCAGCGTCTTTGCTCTCGTCACCGAACTCCAATGGCGCCAGATCCTATCAATCTCCTACTGCCTGCGGCAATGCCGAGAAGACCAAGTTCCAGATAGCATGTCAAGCTTAATGAAAGACGGAAACAGGCGTTCGATAGCACGTCTTTTGTTCTGGCAGAGGTGATACTAGGCACAGTGTAGTGCGCAGGCAGCATTGTTTCGGTCTGCAACGTCTTGGCTTGGTGGCCTCATATTAGAGACACCAGAAGATCTAGCAGCAGTACAGCAGTCTTCTCCAGCCATGCTGAACGTATCATGGCCTTCTGAGGCTGCTCCGAGGATTGGCTGTGTTGGCATCAAGCATGCAGGTAGGTAGCTTGTGTACCACGTAAAGCGACTTGGACTGACAAGAAGCCAGGACATCGAACCCGACCGATATCGCACGACCGACCGTACCTCATCGACAGGATCGCAGGCTGCATGCCCTCACAAGTCCTGCCTTCCCTAAGACACAAGCTCTGTTCTTGCGAAAGTGGCGGCAATTGGCCAGAAGATGCCAAGCACATCTACGCAGCTTCATCGGACGTTTAGACAGTAATGAGGGCCAGCTCGGAGCATCACCCCGAGGATACCACCATCATACCCTGATCTTGGTTAGGGGCACAGGCTCACGGAGAAAAAAGGAAAAAGACAGAAATGACAGAACGTGCAGATAGGATGCTGCAAGGCTTACAAAGAAAAGGTTAAACCAAGAAAAAAAGACGAAGATACGGGATTTATGTTTTAGCCTGACTATCAGGCACAGGCTCAGGGAGAAAATCGGAAAATGAGAAAAAAAAAGTTAATTATACAGCAGCAAAACACGCACCAAGGCTCACAATGAAAAGGAAAAGCCAGAAAAAACGAGGAACAACGGGAAAATGCATTATGCATGCTTGCATGCTTGGCTATTAGGCTCACAGAGAAAAAGAAAGGAACAGAAAAAATGGAAAGACGAACACCCCAGAGAAAAAGAAAAAAAGAAAAACGACAACTACCAAGAAAGGAAGGAGAGAGTACCTGGGAATAAAGGAAAACAGAACATGCATTTGGGATAAGGGAGAAAAGGGAAAAGAAAAGAAAAAATGGACTAAGCTTTTGAGAAGTTCGAAGCGAGAAGGTAAGAAGACGCAGACCGAGAGAGGGAACGAAGCCTCACATGAACAAAGCAAGCAGACTGACCATGGACCCGTCTTGCACAGCTGCAGACACGCCTTAGGATGCCTCGCTTGTTCAAGCCTGTAAACAGGATTTCATGCTGTTTAGGGTCACTTGCGCGCAAAGGCGACAGTCCGGCACCACAAACACGAACAACACCTTTCTGCCTCTAGGCATAGATTTGGGATGCCTCTGCTGTGTAGCGTGGCTGACAGCTCAAGGTGGGTGGTCGAGTGGAGGCTTGGAAGGTGCTGTGGCGGCACCTGCACCCCAACACAGCAGGCACCCCTGGCCCCACCAGCATCGCGCGTTGTCTCTTGCTCGACTGAGCATGTGTTACTCAAGCACGTGCGAAAACATCGACTCTCGTCGGTAAAGACAATGGCTCTGAAGATGGCAGCTTCCGCGCATCACAGGTGCGAAGACACGATCCAGATATCTTCGCCTAGCACGGACAACCGGTGTCGCAATGAGAAGGCATGGGTCATAAGGTCGCAGTCGAGATGGAATGAAAAAGCGATAAGATCGACTAAGGATGTGTCGAGATGTACACCGTGGTCTGCCAGAGATAAGATGCAAGAGCCATGACCGCGGCTAGGGATGTCGAGATGTCCGAAGGTGCTTATAATGAGATTAGATGAAGAAGCCACGACTGCGACTAACTTATGGATGTCGAGATGTCCGATGGTGTTCATGAAGAGATGAGATGAAGAAGGCATTGCCTAGGGATGTCGAGATGTTCGACGATATTCATGAGAAGATGCGAGGAAGAAGCCATGACCATGGCTAGGGATGTGTCGAGATGCCCGGGATCGGTTGTCAAGAGACAGAATCGAGAAGAGTCATGACAGAATATTACCATCCTACCTGATCAGCTCACCCCCAACACGACCTACCTACCACAGACAGAACCCTCTCCATCCAGCAGCCCTCACCAACATCACGTAGCACCACACGAGCCTCCCAAACAGATGCATAGGCCCGAGGCTCCCTAGACTGAAGCACGCAGCTGCTTGACTTTTGCATGGTGCGGTGAGGCTTGACAGTAAGGGTGCTAAGGGTCGCCTGAAATGAGAGGGGAACGTGCTGCCCAGCCTGTGAAGGTCGTGAGCTGGTGTACACAATGAAGAGACGGGAAGGGAAGAAAGAAGCACGAGTCCGAATGATCTATCGCCTCACTCTCAGCATTTGTCTCGACCGCAAGCGGTGGATGACAAAGAGGCACAGAGGATTTGACGTCTACTTCGGAATCGTGAGTCCGCGATAGCATGATGGTGTCCGAGGATTGCATATCAGCAATGATGTTGCATAGGCATTGTCGTCAGTCATGGTGACAGGCTTCAAGGTAGTCCATGTTGATGTTTGGTTCTGCCAAACGCATGTCCTGCTGGGAGTCCGAATCTGCCTCCATACTTCCCTATCAAGCTCGAATAGAGAGCAGTGCGCACCCCCATGTGCACAAGGTCCGCTGCCACCGCCTGTCTTGCCAGGATGTACAGGCCGAGACGCACGGGAGCACCGACTAGCAGCGTATGTATCCTGACTCCCATGTATTGTATTGTTGACTGACTGACATTGACAGTATCCGGGTATGTAGGAAGATGATCGTGGAAGGCAGGGTGGGGCCGGGGTGGTGAACGGATGGTGGAGATGAAGGTAAGAGACATTGAAAGTTTTACTTGGCCATGATATTAATCCAAACGTAGGTGTATGGGATCCCAGAGCGGAAGACCAGCCCCTGTGGCGTTGAGCTGCAGGGCTCATGGTATCTTCGAGGCCGCCAGGCTACATATCGCATGTAGCATGTAGCTATAAATATAAGGCCGAAGCTCATTATCATGCCTTTGTCGCGCCTTTGTGTTTGTTGGTTTCCGGGTCCCAGCATGCAGTATATATGCAGGTAAGTTGCTAACCGTGCTGTAGGAAGCCGCCTGGGAGGTGCGCATGTTGTCCGGGTGCCGTTGCTCTTCATCGCCACCTATTACTCCTCTGGCCAACAGTATGGGAGTCTATAAGGGAGCGCGCAGCTTCCTAGTCCTTGCGCTGGCTTTCATCGCGATAAGAGGGGCTCGTCATGGTGTTGAGTCGTTGTCTTCGGTGAGACTCTCAGTCATTCTCTATGTTGGGGTGAGAGAGTAGCTGTCACGTGCTCAATGGCGAGCTCGCGTATATTAAGAATCATTGAGGTGGGATGTCCAGAGCAAGTAAGGCGCCAACTCGGTCCATGCACCAAAAGGCGCCTCCCTGGGGCAACCCCTCTACATGTCACCACGATTGCAGAGCATTTTACCAACCTTGAGGTGCTGCAGAAGATCTTTGCGAGCCTCCTCAACAAGTTTGGCATCACGAAGATATGGTAAAGGCACCGGCACTTGGTGGCGTGGTTTGCGAAACCTCAACACGGTGATAGAAAGCCCACCCGGACAACATGACTAGCGTCTGCAGCAAGCCTTTTACCTGCCCCTACAACATGCGCAAAGGATACTACGAGCACCAGCAACGATGCCCAGCTTTCAGGGATGCCATATGGTGTCGGCGCATTGATAAAGAGACATGGCCGCTGCAACAGAGCTCAAAGATGGCATCACAGCTGACAGCGACAGACAGCGGACGATGCGATATTAGCAATGCAGTCGACCGCAGCGCAAGCAGTCATGCGACCCGAGTATGCAATACCTACAGCTTCCACGGGCATCGAGGACGGTTATGACATGAGCAGTGGGTTGCGGAGGACCTCGGGGGTGAGCCTGGAGACAGGGACAATGAATTCAGGTTCTACTCGAAGCGCATATGAGCCTACGTCATTAACAGGCATACCAGAATCACCCTTAGACTCGACTTGAGTTTGGACCACTGAGATCCTCCTTCGAGCGCAGTTGATACATGCCACTTGGTAGGCGCATTAGAAGGGAAGACTATACCGACTGCGCACATCTGTCAAGCTCTTTATGCAACCCTGGGGCCTCGAGGGACACAACCTTCCTTGAGAATAGCCTGTATACATACACGTTGTAAGCGCCGAGTACGAAACCATAGGCTCGAGTCAATCTGGAACTCAGATCGCCCGCCACGCGAAGACTGGCAGCATAAATCACCGGCGCTGTGTTAGTAGCTGACACAGCTTAGACATCAGGACAGGGCTGCATGTAACACCACAAAGCCGGAGCACATGCGACACCATCGGGAAGTATTCTACATGGTGATGCGCATCAGGGTGCCAAGGGTGAGGCTCGACAGTGAAGGATGTGCGCCAGTACGCAATTGGATGCACATCGGTTCACAGGGCTGTAGGAAGGGCTCGCCACACATTACTCATCGGAGCCTTCCATACATCGCATGCAGCTGATTACCGTATCGACGCAGCTTCGAGTCGCTGTGCTCAATATGTCAATTGTATCAAGGCAAGCAAAGATGGTACGATATCACATTGCGCAAGTTGCCAAAGTTATACCTAAAGACGCAAATGAATCATATTCCCTCACATTCCCATCTCACCCCAGAATCTCCTCAATTTCCATTCCCCCCGAATTCCACTAGCGTCCTAATCTTTCCCAAATTCGGCGATCAACCAGCAGTTCTCCTAAGCATCTCTAGCATCATCTTCCTCCCCTCCCCCTTGCTACCACGTACAGGCAAACCAGCACATAAAACAGACCCACCCGCTTCAATTCCGCCGGATCAAAGTCCTCTCGTCGCCAACGCCTATCTACCTCATCCCCATGATGCACCATCTTCTAAAGAACCGAACCTCGCGATCCATCGCTATCCTCTCGTCACACACTTGCATTCTGCTATAGTCGACTAGTCTAATGCAAGGCTACGCATCTCGCTCCCGCACAATAAGCATAACATTTCTGCCCTCATTCAAATCCGCATGGCACAACCTATGCGCACTGAGATGCGCCTGCACTTGCACCAATTGCGCGAACATGTCGAACACGACACAAGGCGGCATGCTCATGTGCTGGTACTGCATCTGCATGAGTCCGGAGATGTTGCGCCCGGGAGTATACGTCATGGCTAGCCAATCCATGACAGGAGGGTAGTCGAGGATGGCTGCTAGGAGGTGTGCAGTCCCGAGGTGGGTTTGCATGGCTGTTAGTCGGGCGAGAAGGAGGCGGGGGATGGTGCTGCTGGCTTCCGGGCATGCATCTTTGGGGATGGAGGTGTCTAGGGCAGTGCAGGGATAGGATTGGGCATGTGCATATTTACTAGAAGCAGCAAAGTGAGGATGATTAGGTTTGTCACAAATGGGAGGGAACTAGCTGGCTCATTCCAGTTGTGGTAGAGGGAAAGAATAATTGGGGTGTATTGGTCTCCACAGCATAGTAGGTCTCCTCAAGCATGCACTGTCTTTCGCTCACGAGCAGGCCATTCCGTCTCTCTGCGTGCGATCTAGATTTGACAGCAGAATAGATGAGACTACCAGATGCGACATGAACGCGACGTACACAGCACCCCAGATAGCCAAGTCGCCATCACACAGCATCGTAGAACCAAGCCACCTTCACCTTCATTTTCTCTAGCGAGGCGCTAATGCGTTTTGGATATAGTCTCACAACACAGCCTCGCCTCGCCCCGCCTCGCCCCCACTAGTAATCGATGCTCGCATTTTCATTTCACGATTGGAAAGATTACCCCGCCATCCATCTCATCTCAAGTCATTTTGCGCACCGCAACCTGAAACTGAACATGCAACCCAAAAGGGAAGAGGCATATCGTGCACCACAAACTGCCACGGCAACAACAGCACCACGTGTAACAAAGCTTAGTATTCCGACGCATCTCGCATCCATTTCCACGACGCACTATGGACCTAAGTCGACGATATGACACCCGTCAACTGAATAGCGTTGTCCACCAAGTCGTTCAACTGATCGAACTCGCCATTCAGCCACCTGTCCAGCAGCACCTGGTCTTCACTGACAAAGGTCGGCCGCGCCGGAGGTAGGACCTTCGTGCATTCTTTCAGATCATTGATGTTGTTGACACCGAGAACTGAGAGACGGGTGTATGCCTTGGCGTAGTCCTGTGATGTTCAGTCAGCTGTGAATTCCATCGCATCGCAGACAAATGAGGGACGTTGATCGAGACATACCACGTTCCAACGACCCTGCGCCGTATTGCGATCACTAAACTGCGTCCACGAAGGACTAGTCCTCGAGTCCTTGCTCAAATTGATGTCGCTCTGGAACTTGATGACGCGAACTGGTGGGTTTCCTGTTATCTGGGGATAGAATGCCATATCCCAGATTCCTGGAGTAGAGTCTTGGGGGTCGCCTGAGCGCGCGGTATTGACAAAATGCTGCTGGGATGTCGTGTGTGCGCCAACCAGAGCGACGAGGTCGTGTGCATCGATTGTCTTGTCGGAAAAGAGCTTGATCAGCTTGTCGGCGGAGTCCTTTTCGCCGGGCAGCAAGCCAGTAGGCCCGGCTTTACTATTGTCTTTGCGGCCGACGAAGGTGCGGATGCGAGGGCCAAGGGGGCATACGACGGTTGCGACGTTGGCGCCAAATTGGATGATGTCGGCCATGCTCATGCCATATTGGTTGTACTTGGTGTACCATTTCTTTGTCTGATCAGCAATATCGGCGAGCCCATTGTTGTCTGTTCGGGACATCTCATCGCTGAGGAGGATACTGCCATCTGCACCGCCGTAACTGGCGCTCTTGGACCACACGGCTGCATCGTGGAATCCTAGACGTACGGCTTGGCGTGCGAACTTGCTGCAGCGGCCGGAGGTCCCGTTGAACTTCGCAGTCATTTCGTATGCCAGCCATTTCCAGTGACAGCACATGTCCGCTTTGCAGGCTGCACTTCCGATGTTGCCGGCGGGAATCGAACCATCAATGGTAGATGACTCGGCAGACTTCTGGTCAAGAATGATGGCTTTGATGTCTTTGCCAATGGCTGTAAGCTTGGAGTCTGCGAGGGTCTTGAGGTCCCCGATGAGCTCTTTGGCGGCCTGACGCTTCTCACGAGCGGCTAGATAGCGCATCTCGTTCATTGTGTCGCCCATGCCTGGGTGGGCTTCAGTGAGGGGGATGCATGCCAAGAGGGCTTGACTCAAGTAAGACAGAAACCTCATCTTCCTCAAAGATAATGATACAAGTGTAAAGTAAAGATGAGATATGAAAACAGTCAGAATCCACTGCTTTATACATCTACCTTCTCTGCATTTTGCAGACTAGAACATCCATCGGATACGATAGATTGGTATGTTGGCACAACCAGCCGTCCTCTTTGCCAGAGCCGTAGTTTAGATGAATACGAAGATCCCATTCCCTGTATATACTTGACAGTAGTATCCGATAGGATTTTCAGCGCAGATCTACAGTTCTGGCCACGCCTCGGTTGACTGATATCGGATATTGTATCGATCGAAGAGCGCCACGCTGAGACTGATAAGAGCTAGCAACCAAACGGTCATGTCAGAGCCTTAATTAATTATTGGACAACCCAAGCGGAGTTATGAGTGATGTATGCTTGTCAGTTGTTTGGCGAGTACGTGAGGAAGAGTTCGGTGCGAGATATCGCTGCAATACGAGCATATATTGCACATGCAGCTCGATATTTGATGTTGTAAGATATTCGTAGGATATAGCCAGATGCAATGTGGGGGAGTGTGGTAAGCCGAGTACCTGTAATCCCTTGATTTTTAGATGCGCCATCTTGAACAAATGCTTCGGGCGCTAGAATCGAGCTGCTTGGTAATGAGATATTCCTAGGAATGACTTCTCTTGTGATCCCTACAAGTACCTTGATGCGATAATCTCCTGATACTAGCAGGCTGACTCAAAGAGAAAACCCGATGTACGGTACATGCAATGCACTAGGAACATCTAGCCGGTGCGTGGGTTGCGCACTATTCTTAGACATTCTGGAAGATTGGTTCCAGGTACAAGGTTTCAGGGATACACGGTTGCAATATCGTCCCGTTCATAGGTCAGACATAGTTTGTTGGCTCTCCAGGTTCATGGTGAGATCAGATAAATGAAGATCGCCGAACCATCTTGATCCAGAGCATCCGCAATCCTGGTACTGGTTTCCGATTGTTTCTCTGGAATCTTGGAATTATAATCGATAGCTTTGTGAGATTGCTTCTGGTATTTTGGGAGCGGGCTTGCATCGTGAAGATTCTTGCGACGTGCGGGTCAGCCGCAAGCAGGGGCTGTGAGGATATGTACATTTAGCCGGATAACATACAGCACTCAACAACTTCCTCATAGTGTGCACTCGAAGTTATACAGCCCTGAAGATCTTCATTGTATATCCAATGGCACTAAAGCTGCTCGTGGCTTCCTCTAGGTGGGATCTGGCTGCTGATTTGTGTCTTGTTCAGTCGTCCCTCCCATTCATGCGACCTGCTTGCTTGATGATGTAACTTTGGACTTGCGAGCGGGGTGTACGATTACATGATATCAGTGCTTCAGGCGAAGATGGGATTCCGAGCCGATGGTCCAGTTTGGCGGATCCTTCCAGGGAGGGTCAGGTACAGTCAGCTCAGGCTCCCGCATGGCATCGGTGTATCGGCATCTTCGGAGGCAAAATATTGAATCAGCTGTCTGAAGATGTCTCAATCTATTTCGTTGTGCCTCAAATAGTGTCATGCTCACCTGATGGTCATACTGCTCTCATGATTCCTCGTCACGACAGCACAGGATGTTCGCACAGATTGAGTTTTCTTATTAAGGCGGTAATCCTATAATTTCCTATTTATTTGGCACTCGCATGTACAGGCTGAAAGTACCGGGAATCAAGTAAGCGACAAGAGGGTTATCGTGTAGGTTGTCCTTAGGACGGTCAAAGGACGGACGTACAGGCTAAGTGCTGAAGAGGGTACGCTTAACTTTGACTCTGCTGTTCTGGATTGCGCAGCGAGTGCAGGAATAAGAGGAATCATTTCCTCAAAACAGCGTAGCTACAACTGACGATACTGGCGGTGAAGTATATGTCGTTGATGCCGAAGCGGTAGCGCCTACCCTGGGGAGGAATGATGAAGGTGGGGCAGAGAATACCCACCGCCCGAAAGCAGTTTAGCCAGCGTCTAATTCTGTCCACCGCAACTACACCACAGCCACCACCATCCCCCAGCTCCTTCACAAGCACCGCCGCGCAAAAGCTTACGCCTACTTGCAGCGACACGCAATTTCTAATGTCGTAATCGCGCACATGATTGATGCGGTGAGATCCAGCAATGGCGTCAAGGGTGATGCAACGAAAACGCTGCGGCTGATGGTGATTCCGCAGTGCATGGAATAGTTTTGGAATAGTTATGGTTCCTTCAGCCTCAGCGGAGCGCGCTGACGTCCATAATATGACTGTTATCTCTCCCTACCTGCAGTTTTGATTTTCTTCAATGCTCATACTGATTGTTTTGTCTCTTGCTGTCTTGCATTCTTGATACCCTGGTCTGAACCTTTATCTCAGCTATACCCAGCACGCATTACGCCATCAACCACCCCGCTTTCAAGCGCGACATCGCAAAGTCAGCGCAAAATAAACTTTCTGGAAACAACAAACCGATCACACTCCGACAATGTCGCCATCTAAATTCCGCCGTCTGTCTAGCCTATTCTCCGGCCCGAAAACGGCCTTTCAAGTCCTGTCAGACCTCCATCTCGACCACGAATCACAATACCTTTCCTTCCACATCCCTGTGGTAGCGCCATTTCTCATACTGGCCGGAAACATTGGACGACTGGCAGATTACGATGAATACCTCTCTTTCCTCATCCGGCGTTGTAATCTCCACGAAAAGGTGTATCTTGTGCTCGGTGCACTAGAGTTTCACGGCATAACATGGATAGAAGGATTACAGTTGGCACAAAGGATGGAGAAAGACCCAGGAACAAAGGGAAGATTGGAAGTGCTGTATGAATCAAGAACAGATGTGCCCGGTACAAATGTAACACTGCTGGGATGCACACTGTGGAGTAAGATCCCTGATTCAGATATCCCCACAGTGGTCAAGAAGATACCAGAGTTTGACGAGGAAACCGGGATACAGGAATGGGATGTCAATAAGCACAACGAGAAACACATGCGAGATCTCTTATGGCTTGTCGATGAAGTCAGGAACCCCATGGCGGCAGGTACTTTGGCCGTGTCGACTGCGATGAAGGAAGGACGTCAGATTGTTGTCGTCACTGCCTTTTCACCGGAAATTCGCGAGTGCCTCGATCCATGGCAGGTGGATGCGCCTTGGGCGTCGGCATACGGAACGAATTTGCTTGGAGCCCAACATCAGTTTAGTAACGTCAAACTGTGGGTATCCGGTACAACAGGACGAACGTGTGAGTTTAAGAAGGGGAACACCACAGTCATCAGCAACCAACGCGGAAGACAAAGCGAGGAAGTGACAGGGCTTCTGAAAGATGGCATGTCAGACAAGCAAAAGATCGGTCTCTTTGACGTAACACGAACAGTCAGAGTATAGGACCTCTTATTCGCCTTCTCCGGATAATACTTTACAGGTCCAATTGTTCTCTCCCGCCGCCATGGTCTCAAGTCAACCTATCAACCAACCGACGCAGATAACCCTAGATAGCGCTCCCAAACCTCTCATGATGTCTCGGCCCCTCACACACCACACATAAAACGATGCACCATTCGGGAAGCAGCTCTGTAAACGCATCAGGTGCCTTGGAGCGCATCTCTTCAACCTCTTCCTGTGTAGCCTGAACGTTGGGCGCCATTAATACCAGCGCCATAGGCTTCCACCACTTTTGCCTAAGGCTTTCGAGACCAGTTGGGTGTATTTTCATATTTTCCAAGTCCCAGACCAACTCCGCAAGAAGCGCGGACGGTTTGGCAGAGACGGGGGGCATGTGGTGGTCAATCCTGTTGTTCTTCTTCTCGACGACATACTCATTCTCTATGGCGAGATTGGTGATTGTATGGAGTACTCCCTTCACATCGTCCTCTGACTGTGTGTTTGTGACGGGGGCGGGTGTGACTGTAGAGAAGCGGGAGAGAAGGAGGTGGACGGTCATGTGGGTCGCGCGTTGATCGAATAGAGAGGCTACGGCCGGCATTTCAAGGATGATTTTCTCAGCGCAGACATTGCCGTGCACAACGTGGTGCTTGTGGAGAGTCGTCAGCGCGTTCATGACCTTGAAGAGAATAGCGTAGATAATGGTAGCGGGGATTCCGGTGGGTGGGTGTCGAAGAAGGAACTGCTCGAGTGCAATACCGCGGATAGGAGATGGGGAGGGCTGTTGTTGAAGTAGTATTTTTTCCGTGGTAGGCTCTTGGATGGCGGATAGTAAGAGAGCAAGGTGTGCGCGTACTGCGGCTGGGGGATCGCTAGACATAGTGGTGGTAGTTGCGGTGGTAGAATGGATATAAGTCGTGTTGTGCTATCTACGTAGCAATAAAGAGGTTTTGTTACTAAAAGCCAAGAGAAGAGAACTTATGCCTTATAAGTCTGCTCTATCTAGCGGGGTAGGCCTCTCTCACTTGCGGATGGTAGCTCTGATAGAATGAGAGATTCAATTGGCCTTCATCCTGAGATTCCATAGTATAGCCAGAGATTTGGAGGCTGTTCAGCATGCCATAGATTTGGCAAAGGTAAGTTGTCTGCCTGATACCCAGACTCCGCAACAATCAATCGATTGACATGATTGATTCCTATATAGGTTAAAGAATTACTTCATTAGGCAGCCTTTAACCTAGATAGGAATCAATCATGCCGATCCGATTGATTGTTGCGGAGTCTGCTGATACCGCCTATGTGTAGTTCAACGACTATATTATTTGGTATTTTCTGGTAGTTTTGATATTCTATGAGTACTATGGCTGTTCTGTGCACTGTATGAAAGCATACATGTAGTTCCATAGCTATAAAATTTACGGATTTCGGTTGATTCAAATAGTAGACCCGTGCTATAGTGGCTCAACCCCATTTTGGAGCTTCACACGTCAATTACGGTCTTCCTAAGTAGCGGTATCCATTGACACCTTACATTTTACGTTGGTATGGACATCGGCTCTAGAGCTGCTATTCAGAGATGCTAGCGCATGCCCACCAAGTCACTTAGCCATCTCCACACACCTCGCATCGTCCGCGCCGCCAAGCACACCCTTAACATTTACAGTATTCGCAAACACTCGATATTCTGATCTGTCATCCTCCGCCAGCTGCAGCAGCACCCGCCAAAGCATCGATTGCCTAATACGGCGAAACATCCTTCTTTTGGCAGTACAAACGCAAAGCAGTGTGGCCAAGACTCACATTCTATCGCAAAAGACGTTTGTAAAAGGCGGTATTGCCCCGCAAAACTTTGCAGACGCAGCCCAGGTGCCCCTGATACGACCGCAGCTGACGAAATCCCGCCCGCAATACAAACGCTCTCTGGCCTAGACCCACGGGGTCAGGCTCTGCCACCGACCGCTTCGACACCGACAGCGCAGATCATAAGGCTGCACTTCCACCAAATTTTGACTCCACCACTACTCTACTCTCTTCTTTGTTAGTTCACTACTATGTCAATCTGAATCTTGACTTTGACCACAGCCTAACCTTCTCTTCCCTGCCAACTCACTGCTACCTCAGCTTCAACCTTCCCTCAATTCTTCAATTGGGCCGCCTTGACACCCGAACTACAGAATTGAAGGCTGCACCTCAACTGTCCTTTGACGCCATCACTCATTCTCTCTCCTCTCTACCAGCCCACGGCTACAACGATTTGAACCTCAACATAAACCTTTCTCTACACTGTCGGTTCTTCATCATCTTGAACTCAACCATCACTGTTACTTCACTACTAACTGAAGCACAGATTCAACTCTGCCCAATTTATCGCCATGAGTTCGATCTCGCACCTTCCTCCAACCGTCATGGATGTAGCAGGTAACGCCGGTATGCAGACCAATCGAATCATAGTCATCAATTTTACTAACAAGAAGAAAGAATTCACACTCAACCTCGTCATCGGTGCTTGGCTTGATAGCCTACCCAGCGACATGGAGTCTACATCATCGGTGCACGATCAACGCGCAGACTTGGACGAGGAGCTGGAGATAGCGGAGTCGGCCACCACCAACGCCAACCACTTGGCCCGACCTCGACCGTTATACTTCCCCGCCGAGGCTGTCACTAGATTGAAAATTTCAATCGTGCTTACCGAGGGTGTTCAGGGTGTCTCTAATTATGACTTTGACATCAACTCTGCGATAGACGAGCTGATGGAGGACTTGAGAGAGACGATTGCCACCGTCTTCAACCGCTGGACCGAACCGCAGGCGTCATACTTTCCCGCCGAGGCTGTCGCTGAGTATGACTATCCGACTGTGCCCATGGCGTACGCAGGAGCTGGGGAAGCTGAGGAAGTCGCTGTTCCTGGAAATGGCATCACCTCCGCCATGGAGGACATGCGGGAGCTCGACCCAGCTTTCTGGAGCCACCCGGCTGCACCCATTAACGACGTTCGAGAATCTCCTGAGGCTGAGGTTCGGGGATACCAGGTCGTGCCGATGGGAGAGGCGTCTGCCGAGGGCATTCATGAGTATGTCCTGGACAATTCTGTTCTTGTGGAGTACATTCATGAGCATGGCTTGGACAGGTTCTTCCAGAACTACCCGGCTTTTATGGAAGATGATGAGGTGGATGTTGACTGGGGCTACCTAGCTGGTATCAGGGGCATGCCCTACAAGGTCATCAACGATCGCCTGAGTCAGTGCGATACGTACACGGCTAATTCGCTCACTGGCAACGAGAATTTCAATTACGAGGATCGCGAGGGCAGCCGTTTCTTGGGCTACTATTAGGCGAGTATGCGGTGCGGTAGGCAAAAGCACCAGGGAGATGGAAACAGACTGGAACTGATTAAGGGGGAACGGAAATAGTCTGGCTTGATCTACATGGGGACCGTGGGTGCATCAGGATTTGGAAAAAGTCGATTTCAAGCGAATGGGGCATTGCTAGAGGCATTTTCCTGTATGTAATGATTACAGACCTCCATCTCCAATGAAACATTCACAACCACTCTTTTGGCACTGCTCTTTCTGACCAATCTCTCTCACTCTCCCATGCCAGCCAATCTGATCTCGTTGTCGGCAGTAGTCCCATTGCATTGACCTTCCAGATACCCAGTGCCAGCATGAGTAGATTGCATGCAATGTAGACAAGCTTGACACCAATCATTCGGCCTGAGGTACCAGGTGTCTCATAAGGAGCGAATGTGCGTTGAAGGCCTAGTACAGCGAGGACGGGTGTCTTGAAGAGGGTGAAGACCATGAAGACGGAGAAGATCTGAAGTGTGTTGCCAGTCATGTACATGCCTATATTTCAATTAGTCATGGGCTGGGTCGCGACTTCCTGTCTGGAGGCGGGGACGCACCGAAGGCGTTCATGGGCAGCTGCTTTGCTGGGGCGATAGCGACTTCCCAAGCTTTCTTCATCTTGAGAGTATCCATCTCTTCCGGGGTTGGCGGCACTCTCTGGGTCTTTGATGCTTGCGATCGCTCCTTCTTGGTCAATGCCGCTGTGTAGCCTGGAGGGTCTGGGAGGGTAGCGCTCTTGGGTTTCGAGGCGGGCGTAGAGTTGAGGTCGATGACCCACTGGGGTGGTGGGGGTGGAGCAGTGGACATGATTGCGATCGCTACACCCGGATAAGCAATTGGGATGGTTGTCGTGAGGTTTGCGATATTCGGGGTCGTCGTTCGCGGAGCATCAGAGAGACCCACATTCGCGGCCTTGGCTGGCGCACGTCCCCTCCTCCGTGTTGACCGCCGTCAGACTCCCCAAAAGTTGCTTTCACCCAACATTACCAATCAAGTCAATCCTCTACGACCAGGATACACTCCTCCTTCCTTCCGACATGCGCGACGCGATATAAGACGGACCGACGAGCGAATCAGCCAATTCCACCCCGCACGCGGCTTCCAAACGGCAACGGCAAGGGAGGGGCGCTAGCTTGTGAGGGAGGTTATCTTGATTGTGCTACGGCAGGCACATGCAGCGTGCACACAGCCCAGCTTGTACGCGACATCATTAGCCCACCATGAGCCAGGGCGGCCAAGATGCGAAGCTCTTTGCGAGGGTACGTCCATTCCTCGTACTACACCTACTTCCTTTCTTGTACATATCGCATCATCTCCTGTACCCCATTCTGCCTCGCGCGTGGCTTCAGAGACGCCCTTTTCCTTGCTATGCACACCCTATACCATCATGATGTTTCTACCCTACACATTCGAGCACACGCGCTTACCAAACCTCCGCACTCACCAGGGCAAAGTCGCGGAACTTCGTCTGGAGCTGAACAGCGGCGGCAAGAAGGACAAGAACTTTTCAGCAAAGAAGACAGCCCTCAAGAAGATTGTCGCCAACATGACCATGAGCAACAATGACATGGTAGCGCTATTCCCGGATATCGTGGGCTGTATGCACATACCCAGCCTGGAGATCAAGAAGATGTGGGTGACGCGACAGTAGTGAGGTATGAATCAGGCTGACGGCGGCAGGTGCTTCCTGTATCTGGTCAACTATGCCAGGATAAAACCCGACATTGCGCTCAAAGCACTACCCATAATACAGGAAGACATGAACGACAACAACCCCCTAGTGAGAGCGCTCGCTCTACGGACCATGTCCTACGTTCACGTCCGAGAATTCGTCGAAGCGACAGTACCACACCTCAAGAACCTTTTAAAAGACTCTGATCCATATGTGCGGAAGACAGCGGCCTTTTGCGTGGCAAAACTCTACGACCACGACAGGCACCTGGTGGAAGGCTCAGGTCTCATCGACAAGCTGAATGGCATGTTGCGAGACGAAAACCCCACAGTTGTGTCGAGCGCACTGGCAGGTCTCATGGATATATGGGAGAGAGGTGAGAACATCAAGCTCACAATCGACTATGCAAGCGCATCCAAAATCGTCTCCATCTTGCCAGATTGCTCTGAATGGGGCCAGACGTACATCCTAGAGGCCATGATGAACTATGTTCCCCAGGACACCTCAGAGGCTGCACTGCTCGCCGAGCGCATATCACCACGTCTTTCGCATTCGAATTCTGCCGTTGTTCTTACCTGCATCCGCGTTATCCTTTACTTAATGAACTATATCCGCGACCAAAAGGTCGTCACCTCTTTATGCAACAAGCTCTCACCACCGCTTGTCACACTCCTTTCAAAAGGACCCGAGATTCAATATCTAGCACTTCGCAACGCCCTTCTGATTCTGCAACGGCGGCCAGAGGTTCTGCGCAATGACATCCGCGTCTTCTTCTGTAAATACAACGATCCTATATACGTCAAGGTTACCAAGCTTGAGCTCATCTTCATGCTGGCGACTGAGCGGAACATCAAGGAAGTGCTGACGGAACTTGCCGAGTATGTACTGCAATCCACCGAAACTCCGGCTTACTAACAGGGACCAGGTATGCTACAGAAATCGATGTCGACTTTGTACGCAAGTCAGTGCGAGCCATCGGCAAGCTGGCTATCAAGATCGCTCCGGCAGCACAGCTCTGCATCAGTACCCTTCTCTCTCTCGTCAGCACAAAGGTCTCATACATCGTGCAGGAGGCGACGGTTGTCATTCGTAACATCTTCCGCAAGTATCCTAACCAGTATGAGTCCATCATCTCGACTCTGTGCGAGAACCTTGACTCGCTAGACGAGCCCGAAGCCAAGGCTGCCATGATCTGGGTCATCGGCCAATACGCGGATCGAATAGAAGACTCGGATGTTCTTCTTGAAGACTTCTTAGATACGTTCCAGGAGGAGACGCATGAAGTGCAACTCGCGCTTCTCACAGCGACAGTGAAGCTGTTTATACAACGACCAACTCGTGGCTCGGCACTTGTACCCAAGGTCCTGAAGTGGGCCACAGAAGAGACAGATAACCCAGATTTGCGAGATCGCGGCTACATGTACTGGCGTCTTCTCTCTTCTGCCCCAGACGAAGCGAAAAAGGTGGTCATGGGCGAGAAACCCCCAATTACAGCCGAAGAGTCTGAGAAGCTCGACCCTGGCACGCTCGAGGAGATGTGTTTGAATGTAGGCACACTAGCAACCGTCTATCTCAAGCCTGTCAACCAAGTCTTCCGCAGCGCACGCCCGAGGAAGTTACAAGACTCGCCAGCTTTGCAAAAGGACGAACTTCCTACCGTCAAGGCAGCACAGCAGGCTCGGGACCGCTCTGTTGCAGAGCGATCAAGGCTTGACATTCCGACCAACGGCAATAGCAATGGTTCTCTGAGCCCCACGAATGGCGGTATGGCAAATGCAGTCACTGACGCAGACATGTACTTTGCCAGCGTAGGGCGACAGAGCACGTTTGGCGGTAGCCCGATTTCAGCAGACCCCGCTGGTGGAGGTGGATGGGTTGTCAACCAGAACGAACCACAGCACATGGTTTTGAGTCCTGGCGTGACGGACGGGAATCAGGATTTGTTACTTTAAGTAGGGCTTGTAGATGTGTGAATAGTATAAGGATACATTTCTGTGTTAATAGTTGAAAGATTTTTTTGAGCACAAATAAGTTGATGACAGCGACGCGCATACCAAGATCTCAATGTCAAACTTATGATGACTAGCCAGGGAAACTACCGCGGGCCTGAGCCAGGAGGAGTGGGTCATTCAGCCTTATGAGATGTTAATGCTGGCATGTCGCTTAGTGCTGAACCCTGGTGCATGGTTGCCCAGACGAAGACGCAAGGGAGCTCCGTCATAGCGCCACGTTCCTTTCACCCCCCAAGACTGTCTTCGTAAGTGCGAGCCAGGCATCGTTCCAACGCGGGCAGAGAGGGCCAAGATGTCGAATCAGCAACGGTCGAGCCCCGCGAGTGCGAGGCCTGGCACCCCACGAGGGGCGCGACAGTCAGTAAACAATGACGCGAACCTCCTATCACACCCGCTGAAGCGCCTCTCACTACATATGCCTTCCAACACGCCACTGCCAAAGTCCCCAGCAGTAAATTCGACTCTGCGCCGTACACCCTCGACACCCAACTTTGCTGGGGAGAATAGTGTTCAACGCAGCCCGAGCGTGGCCAGTTTCCGCTCGTCAACGTCTGCCCTGGTACGGAAAACCTCAACTTCTTCCCTTCGTGGTGATATGAATCGACCTGGCACGCCGCGAGGTTTGAGCTCCAGACGAGCATCATTCAATCCTAGCATGCAATCACCCATACCAAAGAGCCCATTGGGACCTGCGCACCCAGCAGAGAAGCCCCCACTACGTGCATGCGATGTGGCCGAGGAATACTTTAAGAAAGAGCTTGCGCGGCATGAGGGCATGGCAGGCGCAGTCAACGCTGGGACTTTGGTCATTGTACATGACCAATGCTATGGTCACCGCTATTCCAGGCCAAAGACACCCAAGGGTCATCTGAGCCTAATCATGGAGCGACCAGAGAGAATACTGGCCAGTGTCTTGGGTATTTCAACCGCCTATGTACGTCTAGGAGAGCGACACGCCGAGGGAAACCATCCACCACACCCAACCCACAGCCCCCCGGCGCGCATACCATTCAAGATTCGCAAGACCTCGCGCGTCGTCGACATCACCTCGCCAGTCGTTACCAACGTACACGGGACAAAGTGGATGAACGAGTTGAAGTCTTTGTGCGACAATGCGGAGCGGAAGCTGGCGACAACAGGCAAAGAATTGGCAAGGGATACGTCTGCTGGGTCGGGTCGGGCATCAAAGCAGCAAGAGTTGCACTCTGGCGATCTCTACCTCTGCGCCGAATCGCTCAATGCATTCCAAGGTGCTCTTGGCGGCGTATTGGATGCAGTTGACGCTGTCTTTCAAGGTACGAGCATGGGAGGTGGTCCCTCGAGGGCCTTTGTCTGCGTCCGCCCGCCTGGACATCATTGCTCTAATGACTTTCCTTCTGGGTTTTGCTGGCTGAACAACGTCCACGTCGGTATTGAACACGCTATTATGGAGTACAACGTCACACATGCAGCTATCATCGATATTGATCTACACCACGGAGACGGCTCGCAGGCCATAACATGGGCGCGTAACAAGAAAGTCCAGAATATGCCCAAGAACACGCCAAACTGGAAGAAGACTTCGATTGGCTACTTTAGCTTACATGACATCAATTCCTATCCCTGTGAGGATGGCGATGACGACAAGGTCCAGGCGGCTAGTCTGTGCATCGACAACGCTCACGGTCAGTCCATCTGGAACATACATTTGCAGTCTTGGGAGACTCCACAGCAGTTCTGGGCAATCTACGAAGATAAATACATGGTCTTACTTGAAAAGACACGCCAGTATTTGAAGCACCACACTCAGCGTCTACGTAATACTCCCAACCATCCCGACCCCAAGGCTGTCATCTTTCTGTCCACCGGTTTCGATGCCAGCGAATGGGAGACGGCGGGAATGCAGCGCCATTCCGTCAACGTACCCACTGAGTTCTATGCCCGCTTCACACAGGACGTTGTCCGCTTGGCTGAGGAAGAGGGCACGTCAGTAGAAGGTCGTGTCATATCGGTACTGGAAGGTGGTTACAGTGATAGAGCACTGACAAGTGGAGTCTTCAGCCATCTTACTGGCCTTGTCGACGGCCAGGCCTTTGCAGAAGCGCATCCACCAAGAGGTCTCGGATTCTCCATGCAACCGCGCCAACGACTTAGTGGATTGAGCATGCAGAGCTTTCAAGACGATGATGAGCCCATGGAGTCTATTGAAGAGGAGCTCAGGCCTGTCACTTATGATCCTAACTGGTGGCATGTTTCTCGTCTAGCTGAACTGGAGAACCTAGTGAATCCCCCGCCTGCCTATGTTCCAAAGGCACCTCGCGTCGGGCCTCCCGCACACTTCTCGTCACCTACACAATCTTACGTCGCCAAAGTCGTCGACCCGTCGAAACTCAATCGCAACCTCTCCGCCAAGTACGCTTCGCCGTCTAGACCCGTTACACCTCCTCCGCCAGATGTCGATTGGGCCACTGCCGCGCATGCTCTCAGCAGTCTGCTCATTCCGACAGATCGGCAAACCCGCAGTCATCATCCAGAAGACCTGATGGAAGTAAAGGTGAAGAAAGACAAGCCTGTTGCGCCGGCGCCACCTGCTGCACACGGAGATGGATCAGGACGGCAATTACGCGGTCGCAAGCCTGCACTGTCTTACGCTGAGCGGGTTTCTGAAGATGAAAAGGCTCGGTCAAGCAGACGGCAAACAATCGCAGACTTTGCTCCCAATGGAGACGCCCAAGCACTGCCTCGCTCCTCCGCACGCCGCATGAGCATTGCTTCGAGCGTATCATCCATTGGAGACGGCAGAAGCGTTAGTCGTGCACCCAGTGTGGCAGCCAACAGGAGAGACGTCGCGCCTTCGGCACCTACAAACGGAGTTCCTCTGAAGAAGCCACGAGGCCAAACTACTGCCGCTGCAGCGCGAGCTCCTCAACGGCCAGCTATATCACGCATCCCGTCTAGCCAAAACCTCAAGGCCAGCGCCCCCAAAGGCAAGGAGAATGACGGTCTGGAGGCTCTCACCTCCGGTCTGAAGCGGATCACACTGAAGATGCCTACAAAGGAGGAGCATGATGCTCGGGAGAAAGAGAGAGAAGAGAAGAAAGCTACCGAAGCACTCAAGAAGACTACCACACGAAAGGCACCTGCCACTCGAGCACCCGCCGCAAAGCCTGCAGCCAAAGCCACAGCCACCACCAAGAAAGGTCTCGGTCGACCAGCCAAACCATCCAAGCCACCTTCTCCAGCGAAATCTTCCACCCCAGCCCCTGAGGCCCCCCAAATCCAATCCACCGCCACCGCCCCCCTCGAACAACCCCGCCCACTCTCCATGGAATCATCCTCCGTCCTCCCCCGCACCTCACCCACCCAACCCTTCCAATCCCCTCCCCAATCCACCTCCTCAGCCCCCACACCAGACCGCCGCATCTCAAACGGCATCATGATGCAACCGCCCACCACTGATATCCATGACATGGACATGACACCCGAGCAACTCCGCGAGCAACTTCCTATGCCCTCTTTTGTCACCGTCACCGAGCCTCTGGCTGATTCATCACCGCCCCCTCGCGCTGACACGCCGCCGCCGCCTCCGCCGTCGAATATACCGCAGTTTGTGAATTATACGGCACAGAGCTTTGGTGGTAGTGGGATGACAGAGCAGAGGTTTGGGGAAGAGGAGGGAAAGGACAGGGCGACATTGCAGTGGGTTGCTAATACGCATGCGGAGACGCCGGTGAAGCAGGAGGGAGAGAGGAAGAGGGTAGAGTTGCCAGTTTTTAAGGCAGATGGGGTTATTCCATTTGCGGAGTAGAGGAAGGTTGCGAGAGGAGAGGGTGTAGGCACAGGTGTAGGCGTAGGCATAGGCGGGTGTAAAGGGTGCATGCGAAAATGGTCCTTTTCTTGTGCTCCGGTGATTAGGGCCCATGTGCTCCGCTGTCACCGTTGATAGTGACAAAGTAAGGCGTGGCGTGGCTTTTTCTTGCTCTTCTTCTTACTTCTTTCATCTCCACCTGCTTATCTACATTATCTTGTTCTTCCTTGGCCTTGATTCAGGTATATGGTTTTTAACTACCTTTACCGTTGCCTTTTCTTTAGTAGGTGAGACTTTTCTAAGCAGCTTCTTCTTCTTCTCCTTCTTCTTTGGCCTTGCTTTAGCTGGACGGGTGGACGGATAGATAATACGGACGAGAAGACAAGACTTATAAGTATACGTTTGTAGCTCTCTTTCTTTCTTAATCTTCTTTGCGTCCTTGTCTTCCTAGGGGGCTTGTGTCTGCAAGCGGTTAGTAGTTTTTAGTTCCTAGTTTCTGGTTTGTGTGGTTGGTAGTAGGTAGCATGTAGGGCGTGTAGGAGATACCCAAGAAACTCTTCATTTTTGGAATCACCTTTCTGTGTTGCTGCCATTGCCTCTATTCTTCCTATTGGGACGATTGAACCTCGTGTTGAACAACGCATCGCAGGTCACTGATGAAATATGGTGATCCTTTGGATATTATGCCTCACTTTGCCGGGTTCAAAGACGAGTTATGACTGGATAGAGTAGAAGTATACGTCATTCATTCATCTATCCATCTACACTATACCTATCTACATCCACAGATCAGGACAATCATACACAGTATTGTTTGATAGAATCGTTGCCGGTTCTTTGAGGCGTAGCTGTGGGTTGTAGTTTTCTGTGGAACCTGAATAGAGTCTGTGTCAAGAATAGTAGTAGGGGGTAAACATGGCATTGCGATAAACGTTTAATAGTGTGGTATCGTGCCGATCAATCAGTGGCTGTATGACCTGTCATTATACCAGAAGAATATCCTGTAGTCTATCTCATGTACATCAAACTTTCATAAACCCCGTATTTCGTATCCTACGCCACCAACTGCAAGAACGTCTTACCCTGCCTAAGCGCCTGTACCCCATCTTCTCATTGTGACACCCATGACACCTGTAGTCCAGGCCCGCCCCTGCGTATGCAGCCGCAGTACTTTCTGCGACAAATCTGCAGTATGTCCTGTAATGTATCCCCGCATCACAGCAAGTGCACAAACAACGCCACGAAAACGCGGGAGCCAACCACTAGCAAGACCCCGCTGGTCATAGGGTTGCTTGTGTGTGGCCAGTCGGTTAGACGGGGCGTCGGACTGGGCGTCGGACTGGGCTAGACGCAGTAGAGTTTCGGGATCTGGCTTTGGGTTGGGGGGATGGTTGCATGCATGCCGGCACGTCGGCGTTGCCTGCCGTGTACGATGGATAGACACTTGGCAGCCACAACGCTTGGTTCTGGAGATTGCTTGAGAAACGGGTAATGACAGCCGGGTGGTTGGTGTTGTAGTATTGTTTGCACAACTTCCTGGGTCTTGCGAGGTATGAAGTGTCTATTTGGGATTGGATTGAATGGTACTGGTACGTAGATGATCTGAGCTGGGGTCGGGGGTCGGCGTCTTCGGTTTTGGGCTTAGCCGGCTTGTTTTTCTCGTATATGCGGGGCGGGAGACCAATGCGCGACATGCACGAGCGTGGACATGGGGATAAGGCGTCCGAGCGTGAGTGACGTAACGGTTGGTGATCAGGTTTGAAGCATTCGAGGGCTGTTGTGTATGTGTTGAGGTGGGAGATGAGATGTTCTGTTGCTTCTAGGTCGTGATGGATCTGAGGAGACGCGCCGTGGGGAGAGGATGCTGAGTTGAAGTATGCTAAGCAGAGTAAGAGTAACAAGGCGAGGACACTACTTGCCTGATAGTGGAGTAAAGGCGGAAAGAGGCGACGTACCGTGCCTTACGGGTCTGGTCTGGGCCCTGTTTGCTTAGCCTGCCCGTCTGAAGAGAAAAGCCCGTGTGGACGGATGTACGTATGTGACGGAGGGGGTTTTGCTCTGCTTAGACACGGCACGTCACGGTCTAGGGGTTTGTGGTGGTTACCTTTTACCGCACTGCTCTCCCTCCTACCTTCTTCTTCCATCTCTCCACCACCTTTACCTCTACCCCCACTACCGTTGATTTTTCTTCCTCTCACCACACACCAGCTTAAGCTTCTTCCATACAAGTTTCTCGTGCTCGCGTAGCTTACCATGGCTGACGCATCGACGCAGAGCTCCGGCTCTCAGCGCAGCCTCAATCCTTTCGCCAAGCGGGACGAGCATACACCGCAGTCGATTCTCCTGTACAAGATCACGACGAGCCTCAGCTACCTGCTCCTCCTCATCAGCAGCATCTACTACGCCATCCATGCCCCGGCTGGCGCGCACAACCATCGCTTCTGGCACAATAACTACTCGACGCCCTTTGCACAAAGCAGCATCTTCACTTCCATCTACTGGCTCATTCTCTTTGCGCTGCAGCTCGGCTACGCGTACGCACTGTACACGCCTACCACCGCCACGGTCAACTTCGCCGCAAACATTGGCAGCCACTTCATCGCCAACAATCTGCTGCTGTTCGGCTTCGTCAATCTCTTTGTGAGGAGTCACTTCTGGCTCGCGGAATTCTTGCTCGTCGTGAACTTCTTCAACCTCACTTTTGCCTACTTCCGCCATAGCAATGGTCCCCGCTGGGTCCATGTTGGTGCATTGAGTGGCCCGCTTGCCTGGAATTTCATCGCACTCTACTGGTGTGGTGCGTTGGCCGTGCATTCTAACCACTTTGCCGCACGTATTGTTGCCAATGTGTTCATCTGGGGTTGGGTCGGCTATGGCGCGTTCTACTTGATCGCATTCAAGGACTACACAATGGGATTCGCGCTGTCAGCTTTGGCGTTCTGTAAGTCACTGCATGTATATGGTGTTTGGTACAGTTTACTAATACGACATCGTAGCTACGGGTGTTGGCCAGTTTCTTACTCGCCCACATGTTCTGCAGCTCCAGTGGGTCTTCGCCTTTACCATTGGTGGACTCCTCTTCCTGCTCTCCCTTGCCGTTGGCATGCCAGGCCTTCTTGGTCGCGATCCCTTCCCTCGTGGCCAGATCGTCAGTGAAGACCGCGAGAGGGCGCCGCTACTATCAGACGACTAGGCTTACTCTTGTGGTAAGAACGGCTCCGCTGGTTTGTCGCCGTGTCCTCTGGGTTCGGCTTCAAAGCTGCCGTAGGCTATTTTCAGGAGCGTGGACAAAGCTCTGCGATATAAGGTCCTTTCCTGATTCCCAGGGTATCTTTTTTCCCATACCGCCCCCTTCCTGTTATGGTTTAATAACATGATTAGATGGTGTATCCAGACATAGGCCTTCTCACGGAGTAGGAGAGGCACTTTAGACACAAACAATCTTGCGTAGCAGGGAAATCACAATCTCAACCCCCTCCAGTGTGCCTGTGGGTCTGTGATGCCTTTATACCCTCCCCTTCCTGCTCCTCTTACGGTATTATGTTCCCTTCGCCTCTACATCTCCTCTAGGACAGCACGGCTTATGCACCCTTGTATCCAGCATAGTGTTTTCACAAGTATTCTATACCTTGAAATTTTACAGGATGTAATTGTCTACTCACGTATTCACAGGTAGTGGGTTAAGGTGTAAGACGATCGTATACAGTCAGGGGTAGGTCCTGCTGATCTGAAGTGTTGCCAAGCCCGTAGGCGACATACATACATGCTCCTCCCCCTATCTTCTTCTCTCATCCCTTCCCTCTCTCATTCCCTAGTTCCCCCTTCAACCCCTCCTTACTCTTCCTTGAAAAATTAGAATCTTCTCTGCGAGGATGGCGTTCTCATCTTGAAGCTCCTCACAATAATCCAAGAGTTCTGTATGGTTGAAGCGGAGCATGTCGAGCTCCGACTTCAGCCTAATAAACAAATTGCGAGCATCCTTATTATCAACACGGATATCAGATACAGCAGTGGCTAGAGTGCTTGAGGCAGCCAGTTGTGTGTAGTAGTTGATGGCTACACAGACAGTGCCCATGAAGATAGGGATGATGACGTTGGCGTTGGAGAAGACAGCGGGCTAAGATTGTCAGCTAACATGCTAGAAAAAGGCGGGTTGCGACTTACAAGGGCATAGTCAAGACCTATACCGATGACCATGAGGTAGAGGATGGCCACAGCAATGTTGACACCGAAGGAAGCTATGATAGTAGGCATCTTGGTTAACCTCTTGTAAGTTTTGGTTGATTGGTTAGTTGCTTGGTTGGCAGGCTAAGTACGTCTTGGATAGTTGTGTGCTTGAGGGGATAAGAAGTTTGGATACTTGCGCCGGGTGAAGCCCTTATATACACCCATCTACCCCTCCGGCAGCAAGAAGAAAGATGGCGATGTCGGAGTACGATCGCGGTGGCATGATGAGGTTTGTTTGCACTGTCAATGTGCACACTTCACACATCGCCCGACCCAACCCTCGGCGAACAAAATACCCCCACTTGAAGCCGAAGCCGAAACGGCAACAGGAGGGGCAGTACCACATCTTGCGCTGGTTGTCCGAGGGCATCAAAGTGTTTGCATATGACAGCTGGACAGTCTCACGTCTCAACCTCTACCGCTCCCGAAGAAGCATGAGTAATGCCAGAAACAATAGCAGCTTGCATTGGCTGAGAGCAGCACGGAATCATCTTGCGGCGGTTGTCTGGGTGCAATATCGGGCTCAATGTGTTTGCACAGGGCATCTGGACCGTCTCAATCTCTACTACTGCCGAAGACGCATGAGTAACAGCACGATCAGGAGCATCTTGCATTGATCAGAAGCAGCATGAGGGCAGCACAGTGTTTACACGCTCGAAGCCGGATGACCTCACTTCTCAGCCGCCGTCGAGGCCGAAGCCGCAGCAGCTTACGCTTCTTGGCTGGAGGCAACAGGGTATCTTCGTAATGGAAGCTAGATGGCATCACTCCGAGACCTCAGCATCTTGCACTGGTGGTCGGCAAGATAGTGTTTGCATGCCAGCAGTTGCATGGCATCATGCCTTAGCCGCTGCCTGCCACTACCAAAGTCGCTGCCACTATAGTAGTTTGCGCTGGTTGGTTGGTGGCAACATTGCTTCTGGAAGCTGGGAGGTACAGGCCAGGCCAGGTGAAGATGGTGAGTGAGAATGAGGGCATGAAGTACGATAGCATAAAGTTTAGCTCTTGACTAATATAGAGGCAACAATCTTTTACCCAAAACACCACCGTAGACTACACCCCTGTCCGCTGATGATATTTCTCGCTATCTTCAAGAATTTTCAGCACTTCCGTCTGGCGTAAAGAGAGTGATAATACGTCCTTCTGTTATATGCGCTGATTTACTCACTACGTTCCTACGTACAACTACTATTTCTATATTCTCCGAACGTAGAACAGCAACAGCATATCTTCTACAATTGCAGACCTCCGCAATCGCATACCTCCTTCGCAATTGTATACCTCCTTCGCGATCCTAGCGTTCACCGAGTCATAGGCGAAGAATAGGAGTTGAGGCCTCCGTCGTCTATTCCCGCCTAAAACTATTACTTATACACGCTACAAACCAATGACGGCTATGACACGCTTTCTAGGATTCTATACCTTCACAATCCTAGTACTTGCTGGGGCACAGTCAGAGGATAGAGTAGGGCCTTCCGTGGACTATTACCACCCAAGGACACGGCTTGTGGACACTGCGAATATATAACAGCGACAGCACACTCAAGTGACTCAGCACGACTCCATGACTCATAGAGCGAACGCACACACTATACCGAGTTCTTGGGGCACCACATCGCCTTTGGTGTCACGCTGGTCGCCTTGGTCGTCGAAGACTCCAGTCCAGTTTGGCCACTGAATCAGGCAGTGCGACACTGCGTTGTTGACTATCTTGCTCCACTTGTTGAGTGGGAGGCGTGGAGGTGTGTAGAGTCAGGATATTATACGTGTATCTGGGACGTTCTGATCGCTTTGGGTGGGTAGTGTCTTGGACGAAGGCACGGAGGGACGGCAGGCTTTCGGAGAAGCTATGCGCAGGTTAGCTAAAGAACAAACAGAAATATATGTAGGTAGGTAATCATAAACTCACCTAGACCCGCCGGGTCGGTTGAGATGGGATGTAATAGTAGGTAGAGTGACTCGTCGAATTTAAGCCACGTCTATAACCTTGCACACACAGTTGGGGATGAGCGAGGAAGACAGATAAGATAACGCACACTTACTTACGACCTTTAGGTTGACAGAGACGTGTAGAAGAATATCTGCAGCGACGGAGGAAGAGGGAGCACATAGTGCTAGCAAGTCGTGATATCTTTAGCCTAAACGTTCATAGCTTCTGTGAGAGCAGCGAAGAGAGTAGATAGGATTGTTTACAGGCGAGAGGGATATGCAGTCGCATTTGGTTGACGGAGAAACTCAGAGAATGTGGATAGATTGTGTGGGTTTAGCCTGAGGTAGCTTTCGTGGTTTTTGTAGCTTTTTCAAAAGACGCGGTCAAGTTTTGGGTAGAAGAGCAGGTGGTAATATATAAAGGCAAGAGACGCATGCACCTTGTAATTTCAGGTCGGTTTAAGTACGAAGTAAGGTGGGTTGAGCGACTAAAGAAAGCTGAGCGCATTGCACAATGTGCAGTGCGCAGTGCGGAGAAGTTTTAAATTTTAAACTAGGCTGTCATGGTTCTTGGAAGAGACGCGGTTAGGAGGAAGGAACGAACGTAGATGTTGGTAAGCATTGTTGTGACACTAAACCTCTTGCAGATATTGTACACCGGCTCCTGCACCAGCTTCTCCTTCATTTTTTTCCTCTAGATTTTCCTCTAGCTCCTTGCCCGACTTTGCCTCTAGTTCTTTGTCTAGCTTCTCGCCTTGCTTCTTGCTCCGTTTCTTGTTTAGCTCCTCTAGCTTCGCCTCCAGTTCTACTTCCAGTTCTGTCTCCAGCTTCTCCTTCAGCTCCTCGTCCAGCATCTTCTCTAGATCCACCTCCAAATACTTCTCTTCCTACTTCTCGCCTAGCTTCAACTCTAGCCTCGCCCCCAGCTCATCGTCCACAACACTTAAATGACTCGGCACGACTCTATAAGCCATGGAGAGAATGCGCACACTACACCTGGCTTCTATTCTAGCTTTTCCTCTAGATCCACCCTAGATACTTCTTCTCCAGTGCTATATTATCCTTGAGTCCCAAGCTCCTCTTCCAATTCTATACCATCGTTAATCTCGAAGCTCCTTCTCTAGATCCTCCTGCTGGTGCTCGTCCAGCTTCACGCACAGCTCCTCGTTCAGCTTCTTCGGCTCCATACCATTGTCGAATTACAAGTCCCAGCTTCTCCTCTACCTTAACCCTCAGTTCTTCCTCTAGCTTCTCGCCACGCCTTACGCAGTGCCTCACGCATTACCACACGCACTACCACACACCCTGCCTCACGTCCTGCCTCGCTTCAAGCTTCTTCAGCTCCATACCATCGTTGAATTCGAAGCTCTTTGTCAAGCAAAATACTGACAGTCTATGGCAAGCACCATCTGACGCTCGCCGCACCAGATTTTCGCAGTCACTTTGGTCTTGTGCGACATGTTTTGGAAGATTGGGAGGATACATGAGAATTACAGGCATGCTCAGCTCAACTTTGGGAGCTTGCGCTCAACATATGGGACGCGGATCCAATACCCGGATCAGGGTTCTATACACGGGAATTATGGGCATGTTCACCTCACAATCAAGAGCTTTCACTCAATTTCCGGAGCGCGGATCTTGTCGTCGAGCCAGGGTTCTTCGGCCAGAGTCTTGGTTAGAGCTAGCGTACTTGTGTGCATGGCTGCTGGCATGCACTTGAGGGACTGGATGCAAAGTTGACTACGGTATTATGGATGATCGGCATGTGCGAGTGCTGATTCCCAAACATTTGAAACATCTGGGGTGTATTGAACATGTAGACAGCTTTGAACTATCTCGTGTGCAGGATACGGTGATTTAGCCTGATCATGTAGATATCTGGTAGGTATGCCGACAGCTTCAATCCATTACAACAGTGACGCATCACGATGGCATCCGTGGCTGAGTATATAGTCACGGTGGGCCTAGACCGTATCTTCCATACGGTACCCATGTGTAGAAACGCTGGTGATTTCCGTTTTTGATTCCACAGGATGGTACGGCGCGTGATTCGGAAATGCAAGGGTTCTGCTTGAGCTCTCAAGCATGCAGGGGCGCAAGAAAATGGATGTATAACATCTCAGAATTGAGAATGTATGAGTACACCAGACCAGATATTGGGCATGAAAACCGTGGGATGTGAATGTGCACAGGCCAATATACCCACAAGGCAACAGCGCTCAAAGTTATCCCATACCCTCAGCAGTCAACCTTCTCCATTTACAACTCAAATTTCGCAATTATAAGCTTGACAGTTCGCTTGCAAAACAGCACGGCTAATGTGGACTGGAAATGATTTTTGATGTTGGAGATGGAAAGCGGCGCAAGGCGTCGTGCTTTGTCAGGATTAGGCGGGGGAATGCGGTCATGATGAACGTCGATCAGGTCGAGCAGCAGCAAACACAAACGTGACCACATACCCTGCCCTTAATTCGGATGAAACATGCGGTGCGAAGATGGGAAATCGCGTAGACCCCCATGTCAGTGGCCACCTGTGCATGCGCTAGACTATGACGTTCCTTGAGGATGCCGTTAGGGCCACAATTTGGCTGGGTCACGGTGTCACGTGCGATCCAATGCTCTGCCAAGAAGGCCCCTAGCCACGCTAGCTACGCGAGCGTGAATGTTTTTGCCTTTACCTCACCGAAGAACCCCAGCCACCCCACCTTCACGTCCACCGCGAAGCTCACTCAGCAACACCATCAAATCCATCGATCTATCTACATTTGGCCATCTATACGGGACTGCAGAGTTGCCTTTTTCGGTGTATCAAGTCAAGATATCGCGCTGCGATTATGGCGCCTGCGACGATCAAGCCGGGTGCGCCTGCCTCGCAGTCTTCGCCCCAACCCACCATTCGTAAGTAGAATAAGAGTCATTCAATGGATTCATGAGTAGTTGCTAATGCAGCTGTGCCCCTGCTAGACAAGAACTTTGACGACATCTTCCACATAAAGTTCATGAAGATTATCCAGGAATGGAAGGATGATCCTGCCCGTGGTCAACTCACCCAGAAAGATCGAAAGACATTCATTGAGACGGCCTTCTCCGAGACTGATGAGCTCTACTGGGGCCAGCGCATGATGACTGATTACGAACTCAAGCTCCGCGCCCTGACCAAAGTCTTCTACAAGGTCTTGGCCGAGGAACCCTGGTCCGAGGATTGGATTCGCGCCCCGGATGTTGAACGAAAGCTGTCCAAGTTTGAGATGCACGAGGACTCTGTAGCCCTGGCTAAGCAACATGGCTTCACCACACCACGTGAGGCGGTCAAGGCGGCGCGCGAGAGGGGTATCAAGAACGCCGAAATCTGGAAGGAGGGGGAGAAGAACGGCAAGACGCTCAAGGACTTGAAGCTCGACCGTGGTCCGTTCGACGACATTGAGATTGTCTACATTGCCGGTACAGTCTCATCATCCGCTACTAGCAGGATCGACCGTAGCAACATATATCCTGTCTCTGTTTCCTCGGTCGCAAACGTGCTCCAGAATCACATCTGTAGAGACATGGTGCGGCCCTACATGATGGCTGAACGCTTCATCAACTGCACCGACACCCGAGAGCTGGAGGATATGAGACGTTTCGCATGTAATGTATGCGATTTTTGTCCCCATCTCCTCGATAATGATAACGTCAGCCTGCTCGTTGTCTTGCTCATTCTCTCCCGTTCCGACTGCTGTCGCCGCTTCGAGGCAAACGGTATTCGTATCGAGGGATCCACCATCAGCCACCGCAAGGCAGAGTGCATGAAGAACAAGATGGGCTGGAAGGACTCCCAAGACAAGAAGCCCTACGATACCTTCGCCCAGGAGTTTCAGACTCGCGTAAAGAACGCATGCTTTCCAGCACCGAGGGCCCAGCGCATTGGGGGTAGGAAGCCCCATCCGCCAGCACTAGGAGGAGCACGCCACTCTATTACTATGGGTTTCCCCATCTACGGTCACGGTCAGCCTCAGCCCCATATGGGATTCGTCGCCCCTCCCCAGATCCGCAACGGCGCTCCCAACAACAGTTCGAACAATGTCCACCAAGCTCACCGCCATTCAACTGGTGGTGCGGGCAGCAGTGTCATTAACGTTCAAGGTCCCCGTCCTTCGACTAGTGGCGCGGGCAGCAGCGCTGAAGACCCCATGGACCTTTCCTAGGATCCACCCTAACTTGGTAGTGGTATACATTCTCCCAGCTTTGGGTAGTGTTATACATCTTCTTCTTGCATAGCCATGGCGTTTTCGGGCTGGCGTTCGGGCTCTGAAGGTTATTTGAACCAAGTCTCTCTGTACATAGTATATACAAGCAGCCATTTCAAACCAATCAATACCCATATTCTCAACAAATCCACCTTGCACATGTATAAAAGGGGTGATCTGCTAAGGATGTTGCAATCGCAAAGTGAGGTCATCACTGTGATTGTGTAATTGTGTGAAGTCTTTGGGGGATAGCCAATAAGCGGAGGAAACCTGAATAGACTTTAAGAAAAGTGAGTCATCTTGGCCACACAAATATCGATGTGCCTGCCATCGGCAGCTCCAAGTGCCCTCAGTTCACTGTCAACTATCAACCCCATCCCAAGTAAAGCATCTGGTGTTGTTTCTCAGAAACATGCAGGCAGAACCAGTTGAAATTGAGATGCTCGAACAAGACATCCACAGATCATCTGGTTGATAATTCTGGTTCGGCAAGAACAAGAAGATATACAGATCGTCTTAATATTGTTTTTAGTGTCTCAGAATAGGAATTCCGAACTGCAGTCCCAGAAATGACGTGCCATGCTGTTTGACTGCAAGAACAAGTGCCAAATTTGCAAAGTAGGTGGCCAGGTGAGGGGAAATGATGGTGTTGCTTGATTAGCACGTTGCCCGCCTAGATAGAACAGCACATAGAGGCCAGAGATTGACAACGAACAGGAAGAACGAGGGAAGTTCGCAAGAGTTGTAAGTACTTACCATCTTTGTGATACCGTCGTCGTCCGGTAGCCATCTACACTGGCAATTGGCACTGGGTTCTCGCCGTCCTGAAGTCAGTAACCAATACCCACACATTCACCGTGGGTACACCGCCATCGTGCCCCCGCACACTGCAAACACGCAGGTAGCACCAAAAGAACAGAGGTGAGAGACAAGGTGACCATAGATTTGAGGACGACGAGCACCCCTGACTCTAGTATTTCAACACCTATTCTTCTCTCTGGTCTCTTACAAGTATCCCTCAAAGTCTCCCTTGACAACTAATCATACCATCGTATACACCAACCCCCAAAACAACCACCATGACCCTTTCTAGCGGTGCCCTTGTAGCCACCATCTGCGCCGTCATCGCCCTCCTCGGAGCCCTCATCAGTGCCGTCGTCGTCGTCAACCGTCGCCGCCGCGATAACATCAGGGCCATCGGGCTCCAGCGGTTGAATCCCACCACCTTGCCGCCTCCTATTCTCGCCGTAGGAGGGCGCCAGCCTGGACTTGTCCACCAGGCACCTCCACAGCAACACATACGCTTCGCGAGTACTCAGTACCCTCGCCAAGCCGCCGGAGGGGCGCCCTCCTCGGGTAATGTAAACGCCTGGTAGCATGCATCCCCCTGCTGCCGGTATGACTGATAAAACATTGTATCCACCATGATCTTAACTAACTTCACCATCAACAGGGACGTAAGATTGCCGGGAGACCACCACATCACTAGGAGTGGAGGAGATGAGCATGATTAGATACTGATGATGACGACAAGAGGTCGGGATGCAATGATTCCCGAGTCAGAAGTGGTTATTGAAGGATAGAAGTAGTGAAATGAAAATGGAATGGCATGGTACAATACCTCGAAGCTCATCTCACGGTGACTTGGAAAAACACACATGTGCTTACCATCCAGAACTACATCTTGTCACAAGGTGCACCAACATCACATCACATATCGCAAAGGGGGGAATGGCAATCAAGCATCGTCCTCGCGTCTTTCGACACTCAGACTCAGCGACACCTAGTGGGGAGGAACCTTTTCTTTCATTTGCTCCTGATCATCATGCCGCCGTATATAGCCGTAAAACCATGCCATAGTCGTGGCAGAAGAAACCCTTTCCCAGACACCATGTTTTCAATGAACCGAGAAGGGAGGAAGAAGAGAGACCGAATCGCGCGTTCGCTTTCGTATTTACGAGCGGCCGGGGCGGTCGTTGAAGCGGCGGGGACCGCGCTCGACAACCTGTTGCTGAGAGACGGCAATGACGTTGGTGGGGATGCTGTCGAACTATTCCATGCGTTAGCTAGTTGCGGAATGTGGGAATCATGGTGTGAGCATACGCCCATGCTCTTGAGGAGGTCCTTGGTCTCCTGGTCGACATCGAGCGAGCCAGACTCGCTGTTCTGGGTGAAGTCGAGAGCAGAGATCTCGGGGACGTATTGGTCCTTGCGCTCACGCTCCTCTTCTTGAAGCTTGAACGAGATACCACGGACGGGACCACGCTGGATACGCTTCATCCTGTGAATTGTTAGTATTGGAAGGATAACGGGGTGATTATGCGAGCATTGAGAGTGAGATTGGGTCGATTTGAGAACATGCACAAATGCATCGCATCGCTGGTCGTGCGCATGCAAACCTCATCTTCCAGTACCAATCTCATTTCCCATGTGCCTCCGCATGTGCGTCCACGTACAAGTGAGTGGTGTATCCGGCGATCTTGTTTCGGAGCCTCTTGGAGGCGATGATGGCAATCTCATCGCAGATCCTCTTGTTGGTCTCGAAGTCGAGCGACAACTTGGGGTAGTAACGCTCAATGATGACCTTGGCGGACTTCTTGACGGTCTTAGTTCGGACGCGACCCATTTTGGCGACTGTTGTGAGAGCTGAGGGAAGAGGCTGTCGTGGGAAGGGCGGTGGCTGTCGGGTTAGTTGTGTTGTCGCTGGAGAGAAATGCATCAAAAGACGCCTGCGATATTCGCTAAGTTGTGTGGTGGTCTGTGCCAGGCGCTAGTGCATATGCGGCATAGCGGGCCTGAGTTGCGAACATCATCATTCAGGCAGCATCTGGGCATTCATGGGTCACAATCGAATCGAAACACCGTTTATAAGGGATACTTGGCATGTTTTGCTCGATAATTTACAGTCACAGAAAAGAAGGTCCAAAAATGCATCGCAGACGCTCGCTAGAAAGCTTGACAAAGGAAAAACCAAACCAGTTGTGTAGGTACAAACTCCAATCCCAACTATACACACGGCAATCTTTCAAAGATTCTTCAGTGGCCGCCGCCGCCCTCGGCAGCACCAGTTGAGTGGCCACCCGAAGCTGCACCCTCGTGCAAGGGGTTGGGGAAATAAAAGGCGCAGATTGCGATGATCATGTAGATCATGACACAGAGCACACCCTCGAGATAATTGGAGCTGCCGTCACGAAGGAAAGAACCGACGGCGAGCACTGCAAGAACGAGAGCAGCAGCGTCGAACATAGTGAAGTTGTAATCCATGTGGACACCAATGCCCCAGCCGACCAGGACAACGAGGGGCGCGTTGAACAGAGCAGTCTGGATGGAGGCACCGAGGACGTGGGCAAGAGCCATGTTGATCTGGTTGTCGTAGGCTTCATCGATAGCGAGGAGATGCTCGGCAATCTTCTCGACGAGGGGAATGAGGATAAGACCGATGAAGGCGTCACTAATACCACGCTCTTCCACCAAATGCGGGATCTCTTGGACAAGGGCGATGGCGACAAGAGCGACACAAGCCACAGAGATGATGAGAGCGATAATGACTTCGGTCATAGTGAGCTTGGGCTTCTTGAGTTCCTCGTGGCGGTCCTTGTCCTTGTGGTCGTCTGCCTCGTAGATCTCGTGAAGCAAGCCATCGTGCGACATGGTCTGGAAGGCAAGGTATATGAAGAACCCGACAATCGAGATGATGGCAACACCGCGGGAGATGAGTCGTGTGTTTGTGGCAACGTTGATGTTTTGCTCAAAGTCCACGTTCCCATTAAGATACGAGTAGAAGATGGCGGGCAAGACAAGCGCCACTACAAAAGTTAGTACGGGGTATAGAGTATGCGGGGAACAAACGTACTCGAAGCGACAAGCATGAGACCACTGCCGTTCTCGGAAATGGCAGAGTGGAACTCCTGTGTCTTGTTCTTGAGACCACCTGCGATGAAGCATACACCCAGGCAGAGCAGCAAGTTGGCCAGGATGGAACCCAAGATTGCAGCGCGGATGACTTGTACGTTGGAATCACCGTTGGATGTCTTGAGCAAGGTCATGAACAGGATAATCTCAACAATGGAACCAAACGTCGTCTCGAGAACAACAGCAAAGGCCTTGTTGGGCATCTTGCGGGAGAATTCCTGGCCAGCGAAGCCGAGCATATTGGCAGCGGGAAGCATGGCAATGTAGTTGCAGATGAAGATGGGAAGATGCCATTCGGGCTTGGCAAAGTGCTGTCCGAACTGTCAGTATAGGAGACTTGAGTGGAGGAGAGTTGCCTTACCATTGCAATGGCAACAGGTACAATGGGCCATAACATGTTGACTAACATGGACGGCATGCTGCTACTCCGACCGCAAATGACGAGGAACTTGATGGGATTGAAGCCACGTCTACCGCTCTCACCCTCCGGGTGGATGCCCGGTGTCACAGCATGTCCATTGTGGTTGTATTGCGGCAGAGACTCGCGGCGCCTACTACGACTTCGACGGTTATCGCTGTGCGGAGGGACGGTGCGTGGTGTCTTCTCGCTAGTATACTCGCGGTCTCGCGATGAACGGTGCTGCGAGGACCTCCTGCCGGCTGGGTAGTCTCGCGAGCTTCTTCCGTGGTGCGCCATGGCCAGCGTGGAGTGTGCGAGGGAACGGATGAGGACAACCAAGCGCTGTGTGCAGGTGTTTGCGTTGTTAGGGCCAGATAAGTTTGTTATTCCAGTGGCGCGAGTATGGGTTTGCCTGCAGCAGGTGTGAAGGTTGCAGTTCAAGAAGAAGAACAAGAACGAATTATGGGAGGTATAGGAGGCATATACGAAGGGTCGGTGAAACTAGACAACGAAGAAGGGCCGGGCGTCATCTCGGCGGCAGGTTCTCTATGGTTCCTTGTTTGGTGTTGCGGGAGGCCGCGACGCGGGCGCATCAATCGACTCAGCCTCCATGGCCTATTCGCCAGCTGTCTTGGTCAAACAAACGCGTTGCAGCATATTCACACCGAAACACTGCGGCATTATAAGCTTTAGCCATTCAATTGGCTGCAATTGCCTGTGCTATACTTCGGCGCGACTGTGAAGCTGTGCGAGCTGTACGAGCTGAGCTTACTCCACTCGCATTAGACACGTCACCAAGCATTGGAGCCCGCGCCTGGCGGGGAGGCTTGACACTTCTTGGCTACCTCCCAGCCAAACTTCAAGGAAAGAAAGCTCAATGCCATGCAACCTGACGTGGGCCCAGGCTCGACTATGGGGCCATCTCCCACCAAGGGAAAGGGTCTCGATATTGACTATGGCACGGTGTAAATGCTGCGGCGATATACTGTAGATTATCTGGGGTATGCAGTGGTGTTTCGATTTTCGCCGGCCGCATCGCATCCACCTGCAACGCACTACACGTCACATTTATGAGAAGACTCAACATACAAACACTCTGCCTGAAGCATGCAGAACAATGCTAGATGAAGATGGGGTCACCGCCTGCACACAAACCAGACTACCCATCTAGTGCTGGATCCGGTGCATCCGCCGTTTTTTCGGTGCGATAGTGCCCCAGCCGTCTCCAGCCCCTTCGCTGTTCACGTCGGTGATGCGCGTAACGTCATCCCGTTCCTTGCATCTTGCCACATTAGCGGCGGGATGGCTGCATGGATGTGAGTGCATCCAGTCGTTCCATATGGCAATGTTGACGAAACATTGTCGTCGCCTGGCTGTGCCATGCATCAACATGCAACATGATCAGAAAATGTAGATGAGGGCCGAAAAAGAACATGCTCAAACACGCCGGCTAGTCACCCAGCTACCTCCTAGGCATGTGCACGGGGACAGGCGTTATCTGGGAGGCGGGCGCGTGCTAGCGGCATGGCAACACCGCGACTCACCCATCAAACATCACTCCCCGTCTCTACTCCACATCCCTCATCCCCACATTGTTCATCATGGTCTACCTTTCCGGCTTCGCTTTATGCGCAGCCATCTCCAGCGCTACCGCACTTCAGATACCCCTACTTTCGTCCAGCAGCAATGCGGGTCCGCTCGGACATGCCCACGGCGCGAAACCATTGGTCAACTCGACCGAGCTGCAGGACCTCGTCAGTGGTGACAGGCTGATGGCTCGTGCGAAGAAGATGTTTGACATTGCCAAGCTTGGAGAAGCAGAATACAACCATCCCACAAGAGTTATCGGGAGTGCCGGTATGCCTGTGTATGCGTCTTGCTCCTTCCCATGTTGACCGTCATGCAGGTCATCTTGGGACGCTATCCTACATTTACGAAAGCATTCTTGAGCTCGGTGACTACTATACAATCTCGAACCAGAGTTTCCCTGCCGTTTCTGGTCACATCTTCGAATCTCGCCTGGTCATTGGTGATGGCGTGCCCAAGTCTGCAGCGCCCATGGGCCTAACTCCACCGACCAAGGACAAGGAGCCCGTACATGGCGACCTTGTGTTTGTGAAGAATGAGGGATGTGAGGCATCTGATTACCCTGACTCAGTCTCTGGCAATATTGCATTTGTGAAGCGTGGAGTATGCCCGTTCGGCACCAAGTCTGAGCATGCTGGTCGCAAGGGCGCCGTAGCTGCAGTCGTATACAACTACGAGAAGGATCCCGTCTCCGGTACTCTTGGAACACCGTCGCCAGACCACGTTGCAACCTTTGGTCTCTCTGGCGAAGAGGCCGAGCCGATACTGAAGAAGCTCGGGAACAAGGAGCGCGTCGATGCTATTGCCTACATAGATGCCGAGGTCAGCCAGATCCTGACGGTCAACATCATTGCTCAGACAACTGAGGGTGATCCGGATAACTGTGTCATGTTGGGTGCCCACAGCGACAGCGTCACAGAAGGCCCCGGTATCAACGACGATGGCTCGGGTACCATGTCACTTCTCGAGGTTGCCACCCAACTCACCAAGTTCAACGTCAGTAACTGCGTTCGATTTGCTTGGTGGGCTGCCGAAGAAGAGGGTCTGCTCGGTTCAGACTACTATGTCTCATCTCTATCTGAGAAGGAGAACAAGAAGATCCGTCTATTCATGGACTACGACATGATGGCCAGGTAAGTGACAGATACACTATCTGCTCTGTAAGGATACTGACTTTACCAAATAGCCCCAACTTCGCCTATCAAATCTACAACGCCACCAACGCGGTCAACCCACATGGCTCAGAAGAGCTCCGTGATCTATACATCAAGTGGTACGAGGACCAGGGCTTGAACTATACCTTTATCCCCTTCGATGGTCGCAGCGACTATGATGGGTTCATCCGCAGCGGCATTCCCGGTGGTGGTATCGCAACAGGTGCCGAGGGTATCAAGACGGAGAAGGAGGTTGAGATGTTTGGCGGCAAGGCTGGAGATTGGTATGACCCATGTTACCATCAACTTTGTGATGATCTCGGCAACGTGAACGTCACTGCGTGGGTTGTCAACACCAAGGTAAGCTGCGTTTCTTTCTATTGGGAGCCACCGCTAACACAACGACAGCTCATCGCCCACTCTGTTGCCACGTACGCACGGTCGCTCAAGGGCTTCCCCGAGCGCGAAATTGAGGTTGCCGCAAAGTCGACCGCATACCTGAAGGATGTCAAATACCACGGCGCGAAACTTGTCCTTTAATCGACGAATATCTGTTTTGATCGCATGACCTAGTTAATGTCACTGGCACTCTTTAGCCAGGGCCGTTGTACAATACCTAGCCAGTATAACTTGTAAACATAAAGTCTCGTCGTTCAATAAATCACAGGACGCGTGACCAGCCTTGTTTTCAGTATCTCGATCTCTGTGCCGTTCCTCTATCCAAAACCATAGCATCGCTCAGCATTCGAATAGAAAGGGGTTGCCTAAGTTATAGGACACGTCTAGAGCGCGCACATGTGTCCCACTCTCCACCGTGATCGACCTGGATCTCGTCTCGCGGCAAAATTTCGCCCACACCCCTGCACCACGCGACACGACCCCACACACCGGCAGAATCTCCCCCGCAGCCCTGCCAGAAGGCTTCCAATCGCATCTTAACGGGAGGCCTATGTAACGGTCTCGGATCTATACGCACGCCGACATTCAGTTTTATAGCTTGTAAAACAGTAAGGACAGGAACTGTCACCAATCACCGCATATTAGGCGTCTAATAATGTCATTTGTACTCTGCGCGAGGTGTTTTTTGCATGCAATGCAGGGAGCTCCGACCGATCTGTAGGTTCCCTCGACCACTGTGATATCGGGGCCTGAGTCTGGGCGTGGGATGCAGGTAGCTTAGCGTGCCATAGGGAGATGGATATGTAAAGAAGGGCCGAAATCATGTTTTTGTTTGGTATTTAGGGATATATATGTTAGGTATGGACGGTGGTTTGCTGTATCTTCATCGGTCGTCGCTTTATTTCGCTGTTCCCTACGTTTTGAACCAATTCTCTCACTGTGAGGTTAGAAAGAGCTTGGCCTTTTTCGGATATTCATCTGTCTTGTTTGTGCCTCTTACCACACCTGTCTCTTACCACACCTGTCTCTTACCACACCTGTCTCTTACCACACCTGTCTCTTACCACACCTGTCTCTTACCACACCTGTCTCCTGAATCGTCGCTTCCATCTCTGCGAAGCTCATCCTTCAACATGACGTCAACAAAACCTCTTAATATCCTCATCTCTGGATCCGGTATCTGTGGCCCTTCTTGTGCCTACTGGCTACACTGCTTTCTTCCTATGGCTCAAATTACCATTATCGAACGCTCGCCTGTACCACGACTCGGTGGACAAGCTGTCGACCTTCGCTCAGCATGCATACCAATTGTGAAAAAGATGGGGTTGCTAGACAAGGTTTTGGAGAAGAATACAACAGAGATGGGCATGGAATTTGTGTATCTCGATACTAAGCGTAAAGCGTTGTTCCCAAAGACAGGCGAAGAGGAGAGACAGAGTGGTAAGATTCCCTGCCCCCTCTCACAGAAGGACTCAACCTAACAAACTCAACCAGCAACATCCGAGTACGAAATCCTCCGCGGCGACATCGCTGAAATTTTCTTCAACGCCACAAAGTCCCTCCGTAATGTAACCTACATCTTCGACGAAATGATAACTTCAATCACCCAAGTCGACACTCCCGGCAGCTCCACGACCGCAGAAGTGACCTTCAAAAACAGCCATCTACCTCCTTCAACCTACGACCTCGTCATCGGCGCAGACGGCCAGATGTCACGAACCCGGCGTCTTGTCTTCGGCCACGGACCCAAAAATGACGATTACTTGCACAGACTAGGCCAATACTCCGCTCTCTTCACTATGCCCCGCGACCCCATCGACAACGAATACGCACAATGGTACAACGCCCCCGGTGGTCGTTTGTTCCTCCTGCGACCTGACCCCTACGGTACCCAGCGCGCCTACCTCTCCGTGACGGATAAAAACCTCTCTCGCTTCGATGAGATTGACGGTTTACTACGCACGGGCACCAGAGAACAGCAGCAAGCATGGTTCGAACGTGAATTCCAAGGTGCGGGGTACCAGACCGATCGGTGTCTTGCAGCCATGAAGAAAGCAGATGACTTCTACATGCAGCAGATAGCGCAAGTACGGATGCCACAGTGGAGCAAAGGCTGCTGCGTTGTCGTCGGTGATGCAGCGTATTGTCCCAGTCCCATCTCCGGCGTCGGCACCGCAGCGGCGATTGTAGGATCTTATGTTCTCGCTGGTGAGGTGGCAAAGTCGCTACATGATATTCCTGCTGCACTGAGGGAGTACGAACGCGTCACAAGGGGTTTTGTGGATAAGGCGCAGAAGCTTGTTCCGGGTGCGCCGCAGATTGCGAATCCGCAGTCGGTGTGGGGGATCAAGGTGCTGAATGCTGTTACGGGTGTGCTGGCGAGCAGGTTTGTGCAGGGGTTGAGTGGGTTGGTGGGGAGGTTGTTTCCCGCGTTTGGGAGTACGACGGCGTGGTGTCCACCGGATTATGAGGGGGTGAAGGGTGTTTGAATGAAGGGGATGATGGAGGGATGGTAGTCTTTCGGCTAGGAGGTTCATGAATGGATGGAGATAGCTTAGTGTGCTAGCATCTTAAGATACCGTAATACCTTTCATTCTTGTCTTGTAGTCGCCAACTTAACGCCGAAATCCTCACCACACAGTTATATACTCATTGGCCATTTGTTTGAACTGTCGCCATTTGTTTTCATACTTGAAGTTAGTTGCTGTACCGGAGAGATAGATAGTATTTTTTGTATGCACTGTACAGTACCGCCATCATACTTTGGTAATCCGAAAACTCTACCTATTACCACGATTGCGCTTGATAACTTGGGCTACTACGCAGCCACTTCACCGTACCATACGCTCCTCTTCAGATGTTATAGAGAATATGCTACATTGTGGAAAAATTAAGGAACTAAAGGTCTACATGTTACGGCAGAAAGATCAAGGAGGGGGGAAACGTTCGATCTCGGACAAGGGTCGCGTTGTAGCTGTGATTTTGTTTGTTTTGGAAGCGGGAGTCGCAGGCCAGCTCTAGGAGATACCATAATACAACAGATAATAGTCTCTTTTCCTAGGAGATATACGTCTAATCGATCGTGTCCAGCACCAGTCCTATCCACGTCCTCCTACAACCCCAATATTTCTCTTGTAGGCTATTTACCACAGTCATTCGAAGGACGGGTCCGTGACCATATCTGATATCGGCGCCCTTTTCGCCGGATCGAGATCCGTCATCCTAATCACCAAGCTCTTTATCTCATCGTCGAGATCAGGAAACATATCACTTGTTCATTGCGTGAAGCTTGGTAACGTTTCGTCCAGTAAAGCCTTCCTATTTTCTGCAACTTCATCCCACAAGGCCTGCAACACTTCACCCACTTCTTCGTCGTCAACATGCTTCACAAGCTCGTGCGGCAACGGCCCAAATGCCGCTAGTGGGTTATACAGGATTGCCAGTTCAGGCTCCGTATCTTCTTGCTTGAGCTGTTCGTAATCTAGATGCAGCCATTCTACGCCTGTCATCACGTAGAAACACTGTGTATGATTAGCAGCGACTTTAGAGCTTAAAGGTGGGACAGGATTACTAGAAGCCCTAATGAGAAGATCTTAGAGTGTTGCCTACGTGTCTTCTAAGTTAGCCTTGTGGACTGCGCCACATAACGTTTCTAATTCTGTAGGATAGAAGCTTATCGCCCTTTAGTTTTAAAGCGCAGTCTATGTCGCCTAGTATCACCTTTCTTAACTAGAATTCGTTGCTCTTGTCTACATGCTAGTTGAGGAAGACGTTGTTGGGCTTTATATCTAAGAGTTGTTGGTTAGCTGACTAGTAATTTCAGACGATGAAAGATTAATTGGCGGATTGTACCTAGATAAATCTAATTCTTCGTGTGTATATTGTTTAATGCTAGTCCGACCTCCTTTAGTATCGCCTATATTGCTTTTACGGGGAGCTTAGGGTAATTTGAAACTAATGAAAATAGATTAGTTCTGTAGCACTCACAAATAAGAGTATTTCTTTGGTCGTAGTAGTCTATATGGTTCCGTATTTAGTTGTTGTTATTAAACTTGGTTTTGAACTCTTGCAAGAAATCAAAGATTGATTGAGAGACAGGCTTGAGAACGAAGAGCTTGCTATCGTAGCTGAAATGGGGATGATTGTTAATCAAGTTTGTCTATTCAAGAGCTTGCAAAACAACATCTATGCATGTGGAGGCTTTACCTTCCGAGGTGGATGTTAAGTTCCGGCTTGGTGTGATACTTTTGCAGTATTCCACGGCGCACATATTCGCGCCCGGATTGACCGACGAGTGTCGAGACCGTCCTAGTAGCTTTGCAGATACGATGACGGCCAAGAATCACTGACATGATGTGGGTAATCTACCGAGATATTGATTATGGTAGTGGTGTAAATAGAGAGAAGTTGAGCGGTCCGATGGATTACTTTGTCAAGCGTCAGGGCTAGCCTCATGGCAAAGACAGTACCGTATGATGATAAAGTCATCGTCAGGAGCGGAGGCTGGTTTGGCGAAGGAGTTTTATGAAAATACGCATCCCACCTCCTCGAAAAGTAAGAACAAAAAGGACACTTAGTTCTCATAGTTCACAACTCCGTACCAGTCCAGTCTCAATCGATCCACAAATCTACACCCACGCCCTTTAGCGCATCCACAGCCCACTTTGGATAGTTTTCCTTGTCTCCACTGTACAGCTTACTAAAGAACCCCTTTACAAACTGCGGATATTGATCCTCCGTGATAGCGTCTCTCACCAGCCTCATCAGGTTCAACTGGTAATGCACATTATGCATGGTGAGGAGATGTGCTCCAGCAGTTTCTTTGGCAGTGACATGGTAGACGTATGCGCGTGTGATACCGAGGCCGCCTTCGGAGATGGGGCGGCAACAAGTGCAGTTGCAGCCTTCTTCGATCGGACCAAAGTCTTCGGAGTACATGGCGTTACGGAGGTTAACGGTGCCACGGGCGGTGATGGCATTGCCAAAACGCTGTTTAGTCAGTATGAATGGAGAGGAGGGGGTAGTAGAGGCTTACGGCGGTTCTAGTGGGCCATACACAATCGAACATGTCTGCACCGAGTGCAACAGAGACAACCAAGTCTTCGGGGTAGCCCTGGGCTAGTCAGCGCGTCATTCGCTGTTGCACATGGAGTTCTACGTACAACGCCCATGACATAGCGTGGTTTCTTCTCAGGTAGTAACTCGGTGCATGTCTTGACGACGTTGCAATATGATTCTTTCTCCTCACCACCAGAAAGTCCCCCGATAGCGATTCCTGGCGTATCTCGGGCGACCATCTCGGCGGTACACTCTCTCCGCATCTCAAGATCAAGCCCTCCTTGAATGATGCAGAATAGGTTTTGTCGCTCCGGGTACTTGTGTGCCTGTATACATCGGTCTAACCAGCGAACTGAACGCTCCATGGCCTCCTTCATGCGCGCATGGTCAGGCGAGGTCGTAGCAATAACGTCATCCAATTGCATGATGATATCTGAGCCGATTGAGTTTTGGAGAGAGATGGAGTGTTCGGGCGTGAGCAACATGGGCGAGCCATCATGAGGGCTGAGAAAGCGCACACCTTCTTCCGTCACTTTTGCGAGTTTGAGTAGCGACACCATCTGGAAGCTGGCATTTGCGTCAGCTGGAGATCGTTCTGGGAGGAAGTTGGAAGCATCACCCACCCACCACTATCTGCAGCAGTCAGCACTTCCGTCTCTTTTTCCAAACATCTTGTTTAGCTGGCACCTGTGAGGATATTGTGTGGCCATGACTGGAGCTTATGCGCGCCGCCTATTGCATCGAGGGTTGCCTGGCCCGGCTTAAGACCTCTCCTACATGTCAGCATTGGCTGGCATGTAAGTGAGAGGGCTTCCATACAAGTGGTAGGTATTGTTTAAGCATAGCCGACATCCTTGGTCTTCTAGTTGGTCCGGTGTGAGGCCCTTGAGTGAGGCTTGAGTCGCGACAGGCATGAAGATGGGGAGGGGCACTGGGCCATGCGGCAAGTGCAATGTTGCAGCACGCGCCCTCGTGACCTGGCTATGTTAATCATTGCAAACTGAATAATCTGGGTACCCCCTACTGAGCATTTTCCCAGGAGCTCAAAAGTGAGCGCTGACGGCATTGACACGGGCGCCATGATGGGTTCGGGAAATAGATCGCGTCTTCAGCCGATCGTGACACCGAGAAGGCGGGTGCGGCCCATTCGCTTAGCGCGACGACGTCATCTTCGCTCTCGACAATCTCCCTCAATCACGTCAGCGCACTCTAATTGATATCATCACGATTCAAAAAGCCAGAAATTCGCACGGCTGATCTAGTCTTAGGTAACATGAACTGCCTCAGAATCTCGGTATTTTGACCAAACCATCTCTGGACAGCCACACCTACTTTTCCAGGTAAAGCATTCCTACCATGATACGCAGGAGCCATGTAACAGTGGACTACATCACCAGTATTCAGTTCTTTAAATTTGAGGTTTTACTTCCTTCCGGGGAATGCAATCATTTCGCAGCATTTTTGTAGCTGAAGTTTGGTTCGCTTCTGGACTGTACCATGATACCAAGTGCGCACGACTCTCTATGTCACAAAAGAAGTTACAATATTACAATACATGCACTTCATTTCTCAATCAAGCAATAGTTTATCCGGAATGGAACCACGCAGAATCTCCGTCGTTGGAGTTTCTCAGATACCACGTCTGCGATGTGATTTGCATCACCCATCTATGCAACACTTCCCAGAACAGCCAGTGCCGCGGTATGAGCCGGAGATTACTATCTCAGTCCAGGTATTAAGTGAGACTCCAATGTTGGATTTGGGGCGTCGCTTTAATCTTCTTGGAAGTTATCTGGAAGCGGTAGTCTTGGGTAAGATCCTGGGCCGACTGTATCACAGTTCAGGGAAGCTATCAGCGACACCTCTATGAAACGAGATAACTGCTTGGTGAGTGGTTTTCTAATATGGCTCCAATCAGATTTTCGCATTATTGTGCAAGCGATCGCTTCTGAAGTGATCCACTGTAATTGTTTGGGAGCGGTGGATATGGGAGTCGTTCTAGTGTGGACAATTGTACTATGGTACGAATGTCCTCGCATGCAAGCTAAGAATTTGTAAGTTCTCAAAAAGTATGAATTCCCTTTCTAAACCCGACACTCAAGAAGAATATAATGTATCACAGAGTACTACGACAGTCAAGCCTGCAAACCAAGAGTATATCTTCTTCCAGAAAAAAGCATATCGAGCTATCCACACAACACTATACTCTCGTATCCCCACCCTAAACAAACAACCATGTCTCTTGTCCGGACTCTCATCACCACCCTCCTCCTCACACCCTCCCTCGCCCTCCCACTCAGCCCTTGGCACAGACCATTCCAGGGCGACGGCTTCCCACTCATCCCCTGGTACAGAGTTTTCAGAGACGATGGCTCGCCCTCAGCCGGGTGGCCTGCCCAAGAAGACTGGCTCCCTTTCGACGACGCCTGGCTCGTAGCCCTCCCTCAAATCGGTAACTCGTGCTACAACAACGGCTGGGGTCCAAATAACACACCCACCGAGTCTCTGGCCTCGCGATCCTCCATCCTATCCACCGCAACCAAGTCCTCCATTCCCGCCGAGTTCATCCTCGTAATCATCATGCAGGAAAGTCGAGACTGTGTTCGCGCGCCTACCACCGAGTATGCTGGAAACCAGAACCCAGGACTCATGCAGACAGCTGGACATGCTAGCTGCCATCCTTCCAACGCGGAGCCCATGTCACAGTGCCCGAATAACATGATCGGTGATATGATCAACGAAGGCACCATGGGACGGGGTTTGGGTATGAATTTGAGAGACGCACTGAGTGCGTTCAATGATGAGGGCGCGACAAAGTACTATAAAGCTGCTCGCCGCTACAACCCCGGCGCCGGCGTCACGTCCATGGATATGGGTGTGGGAAGCACGCCTTGCTATGCCAGCGATGTTGCGAATTGGCTTGTTGGCGGCATGTACAGCCGAGACGGGAAGACTGGGTGTGATAATGCGAGCGTGAGATTGTGATTTTGGTGTTTGGGATTGCAGTGTCACTGGTCCGGTGAATAACTGTACTGAGTCTTATGTAATATGTAGCATCGAGATGTGTAGGGATCTTTTACTATAGTTTGGGAGCCTATTGCACCTCAATACGCTGTTGAAGGAGGAGGATTGTAGTAATTTGTGGGCGTGTATTGTTGTACTCTGGGCCCTCTAGGTGTTATTTTGCTTTATGAATAGAGAAAACTATATTCGCTCCATCAACGTGTCCGATACAATATCAACTTTCTATCCTCCACCTATCTCCATATCACACTTTACCCACAACCGGTGCATAGCCCCACGCTAACCCCATAAGTACTAGCGTCACTCCACCATACAAACCTCACAACCCATTCACCCCCATCACCTCTTCTCTCTACACATCAAAATGTCCCAACTACCCCCACCATCCTCCCGCCCCAAAGTCGGCGTAGCAGCCATCATCCTCTCCCCTGCCTCCCTCCCAAACACCACCCCATCAATCCTAACATCAACCCGCCTCTCTTCCCACGGCGCCGGCACCCTACAACTCCCCGGTGGCCACCTCGAGCACGGGGAATCCTTTTCTGAAACCGCAATTCGCGAGGTGAAAGAAGAAACGGGGTTGGAAGTGGGTAAGGTACGATTCCTGACGGCGACGAATGATGTTTTTCCCGCCGAGGGAGGGGGTGATGGGGCGGGGAAGCATTATGTGACGATTTTTGTGGTTTGTGAAATTGTTGGGGGGGATGGTGTGCCTGTTGTATGTTTCCTGCCTATCTATGCATTCTCTTTTACTATTTGGCTTGTTCACATAATTCACTCCCCGCACGATTTCAAACAAACACCCTTTCTAATCATGTAGCAGACGATGGAGCCCACAAAATCCAGCCCCTGGACCTGGACACACTGGTCTACAATGTGGGAATGGGCAGGTGCGCAGGCAACTGCTGAAGACAGCGGGAAACCTTTACCAGAAGGACAACAGAAACTGTTTTTGCCGCTTGTGAATTTGTGGCGGGAGAGAAAGGAACTGACAGGTGGACCGGTGATAGCGACGGCAGGGAAAAGCTAGAGTGGAGAGAGGCATGGGGATAGGGATAAAGACGCGTCCAATGGCTAGACTTTGACAAACAGTAAAGCGTACGTGAAGCATACAATACCTACCTCCAAAGATATCTAAGGGACATGTCAGACAGATACACTAGCACATAGACAACATTACATCACCATATGCATAGACTAAGCCAAAACACGTTCATCTGGTAACATATTATTCAAGACAAAGACACCTCTGGTACCGTACTATCCAAGATTATCCAAGATAGACACACCAAAAATGCATGCCGTCATGCTAGTCAACCTATCAAAATAAAAAAACACACGGCGCGACTTCCTCCCACCCTGTCCTTCACCCATACGCGACAAACACTCTACTTCCACCCACTCAAACCAGCCCAGGGGTCATTCGCTCCTCCCTGGTTCTGCCCCCCTTGTCTCTGCGGCGCCGCGTAACCACCCGGCCCACTCGGGTAACCCCCCTGGCTAAAGTGGCTGTAGTCTTGCTGATGACTTGGTGGCGGCCCCGGTGGAGGCGGCGGCGGGACGTAGCCCTGTGGTAATGGCTGTGAGGCACCACCCCATTGCTGTGGTTGAGCAGGGGGTTGACCCCACGGCTGCTGCTGCTGTGAGTGTGGAGGGGAGAAGAATTGTTGGTGTGCTGGGGGTGAAGTTGGGTTGTATTGGTTGTGGGCTGCTGGATTGTAGCCGGAGGAGGACTGTGAGTTTTGGGCTTGGTGCGAGGGGTATTGTTGCTGTTGTTGGTAGCTTTCTCGTCGGGGTGGCGCGGATTGGTTATAGCCGTTTGATGGCTGACCGTAGGATTGCTGGGGAGAGGCATATTGCTGGCTTGGTGCTGTTGTCATGGGGTAGCGTGGTGTGACGGGTGGTGAAGCTGCGGGGTTGTATGCGGGATGGCTACTACCTGATGTCGAAGGATAGCCTGGTGTGGAAGAGAGAGGTGCTGGGATACTCTTCTTGCGGCCCCCGCCTTGCGACACTGGCGACCCTGAAGGCTCCATTGACATTCTCTCCATCAGCTCCTTCATCCTTTGCTGCTCTTGATCTGCACCTTGCGCCTTGTTGCGCTCCTCAATATTGTTCAGTAACTGTGCACCTTCTGTTCGCCTGTTGTGGACGAATGTCTGTACATTCTGTTGAAGGCTGGATACAGTGTCCTTCATCTCCGAGTAAAAGCTTTGGGCGCGTGTCAACCCAGCAACAAGGTCATTGAAAAGATGGTACACCCTCCGGTATTTTGTCATGACTGTGTTTCGCTGTCTTGAAAAGGCTTCGTATTTGCTCTGCTCCGATCGTACGCGCTTGTCCTTGAGAAGATCAGAATATGTGCGTGTGAGCTCTTTGAGCAGTGACGATTGTTTGTGGTTGGCTTGTAGTATGCGGTTCTGGTGTGGTCGGAACTTCTCCAGCTCAGCCTTGAACAACTGTGATTCCTGGTTTGCAATGGCTTTCTTGTTAAGAATCAAAACGTTGGAAATGTCGTCGGAGTGAACCTAGAAAAGTTAGTACGTTGCGTGCTTCCTCAATGACTACACATACCTTGTCTTTGAGATCCTTGAGTATCTGCGTCCTCTCCTTCTTAACAAGGTTCAACTTCCGCAAGATATCCTCGACAGCACCAATCTGGTGTGTAACAGAAGGGCCTTCGTCAATGTCGTCATCAATAAGGCTACCCTCCATCGGCCTGGGGCTCTTTCCTTTGCTCGCTCCCGCCTTGACCATGGCTCTTGAGTACAATACGTCGGCTTCGTCGGTCTCGCCAGCTGATCGCATCTCGTCAAAGTCGGCTTCGCATTGTCGAAAGGTGCTGTAGAGCTGGGCATCACTAGTACTTGCTTCCTCGACCGCTCCCCGGTAGTTTCGGATGTCGCTTCGGAGTGTAGAGGTTAACCGTGAGCTAGGCTGCTGGGTCCATTCCGGTCCGTATTTGGACCTCATCTTCTCACAGACACTCTCCTCCATATCTAGCTGCTTCATACTCGAATCGAGGGAGGTGATAATCTCGGACTTGTCTCTTTCTAGCTGCTCAAACGCGGGGCCAAACGATTGGTGTCCAGCAAGCTCCTCACACCACTTTCGGAAATCGCTGTCGACCATCATATCTTGGTCCATGCCCCCACGTAGCACGTTAAGGCTGTCGGGTAGTTTCAAATAGTCAAGACTAGCGGCCATTTCATCGTTGGCCACTTCGACCCGCTCACTCTCTGCACGTATCAGTTTCGCCTTCTCTTCGTCGTACAAACTCGCCGACTCAGTGACTGCAAGCGGTACAATCTTCTGGAAGATGTCCGGCCCAATTATTCTCTGAATGTCCTGGCCTTGGTATAATTCGCTAACAGGTATCGCCTTGGCCGCCGGCAGTTTCGGTACCTGTGTGAGCGCAGCTTCGTTCGGGATTCCCTGATGGTAGATAAAATCGTTATCTTTGGAAAGTTCAGCCAGCTTTTCCTGCACGTTTGCCAGATGTTTTTTCGTCATGTCCGATAGAATACCCCCAGTCTCGGAAGTCAGATTCGAGTTGGCTGGCGCGTTGTTGGGGAAGCTGTGAGCTGCTCGGTTGGCGTCTTTTGCATGCGCTTCGGCGACTTGTAGTCTGCAAATGGCTACTCCGTGTGAGTTTGCGTCGTCATCAGCAAGAGCCTGATAGTACTGGGCTAACGAAGCCATGTGGTGCGATTTAATCTGTGCAATGTCAGTCTCTACTTTGATAGTGATTACGGGCTACTCACCTGGCAAACCAAGAGCCACACTTTCTCAAAAACGGCATTTGTGACATTCTCCTGCGCGCCTTCTGTAGCTTGAGTGTACAAGAATGCTGCCTGGCTGGCCAGTTTCGCCAGCAATCCAACCTTCTTGCCATCTGCAATCTGCTTCTCCAGAAACACTTCTTGCGCCTGTGCCAGCATAATCGCTATGAGAGTCTTGACAGTCTCACGACTCAGATCGGTCGAGGGTGCGTGTAGGAAGTTCTCGTTGATGTATGTGAACATGCCGGCGGATGCCTGGAAGGAGTGGTATGATGTCTTGAGTCCGACGTCTTCGTGGCGGTTCTGGTGCGCGGCGTGGCAGGAGAGAACGGCGGAGATATTGAAGATGATGGATGCCTTCTCGTATGCGAGCGAGTATTGCGACGTGGCTTTGTGTGTAAAGGCATCGAACCTGTGCTTAGTTAGCCTGCGTCCCTCCTTGCTCCTGTATCCTCCGTTGCAGTCGCATGCAGACCTACCATGTGAAGCTAATCTTGATATGATTCTCATCCACCGGGAATCTCAAGTCGAGTAGTTCCAGCTGTCCATAGTATCTGTACAGCAGATCCCTCCCCGCCGCACTGTCCTTACCCGCACCCCTCATATCCTGCCGTAGTCGGTTTAACGTGGCGCATTCTTCCGAGTAACGCTCTGGATCGTCACCATACGTCGCTCTTATATACTGCTTCAGCGGGGCTATCCAGTCGATTTCTTGTGTCTGCTTCAGCGGCACCGAGATCATCGGGATTTGTGTCGTCATCTTGGGCAATGCTGTACTTGCCACGGCAGGGCGCGCTTTGTGGAGAGGTATGGTCGCGAGTTAATTTCGCGAGTGTAGGGTTATCGCGAGTGAAAGTTGGTCGCACTTGCCGTACGGTACCAGCGATGACAGCGTGGGCAAGCGACTACAACCCAGGCAGGCGCCAACGCGTGAAGTGGGCAATCGTGGTGCTGGTGGCTTCTACAGCACTAGTCGCACCTTCTAGAACACGTTGTTTCTGCAGGTTATTGCTTCTTCAAGGTAGTCGGGGCAGCGGCGTCGAAGTGGTCATGGATATGCACAGCGGGTAGATGACGGGATGATGCGTTGGCCTGAGGCCGTGGCTGGACACCTAAATCAGTCGTTCGCCGGGAACCAAACTCTGCATGAGGCCACCGTGTGGTCAGCTCAGCGCTCACTTTTGAAAATATCGCGGCGGCGGGGCGTATGAGCATGTGATGGTTGCTGAGAGGCGTGTACGGGAGTTGTCTGGGTAAGCTCGAAGACGTGGGTGGGGCAGCGTGAAGCAATGCAGGCACACAAGCAACCTCACACCCCTCACACCAATCCCATCACGTATGCGCCAAAAGGTGGCATACGCTCTGCTCAATTCGCTCCCACCGTCCGCCAGAGCCTAAGGCAAACCTCGTGGATCTTGCAGATATGCGGCTCGCGCCCGCCAATGGTGTGGGCAGAAGCGTCGCGTCGCTACGCGCCCGATATATTGGTCACGGAGCTAGTGAGTGATGCATCATGGACATGCGTAACCATAGCAAGTTAGTGAATGTAATCGTAAACTACGTAATATTATACAAGCCGAGTCGAGAGGCCTCTTACAAACTCTTCATACATCAATGCCAAAACCATCTACAGAATACGCCGTCATAATGCTACCAAATGTCTTCCTGGACACGGTCATGTCGCCTCGTGACACCCTTTTACGCCGGCCCTGTTATACAACATTTCATTCATAACACCTGCTTAGCCAGACCCCCTCTTCTTCTCATCCTCTTCCGCCTTGCGCCTCTCCTCGGGGTCTAGGTGCCTGTGCTGCCCTGTCAGGTTGTGCCAGGCGCTCTTCAAGAAGCCCTCGTTTTCATGTCCGCTCATGGGGTTCCCCGCTGAGTCCTTGGTCTTGCCTGGGTTGATCACTCGCTGTGCGTTCTTGTCTCCCATTTCATCTGCCAGCATTTCCAAGATGGTGCGCTGGTTGACACTGAGGTACTTGGGCATGTTGACCTTGAACTCTACGCGCAAGTCACCCTTGCCATTGCGCCGGCCAGTCAATTGTTTCATGCCCATGCCTGATAGCGTGACGTGGTCGCCGGTTCCTGAGCCTGTGGGTACTTTAACCTTGACTTCGCCGTCTAGCGTCGGGACCTTGATCTCGCCTCCCAGTACGGCCGTAGTGAGTGGAATAGTTGCGGTGTGTAGGATATCAGAGCCGCTGCGTCTGAACTTGGAGTCGGCGGCTACACGGATAAGCACGTAGAGGTCTCCCTTTTGGCCGCGAATAGTTCCGGAAGACATGGCTTGGCCAGTGAGTGGTGCATCTCCCTCGCCGTTGACGCGCAGCCGCATGCCGTCGTCTACACCACCAGGTATGTCGATTGTGATGGTCTTTCGTTCCTTGACCGCGCCATCGCCTCCGCAAGTGCCACAAGACGAACCCCGGGGTATCGCAAATCCAGATCCGCCGCAGGATGAACAGGTTGCGCTCATGTGGAAGCCGCCCATGCTTGTTACCCGTTGCCCACTGCCTCCACAGCTCTTGCACTCTGCTCTCTTTGCGCCCTGCTTCAACCCACTGCCGTTACATGTTCCGCATTCTGTCATGGGCGTAACGTATATGTCCTTTTTAACACCTCTCGCCGCATCCAAGAATGAGATGTTTGTTTGTACTTCGATATCGTCACCCACCATGACCGACTCTTGCTGAAATGGGTTCCGTCCCCCACCGCCACCTCTTCCTCTTCTGCCTCCAGTGAAAGCACCGAATAGATCCTCAAAATTGATGTCCTGGAACCCCCCCGCACCTTGAGCGCCACCGAACCCACCAAAACCACCGAAGCCTCCTCCAAAGCCTCCCCCAAACGGATTTCCTCCAGGCCCTCCCGCAGAAGCCCCAGGGTTGAAGCCACCATTTGCATCAAAGGCGCCGGCGCCATAGGAATCAAAGGCCTTTTTTTTCTCCGCGTCTGACAGGATTTCGTATGCGGACTGCGCAGCAGCAAACTTTTCCTTTGCACCGGCTTCCTTATTTGTATCGGGATGGTATTTCTTCGCCATGCCATAGTAGGCTTTCTTGATGTCGGCGGCAGAGGCGTTTTTGCTGACTCCGAGCGTCTGGTATGGATCGGCCATGGCGGACGATGGAGGGGAAGCATGGAAGAACTAATGGCATGTTAGTAGAGCCTCACTGTACATTATGGGGAAACATACTCGTATTGACTGCGCATTCTGCTGTCTTTGCGCAACCGAAGGTCTTCGCGATTGTGCTCTCGATGCTTGTGTTGCGATACATCGTCGTTGACATCTCGCGAATGACGTCGAGCCGGCGATGCGTACAGGAGCCACCGCCTTGAGTGGGAGCGCACCAGCGAAACTCATTGTACAAGATTTTCAGGTAGTATTAATCAACGTGGTGTTGCTACGCTGTGCTCTTCTCTCCGATTTCGACTCTGATGTTTCCCGGCAATTGACAACTTTTTGCGGGCACGGGCCGGTGACGCACTTTGATTGGCCTGCCTCGGCAATGAGCGCGTCGAATCTTCGAGAGAGTTACGACGCGATCTCCGCTCTCGCAAGGATTGGTCAGGATATCTGAATCAGACTGAATGCAGCAAAGACGCAAATACTGTAGTTTAGCAAGAGTCAGTACACTACGTCTTCTTCTTCTCGTTGCCATACGCAGGCGAACACGCCACAACAACACCAAAATGCGCGCCTTGCCACCGATATACGGCTCAAATCGTTATATTACCAAATACTCATTATCAACAATGCTCATGTCTATACATGTTGTCGCGCCTTGTATGTAAGGACCCGAACGATGCAGCCGCCAATCGGCACCGTAATGCATAGCGTTTCCCAGTCATGACCTGGCCAGTATCCCAAAACGCCTGCTGAATGCTCATATCCCATAATGTATGTAAAGGTCGCGGTCCGTCGCCAAAGAGGGGTATCGTCGAAAAAGAAGCCGAAATGCAGCAATGTGTGTGCGAAGTCATCAAGTCACTTGCGATGGGGGGCGAACCGTACCCTAAACTCCTTGTCTGTTGGATGTGTTAGCAACATGGCGGTGATGAGGCTGTAGTCTGGCCTACCCTGGTGTTTCGACTTGTATAACCAGTCGACGATTACGTCGCTCTCCGTAACAGCTTGCGAGTTGAAGCTCTTCTTAACAGCCAAGCCTAGCTGGTCCTTGTGCACGCGTCGCTTCGCTTTTGGTCGCGCCATAGTTGGCGACATGCGTCCAATGCCTTGGTTCAACACGACGTGGCTGAGCGGGTTCTTGAAGCTCGACGGGCAGTCAAGGCGGTAGGCGCGTCGGTAGCCGTGAAGTACCGTGGAGTCCTGAGACGACCATTTGATCTATTTGGCAAGGCGCCTGTCAGCGATCGAGGGTTCCATGTGAGATAGGGTGAGGATGTGCGCGACTAACATTTCCAGATGAACTGACGTCGGTCGAAGTCTGTCCACTATTGGTAGAGGCATTGTCCACCTCCTTGAGGCCACTGCCATTCATAACGTTGACACCATTGTTTCGTCTCCCGCCCCGCGCGTTGGGGCCTTGGAGGCTCTGCAGTTTGTCCTTTAGTGAGGCGTGCGCCTCGTCGTTGGTGTGAGTGCGTTTCGGCGGCATTATCGAGACCCAATGGTCGGCTTGACGGGCAGAAAAAAGCAGTGATGCTTCGTGTGAAGCTGGCAAGGCGTCGTCAGAGATTCGCAATGTTTGAACATGCGGTGTCGAGTCCTAATCGCCTCGAGAGGAGAACAAAATGACAGCCCAGGGCCCAAGCGTAAATGACGTTGGCGTACATCTCGTCAGGGTCCTTCCTTCTCCGAGGTCCCTTCCCCTGCATTAGACTAGCATGCCAAAGCAGACAATAAGACAAAGTAATAAGCACAAGACGGCCCAGACAGCATCCAGTGTTGCTCTGTATTACGATTGACCGCTTTCGCAAACATTACACAACTTTGTCTTTTCCCATCCAACGCGCCGTCGCGCTGTCGCGTGCGTCGCGTGTCGCTTCGGCTTCCCCTCATCCCGGTCACTCATTCGCCTATGGCAATTCGCTCGACGCTGGAAGCACCAGCATTGCCTGTCTATAGGATGCACGTTGTAATTCGAGTGAAAACCTTGGTTCGTGATCCTCACAGTCCCTCGCATAGAGGAAAGCGTAAGCCTGCGTGGAGACCATCTCTTAGACATTAGCAGACGGTGACCTTTTGACGGTGAAGCAAGTGGATACCAGGCCATTGGTCGCGCGCATCGCCGGAGCATAGCCGTGGACAAGGTAAGCGCGGGGCACAAGCCGTGAGGAACCGATAAGCGAGTGAAAGAGCAGCCTGTAGTTGCGGGCGAGATCAGTTTATAAAGGAAGAGTAGGCGCTGTTGAGTTGCGAGGCCTAGGACTTCGGCACCGGACATCCGTATGATGATGCAATCAGCTCAAGCTGGCACTGAGCGGAATGGACGCGTAGTACTGGAGAGGCAACAGGCGAAGAGTTAGTCTGTAAAGCTGCTTCGGTCGGATTGGTAGAGTAATAGGTACAGTGTGTGCAGACTGGCTATCATGGAAATATGAAGGTCCGTGCATGACACAAATGGAAAGAGCAGACAGGACTGAGACTCCCGACATGCCTACCAACCCTCAATGAACCACAGGGCTCTGCAAATGCCGTGGAACCGCAATTCTTCTTTCCCAAATAGTATGCCGTCGAAGCACGCTCACGTGATCATACTGTAGCTGTCTGACAAGATGCACTGCGGTTCTCCAGTTGGGACGAACTTTACCTCACCAAAGCTCACCACCAAAAGCTACCACGGCGAGGTCGTTTCTCTCACCTCAGGTAGCAATGGAGCCACCTCTAAGCTACCGCCTCCATGTCCACCATAGTGAGAGACCAGTATTCTGTATATAAACAACTCTTCTGGTTTGTCAATCATCTCTCCTACCATCTGCTCTACAATATCACACATCAACACAGTAAGTTCAGTTGCACTACTCTCACAACACCTCAGTCATCCCCATCACGATACCAACTTCAACGTTCTATAAGGCCTCGACTCCGGCACAGTCACTCACCACATGAATCCCGCTGTCAACGCATTCGCCCCGAACATCACTCGGCAGACCGGTATAGCCCACCAGGTGAGCATCTCTCCCTATCCATACCTTGAGGCCCGCATCCTCAACCTCGAGGAGGGACATGTAAGCCTGTATGAAGACATCAATCTCCTCCGAGAGATGATTCACGGGCTCTCTTCCTCCGTTCAAATTCTGGAGAAGGGTGGCTGGCCAGTGCATGTCGGACCATCCCAACTGGACCTCAAGAAGTCACACCGCGATGCTACAGAGCTCAAGATGGAGCTAGAGAAGCTCAAACTTGAGGTCACGCAGTCACTGGACGGTAGTGCTGACGCGCAAAAGGCGAACGGTATGACTACTTCAAAATCTACAGGCAGTGTGCCTCCTCATCTCAGGGCGTCCAATGTCAAAGTTGCCCCAAAGGCGAACAGCATGGCGACTCCCAAGACTGCAGGCAGTGTGACCAGCAACGGTACTGTCAAGAAGTCTCTTCCACCACACCTGCGCAACAAGAAGGTTGAGGTCGGCAATGACAACAGGTAGGCAGAAGATCTTTGGTACGTCATGGTGACTCCAACCTGATATATATATATAGTACTCCGGAGCAGGTTGCCGACTCTATAGCAAACAGTCCTCTTGCTACAGATGGCCAAGTTGATCCCGGTTCCAACAGTGTTTCGACCCCAATGCCAACCGCGTCTACTCCGTCTAAGACTGCCGATCAAAAGCTGCCAACATCTGCCGGAGACAACCAGCAGGAGTGGAAGCCATACCACCTTATGACTATCGCCGCGTTCCAAGGCCGGATCCCTTCAGGCGATGCAACAGTCACCTTCCATCCCGATTTCCTTGACAACATCTTGGGTGGAGCGCCCTGGTCACCTGGTCTGCGCTTTGTTCAAGGCAAAGGTCCTTGTCTCTTAAAGAACCGTACCTACTATCAACTCGACCCGGAGAATGATCCTTATCTCCCCAAGACTGCAGGAGAGCACGGCGCGAAGCTTACGGCATTCTTCAACGAGTCCCCCCAAGACGCATTCCCCCACCTTGTGGACTCCGACTTCTACGAGGATGTGCCTATGTTCGTTCTCGTAGGTAAACGCTACGTATACTACGGCAACTATTCCCAGACGCGCTGGTCCGACAAGCTGGACCATGATACGATGGCGACCAAGGTTCTACAGTCAGTCAAGGAGTTCTGGGCCGAAGAGCTCACCTCATCGACTCGCGAGAAGTGGGTCACCGAGGAGCTCAAGAAGCACTTCTTCCCCAAGCCCCAGTACGAGGGTCGCCTCTTCGCTGTGGCTGATAACGATACTACTGTCGATACTGAAGAGGACAACAAGCTCACTGAGAAGATGGTAAAAGATATACACAAGTATGCTCAGTCACTGCGTGTGTGGGAGCGCGACGCCAACATGAAGACCGCCATGATCAAGAAGCAGTTCATTCTCGACTCGTTCAATGCAGTAAGTGAACCGCCCATCCTGTATTTACCCAGATCACCTTTTCTGACCAATCGCAGTCTGACATGGACGAGCCGCCGGCGCTTCGTCTCTGGTGGGAGTACCTCGAGTGCGTCGGTTGGAAGAAGGACTTCTATGACCTTCTCGTCATCCTCCAGAAACGCGATGCAAAGAGCTACCTCCCCTGAGCCCGCATTGCGCGTATGTGTAGGCTTTTGCATTGCTCATTCATGGAAACAGCATACGGTCGACAGCACATGGGTATACCACGCACCCACCCGGTAGGCGTCGGGTTGGTACATGGCCATCTAGCTCATCTTCCGAGCTTGATACTTGTGTTCTCTATTCTTTTATTCTTGACTGCTTTCTTCATTCTGTCATATCCCGGGAAATTGGCGACATCATTTACTTCATCATATACTCAACTTGGACCTTGAGAAGGTTACTAGGCCTGGGTAGCATGTAAAAGTCTTATCTCTTTCTTGATCAATTATATCATATCTCATTGCGCAAATAGTTCGGTGAGACACTCTCCATGGCTACCAGTTACTGTATTTTCTCGCATCTCGTTTGAGGTTACTTATCAATCCTGCAGCATATGATAGCTTCGGCGGTAAGAAATGCATCATGATGATTTCTTGCAGCTTCCGATCATGAAAAAGACCTTTGCGGTGACTTCCCCCGAGCCAGGAAATCGGGCAGCCTTCATCTATCGGCCTTTCACGCAACATCCACATTGATAATCCACGCGGTGACTTCCTTATCTCACAATGGGCATCAGTGCATCTACGCTATTGAACACTTTATTCTCTGGTCAGGCGATGCGCCGCCTCGTCGGATTTATCGGATATCCCGCCCCGGAACGTCGCCATTACTTCCACATTCTCACAAGACGTCTTCCATGAGTCGTGTGGGTTTAGGGAAGCCCCCGGTCACCGTTCGCGACTTCCGCCGCATAAGGGAGTAGTCGCAACCTGGGACTGCACGCGACGGCACAGAGCCAAGCTGCGCATCCGGGTGTTTCCTCCGTTTCATTAGACGTCGTCAATCTGTATCGGGCAGGCTTCTCCTCAATATGCAAGTTGACTCACAAAGTACGCGGTAACCAGGATGGAGATTTGATGAGTTGCAGCCACTCCAGGCATAAGCGAACGCCATTCGCCTTACAAGCCAGGGCTTTTAATACGGCTGACTGGAGGTACGTTTCAGTCGTTTTGGATCATGTTTACAGCTGATTTTTCACATAAAATCACTGTTGTTGATGTACGCCGTTGTCAGCACCGAGCCACTGATCGCAACAAAACAAAAGTCAAGCCTCGATTGCCCTACCCCACAGTCAAACAAGCACCGACGACAATGAAATAAGAAATGCTAGAGTATATGTGACCCACACCTCATATATCGAGCATCAAACTCTACCATCGTAGGTCACACGCTACCAACAGCCCCGCGGCTCACAACTCTCCGGCTATTAACACCCCTGCGCACTTCATCTACACAACCCCACAACGACTTTCACCTCGGTTTTCACTGACCATATTCCGCATTCATTCCCCGTTTTCATTGTTCACTTTCAAGTTCGATGTAACTTTCCCCAGATCTGGCCCGGTTACACAAGAATATCCGGAATCGGGGCTCCATATGGCTGTCACGGGCCATGAGCTTCACGGCTCCAGAGCCACGTCTGAGTGGATGTTGGGCTGAATTATTGGGCCTAATAGTCGAGGCGCGTCACGCGGCATGCGCTGATGAGGCCTCCTGGGATGGGAGAAAGGTATATGAAGGGGTGGTTTCTGTGAACTATATCACCCTTGGCACTCTCCAGCAACCTGAACACCATTAGATTTGATTGTAAAATTTCGATATTGTACAGGAAAGATGAAGTTCTCAACGGCACTGACAGTGGCTGCTTCGCTGGTTGCGACTACGACTGCACATGGAGGCGTTGACCAGTACATAGTCGGAGACACAACGTATCCAGGGTATGTATACTCATAGGGGATGATGACCATGCACTGACGGTATCTAGATGGTCACCATACAACTCACCGGGTAGTCAAAAGAGTATCCAACGACAATACTCATCGTATGACCCCTTGGTCATCAAGGATCTTACAGTGCGTCTCCCAGTCAGTGTGATACAGACAGAGACTGACTAGTGACAGACTGAAAACATTCGATGCAACAACAAAGGCGCTCTTGGTACTGGTTTGACAGGTACCATAGCCGCAGGAGCTGTTCTCAAGACACACTGGAAGCAATGGACCCATAGACCAACCTCCTTCCTGGTATACATGGCAAAGTGCCCTGGTAAATGTGACAGCTTTGACGGGTCCGGCAAGGTCTGGTGTAAGTACCCCATCGTCTACAGACCAGTACACTGCTAACGCAACCGTGCAGTCAAGATCTTCGAGCAAGGTCTGATATCCGGCACTGAGAACGCTGGCATCTGGGCCGGCGATGCCATCCTCGACACTCTCTACGCCAGCATCACTATTCCCGCCTCTCTCGCACCAGGTGACTACCTAATCCGCCACGAGCTCATCGCTGTACATCAAGCAAACAACCCACAGTGTATGTCCTCTATTTCCAGCACCACCCCCACGCTGACAAACCCCTTAGTCTACCCCGAATGCGCCCAATTCACCGTCACAGGCTCCGGCACCGCCTCCCCTCCTTCCTCCGCCCTTGTATCCTTCCCCGGCGCATACAGCAGCACAGACCCCGGTATCGCATTCAATATCGACTCTGATGCTGCGAAGAAGGCTACGTCGTACCCCATACCCGGTCCTGCTGTTTGGAACGGAGCTGGCGGTGGCGCGAGTGGTCCGGCTACGTCTTCCGTGCCGCCCGTTGATACGCCGAGTCCTACTACTATGGTGACTAGTGCGTCACCTGTGCCATCGGCGGCGCCGACTACTGCCCCATCGTGCGAAGTGGCAAGGTATGGACAGTGTGGTGGGAAAGGGTTTGGAGGCTGCACAACATGTGCTAATGGGAGTAAGTGTGTTGCTAACGGAGATTACTATAGTCAGTGCGTGTGAGGCTACTGCATTACCTATTTTCAAGCCAAATAAATTAAGAGTTGTGTTGTTTTGTACAGCCTGCGACATATTTTGTGCACGTGTATATCTGTGGTTGTTTATAGTGGGAAGGTATACCGTCTTTTCTCGATATTTTCTCTCCGTCGCGTTCAAAGTGAAACATACAAGTTTCAGATGCCTCCGTGTTTACAAGGTCGGTCGGTGCGATGGGGAAAAATGTACACTTATGCAGTAAGCTATCGATCCGTGTGCGGGTGTCCAATCGACTGCCGCCTTGGCGTCTGCTGTGCGATCATTGCCTTGTTTGATGCTGGACTTTGAACTTCAAACTTCACGACGCACAGATAGTCGCTCCTTCGGCATAACTCAGATTGCGGGAGGTGGGTAGTTGGATATGCTTGGTAATTGCTATGCTACGGTGCGATACACAACTAATTCGACTTCTAAGCAGCTAGAGCCATGACCTTTGCGAGGACTGCATCGTCGCTAAGCGAATCACCCTTGATCTTCTCATATGCAGGTGCGAGGATAGATTTCTCAATCTCTGTGAATTTGCCATCACTGGCGAAGATGAGGTCACCGTGGCGCGACTTGTCCACCATTAGGTAAGTAGCGACCTTTGCCACTACAGCAGGAGACTGGCAGTCCTCTGAGACTGCGGCGAGTAGATCCTTCAGGTTGGGCAGGACTTGTGTTGCCGTCCATGAGGGGGCGAGGGTGTTGACACGGATGGGTAGACCAGCTACCTCTACCAGACGAGCGAAACTCCTGCCGAAACCAATCACACCAGCCTTGGCCGTCGCTAGGATGGAGTTAGTCGAGAATTGGACATAATAAGCGATATAGACTTACAGTAATCGATGGCTCGGACGGGGTGTAGGCCAGTGCTGGATCCCATGATGACGATAGCTCCTTCGCTCTGAGTCTTCATGTAGTGAGTAGCTAGGGTGACGGTGTTGACAACACTGTTCAAGTTGATGTCGATGGTGTCAACATTTGGTTGCTTTGGGTCACCGTTCTCGTCAACCTCCAGAGACAAGAAGTCTCCGCGGGGACCAACGCCGGCATTGGCAAACACATAGTCAACCTTGCCATGCTTTTCCTTGGTAGCTTTGAAGAGATTGCCTAGGTCGCTCCATTGTCTGACGTCAGTCTGGACGAAGAGGCTGTCGGATATAGACGCGGGTGGTGCCTGAATGTCTCCATTCACAACTAGTGCGCCCAGAGACAACAATAGCTCAACCGTGGCGAGGCCGATGCCTGATGACCCACCTGGAAAGGGTCAGTTTTTGATTCAAAAATCCACACTGGGCAGAGATCAAGTACCCGTTATCACAGCAACCTTGCCCTTGACGGCTGTGAGATCGTTATCGTTGACCTGGATAGAAGTCATATTGAATATAATGGATAAATATGGATGAAGATGGATGGTTTGATGAAGACAGTTTGATGAGAGTTGATGAATAGAAAAAGCAAACAACATGCAGCGAACCAGGGAAAGATATGCACAACCTACCAACGCCTCTCCATACGGTCTCGACCAAACGCACGGATAGATGGACAAGGACGAGGCAAGAAGACGCGAAGATTAGCATCATGAGCTGGCACGGATCTAGAACCAAAAGCGGACTCTCAAACACGATCACGTACGAAAAAACCACGATCGGCATAAGGAGATATTTCCATCTCGCTACTGGCGTTGTTGCTGGCGGACCCAGTTTTTACGGCACAGCAAGAAGCTGGCGGCCGCGGCCTAACTGCCACTAAACTACGCCTCTTCAAGTGACAAGCGCCACCTCAACAGGGCGTGGTATATTCGCGAACTCGAAATTCAGCTCGTTACCTAACTGATTTTCATGCATTGCGATCGATTAGGTCCCCCTGGTACTGTAAGGTATCGGTTGGAATTCTCCGATGAATCTGTAAGGTGGCGGTAGCGTTGTGGAAATGTTGAATACGAGGGGATCGGTTCGTCCGCACATTGCCGATGTCTTGCCCTGTGCCGTAGTCGGGTTTCTGATGTAAACATCCTCGGGCCTTTTCAAGTTCCTGCCATTCCCGTCGTAAGAAAAACGTTCGCGAAAAGAATCCTAGTCCTGAACGTGGCTCAAACGGGCCGTTTGGAAGAGATTTCCATTGAGAGGGCTCGAGCGGCCGCGGTAGCGGTAGCAGAGGAGGATACTTGATAACGCATTTCGCTTAGGTTTGAGCGGAGTGCGGAGATTGCTTCGCGCTTAGGACGTCCTTTTGCGGAGGATTTCTTCCGCGGTGTTCCTTTGGGAAGGGATGGACAGGCTGGCTGCCTCTCGAACGACGGCCACCACCTGCACTATGCAGGGACTCGAAGAGGTAAACCTCCGAAAACGTGGGTACCCAAGGGATCTTACCTAGCTGCCGGCGCTAAGCATCATGTCGGGTCCAATGTAGACAATAGTAGGCACATGACAGGGAGGCATTGGGGTAGGCGGTATAGAAATTCGAAACAAAAGCCTGTCCGTACGCTTTGGGGTGCTGTGTGGGGGGCGCGGTATAGACAAGATGCCGTTAGGTCTCCTTTTGGGTGACGGTGGCGGTGGGAGGTTGCAAACGCGAGCCGTATAGATACGCGAGACTGGCTCTGTGGAGTGTTGCCTTGTTTCCCATCTCCTTCACTTTCGCTTTTCACCACACTCTTTACGAACCAAACCATCATCATGACCACCGTAGATGTGGCTGGAGACGGCGTGGCTTTGCTCTACTGCGCTATCGTCTTGTTAGTACTCTCCTGGATTTGCTTCAGCATGCGTGTTGGCGTCCGCATCTGGAGGAAGGCTTGGGGCATGGATGATTATCTGATGCTTCTTGGAATTGTCAGTATCTTCAACCAGGCAGCAGTGATCAGAACTAACCCATCGTAGATTCTCTTCTCCGTTACAGCTGCGCTGTGTATCGTTTGCTGCTACTATGGATCCGGTCAGCTTGCAAAGGACCTACCCCAGCTAACAATCATGAAAGGAGTCAAGGTACATCATGGCATATCCTATAGGGATGACCATTCTGGGTACTGACCAACTGCAGCTGTTCTACATTGCAGAATACTTCTATGCAGTCGGCGCCATGTTCATCAAGATCAGTGTTGCAGTGGCGCTCCTCCGTATCGCTGCCAACCGCAAGGCATTCCGATGGGGTCTTTGGGCTCTCATTGGAGCCACTGTTGTTGCTGCAGCTGTCTTCTGCATCGGCATCGCCAACATCTGTAAGTAGATCTGTTTCACGACTGGCATGCCAGTACTGACTGTTCACCAGGCCACCCGATCAACACCCTGTGGGGCGAGTCCAAGGGCACTTGCAACTTACAGCTCAATACCAATGTTAGTCTCTTCTACTCCGCCATCGAAATTGCGGCAGACTTTAGTCTATCGCTTCTGCCTGCTGTTCTACTTTGGAACGTCCAGATGAAGACGCGCGTCAAGAGCTCCGTCGCCGTTATGCTGGGCCTCGCTTCCTTGTGAGTACTGCACAGCTTGCCGAATACAACCTATTCTAACTCTTCTCCAGTGCCTCCTGTGCCACCATTGTCCGCCTCAAATACCTCACACTCTACAGCGACCCAGGCGAATTCATGTTTGGCACCGGCAAGATCGGTTTCTGGTCACTGACCGAGGAAGGCATTGGCATCATCGCCGGCTCCCTCCCCGCCCTGCGTCCCCTCCTCTCCCTCCGCATACGCGTCACTGTAGGCTCCAAGGAAGGTCAATCGGCAGAGAGACAATACCCATCCATCAGTGCCAATAGGCAGCCGTCAGGCCGCCCACGCGGCATACCCATGGACACCTTCCAGACGCTTGGCGATCACGACGACGTAGAGGGCAGCGATGGCGACAGCCAAAAGAACATTATGAAGGAAACAAAGTACGTTGTGACCTCGACTCCCGCTCTGGGACAAAACGTGAAGGAGTCAAGCTTCGTTTGACGGCCGCCATACCTGCGATTAGATACTGCTGTAGCTGCCAAATACCATCAACTGCAATAACAATTGAGCATGCTAGTCGTGGTTTGACTGCGACAATGATTGTGGTGGTGATCTCTGTGATGTGTTAGATACTATTGCAGACGACAAAGGGGTGCTTTATAGTCTGACTGTCAAGCAGTACCTACGATATGTTCGCTCGTATACCCCGAATTCTGCCAATAACCCGAGACATATAACCTTATGTTAGATGAACAAAGTTTCGCATCTACCGTGAAACTTCCCGCATGCTTATCTGACTACTACGTTAATGTAGATTCATGAAAGCGTACGTATACCAAGGTTCTCTCGGTATTCTCCAAGCTATGCTATTAGGTTCGGTAACGAGAGACGGTAGTACTTTGAAGTATGCGTCGCTCTGTCGGTTCTTCGGGAATGTACTCCCTAGCGACTCACGTGTGCGTTCTGATCCATGGCGCCACGACATTCACATATGAAATAACCCCTTTTGGTGCATCCGTATCCTTCCCGGTGGACTCTAAATCGCTGAGGAGGTCTTGGTAGCCGACTCAACTGCCTACTCAAAGTACCGCTCCACAACGATAGCCGAACCTTACAACAACCCACATGGCGCCCACTTACTCTCTGTTGGACTTTCCTTGTAGAGTTAGTCTACATTTCACTGTCGCAAAAACCTCCCTCTGCCAGCGTAAATGCAGTCACAAGAGCGCGTGTAGGGCGTCTACCCAGCAATTATCAGCACTAACTACGTCACGCGGCCACCCATCCGTCCCCATCCGAGTCGCAACTTCAACCTAAGGGCCCCAACCAAAAAGCAACAGGTCCTAGTGTCTCCACCCCGGCTACAACATACATTATATAATGAATCGCACAGTCATGTCTCGGGGCATAAGCATCAGCACTACAACTTTGCGCACCCTCGTATCCCCTTCTGTGTGGCGCGTACCTGTACGACTACGACCGTTTTCCTCGACAACAACCCCGCAGCAACAATTCGCCGATATGGATGCCGCGGCGTTTGGTGAACAGCACATTGCCAGGGGCATTGGCCGACTTACCAAGCACGTTTTCGAGGATGGGAAGGGTACGTGGATTACGACTGACAAGGGCGTCAAGCTGCTGGATATGACGGCGGGCATTGGAGTTGTGAACTTGGGCCATTGCCATCCCAAGGTCAGCGCCTGCGGCCGCAGCCCAATGCAGCAAGATTACGCATGCGCAGGTGAACATTGGGTTCAGTGCTGCGCAGATTGCATTGATTAGAGAATTGATTCCGATTCTGCCTCATGAGAGCCTGGATACAATATTCCTTTGGAACTCTGGCGCTGAGGCTGTGGAGGCGGCAGTCAAGTTGGCGAGGGCAGCCACGAAGAAGCCGAACATTATTGTTATGCAGGGCTCGTATCATGGCAGGACGAATGCGACTGCATCCATGACACGGAGCAAGACTATCTACGGTGAGGGTCATGGACCCCTCATGGGCGGTGTCTTTGCAACCGCGTTCCCTTACTACAGTCAATTCGGCCTTCCAGCCACCACCCCGACAGAGGAACTAGTCGAGCAGTCACTCCTACAGCTCAGACTCACACTCTCGCAACAAACAGCTCCCTCAGACACCGCAGCCATCATCCTGGAGCCCATCCTTGGTGAGGGAGGCTACGTTCCCGCACCCCCTGCCTTCCTCGCTGGTCTCCGCCAGGTCTGCGACGAACACAACATCCTACTCATCGCCGACGAGGTCCAGTCGGGCATGGGTCGCACCGGTCCCTACTGGGCTGTCCAGAACTCTGGTGTCCGGCCTGATATCCTCATCTTTGCAAAGGGTGTTGCTAATGGATTCCCTCTGTCTGGTATCGCGGCCAGCAAGAGCATCATGGATCTCCAGAAGCCGGGGTCTATGGGTGGAACTTATGCTGGTAACGCAGTTTCTTGCGCCGCTGCCACTGCTTGTATCAAGGCTTTCCGCGAGGAGAAGATTCTAGACAACGTCGCAAAGAGATCAGAGCAGATTTTCTCTTTCCTGAGGGACCTTCAGAAGAGCGGTTCCAAGGCAGGAAGTCTGATTGAAGATATCCGCGGCTCTGGTCTTATGGTTGGTGTGCAATTTGCCAATCCCGCACTGCAAAATGGCTCTTCAAACGTAGCAGCGAGACATGCGGGCAATCAGCCTCAGATTGCACCAAAGGTTGTACAAGAGTGCGTCAAGCGTGATATGCTTATCCTCAGCACATCGGTATTTGATGTTATTAGGTTTATTCCGCCGCTTAACATTAGCGAGGAGGAGATGACCAAGGGGTTGGGTATTTTCAAGGAGAGTCTTGAGGCTGTTGCTAAGGACTTGTAGGCTATTGGCCTTTTTTGGTTTTCCCTTGTTAGAGATGAACATATCATGAATGAACGATTATCCAAGTATTTCCAGGTGTCTCGGGCTTCTATCGGTAATGAGACGGAGGTTCTTTACAATATATTGCGTCACTGATATGGGCGTAAGTCGGGATGTGGGGTAAACCACCAATGCACTTGTAACGCCCTTCACGAACGGTATGTATCCTTCCGCTAATGTTACAGTGCTTATATCCCTTATCAAGCTTTTCTCTAAGCTTTGTCTGCAGGTTGTTGGATTACACCCTGAATCCGCACTGTTTCTGCCTTGAATCCTGTCGGGTGCCTGAAGGGATGATGTATTGACTCGGTTAGAAAGTGTGGGGTGGCGTGGACGTTACTTCCTTCCTTCCTTCCAACAATCACTTCCAACATCCAGACCCCAACAACCCAACACTAATCCCTATACTATACCATGTCTTCCACTTCTATAGTCCTCATCACCGGCGGCAATACCGGTATCGGGTATGAGGCGGTGAAGGCGCTGTATGTGTCCTCTCAGCCATACACGATTTTCATGGGTAGCCGTTCGCTGGAGAAGGCGGAAACAGCTATCGCGAAACTGAAGAGCGAGGTGCCCGAGTCTAAGAATGAGGTTTCCGCGTTGCAGGTTGATATTGAAGATGATGAGAGTATTGAGAAGGCTTTTGGAGAGGTGCATGGGAAGTGGGGGAGGGTGGATGGGTTGGTTAATAATGCTGGTTTGTGACCCCTTTCATGTTTGAAGACTACGAGGAATGAAGGTTCTCAACAACGACTCTCCAGCTTTGTGTCACTATCTCCAAGTTTCTGAAATAGTATACTAACATAACTCTAGGTGCCGCCTTCGATGGCATTATGCGCTCCGACCCCGGCCCCAAAGGCATACGCGCAGCCTGGGATAAAGCATACTCGCTCAACGTTACTTCTACTCAGGTGATGACGCATACTTTTGCGCCCCTGTTGATCGCTTCGCCCAACCCTAGACTACTTTTCATCACGTCTGGACTATCATCGCTCGAGAAATGTGCCCAGGGCTCCGACTCCAAACTCATGAGTGCCGCGCCACCAAAGGGCTGGCCTAAGCCGCCGGGTATGGCACAAACGGCATACCGGTCTAGCAAGACGGCGTTGAACATGCTGATGCTGTATTGGAAGAGGACGCTAGAGGTTGATGGGGTCAAGGTGTTCGGGATCAGTCCCGGGTTTTTGGCCACGGGGTTGGGGGGCATGGGGGCGGATATGCTCAAGAAGTTTGGGGCGGGGGACCCAGGGATCGGGGGAGATCTTATCAGAGATGTGTTGGAAGGGAAGAGAGATGGCGATGAGGGAGTTGTGATTGATAGGAATGGGGTGCAGCCTTGGTAGGCTGCTGACGACATGGTACAAAAGTCCTGTTTACTATCTTTTGGAATAAAATGGTATGTCTTCTCAATTTGTCTATCCCTTCTTACAATCTTTGGTTTAAACTTTTTCAAGTGGAGGCAACCCCATCTGCGCACATATCTGGGGCGAAATTGGGGCTGAGGCGTGGGGCGAAGTCGTGTGAGCATGCATTGCATCGCGTTCTATACCCCCGCATCGAGATATGAAATTGCCGACGCTAATCAGCATTTAGCCAATGATGTCTCTGGACTTAGCGCCAGAAATCTTCTCAGTCTTGATTTTATGCTCGCAGTCGTCATTATAGTCCGTTGTGGGGGCCAACATGTTGTGTGCACAGATACAACTTACACTTTGGACGTTGGACGGGAGGCTGGGTTCCTACTTATCTGCGGCGTATCTGATTCCTATTATAGAAACTCAAAGGTGCCGCAAAAGACAGCGAATAACGTTCGAGCTCCACAAGGTACGAAAAAGGCGGAAGGCTTGCAGATCTGCCGCAAACTACGCGCCGACGTTCTCGCTTGCATCACCCAGCCTTATCTTTTCGCTCCCAAACGGCTAGGTGTACATCACCCTGTCTCGGCGCACCTATCATGGGATGGAATTACGCCAAGAGTCTTGCAAATATGCTTTCAGCCCCCAACAGCAAGGCAGACGTTATCTCCGATGCCTCTTGGGGTTGCCCATCAATACAGAATGTTAAGCTTAGTTTCTCAAAGTCACTGCGCCCCGTTAGTGTTTCCTCTCACACAGCGGCAAAATCTTACGTCTAGAACGACTGGGGCGTAAGTATGTGAGGAGTCGCTCCCAGGATATTGCCTATGTATTCTCCAGGCATCCCATCTCGCCCGACACTCTGAGGGTCTGGTCTCACGTCAACGCTATACAGCCACCCTACAATCGGCTTTCAACGTCGCCATGGCATCCGACGACAAATCCGTGTACCTTGGAGTCTGGACAGACTGGTCCCATGGCTCTGTCAAAGGACTTACATATACGACAACTTTGCAGAAAGGAGGCCTATTGGTCGCCTTCCTCGCGCTTTTCGTCACATTCACAGGAACATGCTTCTGGTCCATCATTTCGTTTACCATGCACCAAATGCTGAGTCGTCAGGCACCCCAAAACGCGACATACCACCAGCGACAAGCAATACTTCGAAACTCTGGTACCAGCGGGGCGGCCGCATGGAAATTATTCATGCTAACGTGGGCCTGGCGGAAGACCAGCCTGGGCGCCTCGATGAAAGCCTCGTGGTTATCTCTGACAGTCAGCTTGATAACCTTCTGCGCTTTTGCTGCCGCTGGTATCTTCTCTTCGCAAGTTGCCACATCCCGGGGTGGCCAGGTTCTCCTTGTTGGTGACAAATGTGCGAGTTACAACATTTCCCTCCTTACACCGGAAAACCAGGGCTCCTTCCAATCCTGGGTTGCCAGCTCGATCAGATCAAGCTCCAATTATGAGTCAAGCTGCTATTCAGGAAATGCATCGACTTATAGCTGTAACAATTTTGTTCAGAAGAAACTTCCCTTCACAAGCACCAGTGGTATTCCATGCCCTTTTCCGGGGAAAAACATGTGCAAAGCCCCCAACCAAGGTTTGCGAATGGATACGGGGTATCTCGACAGCCACGACGATCTGGGAATGAATGCACCACCCTCGGACAGGTTCCTCTATCGAGCTTTCTACGACTGTGCGCCGGTGAATATCGAGCCTTACTTGAAATGGAACAAGACTGGCTGGCTCTGGACCTCGCGCACCTTTCTCGGGACCGATGTACAGGGTTGTGGACGAGTGAAGGGATGTAGTCAGCAGTACACTTATAATCTGGCCGATGGGTATCATTTGGGCTCATATAAACTCCGGTGTGTTTACCACTCTTCTTGATTCCGTCGTAGCTAATTGCATTTAAGAACCAACGCTTTCAACGATGGGCAAGGTGACAATGATCCCTCCTCCTGGCAGCCAATTCCCGAACTCCAGGTTCCGAATGCGGATATCGGCGCCTTCTGGCTAGAGCAACACGGTATCTGGTATTTTTCATCTGTCAAAGATCCGTGGTTTGCAGCTGAAAGCAGCTCTAATAAGAGCACACCCATTGGACCCAGGAAGTATTACGATGCAGGAGAAAAGGTCGTGAATACTTTGGTATGTGCTCAACAATACCAATTCTGCAACCCGTCGAAGGAGCTTTGTACAGCGCCGATGGGATCCTCGACAGCTGCGACATCAGCTGCTTCCAACCTGTTCACAAATACAACGAATGAAGATAGGTTCATGTGGAACTTGCGAGCTGTCTTTAACCAGATCGGCTTCTCAGAAATCGCCAAAACATTGAAGGAGGGAGCTCTTCTGGCAAGTGATTTTACCAATCCGCTTGGTCAGTTCGGACTACCGGACAATCAATGGGAACTTGAGCTCAAGCACTGGTTCGGGATAATGCTAGCCGCTCTACAGGGATCCATAGTCAATCAGGCGAGTGGCCCGTCCATCCCAGAGGCAGCGACATTCCATTCTCTCCCGACGACAGCCGGTGAGCGTGCCGCTTGTACCAACCAGAAAATCCGGAGCGATTCCTACACATCGTTCAACGTGCTCGGACTTATCCTCATATTCTCCATTGGCGGCCTCATTATGCTCATCTCGGCCTGTCTGCCATCGCTGATGGCGCGCATACAACGTAAAAAGCCGTTTGCCAGCATTGAGTGGGATGCCAATGATACACTGCAGCTCCAGAGGCTCGCACATGAAGCCGTCGGTGCTGGCAACTGGGAGGGCACACGCGATGACTACCCACGAACGCAGCGGGGTGATCTACTGGCTGTTCTCGATACCTCAGATCCCAAGCATCCTAAGCTCAAGGTGCCGCCAAAGGTTGAGTCATTGTCAGACGAAGAGCAAGGTCCGACTCAAGTGGAGGAATCGATTCATAGCTCTCTATTGAGTGTGGAGATACCTCGTGTTTCCATGGAACTTTCACAGCGCTTTTCAGGTCGGATGGATTAGTCGTACCCTCGAGGCGTGTGGCTTTCTCTTTGCGATGCGAGGCTATCTGCACCAAAATGTCGTTGTTAGACTAAGCTTCCCTTGGTTTCAGCATAATGGTTGACCTAAAATAAATTTCAAAGTAATGAACATATCGTCACGTGCGCCAAGAAGTGTGAGGTGAAGGATTTGTGGCGGGCACATGTAAAAGCACACTAAAGCCGCTGACAATGTAACATGTGTCCAACTAAGTTAAGGGTGAAGAGACAAGACGTATAGATGATAGCAGACTTATATTTTTTAACTAATTATCCTTCATGCTGTAGGCCTACGACGAACCGAAATCTTCCCGCCATGTAATGGAAGTTTGAGCCATACTGTGTCTAGGGGTTTGGGTCGTACTTCCATGTGCTTCACTTCGTAGTTTAGCAGCATGTGCGCTATGAACACCTTCATCTCATTCAGAGCGAAGAATCGTCCTGGGCAAGCATGCCTTCCAAATCCAAAGCCAAGGAAAGCATCATCCAGTGTAGCGGTCGACTTGGCTTTCTTCTCGCTCGCATCTGCCTTGCCAGCTTCGAGATCCTCCTTGGCGGCAAAGTTGTCAACAATACTAGTAACGTTGGATGGGTCCGCGAAACGGAATGCGTTGAAACTCCGTGCTTGAGGATAGATCTTTTCATCGTAATGGATTGGCTCCATCGGAACTGCAATCATGGTACCTTTTGGAACATGGACGTTGGAGCCTGGGAGCCGGATACCTTCGGGATGCACAACCTGAACTCTATTAGTTGGTGGCTCAGCGGAATGCATGTGTATACGTACAGTTCGGGGAAGACCAACGATGGCAAATGGATTTAGTCTCATCGACTCACGAATCATCGAGTCGATGAGTTTCAGATCACGTACTGCATCGCGTGTCCACACTCCTCCTGACTTTGCAAGTACCGAGGCAGCTTCATCACGTAAAGCCTCAACATATCTCATGGAAGGATCAGAACTGTAAAGGTCCAAGATGACGTTCTGGACAGTGAAACTTGTCGAGTGTAGCGAGATATCGTTGACCAGTAATAGACGATGCGCCACTCGCTTTGGATCTAGTTGGCCTGCATCGCCTTTTGCAGCCGCAGCATAGCACTCGTCAATGAGCCATTGGAGTCCGTCTTTCTGTGATGGGGGTCAGCGTGACAATCTACATGAAAATTATCATAAAATGAGTCTTACCGGTGGCGTCCATCCACACTTGGAGTCAGCCTTGAATCGTGCGGTAGCCTCCAGCCTCTCCGTTACGAACGGCAGACAGCCCTTGAGTGCCTTTTTTCGGAGATACCAGCAGTTTGCCCCGACAAGAAATCCGGTAATGGGTTTCAGCGGTTTAGGTGATGCGTTGATGACCATGGCGCCGGCGAAAATGCTCATTGCATGGTCTCGGAGATCGTTGAGAAATTGCTCATCTCGGCCTGAAAGAATAAGCATTTGGATCTTTCGTTGTGTAATAACTTGATCACTCACATAGTGGCGCTCCACAGAAAGCTCCATTGCTCGCACCGGCGATCAGTTTCAAACAGGCATCCCAGACTTTGACCTCTTTCCACTCCGTGTCCCCCTTTCCTCCCCACCACCTATCGAACCCCCTGTCGAGTTCTTCGGCCATTAGGGGAGTAAGGTGTTCGAGATTTCGTGTGATCTGGTGGCGCACGACGTTGATCTGGAAGTCATTGTCCGCTACTTCCTTGTCCCATACGGTCCATTTGGTCTGGATAGTCTCGCTCTGCGTAGCATGAATGTCGAGTGTAGATTCCGGAAGCCCATAGACCTTCTTGATAAGACGAGGAGGAAGGATAATCATGGCGCCTCTATCGATGCTAGGCAATATAAATGGGCTGTTTATGTCGGCGAACTAGAAGCCTACTGGTGAGTATAAATCTTCACCAGATAGACATAGAGATTTTACCTTGCGATAGCCTTCAAACGCCCAGTCCTGCGTCTTTCGAACAGACTTCAAGGTCGCCCACACCCACTTTAGCCATCCTGTCTTGAGTCCAACTACGGGCAATTCATCCCAATGTTTCGATTCTGGTTTACCGAAAAACCAGGCTTGGATGGCGTGGTATGCTACGAATAGAATAGACAACGGCACCAAAGCCTGAGTAGGCGTAATGATGAGCTCCATCTCAGCAAAATCACGTTGCAAACAGGTTCAAGAGCAGTCGACTTTGCAAACACTTAAAGAATACCATTCTTCTCACCCCGCCACCAATGGCTATATGCATGCCGCGGTTGGAATGCTATCGGATGTACCTACAGTGGGTCCTGGTAGCATTGGGAGGGTCTAGGATTCTATGCAACGCGATTGAAGCGGCTTGTCTCGCCATGACAGCTTAGCCCGTTGCATTGTCCATCAGTTTCTAGACTGCCGCAACTGGCGCGTAATCTTTAACCAAGGATCTGCTGATTGGCGGACCTAGAAGACGTGAAATATCACAACGAGCATGATCCGGAGGTATGCCATCAGTAGTGGCATATGAAAGGTGGACAGGATCCAAGACCATGGTAGCTTGACGCAGGCGGCCACTCACCGGAAGATCGCGTGGGCGCGGCTGCAGGCTCAAAGTGCCGTCGTATCGCAAGCAAGTTGGTTGGGATGCTCCGGTGTTGCAGCATGCAATGCAATCACTGCAGTATACATATACGCTACCTGCCGTTGCATGTATGTATTTCTTTGTTTGAGGAAGGTTTTACGACACAGCAGCCGCGCGGCTCCACACGGTGGACGGCTCGGGTCGGCCGACTTCCGCTTTTGGCCTAGACGTGGGGTTATTCAGGTCAAGATCACGCACCAGAGCCTTGATTGCGTTCTGCAGGTAAGTCAATCTAGTGAGTGAATCTTCACAAATAATATATTCAGGTAGGCCAAGACGTGTCTTGGTGGCGGGACAGGATCCCAGAGGCTAAGGAGAAACCGGGCCATACACGTGCAGCTACAAGGTCGCTAGTCCATCGCTACTTGAGTCGGATTCATATGGATGCAAAGCTCGCTAGCATGTGCCTGCACCACGAAAGCTTTGCTACTCGTCGTATTCCCCCGAGAGGCTGCCGACCAGTATGTGCCGGCAATGCTACGCCATGGCGACGTACTACTGCAGCTGTCAGTGTGTTAAGCACGAGAAAGGGATTCCTCGCATGCATCAACGGACGGTATCAACGGACGGCATCCACGCTCGCCTCTTCCGAGTACTCTCCGGGGCTACATGCTCGCTAACATTAGCCGTGAGGTACCTAGGTGCCCTGACGACCTCGTTAGCTTATGCAGAACGTGCACTTCAGCCGCACGAGTTTGTCCATCAATGGCATTCAGCAGCCCGGATCACTGGGCGAACAGTCGAGCGGTGTCCAAACACCTAAGACCAAGGTTACATGTCCGCCCAAAAGACTGGACGCTGCCTAGGTTTTTATGCCAACCTCTCTCGCATGCAAGCTATATCAGCTAGGTTATGGTAAAGACCGGTACATACGGATCATAGACACCACCGACGTCGAATCTAGCATCGCTAAAGCCTTCTCCGGCCAATCAAGCGTTGGCCGCCCAAGGACCAAGAACGCCTCATGTGACGTTTACGCTCAAGCGCGCCTTTGTCGGTCTGCTCCTGCTCTTCCACAACACTTTGTCAAGGATTGCGACATATCCTAATCGTATCGCAGACCAGGGTCCACATGAGCCTCATGACTAGTGCAGGCGGGTAGGTCCCGGTGGCACACCATTCGCAGACTTTAGTGTGCATTTGCCTCAGAGTAAAGCGAATGTCGAGCTCCCCAGCCGTTTTTACCAAATCCTACGCTAAAAATCTGGTTCTCGAACACGCAAGCGCTGGAGGAATTTTGCACACGCTGCATCGGATTTACCTACGCTCTGGGATAGCAAGTGTAACGGATAACGCTAGGCGTATATTGACTGTTCGCATGAGTGGACTTGATCCTGTGGCTCATGCCCGAGCCCCAGTGGGCGTTCACGTGGGATGTTGCAACATGTCTAACGTGGTCTGATATTGCGCTGCGCGCTGCATCACAGCGGCACAGTGTACTAATAACGCCTCTAGGCCGTTAGACCGTTAGGCCTGGGGCTTGGACTTTTGCTGACGGATCGCTACAACCGCATTCTCCGCGCACGGCACTTGGAAGTTGACAGTCTCAAGATATCAAGATTGTATATGTACCATCATCGAACTGTTCGTCTAATCTAGTTTCGGTTCAATATCTCCTCCGTAACGAGTGCTTCCTCCATCATGGACTACTTGGAGATGCAGGCCCTTCACCTACCGAATCTCAGTCCATTGGCCGTCAATGCTGCCAGCAGTATTTTTGGTTTCCTATCGCTTTTCCTTTGCTACAAAGCCTTAGTGGCAAGAACATTGGTGCGTTCAAAATGACTCTACCATGGCTTTCCCTGCGAACTCGGACTGAACATGCTAGCCTTCGCCATCACGGACCTTTAAGAAACTTGCCAGCCCATTCGTCAAGCGTTACAATGCCTGGGCGTATCTCTTCTGGGGTCCTGAGATAATTCAAAAAGCCTTTGACGAGGCTAACGGAAAGCCATTCGAGCTCCTTGCTCCCGACAACCGTTATGTCTTCGTTTCCGACCCTCAACAGATCAAAGAGATCGACGGCGCACCCGATACTGTTTTGTCGCTTCAAGCGGCATCCAAGCAGGTACGCTTATCCGCATTCCAGTTTTTGACATTGCTAATGCCATTCAGATGCTGCAGCCTGTATACACTATGTAAGTTGACCAGATGCAAACAATTTGAGATGGAACAAACTCGACATCTCGTAATTCCTATTTGGTTGTACTAATATGACAAAGGCATGGATTCAATTGGTTTGACCGCCGCGGTACAGAGGGTGTCGGTTTCATCCGAGCTCTTCGAACGCTTTTGACCAACAACCTTCCCAAAATTCTCCCAGATCTTACTTGCATCATCCGAACCAGATTCCAAGAGCTGCATGCTGGTCATCCATTTGTCAATGGAAAGAAGCAGTCGGACGTGTATCACATGACGGTCAAACTAGTCGTGCTCTCCAATGCCGTTTCCTTCTTCGGCAAAGATCTAGCAAAAGACGAGCAGTTCATGACCTCAGCGCTCGCTTACATTGAGGAAACTCTGATCTGCGCCGAGATCGTTCGTTTGCTTCCCAAATTCATGACGCCGTGAGTATTCCGTTTCCTGTTCTACAATGCGCATCTCTAATTGTCTTGTAGTATCGTCGGTGGCATTATTGCCCGCACTCTCAAGTCTCATGGCGTCATTTTCAACAGACTTCTGCCCATCGCTGAGCAACGATGCATTGAGCGAGACGCAGCCAAGCTAGGTCAGAAGGTTCCCCAACATGTATGTCACCACCAAACGAAGCTCGCCGGTTGTTAGTCTAACAGATGTCCCAGCCCGATTGCATCCAATGGATCATGGAGACCTCGCCCAAGAATGCTCCATGGACCCCACAGCGCGTTGTTCACGAACTGATGGCCATCTGGTTTGGCTCTGTCCATGCTGTCTCCACGACCGTCACATTTGCCATTCATGACCTGTGCCTACACCCCGAATACGTTGCGCCCCTTAGGAAAGAGTGCGAGGCTCAATACGTTGCTTTCGAGCAAGCTGGCACCGGGCTTCCGCTCCTCGATAGCTTCATCAAAGAGTCTGCGCGCTTGACACCAGTAGAGTCCCGTACGTTTTATACCTCCACCAACATGTCATATGCTGATTTCTGTTCTTAGAGAGCACTCGCCGTTCAGCGCTGAAGCCTTTCTCTCTCAAAGACGGCACACACGTCAATGTTGGTGACTGGTTCTGCACACCCGTTCGAGCCATCATGACCAACCCCGTCGATTTCCCCGAAGCAACTACATTCAGTGGTTTCCGTTTCGCCGACCCAGAGCTAGTCAAGAGCCTTGAGAATGACGATGCTTTCAGTGTCATGCAAAAGAAGCCTACCAAGTTGACTGATGTTGACATGACCTACCATGTTTGGGGAACAGGAAGGATGGCATGGTAAGTCATTATCGCCCGAAATGAGATGCAGCAGTTTACTAAGAGAACATAGCCCTGGAAGATTCTATGCTTCAGCTGTCATGAAGGTGATTTTGGGTCAAGTCATCCTCAACTATGATTGCGAGCTTGTGGACCCGACAGCGAGGCGCTTGTTCACTTGGAGGTCAACTATCTTGCCCAAACCCAGCGCCAAGGTTGTGTTTACACCGGTTGAACGTGCGAATTGAGATGATGAACAAGGTGGTTGTTGGGATGACGATAGACGAACATGGCGAATCATGATTATGCAACTTCTCTATTTATGAATATATGACAATGCAACACAACTGCTTGACCCTGACTCATGTCGGTTGATGTGTGAAATGTCTATCGTGGTCGGCTCAACGGCAAGGGGTTGCTTGTACTAATACGATCAGGCATGCAATGGGTACACTGACTGTATGCCATTCACTCCCTATCACAGGTAGTTTTACCACGCTTTGATTGTGATGCCCTTGTTTGGCCTATGCCACCCACAATCTCTTGTAGACCTTAAAAAATCGACCTCCCCAACGATTGAACCCACCATGAATACACTCTGAACTACGTACAGGCCACAAAACCCTTGCAAGTTCGTGCATTCATGCCGCATCAGGATGGAGCCGAGTAACAGCCACTCTATGATTCCTCCGTTACCACAGACTCTTCAACACGACAACTTTACATACCTATCATCTCGATGAACCCGATAGGCGTAGTTTGCACGCACAGATGTATACAGTCTTTCGCACATTGCCCTTCTCACAGACACTCTAATCTGGCTTTTACCAGCAAAAGACGTTGACGAGGTATTGGTCTCCGATTCGTAATCCATAGTCGGTGCGGAGCTTCATTCTCATCCAGACTGCCTTACCATGTTTGCAGTTGACTGTGAATGCAGCAGCTGGTTGTTGGGACGACTCCTCTTAAAGTAGTCGGTCTCCGTAATAGGATTTGTCCTGTGCCAAACCGTCCATGTATCGCCATCCCTGTTGAAGATACTGTTCGAAGACTTGTTCCGCCGTTGCGTAAGTGAGACTTGTTGTTGGCTGTTGGGTACTACAAAGCCTCGCTGTACAATTGCTGGTTCATATTCGTCTTGCGCTACTACAGCATAGCCTGTGTACTGAGTCGTGCGCGCAGGTGAGATGTACCTATAGCTTGGGCGATGGGATGGGTGTTTGGCGCCGACTGCGCGTACCTGCGGAATGGCTTGCTCATGTGTGAGTCGCGGTTGCTCGGAAGATGAGATGTCCCCAACTGGCGTAATTCCTTCGCTGTCATTGGTCGCTGGCGGAGCCTGGTGTTGACAAGCAGAGTGCAACGGGATAGTCCTGCGACCAGCGAACAAGGTCACAAGCCATTGATGCCATGAAACTGAAGCCTCAGCCTTGACCTCTTCTACCATTGGCAGCTTTGGCTTCTTTGGCTCTTGTGGATCAGGTATATGCGCCTCAATGATCAAAGAGTCGCTTGGGTCGCAGTCGTCATCCACAGCGCTATAGAAACTGTTAGGACTGCTTGCAATGAACGAAACACGTCTCTCCAACGTCGCCGCGCGGATTAGAGAGTCGAAAGCGCCGCTCAGCCTACACTCTTCTGTAGTTGAGACTCGCCTTTTTGCGAATGGTGTCACATGCTCTTTGTCATGGCCACTCTCCTCTTCGTCTGTGGTATCGTCGGAGTCGAAGGAAAATGCAGACACTTTGCTAGTCAGCGAGAGAATTCGATCATGCTGTTCTTTATAAGCTTGGCTACCTCTAGCCGCCTCCTGTGGGCTGTTTGCGACGTTGTTTTGTTGCGTTGATTGCGCTGGCTCTGCGTGGTGCTTGTTGTTTCTAGGCACAGCTGGTTTCTGCCGGCTCTGAAACTGAATGCGCGACTTAACTTTGGCTGCAGGCATGGTACAAGACAATACTGGAAGATGAGCGTGACAGGATAAGAGTGTGTGGGGAGAGTGAAGGGAGCGGTATTGTTATAGAAGGGTGCTCTGAGACGGTAGGTGAGCGAGTAGGGGTCCAATGGTTAGTGCGAATTGTGGAGGTGCGTGCTAGAAGAAAGGTCTTATTTTAATGGGCTCAGAAATCTTGAAATTCTAACAGCAGAGTGCAAGCCAAACATTGTTTGCAAGTGAAGAAGCCCAAGGTCGAGCATTGTAATACCAAGGCATTGTGACGACACGGTGAAGTCAGTTGTAAGTGAGTGAGGAAATATTGAAACTGGGTGCTCATTTGTGACTTTGGAGGCCCTCGGGGATATAAGTGATTCCCCATGTTCGTCATGTAAACAAGCTTAACTTCAGGGCAGCTTTTGTGTGGCGTGTGTGCGCACGATGATAGTCACCTGTAGCGCAATCCAGTTTCCACGCTACATGCTCCTTCATGCGTTGTCTGCGCAGATGTATGTGACTGCGGATGAAGTCAATATATGAATGGAAGGTTAAGAGCCTAGGGCCGGGGTATATACCATTGTTTCCACGAACGAAGGCATCTCCCCAGTTCCGCGTCACACGACCATCAGCAACTTCTTTGCATCGCTCCAGGGCGATATTCATGTAGCCATCGACAGATTGGAGGTCGCCTGTATCAGATTAGTGGGGGGATGTTTAGACAATAGGCACGTGTAGAGGGGAGCACCTTTGTAGATGATACCAGAGTTCAGCTTGACAGTCACGGGAGCTCCGATGATCTCGCTGAGGAAGCCACTGGGATCTCTGGAATCAGCAGCAGCTTCTGGTGCTGGACTTTCGCCGTTTGTGGACATGATGAGGGCGGTGAGATATGAGGCGCTTACATGTGTGGTGACCAGAAGACGGCTATGTTGGACAATGAGGCAGAGTGCACGGGCCCACACACTCGGCCGGTCCAAAGACGGCAAGCACGAGAGCGAGCAATCGGAAGAAACGTGACTAGGCGTAACAGCAGCCCCACCTGCCCGCGGCGTCCGTTCCCCCCCAAAGCCACACAACGCGCAAGCCAACCTCCAGTCGCGATACGGCCATTGTCATGACGGAACCGCCCGCTGCGAGCGTGACGGCGCCAAAGAGGCGTGCCCTATTTAAACGGCCAGCATGGCAGAACAAGCCGCAGAACGAGGATGCCGACATCTTTCGCCATGCCAATGAATTCACCGACCTGGTAGCCGAGCAGGCCAGGCGCAAAGAGGAGGAGCGCAAGGAGAAGAAGCGCGACCGAAAGCGGCGCCGCATATCCAACAACGACGATGAGAACAACAACAAAGACGACGACGCAATACGGCCGGCCGCGCCCGAGAGGGCTGCCCGTATTGACAGTAGCAAAGAGTGCGTATGGCCTCTCCGCTCTTCATGACCTGGCATTCATACACTAACCAGCTCCCAGACGTAGCATCACCCCCATCTCCCCACGACCCGCGCATTCCCCACCTGACTCGCTCTCAGCCCGGTACGATTCGCTGACCAAGCCGACATGTTCAAGCAAGTCACTGACCAGGTCGATGTCTTCGAGCCATTCGTTGGCGGGGAAAGACTCTCATGTCATCCAGCTAGACGATTCAGACGACGGCGACTATGGCTCCTCTATCGTGGGACACAAGCCACAACAAATGAGTCAGGCGCAAGAACTGGCTGTTCGACCGTCTGTACACCACGCTCTAGGCAAGAACGATGACCAGGATGACGAGCTCGAGGAAATCCAAGATCCCATCATTGCTGCACTCGAGGCCAAAGCCCAAGCGCGAGCTCAATTAGCGGCCAATACCGAGGCAGTCGATTCAACACCAGCCCCCATTGCGCACCTATTCATTGAGCCTGAAATGGACAACGCGAGACCACTGATGGTCAAAGTCAGGATAGACAATCCCATAAGCAAGCCACGCACGGCATGGTGTAAAATACAAAACTTCACCCCTCAAATGACCGACAGCGTCTTCTTTACTTGGAACGGAACGCGCCTGTACGATAGCACAACCATTAAAAGACTAGGTATTCAAGTGGATGATAAAGGCAATGTGACGGTTGAAGGGGATTCCAACATATATGACGACGTCAATCTCCCCAAGATCCATGTACAAGCTTGGACCGAAGAGCTGTTTAGGGAGCGCAAGAAGCAGGATGCCGAAGCTAAGGCAGCCAAGAAGGCAGCAGCCGAGGCCCCAGTCGTCATTGAAGACAGGTTTCCGACTCCAGAACCTGCTCCCGCCGTGACCAAGATCCGTCTGACATTAAGAGCCAAGGGCAGGGAAGACTTCAAGCTGTCAGTAAAGCCGGTATGTATATTACCTCACCCCGAAAGGCCAGTGGCAGTATGCCCAATTCGATATCCTTCTGACAAGTAGCCTCAGGACACCACATTCGCCCACATTGCGAGTGCTTACAAGACGAAGCTGAAGATACCCAACGATCAGCCCGTCACACTCATGTTCGATGGCGAAAGGTTGGTGCCAATAGATACAGTCGCCGACTGTGAGCTGGAGGATAAGGACACACTCGACGTACTCTTCAATTGACAGTCTCAGTGTTCAGATGCAGATTTCTTTTCCACTTCTCCCGGCTTTGTGATCAAATTTGAGGGCCAAGGTGATTTCTTTTTGTATACCTAGGTAGTAGTAAGCATGGCGTTCGGGGGGAAGTCATTACCCAATTTTCTTTTTCGGGTCCAGAGTCAACTTTTACATTTTACATTTTCTTCTTCATCCGCATCTAAACTTTTATCTGTTCAACTGGTAGTAGCTGATTGACAAACTCCTATCACCAACGCGCCAGCTTGCTTACTCTCATCAGCTACATACAGGCTTTCCCACCGCAACTCGAGAGAGTATGCACATATCTCAGCTTTCCGCCCTCGACTCTGAACTCATGGCTATCCGGCAACCCAGCGGCGCCCACTTGACCCGCCTTACCCCCAAAGTCCATCATGGTGTCCACGGTCCCATACTCTTCATCAATGACATATCGTCTGTTAACCAACGGTACTCCGCTCGGCACACCAACGTTACAACTGTCCGTCGCCTCGCCCTTTCCTGTGTACATGCCACCCTCAAGACGAGCACACGGCGAGCCCCATGGAACTTGAACCATCTTGTTGTTAAATAAATCGCAGTAAGCGTCACCCGCAGCTTTGATCACGGCGCGCGAGTCCCGCTTCCCCACAGGAATACTGTCCCATTTCTCGCGCGAAGCCCAGTAGAGGGTCCCAGTAGCGTTGAAGAGCCAGTCGCCTTTGCTGGTCCAGATTGTGTCTATTTGTGACACCTTGCTCGTGTTGTCTAGCCGCAGTTGCGTGGTTATCACATAGGGCGCAGCAGAGTTGGCGATGATGAATTCGCTAAAGGCGGCGCATTGCGTCGTGTCGTGCTGGGATCGAGCGTGGTCGATCTTCATCGGTTTGGTCAGGATTCCCGATTTGATGTTGACGTTTTTACGATTTTCCGTATATGCCACCTTGTTCGAGAGGGAACTGAAGCTTGCTTGGCCAGCGGTTTGTGCAGCGAGAAGCTGTTCAGTAACGGCTTGGAGTGTCTCCCGGGTGCATGCTGCAGAAGCTTGTGCTGCGAGCACGCTGGTCAGGATGGTGATGAGGTTGCGCATTGTTTCGTGGAGTAGCTGCAGGTGTTTGATCCAGACTGAACAAGCACCAGACTACAGCTGCTACGGAACTTATCAGTTCAGTATGCCCAACCCATTGCCGTGCCAGTGTAGATGGGGCCCTTCTAAGACCAATCAAACCCGATCATCTATATTAGAAACCCGGTGCTCGGCACTTGGTGTGTGAAGCAAGTACGCAATATACACAATTTGCCACATTGTACAGAGGGGTGCAATGCCTGTCTCGCTATCAGATTGTTATGAGGTGGGGAACCCAAAAGTGCATCAGCGGTAGTTCACATCTGTACCTGATCTTGATAGATATCGAAGTCGTCCGGCAGATACAAAGCCTCCAGCCAAATGGCTCAGATATAGGCTCAGATATCCCCCATTTTCACGGGACTTGAAATTCGATACTCAATACTAAACCTGGTCTTTACCCGCAGTAAGTCTTCAACATTCAGTGTCTACTGTACATACTCTCATGCCCACTTCCTTTACATAGCGCCAATTTGTAGAAATGACAACAGCCGATGGAGAAGCGGTGTCTGACTTGCGAAGAATTCGACCTCCTTCGAACAGGCCCGGGTTAGATATGTGAAGAGAAAGAGAAAGAGAGAAATGGGGAGGGGCCGCGATGTAGATCGTGACGAACACCCCTTAGACTAGTAATAATGAACGAAACATCGATATATACCTAATAGCCGTCCTGCATTGAGCATTGCGCTTCGCTAGTGAGAAATACTTGACATGATATACCGTCATTAGTTTTGGACAGCACCAGCACCACACTTGGGCTAGTATCCAGCTCTGACAGTGCTTTGCGCAAGCGAATGGTACCGCACGTTGCAAGCGATGCAGTATCAAGTGGATCGGGGTACATGAGCCGACTAGTAAAATTGCGGAATGACATATGCTCTACCAAATCCTCGATCCGCACGAATGATCTACTGGTGCTGTCAATACGGCAGTGACCCTGCGTTGGAAGTGTCGATTTCGTATGCACCTCGACCGGTTCAGATTGAGGCTCGATGGCTGGACCATACTTTGTAAAATCTTCCAAGCGGAGGGCAACAAGTCTGGGACAGAAAACAAGGCAGACGACGCGGGACCAGGACAATAAAGAAGCAAAACAGCCGGTTGTTAATACTAGCATGACGTGATGATATAAAACCAGGATTATGGAGAATACAGATTCTGCAAGGATATCACCGAGACTTGTTCAGCGTATTCCGCATGTTTCTCTCCATGAGGTTGTTAAGACATGGAGGCGTGATAGCAATGCCGAAGAAGCGATATTGGAAAGCCGGTGGGCTCAAACCGTTGGGAAAGATCCCTGAACGCAAGCGAAACGCGTAACCTAGGCACAAAGGACCGAATCGCGGGTACTGGTGCTATGGAGAAAAAGCATTTGTTTAGCTGGTAAATCCCGTGGTGAGATGTGCGAAAATTAATAAATTCGGTTCGGCTGCCGGACAAAAACGTGAAAGAGTGATTAAGGCTGGTGATTGGAGTTGAATGTAAATAAAAGGGACGAGACAATATGTTGCGATGCAGGTGGATGACAGCTAGTTGACAGCTCACCCTAGAAGCAAGACTCTGATTACGCGTTCGAATGCCGGGAGGGCAGGTGGTGACAAGTAACGAGGGGAGCAGCGCAGACGAGAGGTTGGAGGGCATGAGGGGCGGGAGAGCTAACGGAGACGGCGTCATATCGTGCAGAAAAGGTCGAACACGGGCGCGGGCTTGGGCGCAGCCAACAACGAGCAGCCGGGAGGCTGGTGGAGCTTGGGCGCTAACGTGCAGTCCCAGAGCAGGCGCAGCACAGGACATGTGGAATTAAAAGAAATTTTGACAAACGTGTGTAACGGAGGCGGAAGCAGGTCGGGTGGTAATAAGCATGACGACACGACGGGTCTTGCACAGACTCCAGGATTGCGCTGAGACGGACGACATGTGCTCTGGCGTGCATGCTGCAGCGGTGCAGGCTCGAGGAGAAGAGAGGCGGTAGCGGGCAGGCCGGATGCAGTGCCTGTGCTTGTCATGATGGCGACATTGGCACGCCACAAACGACCCCTGATCCGGATTGGGAAGGGACGAATGGTCGACTGAGGTGGTGAGTATGCATTGCACGCAAACACGTTGGCAGCAGCAGCGACGACGTCTGAAGAGACGTTTGTTTCGTTGTCGTCGAGAATCAGTCAAGTACTGTACCGGTAGTCAGACCAGCTGAGACAGGCATCAAGCAGGGGTTCCGACAAGCGCACCAAACTTGTCGTCGTCACACTGGGTAGCGAGTGGACGCCGGCGTCTGCAGGATGGGCACGAAGCACGAGGAAGCATCTACGGGCGAGCTTTGTGAAGGATGTATATGTGTACATATATCTAGTAGGTAAAGTCACAATCACAGTTCAGTTCAGTTCAGTTCAGTAGATTAGTACGTATACAGCATAGGTACGTACAGCCGAACAAAGCAGCTATAGACGCTAGGGCAGATGCGGGTCGTGGTTCGACCGAGACCATGTCGCCGAGGGCTTGCATGGTCCGAAGGGGTCCGTCTGTTGTGGAGCAGTGTAATACAAAGGGTCTGTCTTGTGCGCGAGTCAGAAACGCATCAGGCTGACAGCGAGGGAGGAGGCGATGAAGGAGTGAGAGAGAGAGAGAGAGAGAGATTGAGGAGGCTGGGGACGTCATGCTGATCGTCAGCCGCGTTGTCGATCAGTCGTTGTTATCAGACACAGTCAGGTAGCGGTAGCGATTTTTCGCGTGCGTGCTTGGATGGCTGCGATGCGACCATGGCCTCTTCGCGTCCTAGTTTCCTAGTTTCCTCTTAGTGGTGGCGTCTAATTTTGGCATGAGGGTCGCGGACATGGATGGACATTCATGGACATGGATGCAGCTCCAGCTAACCATTTCATTCAACCGTACCAAGCTCCAGTCGTCGCCTCACCAGCACCACAGCACTACCACTACAGGCGCGCAATGCGAGGGAGCAACGTGCAAGAGGCTGGTGCAGAAGCTGATGCAGAGCTATGGGCAGCACCATAGCAGCGGCGTGCAGTAGGCTGCAAGTGTAGTGGCAGTAATAAAGACAGTTTTGCTCCGCGAGCAGTTCCTGACGGATTTTGGCGTGACGCTATACCGACTGCGGGCCCCCTGGCCTGGAGCAGCACTCGACAGCGGACAGCCGACAGCCTGAGGATGCTGGGGCGGCGCACTCCCTACTGCCAGTATGGCCTTGCCTTGTGCCATCCGTGCACACCCTTATACTCACTCCAGTATCCAGCCGTTTTGTTCGCGAGCGAGAAGATCCCCCTCTTGCAGCTTGCACTTGCACTTGCATCCCTTGGTCTCGCCTCATTGTCGGCTGCCCGCTCGTTGAACAAGTGCTCCCACTGCTCCTGCCACCAGCCGCGTGTCTGGTAAGTCGCACCCCCAATTCCCAATTCCCAATACCCACTAGCACCACTTTGGACCTCGGGCGCGCAATCCGCAATTCGTCTTCATTCACTACGACGACGTCGCAACTCGACTCGGCTGGGCCTGGGGAGATGCGCCCGTACTGTGCAGATAGCGGTCAGGACGTGTTGCCGTTTCGCTTCCGTACCTGGCGAAGACGACCAAGGCCGCGCCTGCCTTGTCAACTGCCCGAGGACCGTGTCCATCGGGTTGAAACGCCGTAATACCAAAGTTGCAAGACGACGCTTCCGCCTCAGCTGTTCTCCACAACAGCAACAGCAACCGCAGCTGGACCATCGTCCTTACCCTCACCTGCGTCGCCACTTCCCGCATACTCACCGCACCTCCGCCATTGCCTGCAGTCGCTTTGCCGCATGGCCTAGTCTGCGCAGCAAGTGCTAATTGTATCTCTTTTTCTGTAGATTGACCCCATTCACTCGCTCGCCTGCCCGTCTGCCCACCCGCTCGCTCGCTCTTTCGCTCGCTCTGCTCCGCGCCTACCTTGCACCACTCCGCCACGCATTGCGCGCCTTCCTTGTGCATGAACTCGCTCTCATACATCGCGAACGGCCGCCGTAGGCATTGGGCGCTCCTTCCACACGCCCGCATACAGTCCAAAGAAGCACAATGGGCAAGCCCGGCCTAGGCCTCTTCACGGGCCGCCGCAAGTCGCAGGGTAACGTCATGGACGATGTGCCTGACGTTTCCACCAGCCCGGATACCACGACCGCTCCCACCGACGCGGGCGGTTTCCGGCTGCTCAGTAGAACCGAAGTCGAAAAGGCAAAAGAACAGCGCAAGACGCAGGAAAAGTCATCGTCCAAGTTCCCTCGCTTCACCGGTTTCGGCCATCCTAGCAGTAAGAACCGCAATCAGTCAGTCGATGATGAGTCCCCAGGATCATCGAAACGGCAAGCCTCCCTCCCCCTAGTCATAGCGTCGGCCGCACTAACCCTTTAATTAGCGACAGCAAGTCCAGTAGTGGAACGCAATTTTCTAATTCGAGGCCTTATGCAAATGGCCAGCATGGCTCCACCTCGACACTCCCTTCTTCCACCGACACGAGCTCAGACGATAACCTCTTTGCCAACGTTCCTCGCCCATCCGTCTCCCATCACAACAGCTCACCTGCCACCGACTCATCAGGGGGCTTCCGAAAACAACTCCCCTCGCTGCCCAAGTCGAATCAGACCGCAGCCTCTCCAAAGGACATGTCAGCATCTGGGTGGAGCAGCAGGAACCGTGCTTTGACCACGTCGAGCTACGCTAGCACAGCCGTCCCACCCAAGCTAGACGGGGACCTGGACTTTGGCGGCTTCGAGGACGACATGTTCAGCCACTTGGACCACAAGCAAACGCCCGAAATACCACGAGAGATCGCCGGTCGTTCGCTCCTTTCGGAAAAGCGCACATTCCAGGCAAACCCCATCAAGATCGATTCCCAGCTCGAGGTCGAGCCACCGCTAAAGAGCTGGGACAGCCGCAACTCAACAGATAACCTCATGGCGTCCACACACTCGGACGACGACTCACCGCCTCCGCCTCCGCCTCCTGCCCACAAGTACTCGTCGTACGCTCCTATTGCTTCAGAAAGCCCTACCCTGGGATCCATGTCTACCTTCCAAGACCCTGATGCCCAATTCGTGCGCAAGTCTTTTATGGAACGAAAATCTCACCGTGAAAACTCCCCTGAGACACAGCCCAAATCCATGTCGTCCTCGTCGGCAAATTCATACGAAACCCCCTATTCGTCACGATCAGCCACAGCTTCGAGCACGACCACAAATACCACACCAAAGGCCTCACTCGCTCCCGCTGCCTCCCCCTACCATGATACCGAAGAAGACGACCTCTTCACAACATCCAAGCCCACACCCAAGCCCGAAGCTGCTCCACCGAAGAAAATGACAAGCCTCACACCCAACGGCAGTCGTGCAGTTGCGCCTGCCACTGCAGATGGTAGGCGTGTCATGTCGCAGGCAGAGTTTCGCGAGTATCAGAAGAAGACCATGACCCACCCACCCCAACAAGACAGCTCTGATGACGAGGACTACGAGGATGAGGAGGATGCTATCAAGCGACGAGAGGAGGAGGAGTTGATGAGACGCAAGAACCAGCAGATGCATTTCGCACGAGAGGCCATGCGTCGCTCTACTACAGCACCGTCGCTCCCAACAGAGTCTGGAAGCGTGGCAGACGGCATGGGCTTCCCATCAGAAACATCCATGAAAGCAGAGGAGTGGGAGGATGAGGATGTACCGTTGGGCATCCTAGCACAGCACGGCTTCCCTAGCCAAGCACGAAACAGATTCCCCAGCCAGCCAACAAATGCAATGCCCTCGTACATTCCAGATCGCCCGGCGTCTGCTGGTGCTCTGGGTCAGAGGGGACCACAGGCAAACCTACCGGCCTTTGCGAGACATCTCCCTCAAGACCCTTACAGCGCGCCCTACATTGGAGGTGGCTTAGTCCGGCCGATGAACCGCGAATCCATGGGGTTCAATGGATTCGCACGTGGCCCTGGCTCTGTTGCGGGCGATTCGGTTGCCGGTGGCATGGCAACGCCTCCCATGATGTACCAAGACGCTGGCATGTCTCAACCCTCGTTAGTGGATCAAATTCAGATGCGAGACATGACAAAGCAAAAGTACATGGGAGGTGCGTCGGCGAAGAAGCCACAAGGTGGGCCCTTTACTGGCATGCTCGGGCAACAAATGAACACCAGTGGTCAGCCCCAAAACCCCATGCGCATGTCGCACATGCCCATGAACGGTATGGGGGCTATGAACGGCATGGGCGCCATGAACGGCATGAACGGTATGAACCCCATGATGAACATGATGGGTGGCCAGATGCCCATGGGCGGCATGGGCATGCCGGGTATGGGCATGGGCATGGGTATGGGGCAAATGCCATACCCCATGCAGCAAGGAAACGACTACATGCAACAATTCCAGCAAATGCAGCAAATGATTGCTATGCAGCAAATGCAGCTTCAAATGATGCAGCAACCGCAGCAAGATGGACGCATATCAATGGCCATGTCCAACAATGGCTATGCAGCCAGTAGCATGGGAGGCGGCAGCTTCCTCAACGTCCCGGGCGGGGCCAATCGACCCATGTCCGTCATGTCAGGCAACAACCAAAATCAACAGCGCTCAATGTCCTTAATGGGCCCTCATCCAGGGTACACTCCCTCCATCGCACCTTCGGAGCGTTCTAACATTGGTTTGTCCGCTAGGTACCGACCCGTCGTCAACCAATCCGATTCAATGTCCAACGGAACGTCGATGACGCTCCAAGCCTCGAGCGGCGCGAACCAAAACAGGACAGGTGCTATCAAAGGCATATTAAAAAAGGGCAGCCCAGGGCCGCAGATGACGGTCAACGAAAACGATGATGCGGAGGAAGACTGGGGCAAGATGGCAGCAAGAAAGAACAAGCACGCAAAAGGCAAAGAAAACAACAGCTTGGGCCTAGAGGATCTTACGCGCGGCCTTAAAATCTAGACGAGCTACATACACGTAGGCTCACGAGGCTTTAGACGCATATGCACAATGATTGGCGGTGCATATCTGGAAGGGTCCAGATGGATTTGACGGCTTAGGAACAACGACATGACCAAGTTTAATGTCCAATTTGGACATGTATTGAGCGATTTCCAGGCCTAGGGCCTTTGTTTCTTCTTGTATTTGCATTTACAGACGGCGTTCTGAATCGACCTTCTCCTTGTCATACTTTGGCCATGGGGGATATACATATCATGTCAGCGCAAGTGCCCACGCCTCGGGTGGTGGGACGTTGTTTTTACATAAGGCATTTTGCGGGCGGGTAGGAAATTGGAAAAAAACGTTTTTGTTTGCACATGGGATGGGGCGCGTGGATTGAGTGAGCAGAGGGCAAGGGCGTGTGGGCGAGCATTGTGGTGGGACGAGAAGAGAATATACAGGAGCACGGTGATGTTGTGGAATTCTCTTGTAATAATAATATCATACACACTCGCAACTTTGGCAATAGATGGACTGATGAGATGATCTGTCTACACCTGGACGCCCTAACGCCTATCGTGGTGGAATTGTATTATGGCGATGACATGACATTACCGTTCCATATTACCGTCTCTGTCCAAAAGCTCACGTGCAGCAATGATATCGGCCTCGTCGAAGCCTTGCCAGGATTTGTTGCCGGACTTGAACTGCCTGACCATTTCGGCCAGCTTGTTGGTCGCCAACTCCTCCAGTTTCTTCACCATGTCGCTGCTGGGAATTGCAACGTCGTCATCATCCTGTGCATTGCGTTTGCTGGGTGCAGAGGCCGAGTCGGAGAGTATGCTGTTGAGCTCCGCGCTGACGAGCTTTAGGCCGTAGTAGCCGCGGAGGTACCAGTCGTTGAGCTCAACAGAGCGGCAAAAGTGTTTCAGTGATAGCGCAAAAGAAGTGAGGTTTGGCGGGTTGTTGGAAAGTGTAGAGAGGTAGTGTAGGGTTGCGATATGTGCATGTGCCTACATGTATGCCACGTTAGCATGCGCCTTGGATGAGTCCCAGGGCGGTTGCCAACTTACGCTCCACGCATTTGGCGTAATAAGCAAAACTTCCTCGGCACAGTAGATTGCCTGTCCCCAGGCCGCCATGGTGGCATACAGCTCACTCGCCTCAGCCCATGCCTCCGCATCCGTCGGACTATTCTGCAACAGCGCCGTGACGGCACCAAGTGCGTCGCTCGTCCTGCCCAAGGCCTTGAGCACAGCAACCCTCCTCTTCCGGATGCTCATGTTGGTGGGGTCTTCCTTTAATATCTTGTCATATGCGTCCAAGACCTTCTCCAGGTCCGCATCGGACTTTGACGTTGCTTCGTTGTAGATGCCGCGAAGTGCGATGATGCGCTCGTTGTGGTCGCCGAAGCGGGTTTCGAGGCGCTCGAGGACGGCTAGGGCAGCACTCTCGTCACCGGTGCGTAGTGTAGAGAGGAAGAGGTTTTCGTGAATTGTCCATGTCTCCGGGCTTTCGCGCGAGAAGAGCAGAGAGAGCGGCCATGGCAGGGTTGGTGTGGGTGATGTGGACAGTATGAGGGGCGCTTTTTGCGATAAGGCGAGGGCTTGGGGCGGCGGTATTTGGGCAGGCGGCGAGAGCAAGTTAGCCTGTGCCATGTTTGCGATTGACCGGATTAGAGGTTGGGGGGAAATAGTTGCTATGGGCGAATGTGGAGTTGCAGGTGAGCTGCGAGCTGCGAGCTCCGCCGGGGAGACTAGCGCGTGCGGCCTTTGGGAGTAGTTAGTACGCCCGCCGCCCATTGCTCTTGCCCTGGTATGGACCCGGCTTGACGAGTTGCTTTCCTCGACGACAAGTCTGCCCAGCCCGACTCGATGCCTTCTTTCGGGCCAACTGCCTGACGTCTTGACTCCCCGTGATCATGCCTGCTGGCTCAACCTGCACACCCACCCGCCATACCTACCCCTCCTCGTGCGCCATCCAATCTCGACACTGTTGACACACGAATCCAGCAAGTCCCCTGAGCGGGTATACAAGTCACAATGTACACTCTCGAGACACACATATCTGCCTCATGTGCCGTGGGCTAATTGGCTGGTAGGTTCGAAAAGTCGCTCTTCGACCTCATTCGAGGCCTCCGCAACCACAAGGGCAGCGAGCGCGAATACATCGCCGAGAGCATAAAAGAATGTCGCAAAGAGATACGGACAAACGACATGGACCTCAAGGCCACGGCTCTTATGAAACTCACCTACCTGGAGATGTTTGGCCACGACATGTCCTGGGCGAGCTTCAACGTCTTGGAGGTCATGTCGAGTTCAAAGTTCAAGCAAAAGCGCACGGGATATCTGGCTGCCGTACAGAGCTTTCGTCGGGACACCGAGGTCCTCGTGCTTGCTGAGAACCAGCTCAAAAAAGACATCATGAGCTCAAGCCCGCAGTACATTGCTCTCCCCCTCGGCGCCATTCCGCACGTCATAAATCCGAGCATGGCCAACTCAGTCCTTTCCGACTTGATACCACGCCTGACGCATTCGCATGCCATGGTCCGAAAGAAGACAGTTGTGACACTGTACAGACTGGCGCTTGTCTATCCAGAAACACTACGACCTGCATGGCCCAAGATCAAGGAGCGTCTGTTGGACGACAACGAGGACGCTAGTGTGACGGCTGCCATCGTCAACGTCGTGTGCGAATTGGGATGGAGACGACCACAGGACTTTCTTCCGCTCGCACCCAGACTATTCGATCTGTTGGTCGAGGGGGGGAACAACTGGATGGCTATAAAGCTTATCAAGCTCGTAAGTGCCGGCACAGTACAGCACTGTCTCATGGCTAATCATCAGCAGTTTGCGACTTTGACTCCCCTAGAGCCACGATTGATAAAGAAATTACTCCCACCATTGACCAAGATCATTCGGGAAACTTCTGCAATGTCGTTGCTGTACGAGTGTATCAGTGGTATCATCCAGGGTGGTATCTTGGAGGCCGTTGAAGGCACTGCAGAAGGCGAAGAGGTCGCAAAGCTTTGTGTCGGCAAACTACGTGGCATGATGATAATAGAGGGCGATGCGAATTGTAAGCTAAGGTGCACTGTAATGAAACGTGTTGATTCTCATCCTTCACAGTAAAATATGTCGCATTACTCGCTTTCGAGAAGATTGTCGCATCACATCCTTATCTCGTCTCTCAACAGCAGGACGTTATTCTCGAATGTATTGATGACCCCGACATTTCAATCCGAATGCGCGCTCTGGATCTTGTGGTTGGTATGGTCAACGCCGATAACCTGACAGCTATTGTGGGTAGATTGATGCGACAGCTCCGTAACGCCCCCATTGCCACCGCAGTCAGCGACCCAAACAACGATCGGGGTCGGCTAACCGGAGTAACGCCGTATGGCAACGAGGATTCTGATGACGAAGAGACACTACCACAGCATGAGCACAGGTCCGACCAACCGCCACCGCTGCCCGACGACTACAGAATTAGCGTCATCCGGAGGATATTAGACATGTGCTCACGGGACACTTACAGTAATATCGCAGACTTCGAATGGTACATTGACGTTCTTACTCAGCTTGTCCGAGTATCACCTGCAACAAAAGCCGCGTCAATCATGGAGGAAGAAGAAGAGCTAGAGCATTCAGACGATATAGGCGGTGGCATTGGGTATGAGCTACAAAACGTCGCTATACGTGTAAAGAGTGTCCGGGCGGAAGCTGTAGATGCCGCACAATCGCTGATTCTGGTCGATCAGAGAGATCAAATGTTCCCGGCATCTGGGAACGGTGGTCAGGGTGTGCTCGAATACGCTGGATGGCTGGTGGGAGAGTTTGCCAATTATCTTACCCGCCCAGAACCCGTCATGACCTCACTTTTACACCCAACCTCGCTCCAATTACCGTCCAAAACTCTCGCCGTGTATCTGCAGGCGATACCCAAAGTCTTCTCTGCCATGGCTGGGAACGATCAGATATCATGGACCCCGGAACGAAAAACCTTAATGTCACTGCTGATGGCACGCATTATCCACTTCCTGGAGCCGCTGTCCACACATCCTAGTCTCGAGGTACAAGAAAGGGCTGTCGAATATCTCGAACTCATGCGTCTTGCTGCAGAAGCAGCATCCGGCACCGCTGCCAGCTCCGACCAGGACACATTTACTGATCCACCACTTTTATTGACGCAAGCTATACCTGCTCTCTTCTCTGGCGCCGAGCTCAATCCTGTTGCCCCTGGCGCGCAACGAAAGGTCCCAGTCCCTGAAGAGTTGGATCTTGACACACCGATCAACGCTAATCTGCAAAATCTGCTTTCGGCTGCCGACGCAGAGGGCTTTGAGACGGAAGAAGATGATGTGTACGCAGCATACTCGGAGCCGGCTGCCACATACACAGAAGTATCTGCTGCCGCTGCGCCTGCTGGGGACCGCCTCGATGCCCCGTACAAGGAGCCTACCTCGTACCAGAATGCAACCGAGGATGAGTACCTGGATGCTGACATCATTGCACGCCGAAAAGCGGAACGGAAAGAACGATACAAAGACGATCCATTTTATATTGACCCTGAAGCCGATAGGGGCAGTGGGCCCGTGACGCCGCTTAGTAGAATTGTCCGGGACGGCAACAGGGAGAACGAGTTGGATATTGACTCCATCCCAATCATGGAGCTGAATCTCGACGATAAAGGCTCTTCCTTCGAAAACGTACAACGCTCGCGTAGCCCACGCAGACCGATACGGAAAGTCGATATCATGGGAGACGAAACGCTTGGACCTGCTGCGTCAGATGCTTCACGAGAGGATCCTGTACAATCACGTCCAAACAAGGCGAAGAAATCACTACTAGAGGTAGACAGTTCAGGTCTGGGGTCACTAAGTCTCGACGATGAAGGCATATCAAATCGCAAGCTCACTCAACTCGAGGTCGAGAGAAAGGCTCAGGAAGATGCAGAGATGAAAAAGGCACTGCAAGAAGTGGAGAGGCTACGGCTTGAAATGCAGCGCGCAAGCGAAAGACTACAAGTCAAGGAGGAAGTCGCTGTCAAGAAGAAGAAGAGAAAGGTCAGGAAAGTGACGGTGGATGGAGACGAGCCGACAGAGACGGCTGTGGCGGAAGCAGAAATTGGCGAGGATGAGAAGGCGGCGGTTGTGAAGAAGAAAAAGAAGAAGAAGGTCAAGGCCGATGGCGACAAGGAGAAAGCAGGCGAAGGAGCGGGCGAAGGCGACGAGGAAGGCAATGCCAAGAAGAAGAAAAAGAAGAGGCGGACGGTAGTCATGGACGAAGGTGGAGACGCACCCGTAGAGTAGTGTAGCTGCGCTGCGATATATGTCCCCGACAAATGAAACCCGAAATGCAGCCAAGTTGGCAACTTGATAGCAAAACGTCTAGCCCAGCTCCCTATGCTGCCTGCATAACGCCGTGATCCCTATGTGCTCAATGGAAAGAAAAGTACCAATAAGCCGTATGCTTCTCTCAAACTCGCGTCCTCTCCTTGTTCCGATCGTGTGTCTGTGAGGCGAAGTGGTAGACTGGCGAGTAGTCGTGTAGGGGGAGATGCCTAGAAGAAGAGCTTGAGCAGCTCGAAGAGTAGACCACCGCACAGTATAAAGGAAAGGACAACTACAGATAAACATTAGCCGTGTTTAGCTTGTATGACTGCCGAAAGGCGCAACCTACTGATCCAGCCCTTGCTGATAGGCGACTTCTGTGGTTCCCTCTTCTTTACTGGAACCGCCGTTGACTCTGGCTTGCCCATCTTCTTCTCCTGCGCCTTGGCAAACCGCATGTTCGCCTGTCGCTGCTGTGGTGTTTGCGCCTGCGAGCATGCTCGTTAGTTCACCTGCGAAAGCGTGGTCAAGACGGGGGAGGCGGGCCGCCTTGTCGCCCCGAGGTATGCCAATCGTACCATTGTGCAAGTTTACAGCTTGTGTTCCGTGTCTTGGGGTAGGAGTGAGTATTGCAGAGTGGGTGGTGCAATTGGGACTGGGGCGCGACTACGTGCTTTGAGTGGTGTGTGTTGGTCTATCCGAGTAATAGCAGTAAGGAGAGGGCCAGGCCTCGGCGGGTTGTGCAAGGTGTTCCTTTGGCAAAGTGCTGTGCACGGACCGTGGCGCTAAGGGGTGGGTTTGCGGAGATGGAGCGGAGGTTTACCCTTACTGCTTGTGACATGCATGCTGGTGCAGGCGGATATTTTGACTTGCTGCGCTTTTAGCCCACGGTTTGTGTAGGCGCATACAACCACGTTTGCTTACAACAACCATTGTGATCCTCTGCTCTGACGACGACGACTGCAAATTCCAACCTTCGAACACCGGGAAGCGGGGAGCGCCACCATAGCTGGCTGTGCGACACGGGAGAATCGCCGTCATGAACCACATCAGAGCAACACGCTCGCTCTGGAGCCGACGAGCGATACCGACAAGAGTGAGGGTGCACCATTTATCGCGAACTTACGCAGCTGAAACTGCTTCACCACACCCGCCCAGCTTGCCACCAAACCCAAATTCAAGTTCTCCGCCTCCACCACCAAAGGAACCATCGCGCGTAGTACGTCATACCCCAATTCTGCGCCAGCCATACACACTCCTACCACAACCCCCAACGATAGCACACTGACAAAGCGACTAGGGCGCATACTACGGTACATTCGGCTCGCCTATCTTGAAATGCTTCCTCGGCGCCCTCTTCACATACCAATTAGCCTACTACGTGTGGTACAAACTCGAGACGATTGAGGAGACACACGACACAGAGGCCGAGATCCGCGACTTACAGGAGGAACTGCGACAAGCGATTGAGAAGCAGAGATACATGGCACAGCAGAAATGGGGCCAGGCGACAGAGGCCATGGAGAGGGAGAGGGAGGAATTAGAACAGGCTATAGATGCCGTCGTCGGCGAGGTCAGGGAGGGTGTAGATGGTGTGGGTAAGGGGACGAGAGTAGCGAGTCGCGTGGCTAGGGGCGGATGGTGGCCCTGGTGAGGTATGCCGTACTGATATTTAAGACGGATAGATGATACCCCCTAGCGGTACACTTTACTACGTGGCTTAGGGAGCTGTTGTAACCACCTTCGCTCATCCTTGGCCTCCTCTCTTCTCAAACTCGTGTCATTCGACTTTCCCCAGCCTTGCCTATCCCATTCTCAAACACTGTCCTGTCTGTTCGGTCGCGTAAGGGTATTCGAGGCACCCTCTCAGGTTCGCGCCTGGTCCAACCTCTCGAATTACTTGGCTTGTTCATACGTATCTCAGATCCTCGCCAACGATTCCAGTTCGTGGTTTGCGGAAAGTGGCAATGGTGCCAAAGCCTTGATGCTCAATGCCACCATGTACTCTGCGTGACCCTAGTTTCCTCAACCACTGTCCGGAGATAGTGATATTTCATGTTGCAGTGCATAGTCTCCTCCTTCAGCCAAAGAACTCGTCTGATACAAGCGACTCCCATGGCTTTCCAGTCTCCCAGACACTCTTCATGAGGTTGCTTATCTTCGGCACCTACATCATTGTCAGCAGAGGTAATCTCACAGAGAACCGCCTATATACGTACGTGGTTGAGTCCAAATCCCTCCACGCCTTTCAGCCGGTCCAGGATCTTCTCTCTCTGCCCCTCGTCTTGCGCATCGCAGCCAGCAGCAAACATTGGAAATATCAGACATGCTTCTGCCGTACTGCCCCTCCGGATCTTGTACAATAGTCCTACAATCTCCCGCACTGCGTTTTGTACTTCGGCGTCCATGGCTGGTTTGCCAAGTATGCGGCGATACAGGTGAATCAGTCCAGCCCAGTGAAATAGTTCATTTGTCGCGTATATTTCACTGGCATCCCATACACCTTCAGATTCCGATGACGTACTTGAACGGTGATTACAGCCTTTCCTGATGTTCCGATCCAGCAAACCTTCTTCAAGTGCGCGACGAATTCTTACAGCTTCCTCTACGATTTCAGGCCCGGGTACCCAGCCTTCACGTACATTACCTTCCTCATCTATACGCTGCGGCTCGCAACGCTTGGCCAACTCCGAGATACGGGCCAGACTACCGATACATCGAGTGGTGAAACCCATCAAGCAGTCAATTTCAAAGTCTTCGTCTGTAGCTGTGTTTTCGTTGGACCAATAAAAAGATGCGAGTGGTGTACCGTTCTTGTTTCCACTGAGAGAGCCAATGACATCCAGATACGCAAACCACCTAGACACAAAGTAAGCGACACGATCATGACGGCCCATTCCCGTCATGCTCTTCGGTCCGCCACGTTGGATGATCATCTGACGTGCCATGGTAAGGTGACTTCGCCAAGAAACAGGCACTTCGAATGTACCCGAACATACAATCTCCACGCTAGCCATCATTACAATAGCAGCGAGAGTACTGTCAGGAATATCATGAGGATTCTCATTCAATGATCGGCGCAGTTTGGGAAAAACATCTTGTACCCAGACAGCGATACGGTTTGACGGTGCAGGATAATGTAGCATACGTGCGCGGTGTGAAGCACCAAAGGCCAGAATGAGGTTCATGATGCTCTCGTCTTGGACAGCCACTATCGGAATTAGCTTTTGGTCATACTGATCTTCCAATATACCTACTTCCTGGCAAAATTTGTCGGAACGGGTTCCTTTCGCAGTCATGAGGTACCAACATGCGAGCTATGTGATTGATGAAATGATGGAAGTAGAGCAAATTCATTTGGTTTTCCATGAGCAGAGGCGGTAGAGGTTCCAGATTCTTTGGTATCCTGATTGGCATCGGGTTCGCGTAGTAACCTCCGCCCCTGAGTGCCGTGTCTTTTTCACGGGCGTCCGCCATCCCATACGGAGTGTCATCAAGTTCCATGGCATTATTAGGTGGACTGAAGAGGGCAATGGCTGAACTGTCATTGTTTCTGGGGGTGTCCAAGTCAGGAAGGCCGAGATCATAGCCGTACGTCGTCCAAGTAGAGTCGGCAATGGGATATTGCCGTCCATGGTCAGCCTCAGGACTGTACTGATGCGGTTCAGGTCCAGGCATGTCATTAATGAGAGATTTCACCGACACGCGCCGAAGATCTGCGGGCGAAAGCTCTGAATCATGTGACGTATGTGCTGCTTGGAGAACAGAGTAGTCCGGGCTGCCTAATGCCGATGTCAGTAGCATAGCCGGGTAGGAGCTGTAGTGCGACGGCGAACCTGCGTAGGGCGACTGCGAGTCTGCAAATCTTGTTTCAGGCGACTCTGAAGAGAATCCATTTTGCTGGCGCATAGAGATGAAATCTGCAGATCCCTGTGGTGGTAGCGTTGTAGCGTTTACAGAAGTGAAGTTGGGGTCGAGACCACCGGTTGTAGATGCGACATGTGAATGGCTATCGAGCGCGCTTTGGAACTGCGCTTGCGCGTAAGGCGCTGACATTTGCAACCCATGTCCTTCTTGGAAGTAAGGGTTCTCGCTCATAAATCCTGCGTTGATGGTGCCCGGCGGTGTGCTATGCATCAAAGCTGGATCAATGACCTGCGTGGATTTCGGCAGAGAAACATTCGAATGGGAACGAGAATGCCTAGATCCCACGAGTGAATTGGGTGTAGATGGGAACGGTCGAGGGCCCTCTTCTTCAAAGGAGAATATGGACTGATACGGGCTGCCTGAGGCCGCACTCGGAGTTCCGGGACCTGCCCCCATCATCTCTCGTTTTGCACGCCCGCCCCAGTTGAGCCGAATGCTGTAGTCGCAGGCTTCCCCTTGGCGTTCGCAGTTTGTACATTGTGGTTTCTCCTCTCCGCTACACACATAGTTAGACATGCCATTCCCACCATACCCTATTCAACGCATACCATTTCACTTTTCGAGCCTTACAAGGCCTAGGCAATGTTAGTATAGGGCTAAGTGCTTGAGACAGAAATCATTACCAGCACCCGTTGCGCGATCGTTTCTTCGGTTCGACACCGGGTTTCTTTGGCCGTGGCATAATGCCAAGTAAATAGACTTTAGTCAGCGAGGAAGTCGATACCGTTATCACTAACAGCTGTCACCAGTTGTTCAGTCAGCTCTTGTGCGCAAGACCAGAGCAAATCCATGTGAAGCGGATGATGCAAGCTGAGTTGTGTGAGATTGATGACTAGAAGGAAGCTAGACTTCGGAGTGACACGCGTGGATATTAGGTAAACGAGGGCGTGCATCTAGCGCCTCCGACCAACTGCCACACAGACAGAGGCTGTGCGTGCAATGGCTTTGGCTTATCTGGTTGTGGCGCTCAAACATCAGTGTTAATCCCAGGGGGATCGCTCAGCCCCAATACATACATGGAGCGGATTAGGGAGAGTGAAGGGTCCGATAAAGTCCCCCGCACTTTCGCGTCATGCGCCAATCGTAGCTCTAGACCTGGACAAATCCACAGACCGGGAGCGGCGCGGCCATCATTCGCCATCAACACCTCGTCCGGTCTCATTACAATCTTACTCCGGATAGCAATGGGAACGAATGCACATGTATCTCATTTAGTCGTGTCTGCACCAAGTCGTCCGCCTCACGGACGAGCCACGCGGCCGTGTCGCACTTGTTTCACCGCCACTACCCAACAGTCACCACCATGGGCTCAGTCCATGCGCATCTGAACTCTAAGAATATCTACAACCTGTTGAGAAAGAATGACTCTCTCAGTCATGGCATGTAAGTGTGTCAATTGCTAACTATACAAAGCTCGGCTAATATAGAGCGGTGTGGGTCATGTGACTTAGCGTCCTCGTGACAGGTGACCGGAATATTCTCAACACAACCTTTAAATTCTGTCGTATATGCCAAGTGCACTATTAATCTGCCAAGCGTCATCATGCCTAGATGGCTCTTTTCTGGTATGGTTTGCTCCCTAACGAGCCATCTCCAACCTCACGTGCCGCCTATGAAACTTTGACTGGTACAGTCACTACCATCGCTCGTTTTCTGAGACTGCCCGTATGGTTGAGGCCTCAGACAGGGCCCTGGTCGTAGACTCGAAGTCCGAAGAGGGAATGCGTGATTCCGCCGTCGTGATTGAGGGTTGACTGGCATGGGTACTGGGTCGCTCCTCTTCGCCGGATTCATATATATCCCTCATACTTTCGCTCTCGTCCTGGCTCTGATCCTCGGCTTCGCTCCCATAGTCTGTATTTGCAGCTTCGGCCTCAAGGGCAGTCATACGGTTCACAAATTCATTCTGCAATTCCTTGAGCCATGCGGTGAGCACTTCTCCCTCTAGCACGCCATTATGTGCTTGGACGAGATGCTCCTTGAGATTCAGAATGAGTTTGCGCCGTTTCTCCCGAAGTATTGTTTCAGATGCTTTCTCCCTTTGAAGCATGTGACGCTCGACCTTTTGTGCAACTCGCGTAGCATGCTCTATGACCCCGGGAGGAAGCGGCACAACTCGGGCAAGTGTGAGTCCGTAGTGTACCTCTCTGACGACACCTTGAGTTGCTCTGTAAAGCATAGTCATGCTGTGCTCGTCATCAATCTGCACACATGAGCTTAGACTCGCTCAGTTAGGATGGAACTTACCTGAACTGCCAGATGCAGGTTCTGGACTCCAGCACGCTCGCCCATGATGGTCGCAAGGTCCTTAAAATGAGTTGCAAACCACACAAGAGCCTTTCAATAAGTCAGCGGTGTATGTTTAGGACATTATGAAACTTACTCGACTCGAGACAAGGGCTTCAGCAATAGCCAAAGCGATAGCCAAGCCATCTCTGGTGCTTGTACCACGACCCAGTTCGTCGATTATGACTCTACCAAGGCATTAGCATCAAATTGTTTATCCCCGATCCGCCAACTTACAAGCTGTGCCGGTCAACATTGCGCAGGATGAAAGCGATATCTCGCATCTCAGCTGAAAAAGTAGACACATTGGTTTCGATATTGTCATCCATCCCCAGTCTAGCAAATAACTGGTGTAGGATGGGAAATGAAGCGTAGTTGGCGGGGACACTGTTTTCAATCAGTAAAAAGCAGTAAAAGGTCTAGAAAACGGGGACATCGTACTAGGAGCCTATCTGAGCCATGATAGTCATCAAAGCTACGGAGCGAACATAGGTACTCTTTCCACTCATATTACAGCCAGTGATGATCTGGAATCGAGTCTGCTGCGTGGCATAAACATCATTGGGGACAAATTTAGTCTGCATGATCTTTTCCTTGATTGGGTGTCGTCCAGCGTCAATTGCCAACGTGTCGGTAAGCTGTGGCTGAGCTGACAAGAAGTTAGTGCAGAGCTAATCTTGAGGTGCTAAAACTTACTGTAATTGTTGACGGTGACCAGCTGTGCGAACGCACCAATCTGCATTCGATGAGTCTGATTGATCATGGAGGGTGATGAGCGCCACATACCATGTCAAGCATCGCTATAGCTTCGCAGATCTTGAACATGACAGACATGTGGCTTCGGACTCCATCTATGAGAGTCTCTACAGCTTGGTCGCCTACTCATCGTTAGCAGAGAAATTTCGGACAGTCGGGCCCATTCATACTCATGAGTATCACCTCTTGATGCGATACATTGATCTAAAGGTAATTAGCATGACTCCATGTCCCACTTATGTACATGCCTTCTGGTTACGCTTCATCAACTCCAGAGTCTGGCACTCGATGTAGTTCTTGCGACGGATCACGTTGGTAAATATCGGTGGCAAAACCTTGTCTTCAAGTTCGGATGTGGCAATCTTGATATAAAACTGACGAGCGTTTTCAAACTTGAGATCAAGTCTGATGTCATATTCGTCTTTGCAGTGTTAGTGGAGGCTTCATTTACGTAAGAAGTAAATCGCCTCACGACTAAGTTCGGTTGAGTGCTGGTATGCATCCTCGGTAGCTTCTTTGTAAGTAGTACGAGCCACATCGAGTAGACCGTTAACACCGGATTTGACAGCATATATACGCTGATTCCTCAATTCCAGAGGTTGTCTGGCGTATATCGTGTCCTCGTTGATCACGATATCGATGAGTTCCTGTACGGGTGCCACATTTTCCGGAGCACATAGTTCGCGGACGTTGTTCAGCATAGTGGCTGAGGTCCCAGTGAGAGCCTCGAATATGGGATTCACAGAATGAACAAATTGCTTTAGCATGATGACTTGATTGATAGCCTGCTCTGTCGTTTGCAGAGTAACCTTGTTTGGTGTGACAATGAGTGCAGTCAGTATCCGATCAGCGTCGAGGAAGTTCTTCAATGCTGCCCGAGTTGCAAAGAACAACTCTTCCTTCTTAGTCATGTCGTCTACGGCAGCATACCGGGTGTTGAGCATTTCTGGGTCAGTGAGTGGTTGTAGGACATTGTTCCGCAGAAGTCGTGCACCCATAGGTGTCAGGGTCTCGTTAAGGAGGCCAAAGAGACAGTCCCTGGATTTTGGGTCACGAAGATTTTGGACCAGTTCAAGTGAATAGATTGTGGAGACGTCGATCATCATCGATCCTTCGGAAGGCTCATACCTTATCCTGAGTGAGTGCATCGTGAAAACCATACCTAGGCCCAAATCGATGTACTTGAGCGCCTAGGATGTCTGTTATGAGCGCACTTGAAAGTAGAGCAGAAAGCTCACCGCAGCAATACAGCAGACAGCATAGTAGTTACCCATGACAGAAATGTTGATAGCTTCGACATCTTCCCTGAAGGCTAGCGAGTGAATGTAGTCATATCCTGTCGATTCGGCCCAATAGCGCCGATCAAGCAGGGTTAGCTTACTGCCAATGTCGTCAATGTTCTCCTCTATGATGGAGAAGAGCTTTGACTTTGGACTTGCTGCAGTGGACACGATTAGGATCTCTGAAGGCCCGTAGACCTTGAGTTTGTGGACTGTTCGAACGAAAGTCTGGCTGTCGCAGATTTGACAGAGTACTGCTTCTGCTGTATCGAGGTTTACAAAGGCCAAGCCGACGGTGGGGGAGATGCCACGAGATTCGGCAATGGCACAGACGACGTGTTGAGCATCGACCCTTGCGATTGTAGAAGCGCCAGTCCTTGGCCGTGCAGTCGATGGTCTCGCAGTGTTTCTGCGAGTTCCTGGACGGGATGTCTGTGTATTACTATAGCCGTAGTAGTCGTACGATGCGGACGCAGGCTGGGATCGCTGAGACATGAGGGTTGGTCAGGGAAGGCCGGAGTTAGTGCTTGTTAATGATTTGCGTATGTTGCTCGCTCAGTTGCAAAAAAAAACTGAGAGAGAAAAGACTCTTGACGCGAGACGTGAAAGAACCCTGAGAGGAAAGAGCGACGGGAGACGCGTCGGCCCTCGGAGAGGGGTCTATCCAGGGTGGGGATGCTTAGCGCGTTGCCTTATCGATAAGACCAAAATTATTTTCTACTTTGTCACTCAGAGTCGCGCAGGCTCAAGCGATAGAAAGCAGCCTGTGGATCGAAGACTTGCTCTATCTCACCTCCAAAGTTTGTTTCGGAGATATTTGCAGCATGGCGACTCAGTATCCACCACCATCAAAGCGCCAGAAGCGGGAGCAGGCAGAAATTGCGCGTCAGCAACAAGACATTGACACGACAATACCCGACGGCACTGTACGAGTGCGCTTCGTCGACCAAGCCACGGGCAAAAGTGGCGATCTGCCAGTACTCACCGTTCCGCTGTCACAAGCGTCAACTAAGAATCTCGAGCTTCTTCTCAACAATCTCAAAGACCAGGCCGACGATCAAATACCGTACCGCTTCTTCCCCGACGGTGCTACCGAAGCGCTTGCGGACAAGGACGATCTCTACAATGCCTTGGTTAAGCCGGGAAAAGCGTCAGCAGAGAGTGAGATAGTGCTTCAGTATGCACCTCAGGCTGTCTTCCGCGTAAAGGCTGTTTCACGGTGCGCGGCAGCAGTCTCTGGCCACGGCGACAACATCCTGGCAGTAAACTTCTCTCCTGTCAGCTCCAGCCGAATGGCGAGTGGGAGTGGAGACAAGACAGTAAGAATCTGGGACTGCGATACGGGCACGCCAGTGCACACGTTGAAAGGGCATTCGAGGTGGGTCTTGGCCGTCAGCTACTCGCCAGACGGTTCTCTGCTAGCCTCCGGAGGGTACGACAACGAAGTGAGGATATGGGATCCAAACACGGGCAAGCAGATTGGCGGTGCCCTGAAAGGCCATACCCAATTCATCACCTCGCTTTCCTGGGAACCTTACCATCTACAAGAGGCGGGACGACCGCGAGTGGCCTCTTCTTCCAAGGATGGCACAGTCAGGGTGTGGGATGCAATCGGCGGCAGGATTGACTACGCCCTTTCCGGCCACAAGGGCTCTGTGACATGCGTGAAGTGGGGTGGTACGGGACGCATATATACGTCCTCGCACGACAAGACCATCAAGGTCTGGGACGCGGCCACTGGTACGCTTATCAACACATTGTCAGGCCACGCGCATTGGGTCAATCATCTAGCTCTTTCCACCGACTTTGTCTTGAGGACTTCGTATCACGACCATACACGCAAGGTACCATCCACTCCCGAGGAGAAGCTCGCCAAGGCCAAAGCGCGCTTCGAAAAGGCTGCTACAACCAACGGCGAAGTGGTAGAACGCCTAGCAACGGCATCGGAGGACTGCACCATTATACTGTGGACTCCTTTGACGAGTACGAAGCCAGTCACAAGGATGACAGGCCATCAGAAACAGATCAATCAAGTCACCTTCTCTCCAGACGGCTCACTCCTGGCATCTGCGGCTTGGGATAATCATGTCAAGCTGTGGTCAGCTCGAGACGGCAAGTTTCTCAACACACTGAGAGCGCATGTGGGTCCCGTATACATGACATGCTTCTCTGCAGACAGCCGATTGCTCGCGAGCTGCAGCAAGGACACGACCTTGAAGGTTTGGGACATGAGGACTGGGAAACTAAAGGAGGACCTACCGGGCCACAAGGACCAGGTGTTTGCGCTGGACTGGAGCCCGGATGGTGACAGGGTGGGGAGTGGCGGTGCGGACAAGCAAGTACGGATATGGAGCAACTAAACGAGCATATGTCATAGTAGGATAAAAGTCAGGACGATACAAGGTGAAATGATACCCCCGGTGCAAGGACAATTCACAGCCCATGAGTCTCTAATGGTGTGTTCTAGTGGAATGGACGAGTCCCCATGTACTGGTCATATTTGGCGTCTAGCATGCATACTAGGCTAAAGCTTGAACGGTGCCCAGCGAGTAGTTTGGGATGAAGCCGCAGGTCAGCCGAGGGACAGACGAGATGGGTAGACGGCACGTGCCCGGCGACCCCGCAAAAAAGCTAAAATGACGTCATGGCACAGGTCCGACATTAGGGAACCACGCCATACACACGATAACTAAGCTCAATTGGTGTATTTAGTATTATTTACGGTGGGTTAAAGACACTCTGAATAGCTAGTCAAGTAGCTGCGTATCTGCTGACTAGGATTCGGTGCGTGCCCATGTCGTGGAACGGCTACGCGGCGCAGCTGTGGCTACGAGTGATGGAATGATGCGGCGTCGGTCTCGAGTGGAGCTCAATGGGCAGTTTATGGCCAATCTCTGTCTCGGGGCACGTCAATCGCGAATGCAAACGGAAGCTTCCCTGTCGGCGACGCAATGTGCTGCCTTGGATGGCGTTCCGGGCCTCTGCCATGCTCTTTCCCTGTTTCCTTGCTCTACCACACATGCATTTCTCCACGACCAGTGAATCCATGACTTTACACTTGCACCATCAGACGATTGCACACATCCGACATTCGCTTGCCCCAGACCCCCACGCACTTGTCGACGCGCTACCCCGTACCGTTTCATCATGTCCGGCGTAGACGACGTAGACGCACAGCGCAGAAACTACCGACGGCCACACAACGCGCACAATCCCATACCTACTGTCCAAAAGTACCGCGAAGAGAAGCAAAGGAGAGCAGACGAGTACGGCTATTCAGAAGACGCGGGCAACGAGCCAAGCACACGCGACCGCCTTGGTGACGCCTTCAATGTCTTCAGGCATGGCAGGGACGTGGAGAAGGCCAACAATGGCAACGGTCCATATGTAGCCACCAACAAGAATGTCGAGCAGGAAGATGAATTGGCCGACGACCACGCTGGGAAGACCGTGTCAAGCGACAAAGACCAGGGCACTCCACAAGACCAAGATGACGACCAAGGTGTAGAGGACACAACAGAGGGCTACCTGAAGTCGTCAGATCCCCGACAGGCGCGCAAGCAGATGAAGAAGTTCCAAGCAGACGGCACGGAGCGCGAGGTTACAGACCCCGTCACCCATCTGCCAATCAAGATCCACGACTACACCAACCAGGAACTGAAGAGCACTGCGAAGAACCCACCTCCCCCCGGATCAGAGCCGCGGACAATGACCGGCACCGATGCAATTAACAAGAGCGACGAGCATCTCGAGGATGAGGCACAAGAGTCCCGGGATGCACATGCCGGCATGGACGTCTTGTTCCCCCCTCCTTCGTTTGACAGAACCCGAGGCGAGATTACAACCGTCTATCTGTACGCCGTGACTGTGGGCGTGGGTGCTGCTGCCGTGGGCTTGATGTTGGTCAATGCGCTGTTCTGGCCGACGCGACACTCGACGGGCTGGATGAGACAGCTGCTCAAGCTTGCTGAGCTCGGCACAATGGCAGCAGTATCTGCAGGCGTCATACTCTTCATTCGTCAATGGTCAGAGAATAAGATCAAGAATGTGTGGGACGCCGAGGTGTGGCGGGCAGAGCGAGATCAAGGCCAAAAGCTGGCCAAGACCCAGACGGCCGAGAGTACACAGTGGCTCAACTCGCTTCTGGCTTCAGTATGGCCGTTGATCAATCCAGACTTATTCACAAGCATATCCGACACACTCGAGGTAAGGAAAACAAGCACGATGCGTATCGATCGCACAAACTAACACTTGCAGGATGTCATGCAAGCCTCTCTCCCGAGCATGGTTCGTATGGTGGCTGTCGAGGACCTTGGTCAAGGTAGTGAGGCTCTTCGAATTCTCGGTGTCCGCTGGCTCCCTACCGGCGCAGCTGCTAGGTCGGTCGCCTCTGACGGAAATCTCAAATCCTCTGGTGAGGAGAAGGGTGACCGGACTGTCCAAGACAATGGCGAGGGTCAAGCTCAACACCAACAAGACACAATGGAAGCCGAAGATGGCGATTTTGTTAACGTGGAAGTTGCATTCGCATATAGGCCATCAACGGGTAAAGGCATTAAGTCACGTGCTAAACATGCGCATCTGCTGTTAGCATTCTACCTCCCAGGCAACGTCAAGCTCCGTAAGTGTTTCCTATCTATCTGATACGCCAACTAACATTTTTCAGCTGTCTGGGTTGATCTCGCGGGCGTCGTTGGTGTAATGCGTTTCCGTCTGCAGCTGTGCCCCGATCCCCCATTCTTTTCCGTCTGTACCATGGCATTCATGGGCCAGCCGAAAGTCACACTGTCGTGTGTCCCTCTGATTAAGAAAGGACCAAATCTTATGGATGTACCTTTGATCTCCAAATTTGTCCAGTCGTCCATGGATGCCGCCTTGGCCCAATATGTCGCCCCCAAGTCTTTGACGCTGGACCTCAAGGATATGTTGATGGGTGATGATTTCAAGAAGGACACAGTAACCCAAGGTGTGATTATGGTTCACATAAAGCATGCATTCGACTTTAAAGAGGGAGACACCAAGATTGGGCCTTTCGGATCAGGCTCCGCTGACCCTTATATCAGCGTAGGTTGGGCAAAATTTGGAAAGCCGGTTTGGTCTACTCGTGTCTTGAAGAGCAATATGGAGCCTTCCTGGGATGAGTTCTGCTTTGTTTGCGTTACCTTCGACGAATTGAACGTCGATGAAAAGCTGAGACTACAGCTGTGGGACAGCGATAGGGTCTCAGCCGATGACGACCTGGGACGTGTCGAGCTGGATCTCAAAGGTCTGATGAAGGGTGACGAGACGAACGGCAAGATGCAGGACCGTGAAGACGGGTTTAGAGCCCTCAAAGCCGGAGAAGGCATGCCTGGGAAGCTGAGCTGGAGTGTCGGCTACTTTACGAAAACCAGAATCACGGACGATCAGCTAGCCATGCAAGACGAAGACCCCGATGTCAAGTCGATAGACCAACTGAAGAAAAAGATGTACGCGGAAGCAGAAAACAAACTTCGAGAAGCGAGCCAGGATCATCAAGATGAGGTAGAACAACAAAAGAGAGAGGACTTTAAGAATCGCCAAGATCAGCTCATTATCGCTTCACCGCCATCTGAGGATTACCCCTCTGGTATTCTGAGCATTCAGATCCACCAGATCACCGGTTTGGAATTGGAAACGCTGAACAAGAAGCAAGCTTCCGCCAATGCGGAGGCCACTGATGAAGAAGAAGAAGGTGAAGACCTTCCTTCGTCGTACTGCACGATAATCTTGAACCACAAGAAGGTTTTCAAAACACGCACCAAGCCGAAAAACTCGAAGCCGTTCTTCAATGCTGGTTGCGAACGCTTCATTCGTGACGTCCGCAATACCGAGATACACATCGCAGTACGCGATGCTCGCATTCACGAGGATGACGCACTGCTAGGCATTGTGTATCTTCCCTTGGAAAAGGTTTTTCAGAAGCGCACCCAAATCAATTCCGTTTTCCCACTTGCAGGAGGTATAGGTTATGGACGTATCCGTGTGTCTATGGTGTTCCGAAGCATCCAAATCCAATTGCCGAAGAACATGCTCGGTTGGGACTATGGTACCGTGGATATCAAACCCTCTGTGAAAGCTATCGATCTCCCAGAAGACTTGCAGCCACTGAGGCTTAAGGTGCGGACCTCGCTGGATCATGCGAAGTTGCATTCACGCGGACGCAATGGTAAAGTTCATTCGGAAGATGGTTCAACTGTCTGGACATCGAGGAGGAACAGACCAATTCGCTTGCCTGTTCGTGCGCGGTACTGCGCCCCGCTGGTCTTCGAGTTTAGGCAGGATGCGACATTGAAAGATCACACGCCTGCTTTCGGCGTTTTTTGGCTCAAGGACATACCTGATAACGAGGAGCAAACGGTGCGTGTCCCCATTTGGAGTGGCGACTTGAAGCGTGCTGAGGAAAACGTGCTCGACACCTATGGCGAGAAGGTGGGCGAGATTGAAGTAACGTTAACGATGTGGTCCGGCCTATCTGGTTACCATGAGAAGCTTGCCAAGGGAGATAAGCATCTGGCGCAAGTCATGGAAGTCCTCGACACTTGTAACGACCAAGAGTGGGATGATTGGGACGATTCGCAGAGCTCTGACAGACCCGACATCAATAGCAACAAGGAAACCGACAATGACAGCTCAAGCTCTTCTTCTTCTGACTCGGAGGAAGATGGTGATAGCGGCCCCAGCAAGTTCCTACCAGACTTCCTTCAGAAAGATAAAAAGAGCAATTCAAAACTGAGCGAGCATGGTGGTCGAGGCCCCATTAGCCAGACCAAGGAATACAATGCCTCTGCAAAGCAGCTGCATCGGAGAAATAGGGGCATGATGCAGTGGAAAGGACCTCGAACATTGGCTTGGATGAAGCATGTAGGTGATCGCGGAAAGAAGAAGGTGGGCCACTTATTCAATCATCATGAACGGAGCGGCGATGGGATCGAGACGGAGGCTTAGGCTTCGCTTGAGGGTTCTTGTCGCATAGCGTGTGCGTTCGGCGTCAACTTATGAATTTGTCTTCTAAGATTAATCTGTCTACTTTGGTTATGTATAATTAATGGAGGCTTAAGTTGACTTGCTCTCTATCCAGTCTTGAATCTCAGCAAATTCAGTTGCCCATGCAACACGACTGTTGCTGAGCCCATGGCAGTCTCTCAGTCTCGGGCATGGTATTCCCAACCTGTTCAATGCATCGGCGAGTTGCTTCTGTGATGTCCCCATAGAATCGTCACGCATGCAAATACCAAAGTCTGCCGCAAGTAGACATTCGATATCTGTCCAACTATCACCTATATAGATCTTTTGCCCCTTTATAGCCTGCATGCGTTCAAATTTATCGCCACTTGATATGATGAGGTCTCCATCAGCATTATCAATTGGTACGATCTGGCCTGTGGAAGGCTCATCAGAGCACAGGCTATCGAGTTCGTTGGCAAGGATGGCATGCGAGGGTACTGTAGATCCTGAAGCTCCAAGGCAGGATTGGATGAAGTGGCGGGACCAGTTGACACTTAAGATGATGAAGCTGCGATGCGCCTGAGATTGAATGCTCTGATAGAAAGAAGAGAAACCTTCGCGTAGCTGTACCTGGCGGGAGGTAATGGCCTGGTGTGCGCCTGTTTCTATGACGTGGCTGGTCAGGCCTGCGAATATACCAGACGAGGATACGCGACTGAGACTACGGGCTTCTACGTCCTTTAGTTGTTTCAAGAGCTGTTTCTCTTCTTGGACTGTATTGGGCAAGGCGCCATCTGGGACAAGCTGCTTTAGGGTGGCTGTGTAATCACGCATGTAGGCTTTCGAGAGGCGCTGCCAGTGATGCAGAGTGGGAACCGCGGGTTTCGTGGATGCGGCAATGCCGACGAGAGTGTCCAGGGTGTCCTTTTGAGTGATGGTACCGTCCCAGTCGACGATCCAATGGACTGGGTGGGCCTTGTCGAAGACATGCGTCGTGGACATTGCTCTTTCCTGTGGTAGCGACAGAGTCTCCTCACTCACAGCTTTTCTAGTGCAGGCAGGTTGGGCTACTGGAGCCGACGACATGGTGGTGGTGCCGGAGTTTGCGATGCTGTGATTGCTCCAGCAGCCGGAAAATGGCGCACGCGTCAGGAAACAACAACGGCGCAGGTAACTTTTACCGGGAAGACGCGCCATTTGTATCCCCAAGGCCAGACCTTGCCAACGCTCTTTTCTCAGACTATGAGGGTATACAATCGCCATGCTTTTTCTTAAACGCTGTCTCGCCGCAGCGTCTCGCGATGCCTTGCCTGGTCACGAGCCAATGGCAGCGGCGCTATTTGCATAACCCGTTCGCAACCGAGGCGTCTCGTTGGTCGCATTCCTCTAAAGGCATCTTGATGCGAATGGCAGCAGGCGACTGTCTCCTAAGTACAGTTGGAGGCGATTGACGGCACAGCGGTCGACCAAGGTAGAAAATAACAAGTAACAAGGCCACACCCTTCTCCGTATATCTACGCTCGTCTCTCCCACCATCTTCTGCCCCTCTCTCACAAAGCCCCAACTTGCCCACTTCCCCATTCCCCCACATCCACGTCCACGATGGCTCCAGGCACAATCGAGAACGACACAAACGCTGGCAACGGCACTGCTCTGAAGCCAACGGCCCGCTCCTTCCACCCCACAGGCACCCCAGATCCCGCCAAATACCACGCCTCGTCGTCGCAAGAAGCCATCCAGACCGAGGCAGCCTTTGCAGCCCACAACTATCACCCCCTTCCCATTGGTGTGTCATGACCGTCTTGCTGCAGGTAAACGCAGTACTAACCCCGCCTAGTATTTGCAAGAGCGAGTGGATGCAGCGTGTGGGATCCAGAGGGCAAGCACTATCTCGACTTCCTCTCCGCCTACAGTGCCGTCAACCAGGGCCACTGCCACCCCGAGCTCGTCAAGGCCCTGACCGAGCAGGCATCGCGGTTGACACTCAGCAGTCGCGCCTTCTACAACGATGTCTTCCCCCGCTTCGCCGAATATGCCACCAAGCTCTTCGGCTTCGACATGATGCTCCCCATGAACACAGGCGCTGAAGCGGTAGAGACGGCCGTTAAGATTGCGCGCAAGTGGGGTTACAAAGTCAAGGGCATTCCGCAGAATGAGGCCCTCGTCTTTTCTGTGCAGGAGAATTTCCATGGACGCACTGTATGCAGCAGCCGGCCCCCGCCATAGATGCTTCAGCTAACGCTATGAATAGTTCGCCGCCATCACCATGTCGACAGACCCCGAGTCCCGCGAGAACTATGGCCCATATCTTCCCGGCATTGGAAGTGCCTGCCCTGCCACAGGCAAGCCAATCCGCTACAACAACGTCGATGATGTACGCGAGGCCTTTGAGATGCACGGAAAGAAGACTGCTGCCTTTCTGGTTGAGCCGATCCAGGGCGAGGCCGGAATCGTGGTACCGGATGACAGCTACCTGAGGGAGGTACGGGCGCTTTGTGATGAACACAATGTCCTTCTCATCTGCGACGAGATCCAAACAGGCATCGCGCGCACAGGCAAGATGCTTTGCCATGAGTGGAGTGGCATCAAGCCTGATTTGGTTCTATTGGGCAAGGCCATCTCCGGTGGCATGTATCCCGTCTCGTGTGTTCTCGGCTCCAAAGAGGTCATGCTCACCATTGAGCCTGGTACCCACGGCTCAACCTATGGTGGTAACCCGCTCGGCTCCGCTGTCGCCATCCGTGCTCTTGAGCTGATCCAGGAAGAAAACATGGTGGAGCGTGCAGAGACACTGGGCAACAAGTTCCGGGACGGTCTCAAGAGCATGAACAGCCCCATGATCAAGACAATTCGCGGCAAAGGCTTGCTGAACGCCATCGTCATCGACGAGAGTAAGACCAATGGACACAGCGCGTGGGATCTATGTATGCTCTGCAAAGAGAAGGGATTATTGGTAGGAAGAGCCCTCAAGATTATGCATGTGAGAGACATTACCGGTGCTGACTCTGACGGACAGGCGAAACCCACACACCAGAACATCATCCGCCTGGCACCGCCACTTGTCATCACTGAACAGGAGATTGATTCGGCTCTGTCCATCATCAAGGCTGCTATGGAAGAGCTACCCAATCTCAAGGGCAAAAGGGAAGAAGAGGTGCTTACCTCGGCGGTCGGTCTGGAGAAGAACGTCCACATTGGCGTGGACAACTAGAGGCATGAATTTACGCCCTACGATACCCACAAGAGACTACGCAGTGGCCGTAGTTTGAGAAGAAGCACGCGTAGAAAGCATCCGCGTTGTTTGTGCTAGAGGCCAGAACCGAACTTGATGACATGACACCCGTGAAAACTCGCAAAGTCCAACACCATATCCTAACAATACATGCTACTACTACTTTCACTCATGGCAATTGAGCCGAGCTCACTATAAGCGTACACACGTGCTTGTCGTAAGCGTAACTAGTGCTGACCTCGGAACTGCAGCCCTGCACATCTTGGCAAAAGACTTCGCAAAACGTGTTGAAATGATTGCTGCCCCTTCTTCGCACATACAAGCACGCCGGCTGTGGTGTTGTTGCATCGTATACCATAATCGCCCAACCATTGATCTAACAAAGTCCTGCTCCAGCTGCTCAGCGATCCCTGCACAACATGGCGTTCCCCGACACTATCAAGATCTCACCACCAATGGAATTAAGTGGAATCGGCACGTGATCTGGTACAGCTCTCTCGGGCACGCATTACAAACCCTCGGACTTTATTATCTCCCGATTTCGCTGACGTATCCTGCGCAGGCACGAGCAATTCGTAAACGTCAATGACGTGGGTCTCGTGGCCATGTCGGGGCTCCTGACGCCGATATCTGTAGCGGTATCCAAGACGAACACAGGTTGGCTGGGGCGCCGTGCGGTTGCGCGGTAGCAAAACCCTCCGACAAGCGATCCAGGCTTCCAGCAGCTGCGGGCATGATTGGCCTCATCATTGACCTTGGACCTTGGACCTTGGACCGCGTACAGAAGATGCATGTATGGAGGCGGGCCGGTGCTCAATCTGGAGTCTACAACCGGTGCAGCTCTTGGCGGTAGGGCGGGACAAAGGAAGAGAGCAACTGCAGGAGAAAACAGACAGCATGGTTGCACAGAAGACAATATCGTCCACGGCAGGCTGGTCACTGACACGCCCACATATCGGTGTGTCGGTGGGCCAGACCCTCCATGGTTGCTTTCTCCCGTCGTTTCGTCGACAAGCGATGGCCCCACATTTGCCCGATGCTGGTGGCGCGTCAAGCTGGGCTTGCCGACCTTGAATCCGAGGAAAAATGAGTGCAAAGCGGGTGTCAAAGACGTCAAGCAAGTAAAAACCATGTGCAAAAAGTACATGTTGCGTATGCAGCCCATCTACTTTGCATATATGCGGACAGGCTGACATGAGCACAACGCCATGTTAATACTCACCGGTTCGGGTCATCGGATCGTTCAACGCCCCGATGGTAACGACAAGTCCATCCTTTGACGCTTAGCAATAGCAATAGCAATACCACCCACCTCCAGGTTATGCATCGGCTGCAGCAACCGTTTATTGGCGACTTTTTATCTCCGTTTAAAACCATGCGCTAGCTGTTGAGCGAGGGCACTGATTTCATGACTGCCTGGGGCAATATAGACTAGTCTTCGCCTGTCCACTGCAAACATGTCATCTACCGATTCCTCGTGGCGTTTGCTGTTCTTGCATTTCACACCAGTCTTTTACATCTCTGTCGCGACTGCTCTATACCCCCCGTGCGACTGCCCTAATCGACCGCCCCCTCGCTGTGATCTTCCCCTTGCATTTCCGGATTCGACAACATAGTCGTCATGGCGAAGTCGCCGTCGACGTCATCCCTAGACGAAAATGAGAAGGAGAAGGAGTTTGGCCTAGTGGATCCACAGGCTGCAGCAGAAAATCCCACAGAATACGAGCCAATACGCTCAGAACCCCAAGAGAAGATTGTCGAAACTGGTGATAGCCATGGCTCAAAAGGTCGTCTGGCGAGATTACAATCATCCACAAGCGCATACTCGGAAACGAGCGACGCTGAGACGGACACCACAAGGTCAATAAGGAAGAAGAAACCATTTTACAAACGACTGAATTTTCTGAAGAGGAACCCTCCACCCGTCCCCAAGCAACGCGTTGTATGTCCTGAATACACGGCAGGGCTTTTCAGTCGACTTTCGTGGCAATGGATGCAGCCGTTGATGGCCGTGGGCTATAAACGGCCGCTGGAGAATAATGATCTTTGGATGGTCAACCCCGATAGAAGCGCTGATGTTTTGGCCGAGAGGCTGGAGGCTGCCTTCAAAAGACGGAGAGAGCAAGGCGCAGATAGGCCTTTATTAGGCGCCATGTTCGACACGTTCAAATGGGAGTTCATCATTGGAGGTCTGTGCCAACTGACAGCATCCGTCATACAGGCCGTCGCGCCTTTTGTCCTGCGCTACCTCATTACTTTTGCTGCAAGAGCGTACGTTGCTGAGAACGTCGGTGGCCCTGCGCCGCATATCGGAGAGGGTATCGGCCTGGTAATTGGAATCACAGCAATGCAGTTCTTCCAAAGTTTGGCGACCAACCACTTCATGTACCGCGGTATGATGATTGGTGGCGAGGCTAGAGGCGTTCTGATTGCTCTCATCTTCAACAAAGCAATGAAACTATCTGGGAGAGCCAAGGCAGGCGGAGCAGCGATACTCGACGCTCCGCCCGCTGATATCAAGCCAGGAAGCGAAGCAGAGGTGAAATGGTACAAGAAAATGTTGAAGAAGAAGGATCCGAAAAAGGCACCGAAATCCGCTGCGGGTGTAGCGGGCGACGGCGAAGGATGGGGCAACGGTCGAATTGTCAATTTGATGTCCACCGATACATATCGTGTCGACCAAGCCAGTGGCTTCTTCCATATGATTTGGACAGCTCCTATCGGCATTCTGATCACCACTGCATTGCTTCTTGTCAACTTGAAATATAGCGCTTTGCCTGGTCTCGGTCTCATCCTCATTGCTATGCCCCTTCTTGGCCGCGCTGTCAAGACGCTGTTCCGCCGAAGAGTAGTCATCAACAAGGTTACCGATCAACGTGTCAGCCTCACACAGGAAATTCTACAGGGCGTCCGCTTCGTCAAGTACTTCGGATGGGAGACGAGCTTTTTGGAACGCATCCAGGCCATTAGGAAAAGGGAGATTCACGGCATTCAGATTCTGCTTACAATCCGAAACGCTGTGCTGTCGGTTGGAATGTCAATGCCCATCTTCGCCTCGATGATCTCATTCATAACCTATTCCCAGGTCAACGCTGATCTCAACCCCGCGCCTATCTTCTCATCGCTGGCCTTGTTCAACTCGATGCGTATCCCGCTTAACTTCCTCCCGCTAGTCATCGGCCAAGTCATCGACGCAAACGCCTCCATCGATCGTATTCAGGAGTTTCTCCTCGCAGAAGAAGCCGAAGAGAGCGGGAAATGGGATTATGATTCCAAGGATGCTGTGGTGTTGAAGGGCGCTGACTTTACTTGGGAGCGTCACCCAACACAAGACCCGGAAGATGGCCCCCCTGGAAAGAAAGCGGATGCGAAGAAAGACAAGAAGGAAAAGAGAGCAAGTGTGAAGCCACCACAATCAAGTGGAGATACGACACCTTCAGATACGACCGTTGTGGAAGAAGAGAAGCCTTTTGAGATCAAGGGGCTCAACCTCACGTTTGGCCGGAACGAACTTGTAGCCATCATTGGTGGCGTCGGTTCTGGAAAGAGTTCGCTACTTGCGGCTTTGGCTGGTGACATGCGCAAGACCAGTGGTGAGGTTATTTTCGGTGCCTCACGTGCATTCTGTCCGCAGTATGCTTGGATCCAGAACGCAACTGTACGGGAGAATATCATTTTCGGCAAGGAATTCAACAAGAGATGGTATGACCAAGTTGTGGATGCTTGTGCTCTTCGCCCGGATCTGGATATGCTGCCCCACAACGATGCGACGGAGATTGGTGAACGTGGTATCACGGTATCAGGCGGACAGAAACAGCGCATGAACATCGCTCGGGCTATCTACTTCAATGCAGATATTGTACTCATGGACGATCCTCTGAGTGCTGTTGACGCGCATGTAGGTCGTCACATCAGGGACAACGCCATCTGCGGTCTGCTCAAGGACAAGTTCCGTATCCTGGCCACTCATCAACTGCATGTCCTCAGTGTTGCGATAGAATCATCTGGGTCGATCAAGGTCAGGTCAAGGCTGTGGATACATTCGACAACCTCATGGCACACAACGCGGACTTTGTGCAGGTCATGAGTTCTACTTCCAAGGAAGAAGAAAAGGAGAAGGAGGAGGAAGTGGATGAGGATGAGGTGGAAGCAGAGGTGAAGAGCACAAAAAAGCAGAGAAAGCAAAAGAAGCAGGCTGCGCTTATGCAACAGGAAGAACGGGCAACGAAGAGTGTCAGCTGGGAAGTCTGGATCGAATACATCAAAGCAGGAGGCGGTATCTGGGTCGGACCACTCATTTTCATCCTCCTTGTCCTCTCCCAAGGAGCTAACATTGTCACATCTCTGTGGCTCTCGTACTGGACTTCGGACAAATTTGGCTACTCAAAGGGAGCCTACATTGGCGCTTACGCTGCGTTCGGTCTCAGCCAAGCGATCTTCATGTTCCTGTTTTCCTTCTCAGTGTCCATTTTTGGAACCCGAGCTGGAAAGGTCATGCTGCACCGAGCCATCACCCGGGTCTTGCGCGCGCCCATGTCCTTTTTCGATACGACACCGCTAGGTCGCATTACGAACCGCTTCAGCAAAGATATCGATGTGATGGATAACACCATTACGGACTCGATTCGCATGTACTTCTTGACGTTGGCCATGATCATCTCGTAAGTATCTGAATCAGCCAACAAACAAGATCCAAACTAACATGCATTATAGAGTCTTTATCCTCATCATTTCGTACTACTACTTTTATGCGATCGCTCTTGGTCCCCTCTTCCTCCTCTTCATGTTCTCCGCCGCCTTCTACCGATCATCGGCTCGCGAAGTCAAGCGCCACGAAGCAGTCCTTCGCAGTACAGTGTTTTCACGCTTCGGCGAAGCAGTCATGGGTACGGCCACTATCCGCGCATATGGCCTACAAGACCAATTCTCCAAGACGGTCCGCGCGGCTGTGGACGACATGAACAGTGCCTATTACCTTACGTTTGCCAATCAACGCTGGCTAAGTGTTCGCCTCGATCTTGTTGGTATTCTGCTCGTCTTTACAACTGGTATCCTGGTTGTCACGAGTCGTTTCTCCGTTAATCCCAGCATTGCCGGTTTGGTCCTCTCATACATCCTCACCATTGTACAAATGATCCAGTTTACGGTTCGTCAGCTTGCAGAGGTGGAGAACAACATGAACTCGACTGAACGCATTCACCATTACGGAACCCAGCTGGAAGAAGAAGCGCCGCTGCATATGGGTGAGGTGCGCCCAACCTGGCCCGAGCATGGCGAAATTGTCTTCGATAAAGTGGAAATGCGATATCGTGCCGGGTTACCTCTGGTTCTCAAGGGTTTGAGCATGCATGTCCGTGCTGGCGAGCGCATCGGTGTTGTTGGTCGTACTGGAGCAGGCAAGTCGTCAATCATGTCGGCGCTATTCCGGCTGCAAGAACTTTCCGGTGGTTCGATTGTTATTGACGGCGTCGACATTGGCAAGATTGGTCTACACGATTTGCGCTCTAAGCTGGCCATTATTCCCCAGGATCCGACGCTCTTCAAGGGCACAATTCGCTCAAACCTGGACCCGTTTCATGAGCACTCGGATCTGGAGCTTTGGTCTGCTCTACGGCAAGCCGATCTCGTCTCCAATGAACAGGAAATGGAGGATCACACGAGCAGGATACATCTTGACAGCATAGTGGAGGAAGAGGGACTGAACTTTTCGCTGGGTCAAAGACAGCTGATGGCCTTGGCACGCGCCCTCGTTCGTGGTTCCCAGATTATTGTCTGCGACGAAGCCACTAGCTCGGTGGACTTTGAGACGGATGCGAAGATTCAGAAGACTGTAAGACTTATGATAGGTTGCGACTGGTTGATGTGTTGGCTAACTCTGGTGTCCAGATTGTACAAGGTTTCAAGGGCAAGACACTGCTTTGCATTGCTCATAGGTTGAAGACGAGTGAGTGAAACCAAGGCTATTACTAGCGCGCTCTTTACTGACACGGCTAGTTATAAACTACGATCGAATTTGCGTCATGGACGCGGGACTGATTGCGGAGCTCGACTCGCCACTCAAGCTGTACGATCAGGGTGGCATATTCAAGGGCATGTGTGACCGGTCTGGTATCAAGAGGGAAGAAATAGCTGGGGCAAACTAGACGTACCGGCCAAAGATGGATGCGGGTATGCGGCTCAGCAGGTAGACTAATTATGCGGCCGCTTTGCTAGGAAGCATGCAAACGCAGACTGGTACATGTGCACGGCATGGCGTTGAAAAGGCATTGGGAAAGGCGCAAGAGGAGTATTTTCGGCACGGGTAAATATTTGCATGGGGAAAGCAAAAACTTGCATGGCTGAGAGGGTGTTGACAGGTAAATAACAATGCATGTTTCGAGGGCGAATACCAAAGCTGTTGAGTTGAAAGCTAGAGGAGTGAGATGGCGGAACATTGCGACAACATGTGTCACGGCCGGAGCGTTGTACAATGGCGGGCATCTGACGGCATCATTGATGGTGGGTAGGACAAGCTATGCCTGCCAGCAGGAGTTTGCAGTTTGCATTAGTGAGACGCCAGGATGTTGGTTTCGGCGGAACGCACGTGCGCGGGAGGAGAAGGGCCTTGTCGCCTCTACGCGGAACACATCATTCGTGCGTTATCTAATCTCAGCCAGTTTGCTCTCTATCTGGGGACTAGTTTGGGTTGGCAGGGCCGAGTCTCGTGCGTCTCACTTCCGGTGGGCTGGTGGTGAAGAGACGTCGGTTTTGAGCTATTTGGTTTTGCAGCGCCATGGGGGGTTTTTGCGGTTTCAAACGCCGCCCACTAGTTTGGTCGCGGTTGAAGATTAAACGTCCAAGATATGTGGTCCGGATCAGGTCGGGACGAGGGCTATCGACGATTTGCAAGCTGGATCGTCAGGCAGAGCCCAGGTGGATGGTTAGCTGTCTCCAGCCCTCTGCCACTGCCGTGGGCGAAGCGAAATCGATACATGAGCGGCGCACGACGGGCAGGCGCGATAGTTCAAGCGTGCAGATAAGCAAGAAAAGTCGCCTTCGAAAAGGCTTCGCAGGCTCTAGGTAGGCCCGAGAAGAGCAAGTGGCGCGTTGGTGCATGACAGACAGGCAAAGACCAAGGCGCTCGGCCAGTGGCTCCGCGTGCTCTGGCGGGTCCAAACTACAGACGATGCAGAGGCATTATGCGTGCTTTAGCCGTAGACGGCGTTGGTCGCCGTCGCCGCTCAACAGCCAAGATGAGCCCACCCCCGGCTGGGCTGCGCGCACATCTGGGCCAGGGACGCTGCTAGGCCCGAAGGACCCAAGTCTTTGGTGTACTGTACCAGGCACGCTGTGAGAAGTCTAGTGGCCTTGAGCCGGCGCCGAGAGCGTACGAGGCACCATACGCAGCGCGCGTGAGGGGGCAGCAGACGCAGACGCAGACGCAGACACAGACACAGACACGATAGGCATGACATGACGACAGGGAGCAAACAACAAACAATGTCGGTAACAATGACAGTAATATTACTCGGGACTATTGGCAGCGTTGGCCGGCGTGATGCGTGATGGAGATCAGGGACGTAAAGCACTTGACCCATCCTTTCGCTTTTGCTTTCACTCTGCCGGCGGCAGGGACAGGGCTCCGAACGGTCTAGCGGGTGCGATCAAAGTCGTTAGCCTGGCGAGTGCCATCACACAGACCTCGTCCAGCTCCAGCGCCCACGGGGCCGGGCTCTGCGCTCAATTCATATCTGACTTGCTCCCACCCGTCATTGCTGCTCTGCCCAGGACCTTGCCCAGGACGCTCCTTTCACTAGGCCGCACAATTCTTCTGCTGCTGTCCCCGTGCCCCGCATCCATTGCACGACCGCATCATTGTCGTCTACTACTGTACTGTACTGTACTGTACGAACAAGACTCTTGCCCCTTCTTCTTCCACACGGACGCCCTTTCCTCCACTGTCCATCGCCCCTTCCCTGGCCATCTCACCACGGAGCCGCTTTCAGCAAACCACGACTAGTCTCTCTCAATCTCTCACTCTCACCATCCCGAGCCCCATGCCGCGCCTTCCGTGACGCAAGTACCCGACCCATATAACCGCAGCCCCATCCTGTCTGTCTGCGCCAAACGCTCCTCCTGTTGAGCGCGCCATTCACCCCTCACGCGAGCCCGTACCCTTCACATCCCCCTTGCCCGCGTCAATGGCTGCCAACGAGAAGCACGAGCCAGTCACGTTTGGTGCCACGGTCCAGCGGTCCCCCAGCCCTATAACCCCCAGTGACCTGCAGCCACTGCGCTCACCACCCTCCAACGACTCCACCATGTCATCTGCAACCGCCGATGCTGAAACGGCCAAGAAGGAGTGGGCCGCCGACCCCTCCAATCCCTACTCGGCCTTTTACAAACACCCCGAGGCCCTCCGCGAGACGCGTCAGTCGCTCGTAGACGGCATGCACAACGGCAAACACCTCGCCGTCGCCGTCCACGAGCACGACCTCGAGGGCGGTGTGCCACTGTCAGTGGCCTCGACGCAGCAGCAGTCAAAGCAGTCGGTCGATGGCCGCGTCAAGGAGTGCACAATGTGGCCGACACGCCAAGCTGTCCTAGACAAGCGGAAGTCGTACAAGCGCAAGCGCGGCTGTGCCTTCTTCCGGAACATGACCAGCAAGCAGAGACTGTGGGCCAAGATTGTCATCGCTCTCCTCGTTGTCGCTGCCGCTGTCGGCCTGGGCGTAGGCATCTCGAGAGCCGTCGGTGGCGGCGTATGGGCAGGCGACGGCCGATCTCGCGAGATTCCGCACAATTGAGCTGGCCATTGTCACCAGCATCGCACCCGTAAGCCACCTACCTGCTCCACATTACCCTGCCATGTCTAACACGTCCCAGAGCACCTGCACATGTCTCTGCGCACACCCACGACTTCTGCATACTTCGCTTCGGACAACATCATTTCTCGATATCCCTTTCCATCTGTTATATTGTTTCCGGTAATGTGCATATCACTCCGCCACTTTTTCGTGTCCGCCGACCACTTCTGCTTGTCCTTGTCGGCGATATCACTTGGGTTCTGGCGCACAGCGGGGTTTTACTGGTCTGCATTCCGTACATGCATTGGAGCGCCGGAGTATAGATTGGGCGTTTTATCAAATTAGTCCCAGGATACCTTTTGGGGGTACACAATAGGAGAAGAGATTTAAGCATATGCCTCTGTGAGAGGCTGCAGTCTGGCGCATATGTACTTTCCACCTGCCCCGCACATTCGTCCGTTCCACGTGCCGTGCCGACTCGTCCGCTATGTCTAGATGCAGCCACAAAGGAAGAAACTTCGCCCGTGACCCGAACATGCATCTAATGTATGTATTCGGTTACTGCCCTGGTAGCTTGCAACACCAATTTGCTCGTCTTTCGGATCACGGATCGTCACGTTGCCCGAGCCGAATCGGGAAACGTCTTTACGACATGGGTGCATTCGAGTAAGAAAAAACATCACAGATGTACCTGCACAGTCAGATTCTTTCTTTTGCTGCTATTTCTGCGATTGTAGTAGTCTGCAATCCAATGGTTGTGCACTGCTTGTCGATGTCTGCGTGTCGTCCTGGTGGCTCCTTCCCTGGAAGGCACATCCGTGATCCAGGCTTAACCCACAACAGCAGCCATGAATGCAGCATGTTGCTGTTCAGGGTGTCTAAATGCAGAGCCTATGACAGGTCGTGTGTCTAGTTTGGAGACTACAGCTCTTGGGGGCAGAACTCTGGTGCGTTTGCACGCCCTATGTATGCGTCAACACCAGTGGAGTGCACCTTCCTCATGGCCTTCGCTGCTGCCGTATGAGCCTCGCTAGTCCAAAATCCAGCGGGGCGCGTCACCATAAGTCGTTCGACTTCAGACGAAAGCTTCTTCCTTCATACATCCCATTTCCTTCACTATGGCGGACGACGAAGACTACTTCGCCGCTAGCCGAAAGGCCCACGACAAATACCTTGCAGACATTGAGCAACGATTTTGCGACGTGAGCGACGCATTCTTAGCGGACATCAAAGCGGAAGGTGCAAAAAGCGTTCAAGCGGCGAAAGATTTCGATCAACGGTGCACGTATCAAAACAAGGATTTGACCGACATCCACAAGCGACTAGCACAACGGCGAGTGCGAAGCCTTCTCGCGGAGAGTCAAGATACATCTCGGCAGCCTACCTCAAGTTCCATGCGAGGTGACTACAAACAGGCGCGGTTTCTCAGCGAAACACCCTTGCGAGAGGTTGAGAAGTAAACGTTGCAGATTGGGAAGGTGTCTTCAGCGCTAACAGTTAATGTAGTGTTGCGGATACATTCCCTGGCAATGACTAGATGCCTTCGCCGTTTGAGCGTTCCTGGCAGCTACCAGGACCTGGGAATAGCTTTGTATTCGACGCAACTGCGTCTTCCCAGGTCACCAGCGACAGGAGCATGGCGCCGCCGGGGCCTGGTTCATCCCAGGTCCTTGGCGAGATGGAAATGGGGCCTCCGATATTCAAACTATCGCATGCTTCTAGTGATCTATGCTCTTCTGGTCAGGGTGAGGCTAAAGGTTTCGTGTTGTCGCGAGCTCAGAACCTTGATGCATATCCTGATGACCAGCTCGGGATTACTGGCGAACCGCCACGGCCTGCGAATACTAGCGAATCGCCACGACCTGTGAACGCGTTTCCAATTACACAAAGGCGCACAAGTCCGATTCCGGGGCTACAGACTCCCGCCTCAAACACTGGAATGCGATCATACTCTTGCGCCCCCGTGCTGAACTATCAGCAAACCTCCGCGAGCGACTCGGCATTTTCCCCACCATGGCCGTGCATCATGCGATCGATCGAGCAGGATGAAGCGTCTCCTCAGTCCTCTGTTGCTGGCGACGTGCTGCATGAGAGCTTCGGTTTGCCTGTTAGAGCTCATCCTGTCTGTCGCCAGTCTGTTATTGGTCGTGGTACCGAAGTTGGCAAAGATGACATGGCGAATACAGCGACTCAGGCGTGTTTGCGCAATACAGCGTCACAGCGTTCAGAAGAATACGAAGCCCCAAGGCGGCTGTCAGCGGTTTCAGGCGGAGTTGCGAACTCATTCACAGCGGATTCATGCGAGGTCACTCAGCGCCAAGATACCCAAGTCAAGTTTAGGTGCATGCGATGCCAAATAGCCTTTCTCGAAGAGAAGCTGGGAACACTGCGAGATCAAGTAGCGGACAGCGAGAGCGAACTACGCTTGCTCTTAGGAGCCGTAGGACTTAGTGATACGTAAAGGGCGTCTTTTAGCGTAAAACAAGAACTCCTGATATAGTTTTTTTGGGTTATTCATACTACATGTACCTTGCCGAGTGCCTTGTGATGTCGAAGGCTTCATCTAGCAAACATTGACAATTAATGTTGACAACAACAACAACAGGCTTTGAGAGCCCTACAGGATCGTAATAGAGGTTCACGACATCGAGAGAAGCACCCCAGAACAGTTTGTGGTTAAGTTGGGTTTTATTGGTTGTTCAGTCGCATTGTGTTGCAGTATATGCAGTCAATCAAAGTGTAACCGCGCGAGGCAGTCATCAGAGTATCTTGTGTTGTTCTGTCTGTTGTGCTGTCATGGCCACCTTATATGTAGCCATAATCAGGGTCTATTTACATGACGTATCTCTGATGCTGGTGAGGGGAGAAGGTGCTCATGGAGGGGAGGGAGGAGCGCCAGGACAACGCACGTGACATGCGCAATACCCTTGCCTCACAAATCGCAACACATTGTGCCTCTATTGAAAACACGATATATTTATTACACAAGTACGTACCCACTGGAAGACTTTATCTTGTTTCATCTCCCACAGGTGCTCAGTCTGAATGATTCAATCCCATTGCTCACATATACGCGGGACCCCGTCTTCCCAGACTCCGCTCTGAAAGTGCTTTCGCTGCGTCAGCATTAGGTTGTGCATTGCCAAACCCACATCCTCCATCCCGCTCCTGCGCTACCACTGGACCAGCACACTTCCCACTCTTGAACCCACAGCACGCGGAGCCACAGTCGGCGTCTGATTTGCAAGCACCGGTGATGAATTGCTTGCCAGGTCCCGCTGGAGCTTCAGGTGGTTGAACCGGGGCAGGAGCAGGAGCAGGAGCAGGAGCAGGAGCAGGAGCAGGAGCAGGAGCAGGAGCAGGAGCAGGAGCTTGTGGTTGTGCGCCAGCGACGATGGTTCCATTAGCAGCCCCTTGTTCTGGTTCAATGGCGGCAGTGGCGTTTCCATCGACACCTTTAAGGGCGTTATTGTTTGGCTGGGCATCTCCGAATCCACATCCTTCTCCGCGTTCGTTTGCGACGAGTGGTGCCGCGCATTTTCCTGATGTGAAGCCACAGCAACCTGAGGCGCATTCGGCGTCTGATGCACACTCGCCAGTGATGAACTGGGTACCTTGTGCTGTTACATAGAGAGAGACTAGTTACATTGTTAGCGGTGATCTAGCTGTGGGGCACTGATATGTCTCACGGTTGAGGAGAGCAAAAAGCCTAAAGATGGGCGCCATAATGGTTTGCGATCGGTATCGTTGAATTTATGATGTTTCAAATAGTGAGATGGTGAAATAGAGTGGCTTTCTCCAGGAAGCAATATTATATTAGTTTGACGAATACAAAGTGTGTGTAGATAGATATCGATGTTGGCCTTGAACATCCTGAGGACAACCATATATATATATATCTACCTGACCCGCCTTCAGACTGACCTAGTGCCTTAGCCCACTCAGGAGAAGCGGCTATTCGAAACGAGGATTGTTACTGAGGTCTCGCCAAATGCCTCAATACTCAAGCCCACACTAATCGCCATCGCGTGGCGATGAAAGAGGATACTAGGTGTTACCCAGATCCACACGTTGCGCAAGCTGCAAGCCACTCGGGAACACAGTCTCCATGTTTCGAGTCAAATATAGACTACAAATGAGGCGAAGAGACTACAGATTACCTAAGCTGTTTGGAAACACAGCCTGCAAACGTCATGCGTTTACGTTATTCTGTCGGGTAGGTAAAGGGTAAAGGGAAGGAACGCGGGCGGCACGGGGAAGTGTCGTTAGCGAACTTTTAGCGCACACCAGCCTCATTCACCCCGCCTCAGCCACTACAAAATGACGGTATTTTCGTGCATCAACACACGGGAGGTTTCCGCATTGTAAGACCATGGTGGAGTGTCCAGTTGGGTTGGTTTATTCTGCCAAGAAGATCTCCAATGCATTCATGCGATGGAAGAGGATCATACCGAAGAGGTATCGGAATCCGTGGCCTGGCGCTTGGAATGTCAGAGTTCCGGACATCCCTACATGTGGTATAGGAAATATTAGCGAACGCACCAGCACTAACCCACGTTATCACAAAATCGTACCAAACTTAGGTTTGTAGTTGCTTACATGCGGTTCGTGGTTGCTGTTAGTATAGTACTACGTCACACCGGCAGCGGGCCGTGAGCAGGGGCTAAGCTTTGTGCTACAACAGTAGAAGAAGGGTAGACAACTACACAATCTCTAATCTGACATAAGAGCGAAGCTGTTGGCCCAATGTAGCTACCAGGATGAGACCATTGACATGAACTCCATGACCACCCTTGCTATGACGACTCCTACCGTACAAGCCCTCCCAAGGGCATATAACCTAACAAATAAATGCCAAGTCTAAGGGAGCCCTATCTTTGGTGTCAAGTCCTTGTCGGATCATATGATCCAGTCAGACGATTTTTACCATGGTACAGCTACCTATTTAGCTGGTTGAAGTCTCCAAAGAGCACATCTTGCTGCGTTTCGGATACTAAAAGGGCTCATGTATTCTGATGATAACTTAGCGTATTTATGGTAAGATGATTCGAGGTATTGAGATGAGAAGCACAGATAATATTGTGGCGTGATGGTTAATATAAGCTGATGTCTAGCACTTAACAGGGCCGTGGACAGACTACAAGAATCAGCCATGAGAACGGCATGTGAACAGAAAAGTCAAGAGATATATTGCCAGATGATAGTATGTATAAGTAGAGGTATATTTATGAGTAGGTGTATGTATCCTGATCGGCTTATAACGGTTCCCCGGCGTCGTACATTGAGTGCATGTCTATACCGGGTTGGGCCTGGTTACGAGCATCAAGACTATGATTAGATTACATCGTTCTTAGACACTGCGCAGCCCTCGATAACGCATATAGAATCAATGGCTCGGGAAACGAAGTGTAGGCTTCACAGCAACTTCAGGGGTAGTGAGCCTTCAGGTAACCAGGGTTGAATCTGCTCACGCGATCCCCGTAAGTCATGAGGGGCGACTTTTCTCTATCGACAGTGTGTTATAAGTGTCTTCTGAGATAAAGAAGCAGCAAAGCACGTTGTAAGGCTCATGATAAGACGTCGATATCCCAAAGATTGGACGTCTTCTTCCAAGCCGTTCGTTTGCTAGTTGCTAAAAATACAAGGCCGCCCAAAACTAAAGGAGTGGGTTCTCCAAGTAAGTGAAGGAGAGAGTGCCTAGAAAGAAAGTCGTTGCATAAGGTAGTCGCTTTGCCGAGCTTGTGATCCAAAGAAAGGAAAAGGCACAGAAGTAACAAGATAGGGTATAGAACCGGCTGTTAGAAGGGAACAGCTTGCTGTTAAAATCCAAATGAAAGAGAGAGTGAAGCGAAAGGTTAACTCGGTGTAGACGTTCTCCAAGTACCCAAGGATCTAGGGCAAGTTCCACTCATGAAAGCGCAGCCTAACCTGCTCATTACCCCCTGAGCACCGCCATTGTGTAAGGTCGGGAGGCCCGGATCGTTACCGAGAACTTGTATAGGCGCGGTTGTATTGTACCTGGGATACGGCCGTTGTAGAGGGGGCGTTGAGTGCCTTCCAGGCGACCTCGGCGGCATCTTCTCGGGATTGTTCGAGGTAACGGTAGTCTCGCCATAGGGGGGCTCGGAACTCGCGACCGTGGACAAAGACACTGCTACTCCAGGCAGTCCTTATTCCTGGATGATAATGTCAGTCTAGGCCGGGTGCAGTGGGGCAGCACGAAGGATTGTGTGGGTAGCAACGAACCTCGCGGGTCAGAGTAGTCTTGAAACTGAGGTTGGGCGATCTGGTTGGTGGCGCAGTAATCTGTGACGTTCAGCAGCTGGGCATTGCGAGAGCAAAAGGTCTGCGCACGCTGAAGCTTCTGAATAAAACTCTCTGGTGCTGCCATTTTGCGAGATAGTTTTGATGAAGGCGGACGATAGTGTGGCGCTGTTAAGAGCTTTGTGGTGGGGTAAGACACAGTGAGTGGGGATTTAGAGGATCAACTCTGTGTGTGCGAGGGCTGGGGAAGAACATGCGCTCTAGCATGTTGAACCCTCTGTTTATAGTCAGGCACTGCCCTGAGAGCCTCATTTTCGGTATCCTGTAGGAGCGTACGAGCGCTTTTGCCACACCATTGTCTCGAAAAGAATCAGCCTGCAGGAGCTGTACCACATATGTGCTCCGGAACAAAGCAACAAGCTGATGCTATGCTGCGTTGGCAGGATCCATCTCACCATAATTGGCCGGCAGAAACATCAGTGAGCGAGCAACTGCGGGGGTAGCGAGAAGAGGACGCGACAAGGCAGAAAACTAGAACCGCTAGAACCCGGACAAACACTATGACGGACTGTTGCGTGTTCTCGTCACCACAACTTTGGGAAGTAAAGGCCAATGAGCTGGTGGGGTTAAATTTCGGTCTTGAACATGTTACCCGGTTCAGGTTGGTTCCGCGATGTGCTGGCACTGAAGGACGAGGAGAAAGCTGCCATGCTAGTTTCTTAATGCCGACGCAGTGCCAGATGTGTCTCGCAGATTGGCCCATAGTTCATTCGGCGTTCGGCCCGCTTACGGTTAGATGGACAAAGGGCCGTGCCGTTTCCGTACCGTATGGATGCCATCTGAAAGCGCGTCATCTTGGAAGCCATGCGTCGCGTGTCGTCGAAGCTGCAAAACCCGCATTGGAAGCATTGCAGCGCTAAGCGAAGGAAGGCAGCTTTGGGGCTTTCTCCTGTCTCCATGTGGACCCACACGAGTGAGGTGGCATATGCGATTGCTTACAGCAGCGTATCAGTATCAGGAAGTGTTCCTGGTAGGAACTGCTCAGCCCTGGATCACCAGGTTCGTGCGTTAGATGCAGCCCATATCACACCACAGTTCTGCAGGCTGTCCTGTTCCTGAAAGCCTGTGCTATGGCCATCAGTTTGGTGTCCTGCCAAACGTCCCGATGCGATCAACGCTAACCACCTCTTCAACGCGGCGCTTGTTCGGTCTTCGCTTCTAGCGGTTGAAGCGCAAGGCGCAGTTGGTTTAAATCACCGCACAAGCCTCCAGGCGGGGTTAGCACACCTCCATCTTCGTCTTCTCTGAGCTGGCACGCGTTGCGTTGTTCATTGAACCTTCCAGGATCGCTGGAAGTGGTGGCTGTTGGAGCACCGTCAGTGACGTGTCGTACAGATTGCAGATAGTGCGCTAACCTGATCAACGCCACAATGCACGTGCATGCAGCAAAGTCAGACCTTGGGAAGGATCCTCGGAAGGCCCACAGTATCCCTTGCCTTCCAGGTTCATGCAAGTGAAGCATGTAGCTGTATGTAGCTGTGAGTTTAGTGTCAAGTGTCAAATGCGTGAGAGACGTGCAACGCACGAGCATCTACCGGCTTCTGCACCTCCCCAGACCACCTGCATTACCCACGGCGGACGCCATTACCTGCACAGGGACGGGCACTACTTTGGTGGAGATTCTCATGCCACGTTCCTCAGAACCAAGCACGACCAAGAATAGTCCTCGCCACATGTAGTGAAGGCACACGTCACGTGTCGGGCGCACAAGGTGATGACGATGATGGGATGTCATGTCCTACGCACTCTGGATCAGCATAAGCCTTCATTGATTATGAGGTACCCGGGCTTATGTGCGGCATTGTTTCTGCCATTGTGAGTTGATGATGTCTCAATGTATACGCCTAGCGGAGGCGTGGAAAGTATTATACTGGGACGGAAAAGTCGTTGTATTCTTCTCGCATAATGATATTATCCTATTTGAAAGTCAGCGACTGTTCTGTAGTTGTCAAGCTCCTACATTTCCTCATCTATACTGCCTTGGGATAACCCTTTGTTCAGCATTGTTTCGATTGCTTTAGAAACAAGGACGCGTGGATCATCTCTTTCATAAGTATTTCAGGTCATGCTACTGCTTTCTTGATAGTATTCTCTGTATACGCAACAAAGCGACTGAGTATGCAAAACGCCGGACAGGTATATCCCTTGGTTGAGGCACAAGATCTTCCCTAGATGATTATTACATACTCATATCAACTCCCGCTTCAAGATAACGACCAGGATTTAGTACTTGGACTTCCGTCTATCTGATCATCAGTATCAACATGCGCTTCACAGCTATCACGGTCCTGCTGGCTATCCAGTCAGCATACGCTTTGATCCCCCCTTTTCCAGTCGGAGAGACACCAGCACAAGTGTTGTCCTCTTTTCTACATGCGATCAGCAACGCAGGTGTAACGATTCCAACAGCTCTTCCGATTTCTGGATCCCAATCGCCAGTTGTGCCAACTCCAATATTGGCTTCTACATCCAGTCGAGCTGCATGCCTTCCAATTACGAGTACTTGGTTGCAGGGTGTCGGAAACACTACTGTACCAGCCCCGCCTCTTGTATCTGCACCCTCTTTGACGGCATTTCCTTCTGGCGGGTCCTCCGCGCCTACCTTACATAGCCCTTGGCAGTGGCCGGCTCTTTCCAGTGCCGTCACACCGTCCGAGACCTTGGTGTCTTCACTTACAACAACAACCGTCACGCCGAGCGCTGTTCTGCCAGTGCCAGGCTCAACATCCCGTCACCCGGCCCCCGGGGCCCTGTTGCCGTTTCTGTCGTACTACCACAGCTTCCACCATGTTTCCCCACAACCAACCTTTTCAGTAGCTACTTCAGAATCTTTCCAAACGGCTTCCGCATTTACTTCCGACTACCGAAGCTTCCTCCGCGTTCCTCCGCATTCGTCCTTCATCACAAGCACTCAAGCAGCCGCAGACACGTCTTCTGCGCCACCATCATCTCCAAAGGCATGTTCCACCTCACACAAATCATCTAGTGTGAACCTTGCACTAACTTCTACGCACCAGCCCTCGTCCACGGCAATCGTCATTGTGCCAATTACACCTTCTTTACACGGTAGGGCCCCTGACCCACTCCAGACACATGACTCCGGCTTACCTAGCTCAGCAACTCCAAGCGACAAGCCAACCTCTACACAGCTCAGCAAAGGTAAGAGTCATGACAGCACAAAAGCCTCCACTACCACGATTCATACAACCATCACAAGAACTACCCATAGATTGGCATCGTCTACACATTCATCGAAAGGTTCTAACGTTACAGTGTATACAAGTGTCCAGTCGGCAGATCCTCGCTGTCCGTACCCGTACCCAGGCATTCATTGCGGCCCGCCGAAGACCACGGTGGTGACAAAGGAACAAAAGCCTACTTCAACGACAAAGAAGGCTGCGGAGAAGACTTCGGGCTCGGGAGTAGTTGGCTGCGGGGCTCCGTTTTGCGGTAGGTAGAGTGACAGTGTGTCACGGACGTCAGTTGATGAAGCGTATGGGCTCACAACAGTTGCGGCAACTATACCACACCGGGCGATGATGTATGTGTATGTTCTTGTTATGTGCCTTTCATCTCTCTTTCATTATGTATTCAAAATACTCTTTCATTTCCAATACAACTCCGCAGAAAGTACGTGATACTGGAGCTATTTACCGTGCAGCTAATACCTCCGACACTTGCTGACCAGCGCATTCGGCAAGTAACCTGTTTTGTACGTTCCTCGCAGCGTGCGCATAGGCAACAATGTCTACATCCATGGCCTTGCCGTCCGCACCACCGTCAAACACCTCGTAGCTGAACCAGCCTCTGAAACCAGTCTTAAGCACTGCTCGTGCAACATCAACGACAGGTAGATATCCGCCATTATACGGTAGAGGTCTAAAGTCGTGGCTCCATCTTCCGCGAGGTAGTAAGCCTGCATCGTCGCGTTCGACATCAAAGGGCTGAGGCACCTTGTACGCGTCACTGATTTGGAGGAGATAGATCTTTTCCTTTGGAATAGTAGTGCTGAGTTCTTCGAGACTCTTCTGGAATCGCTTGTCCAACTCATCTTTTGATACGTCTTCGCGCAAACCAGAGGCAGTCCTGGGGTCGCCCCACTCCCCGCCCGCTGTCTGAAAAGTATCGAGACAGAGGCCGATATTGGGGCGGTCAACCTGCTGGACGATGTTCCAGACATGTTTCCAGTCCGGAGCATGCGTTGACCAGCACCAATTCTCATAAGCCAGTCGGAAACCGTGATCCGCTAGCATATCACACAGAAGTTGCAGATCTGGAACAATCTTGCCCTTGTCGAGTTTGTCGAGCGGTGAGTCGGTCGACCCAACCTGCAACATATCGGTGCCACATGCCTGCATGATGCGGATCCAACCGCGGGCCCGTTCCATAGCGTCCTTGCGCCCGTCGGAACCGTCGGGCCAGCCCTCATAGTTGGAAAAGGGCTGCAACATCATAATGCCAAGCTTCCTCTTATCGCACTCTTTCCTAATTTCAGTCGCCACTTTGCAGAGGTCATCGTAGTTTGAAGGCTCCACTTCATGGCCAAGCAATGTCTGGCCGTAGGAGAGTATATCGGGAAATGAGAGCTCGACGGCGGAAAAGCCTGCAGCGGACATGGCATCTAGACGGTCAAGTAGGGGCGGAGGATTTGACGGGCTGCCAAGAGAGCAGGTTGCAAAGCTGATAGGAACAGATGCGAGCGTGGAGTAGTCGATCGCGCCCATTTTGGAAATATCTGATCTCGGAAGATGAGCTGAGTGGGTGGATATCAATCAGCGGTCAGGAATTCGGGGAGTTGTAAATGCATGAAAGTTGAGGATGTGAGCGAGTGCGGCGTCGCGCAACGGCTTCTTATTTCTTCTGCCATACTTGTGACGTAGAGGGTTGAACTGGTGGAGCAGCAATGACGGCACCCTTACTAACGCCTGGCACGGGTCGAACAACGGGTTTTTTTTTACAAAGTCAAAGTACGCTTTTTAGGAGGTTTGCAAACCCATGCGGGTCGGCCGGGGGTAGAGGAATACTACATGGGATACCGCTGAGCTCTCCTGGCTGATTGCTGATTGCGCTCACAATAAGCCCCGCTGTCAGCACACCTAAGAGACTCTACCTTTTTTAGCAGGTTTCGGGAAGTATCTAGAGGGAGGCCTTGAAGCAGTTGTACGATATTCGCATACAGCATGGGTATAGATGACATAGCGGGATGGAGTCTATTGGTGTGGCGGGATTGACAGCGATGATTGAGACGGTCAGTAGAAGCTGGCGACCCCGCCACTTAAGTAAAATCAGCGCGAGTACCCCGCCCATAGACCAATGGGAGTAAGTCCGGCTCCGCCGCCGTCATACCCAACTACTCGATTCGACTCATAAATAGGCCAGACCTTCTGCGCGAATAGTCCAGGTCAGCTCACGATCTCTTGCTTAGACGGTATCAAGTCTGCTCTCTGTGAAAGACACATACTATATTGCTCCACGCAGTCTATTGAAGCAGACTGGCCCACAGACATGTCCGTAAGTTCAAAACCACGCGCTACAGGCACCAATTCCTCTTTCTCTCTCCCTCTTTCTTTCTTCCTCGGCCCAACCAACAACCAACACCTGCCATAGTTCCACATTGAGAACCCTGCCGTGGGCGACCCTGCCAACTCTGAAGACTGGCGCATCAAGGGATACAATCCTTTGACACCGCCAGACCTTCTTCAGAGCGAGATTCCACAGACGGCCAAATCGAGAGACACGGTGCTCAAAGGCCGCAATGAAGCTGTCGAAATCGTCCAGGGCAAAGATGCGCAGAAGCGGTTACTCGTCGTCATTGGCCCGTGCTCTATCCACGACCCTCCTGCCGCGCTCGAATACTGCGACCGGTTGATGAAGCTCAAGGAGAAGTACCAGGATGATCTACTCATCGTCATGCGCTCTTACTTGGAGAAACCGCGTACAACTGTTGGTTGGAAGGGCCTGATCAACGACCCGGATATCGACAACAGCTTCAAGATCAACAAGGGCTTGCGCATCTCAAGGCAGCTCTTCGTCGACTTGACTGAGAAGGGCATGCCGCTGGCGAGCGAGATGCTGGATACAATTTCACCCCAGTTCCTTGCGGATATGTTCAGCGTGGGTGCAATTGGCGCCAGGACCACCGAGTCGCAGCTACACCGCGAGCTTGCCTCGGGTTTGTCCTTCCCCGTTGGCTTCAAGAATGGCACAGATGGTACGCTTGATGTAGCTGTTGATGCCATCGGCTCGGCCAAGCACCCTCACCACTTCCTCTCCGTTACAAAGCCCGGTGTTGTCGCCATTGTCGGCACCATTGGTAACGACGACTGCTTTGTTATCCTGCGCGGCGGCAAGAAGGGCACCAACTACGATGCCCAGAGTGTGAAGGAGGCGCGCGAGAAGCTCGAGTCCAAGGGCATGAACTCGCGCTTGATGATCGACTGTAGCCACGGCAACTCGGAGAAGAACCACATGAACCAGCCCAAGGTTGCACACGCCGTGGCCGAGCAAATTGCTGGAGGTGAGACGGCTGTTATGGGTGTCATGATTGAGAGCAACATCAAGGCGGGCACTCAGAAAGTACCCAAGGAAGGCAAGGCCGGGCTTGAGTACGGCATGTCCATTACTGATGCATGCATCGACTGGGAGACGACAGAGATGGTGCTGGAGGAGCTTGCTGGCGCCGTTGCGAAGCGACGCACGCTGCTCGGCCAGAATGGCGCTTAACCAAGATTTCTTTCTTAATCAGTCGTCTGTAGAGACGGCGTAGGGTCGGTCCTGGCGTTTCTTATTTCACCATCCAGTGGCACTTGAACAGCAGCCAATGTATACGAATTATGAGGGCAAAAGAACAAAAGTTCAAGGTTACATTCATCATTACAACTCAACTATTTCTGAAGAATCATCATCATCGCTTGTTCTGTGTCCGGGATACTTACCGTACCAGTCGCCAGGATCGCCACCAGGCATGCATAGGCCCAGTCGCCAGAAATAGTCGCGATGGGCGAAAAAGAGCTGCCAGAACTTGAAGCGAGTGGGCAGACCCCAAGCAGGTTTGTCATGGTCGCTGCCAGCAATACAGTGCGGATCTTCATCACCATTACAGTAGTGTACATCGGCAATAGAGAAGGGCAGACTGGACTCGGATATGAAGATTTCCTCACTGTGCATGCTGAAGCCCCATTCAGACAAGGGCAACAAAGGCACAGGGTCACCCACGTGGGTAACGCGGTGCATCTTGTTGTTCTCGTGGTTCGACGTTAGCTCGAAACGGTCATCCACGTAGGTGTTGAATTCTTTATTTCCAAGCCTTGGTTCCCCAAAGGTGGTGACATGCGGGTCCCATCCGCGTGCCTTGAAGTCTAGCCCAGCCAGGGTCGCAACAGCTCCGCCCAGCGAGTGTCCCACCAAGACCAGCTTGTAGTTGGGGTATCTCTGCAACGCCTTGGACACATGCGGAAGGACGACCTTTCGTGTGTTGAGCCACGACGAGTAGAAGCCGGTGTGTACAGTGCAGTTCTCGCACTTGGGCGGCTCAGCGGACGGCGGGTCCCGGTCGGAAGGGTCGACTCTTGGTGCTATAAAATCGGAAGTTTCATCGTCATCGTCGCCGGGATAGGGTACGTATTGCTGCGGTATCGTGGAGAGGTCGGCGATGGTATTCGCGACCGAGTAGGTGCCGCGGAAAGCGAGGATGAGGCGCGGATTGGTACGAGAGTGTGAGAGGGCAATGTAGCCGCAGGAGTCGGACAGGAAAGGACCGGTGTTCCATGCCTGAGTGGATGTGTTAGCAGAGGACGTCGTACATGTATGGCATGAGAGCGTTGCTGAATGCGGCCACTCACCGTCACCAACTCAAACGTTTCAAAGTCGCGATCGCTACACCGGCTGGCGCACTTGAAGGGTTTCTGAATTCCCAGACCAGCGGCGCCTACACAATACGCAATGTCGACTATGCGCGCGAGTTCCTCGAGTTCCCAGAAGAGCTTCTGGGTGATTAGCGTGTCATTGGCCTTGTTGGCTCCGCGGAGCAGTGGTTGTTGTATCGCATCGCCCCTATGACCGTCAACAAGGGCTGCGGTGAAGACCAAACAATATACGAAAAGGCAGCGTAAGAAGCCCATGAGTTTTTGCTCCTCTACATAACCAGTATGCAAGGGCAGTATGTGGTTGTGGACTGCAAAGACGGAGGGCTTGGTGGTGAGGTCACAGGACGGGAAAGGTGTGGGTCTCGCTGGGGCGATCAGCTGAGTGTAGCGTCAGCGCCGAGGGACCCAAGAGATGCGCCAAGAGCGGTGCAAGGAAAGCGCGACGCCGCGAGCGATTACATCATAGGCGGACGCTCAATGAGAGCATCGGCCTGGCTCCGTCTTTTCCCACACCCGAAGGTCCAGCCTTCTTTACAAGACACAAGACACGACCGCTTCCGCTGCCTTCCGGACAAGACACGACCAGCAACTCTTGTTTCCGCCGCTCCCGCTATATTCTCCTGGGCAACAACCTGCGCCTACGCACTGCCGCACAATGGCGACGCAGCAAACGTCAACAGAGCCTTTGAGGCCGACGCCCAGCACTGATGCTTCACACCAAGCCATGGCAGGACAAGCAAGCACCATGCCAGTACCAGGATTCCACGTCGACGGCGCTGTAGATGACGAGAGACAGCCGCGCAGCACCACGCCCGTCACCAACGGAGCAAATCTGAACTCAAGTGCACAACCAAGTCGCGCCCCATCACCAAATCCAAATGCCATCTTTCCCCACACACAAGTCACATATGACGACCCCGACTTCACTCGCCCGCCGCCGCTCAAGTACTCGTTGCGCACCCGCAGGAAGTCCATCATCTACTTCTGGTGCCTCATTATCGTCGACTGCGTCTTCATGCCCATTGGTCTCTACTTTGGCATGTGGTATGGCTTGACTCGCGACCAATTATCCGCAAACGCCGTTTTCAGTATTAGCACTGCTCTGCTTGGAACAGTGTCAATCGTCGAGTACTTTGTCCGTTTTCACAGGCTGTGGAAGAAAAACTCCAGCTGCAGGGTCATTGGTGCACAAAGATGGTACCTCGATTGGTTCCACTGGAACTTGTCCGTCGGCTGGTTCTTTGTCATGATTGAGCTCATTGCGTATGTTCCCTCTTGATTTCCAACAAGCTCAGCTAACTTTCTGCAGCGGCACATGTCCCCACGACCCCCCTATCCGTGTCCTGGCTATGCCGGCACCGACCATGTTGTTTGCTATCGGCGTGGAACTTCTCATTGTCGACGTCATGCGCATTATGAACGTGCCTGCGCCATGTCGCATCTCTTCGCTACCGCAGGGCGCACCTCTTCGTCCTGGCATCTACGCCTACATCGAGGACATTTGTGCTGTTGACGGCTCAGGTGGCACCGAGTTCCGCCAGCGATTGAACCTCCGCTATCAGGCCAGCAAGGCGTTCCGTGTAATGCTGCATCGCTTGACACTCTTTTGGGCCATTGGCGCCGTCGTTTGTTCCGTAGTTTGCACAGCCATCATTTTCACCATTCAGCGAGACGCTGCCTACGTTGTACGTACACATGCAATTCCTGGATATGTCGTTCCAATGCTAATTCCACACAGGTCGGATGGGTCCTCCCATTTCTCTGGGCTGGTGTCTGGACAGCCCTCACCATCCCCTGGGTCCAACGTGAACTCAAGAAAGAGTACCAGGAATGGACCACGGCCAATTTCAAAGCTTGAGAATCTTGTTAGATTCCATTGTTTTACTTGAAGTGTAAGAATGTATTACTAGGATGGATGAAAAATGGCCGTGGACACTGACGATGGCGTTTACATGGTGTATATTGGGTGCTCTTGTTATTTTTCCGAGTCTAGATACCACTTTTGCGTACACAATATTGTAATGGTATTGAAGATGGCATGACCTGGCTCAAATGTCAAAGGATGATTTCCCATTTCATGCACAGGCATGATTAATTGCACTTTTCGAATGGCTAGCACACATACGGAATGCATCAAGAGGACGCGTCTACGTGCGGCACACTGTTGACGTGACGAGAGATGAACGAATTAGTTGGCACGCTTGCAAGCCGCATTTTGCGAGGCGGGCGCATGGCTACGGCTGATCCTGATACCTTGGAGGGGAAATAACGGCTGGCAGGGAAATAAGCGTTTCCGATGACATCGCCCAAGCTGCTTGGAACATGCATGCAGCATGCAAGTGGCGGCCGCTCCCCCTTCTCCTTTACTGGGCTAGCTTAGCTCGGCTTAGGCCGCCTACCTAGTCATACCCGACCCTCCGCCGGAATGACTGTATCTGTAGCGCCTGAAACGAGCAACGTGATGAAAGTGCACTTCAAGGTTTTGATCATAACAATTGGGCAGACTGTACAACTGCTGCTCTGATGCTTAGCTGTATCATGATGATTTTGCGGCGGCAGACGTGCTGGCAACAACTGCATTTGAGATATATCGGGTATCACACAGCCGCCCCCACCAGCCCCTACTCCTCCATTTTAACGTCTCTGTCCGTTTCCTGTTCCTGCTTCACCATTGTCTTCTCATTCACATGCCCATTCTCTCCCTTGTTGTTTCTCCTCTTCTTCCCTTGCTTCTCCCCCTTGGCCTTCACCTGAACCACCTCCACATCCCAGCTTTCCATGTCTACGAGCACAATCTTTCTCGAAGTGCTGAATTTGGGCACACTGACCAGTAGCACCTTTTGTCCAGCTGGGCCCGTGATGGTCTTGGTCTCAAACTTCTTTTGGCAACCTGCAACGTACATGTGTGGGCACTCTGTCAGCATAAGGGGATCGCCATCCTGGAAGGGGTAGCACCATAATGTATCTGGAGCTGTGGGCGCTACACATCGCCAACGCAGCATCCTCTCCATGGCCTCGACAGGACCGACGCCTTTGAGGTATTTGAGTAGGTCACTGACTGTCTGTCCGCCTGTTCCTAACACACGGTATCCATCGATGTCGCCTGTCCAGGGGTTTGTTACGGCGTCGAAGCCGTTGAGGCTTTCATTGCTTTCAATTGGTGGCTCAGCGTAGAGCCTCGCCTTGGGAAACAGAGCAGGATGTAGGGGCTGCTGAGGTAATGCAACATTGGAGGGGTCGTTGGTGCCTGGAAGCATAGTGATAGGTAGCGTGGGGAGGATATCGCAGAGGAAGTCGTCGAGGCGTTCGGTGGGCGCTGAATTGTACGAAGAGGCGTCATAGCCATAGTGTCTGGCGGCGGCTTTCTTTGCGGCAAAGTCTTCACGGGACAAGATAGGTGAGCCCTGTTTGAGCGAGCCTCCTGCTATTAGTAAACGTGTTATTTGCGAAGTAAGGGCCTGCGTAGTTGGGTCTGCAGCTTCGCCTGTCAAGTATTCAACCAGTAGATCCAATGAGATGGCATCATCGTCTGCACCCGTGAGCTCCAATCCCGATACGATTGCCAACTTTCCAGCACGTTCGCGTTTGGGTACCTCCTTCTTATGCTTGGATAGTGCGATGTCGTCGCGCTCCCACCGCGGCGGTTGCCTCGGTAGATCTGCGTACTGGATTGCAATGACCAGAAAACTGCCGTCATCCTGTTCAGTTCCTAACGCAGCCAGTATGCACCCAGTGACGACGCGGCCTTGGAGTGGCTCACCCGAAACGCGAAGACGGCCAGACTCGTCTTCGAGCATCATCTCGTCACCGCCAGATGGAGAAACGTATGTATCGCGGTGTGGAGGGTCGGCTATCCAATTCTACCCACTGTTAGAAGACATGGCAGGTATTAATGAGAGTGAGGGGCGGTTGTACGTCTTTCTCAATGTCGTCGAGGACGTTGGGCTTCCCTGCCATGTCCATGTATACTGTTCCCACCACCCAGCACAATTCGCCCCGCCGCACATCTAGCACTCGCTCGACGAAGCTTGCCTTTTTATCATCTAGCTTGCTTATTGTTAGCATAGCCCTTGGCTGCACTGCAAGTTTGTATGTTCCAACAGTATGGCCTCATACCTCGAAGCCATGCCACGCTTCTTCCGCCAGTTGCTTCACTGTCTTCTTCAATTGCATCAATCGCAGAAAGTACATGTCGGCGAATTGCTGTGTATACTGCCTTTCCGCGGCTGGCGGCAGTAGAAATTCGTGTAGTGGGCTGTATGCAGAGGCATCTCGAGACGTCGCGGGCGGTGCATCCTCACTGTTGCTGTTAATATTTGTATATTAGGTGAACAAGCAGTCTTACAAAGGCTCTCCCTCGAGCAGGTTGTCTGCATTCGCCATCGTCATGACCGTGGTTGTGTAGTAGCACGAGTTGAGCGCCAGAAAAGTTACAGGTCGCGGCAGTCGCGTCGCGCGTTGCACGTCATGGCGCCATCCCGAATAGGAAGTCTAAGAGTTCATACACCCATCACTTGCAACGTACACGCATCATGTACTACAAACTCAAGATATTTTGTTCAAGTGTTTTGTATTTCTCACTCGACAAACCTGTAGGCTGTCTAAACTATCGGGTAGTTGGATACTAATTGATGACCGGTCCCAACCCAAACTCTGGCTATCGCGACACAAAGGTCTAGTCTAGGTATGCATCTAACCTTTCTATGCGCATGGGCCCTAATACGCCAGCAATCCTCGTCGTCTCATCCAGACATGTCCCAATTACCACATTAACGCCGTAAACTGATGATGCACCAAAGTCGAATCCCAAAAATATGTGTTTGAAGAAGAATAGTTTAAGAGGCACGCTTGCTAATGCTTAGAGCATCTAATCCGGCGTTAGTGAGAAACTACGCATCATGTCAAGGTGACCAAAAACGTACCAGAGCAACACCACCAGCAACGACGAGTCCGAGAGCTGAACCAGCCATGTGCGAAGCTCCTCCAGTGAAGGGGAGTGTTGAACCAGTCGGCCGCGGGACAGCACCAGTACCACTTGGGTAAGGAGCCGATGTAGTTGTGCCGTTGGTGGAAGTGAAGGCAGCTGAAGAGGTAGCGGCAAGCACAGTGATGATGGAGATGATGGAGAACTGCATCTTGAATGTGGTTTGTAACGTGTCGAAGGAAGGTTTGTTAAGGATGTATGGAGTAGCGAGTGAAGTTTGGTATTGGCAGTAGACTTGATGAGTTGGTGGAAGACTGTCATGTCGAGTAGCGCGTCCGTGTTTATATCCTTTGAGCCTCCGTTCAAAATTACACGCCTTCTACCAGTACCTTCTAGCCATTGCAAAGTCCGTACCCACAAGCGTACGTACACCGGCCGCAAACAACGCCCATCCCAGCCATCAACAGCCCAGCCCTACGATGCCCCTGGGCCCACCGAGCCAGTCGCACAAGCTCAGGCGTAGTCTCGGTCTGTCTACGGAGACGGCGTGGCTGTCAAAGGGCTGGCGTTGCGGGCACAAGTCATTCGGCTGGGCCGGCGGGGGGACCAAAACAGCATGGTTCCTGCTATTTTTATCGCCCCAGCCACACGGCTTTGAGCGTGCGGCCGCAACTCTGCACTTTTGGCCACCTCACTTTTTTTTCATCCGCCGCTGCTCAACTGCCACAAATATGCCGATGATTCCTCCGATGGCAGACTTTGTTGGCGTCATTACTAGTAATGTCCGGGAACGCTCGTCGTGTTTCCAGCGCAATAACCGTTGCCTGGTGGTCTCGTAACCATCGGGACGGCGGCCCCAGGACCGCTTCGCGATACCAGCTGGGGGACTCTGGCTACAGTGGCGTGTTTCATAAGGGGCTGTTGATGGCATGCTTGCGCACACCTATGACCTCACCTTACTGGGCCACACTCCTGAAGCTATCCCTGCTATTCATATCCGCCCCCTGTCATGTTCCATCCGGTGGCAGTCGGAAAAGGTCTGTTCTCAGCATTGCCCATGTGCAAAATTACCTTCATACCGCGACTCCATGCTCTGGGGCTCATAGCTACCGAAGGTTCAAATTGCACTCCACGTATGAAGGAGTAGGGCAAATGGGCAATTTCAATACCGCCAGCGGTCCACTGCAAACAGCACTGCCAGGACAACGTACTTGATTGTTGACTATTGATAGTTGGCAGGCTCTGTTGCTCCGAATAAGGTTTGTTCCATGAAACGTCGCACTTTCCAAGAATCTATTTCCCGGCTTGCTGTGCGATACTCTGATCATACCGGTGATCTATGGCAATATCCCACATCGCACTCCAATCAGCACACTTATGTGACGTGCCCCAGCCGTTGAAACCAAACTCATTGGGAACTACAGAGTGTTCCAACGATAGATCGCCTGCGCACATGATGGCCTTGAAGCTCGTGTCAGCAATCCAAGTTTCCCAGGGTGCGTCAAGAGGTGGGCCATCTTACCTGCCGAAGGTAGTCAAAACAATGATTTACATGTGACTCAGGGGCGAAAACGTCTCTTCGATGCACATCTGCAGAGGTATTGCTGATGAAGCCTTCCAGCATTCCAAGCTGTATCCGAATGGAATTCTTGTGCCATCAGCGAACGCACCATCGATCGATGGGCGATACTCACCAAACAATGGAGCTGGTGGAACATGGACATCGAGTAGACCTCCGCGTTAGGATTATTTCGATCTTTATAGCTTGCGGGTAGCTGGTACTTCGACGGCTCTGTGACGGAAAGGATACCGCCGTCATCTACAGTGATAATCAGCTCCATTCTCTCAATTCTACCACTCGGGTGCATTACTGGGCATCAGGGCCGACCAAGCAGGCTCTCCGGCATCTTTGGCGGTGTAATGAAACTTTGAGTTTGGCTCGAACGTGACGACACGCGATGGCACTGGATATCTCGGTCAACATAACTAGCACCAGGCGCATGTCGACGTATGTCATACCTAGGGGAAATGGCATTAAAGTTGCCGCATGGTTACCATATCCAGAGGTGCGATGTGCCAGCACCCAGCCAAAGGTAACCAACGTTGCTATCCAGAGAGCAAGAGAAGCACAGAACAGGGTTTTGTATGAAAAGAGGTGAGATAAGTGACGTGGTGGCCATGTAGACAAATCATCCTTCTCATCCGGAGCTTCCATCGGAGAATGATCAGGTAGTCGAGCGTAAGCCATCGTTGTCCGTTCCTCAGTTTCTTGTCTCTCAACTACGTCCCAGTCGACGATGGAAGATGGAACAGCATATTCCTAGTACGTTGTTCCGCTACGCACATGAATTAGCCCGGTGGACGTCGGCTTACATGGACTGGACGGCTCACCGCGTAACCCGGTGTGCGCTAATGCATCTCTCAGCAGCCACTTCCCACATCAATACCATTCCCATTTTCTGATATCGGTGCTGATGCAGGAAGCACCGTCAGCGAAGGTCACGAGCGGTTCTACCCGTTCGTATCCCAACCAAAAGAGCGGCACACGCATTCTAGTTTGCGGGGAGATTAGGCTATATGGAAGCTGACTACGGATGTGCAGCAATGTAGCATAGGTTGAATGCTTAACACACGCAGGACCATAGGGTGCATCGGCCGGAAGATCTATTGCCCTTCTTGCTGTGGCGCTGGCTAACCTCGCAACAGTTTGTGATAATCGAGCTATGTATGTAGTGGTTGCGTATGCTTCCCGCAACTTTGTGGCACCGAAACTTATGGTAGTCGTGTTTGCCTGCGAAAGCTTTCTCATTGGGCCAATGTCTCCGGGGATAAGGTTAATATCTCACTCGTTCAATGTTTGTTCGAGTGGAGGGAGGTGAGTGGGATCTCCACTCAAGTTAAGTAGACATGCATTTACGACACTTTACCCAACGACATGGGGAGAACATGGCTTTTGGCAGAGCATTGAACCACTTCCAGGTGTGCTATCATACTGATGGGCTTGCTACTAGGAGAGGCGATCGTCGTATAGAATGCACACGGTTACTATATTCTCCTCACCTCACAAGAGCCCATTGGACTGTACCAATATCCTTTCTGAGTAGTGCATGCTCAATGTCCCCGGTTATATACGTCCTATCGTCAAGGTAGAAGACGACCATACCGTCTAGAGCATGGCTTCCTACAAGGCTTATTCGTTATGCGGAAGGGGCCGTCAGTGGCGTACGACGTAGCTTTGCAAAAACATAAGCTAAACTTGGAAAGCTTCTTCAGGCTCGGCCATTCGTATCATCAGGCGCGCCGTGATAGTCTCGACTGGCTCATTTATACTAGCTGGACGAATAGAGGCGATTCTCCGTCAGCAGCGTGCATCTGGCCATCTCTATCCGAGGAGGGGGAAGCTGGGCTTCAGGCTGATGAGATGAATAACAAATCTCGGGTCGTCGGCTTTTTTAAGTGATGAGACAGTGGAAATATGCATGCAGCGTCAGCATGCGGACTGCTCGCCGGCGTTGCGGCCCGCTCTGGTGTAGTTGAAGGTATGTATCAGGTTGGGAATATGAAGAGTAAAGGGATCCATCACACATATATAAGTCCTCCTCGATAGCATCATTTCTATCCACAAGCACGCAAGCAATATTCACTATACCAATCACTACAATTATCGTTCAAACCTATCAAACATACTACATCATGCAGTTCACAACTCTCGCCTTTTCCATCTTTACCCTCCTCTCCTTCGCTGCCGCCGCTCCCAGCGAGGTTATGGGTCGCAGCCCAGCCCCTGTCTCGAACCTCATCCAGTACCCCGCTGACCACAGCGTTGAGATGATCAAGCGCGCCCATATGGAGGCCCGCTGCAACGTTGGCTGCCCCTGCAACTGGTGCGGCATGACCATCTGCTGCGAGTGTGAATGCTAGGCATGAACGGCGTAGACCCGTGAGTTATCCCCATGCTGGATAGAGAAGTTGACAGATAGCTGATTTTCTAAAAGTCGAGAGGTACAAGCGTTGTTGGGACCGACTGTGGACGATGAGGCACTTGAGAACGTCAAGGAACTACAAGCAATGGCTGGATACTCTTGGGAACGCAGTCCTTCACTCACTTACATTAAATTGGCAATACAAATATTTAGAACGCGCCCATTTCTAGTCTAAAAGTACATCTCTTCAGTATTTCGACATGCAATTCGTGATTTTCTTAGAGCGATAGCGATATGAAGCAACGTACATGTCACAGAAGCTTAATTTGATAATGCGAGAGAGTATCGAAATGAATATGAGGAGTTCGAGTTTTACAAACCAGCACGTTGAACTCAATGGAGACATATTGTTTCCCATGGAGACTAAACAGATCTATATTGAAAGTACCAAAAAGATCTAATGAGAGCTACACAAACTTACAGTGTAGTAATTGCACTATTTAGGATGAGTATGGTGGTAGTAGGATATTTCGATTCGTCGCACGCTTGGAAAATCAGAGATCTGAACAATGTAAGAAATATAGGGTGTAGACTTCATAGAGATACGTCTCTACAAGAGCTCAGACATCTCTCTGGCTTGTAGTATCGAACAAGATCTTTACGGCTACATGAGCTAGTCGATTGGTACCAGGAAGAGCCGAGAAACCGCGTGAAGAATACGTTGGCTAGTTAAATACTTACCATGGCTATCTAAGAGAGCGCGTGAAGGATACAAAGCTCCTACCACGAAGGTTGTAAACCTCGGAAGCGTGAGAGACAGTAGCTGGTTCCTCGCAAACCTCGGAGGGTTGATAAAGTATACCTATGGAGCCTCCCATCACGACCGTTGTAGACACCAACACGATGTCCTGCATGAGTATCCCGAGCTCATGCACAGGCTGCTTGTGTTGTTTTGCTCCGTGTCGTTCGCCTTGGAGATGGGGAGGGATTGGTCGTACGCAAGACGCCATCGCTTCTCAACCAGTCGGCCCGTCTTCCGAATGTGGTCCGCGACAACCCTGGAAGCTTGGAACGAGAAAACCCCTTCTAGCCAACGTCCTCTGCCCAACGGCATTCTTTGTTCAACGACTTCTTCATCCAAAGACAACAAAAGAGCGACGCGCATCAGATACTCGATGTCTTTAGCAAGTGCCTCGGCACAGTAGATTTTGCTGCCCATACAGTTTGTATCCCCCATTTACTATTAGAGAGTGACGGCATAGGCTCCTCATGCGCTCTGCTAGATCCTGCGGTATGTGTGTATGATACGTCCTTTCTGAGTCTGTGTATTTGCTGTAGTCGTTGTAACGCTTTCCACAACTCATCTATCGGTGCCTTTGTTTCCATATCGCCATATTGTCTCTCCTTGTTTCTTCTTGCGGTCGTCGTTTGGATGGCATTGAGGATGCGAATGAAAGTGACCGCGCCAATTTCGTTATAGGGTCATGTGCACACATGTGTAGTGATCATTTCCTACTTCTCCAAATAGTCAGTCATCGTTCTTCAGTTCAGGGTGGGACGTCATGGTGGTGAACATCCTAGGTAGTTACCCAGCTCCAGAACTTCGAGCAGCTGTATTACCTGTCTCGTCTTTCGTTTCGTAAAAAGAGAAGGAAGCGTATTCAGCTGATGCCAATGCGGTCGTGAGGGATGTGGCAGCCATCATCACAGCAGCACGGTGCTGCAACGGATAATTTCGTTAGTGTGCAGTCAAGCGCGACAGGGAGTCGGAGGTGAAGCGCAGATGGATGTAGGTAGCCATGCAAGTGGACCGGTGAAAGTGAAGGTGAGCCCGGAAGTCTCTTCAATGCCTGTTTGTAATGCTTGGCATTGTGCGCCTCCAGCATATCAGGGCGAAACTTCTTGCGAGTTTGCCCATCACACCCACAACCATATTACAGCGGCATTATTGTGCAAACATGGAGAACATAACTTCATTATCTAACGACCCCAAACTTATAAGCGCAAACAGCGGTACGTAGTTCGATCGTTCCTGAGGTCGGTTAGCGAAATTCCAATAGCGCATAGGACAAGCCCTCAAATGGGCTGTTGAGAGGTACATACCTCATGCGAATTACATCGATCAGAACTATTTGCGGACTCTTCCAATAGGGCTGTCACCGGCATACCCTGCCTGCGTTAATTGCGGTCAATTGAAGGCCGAGCCGGGCCATCGAAGCGGTTTGACGTGCCCGCGGCCATGCGTATTTTGCAAGCGAACCCACACTGGCTTGGTAAGTACAAATTACTCAATCGTAAATCTCGCTTGACTAACAATGGACAGACATGCGACATGATATGGTGCACCGATAACTTCATGAAAGAGCGATTCGGCCGCACCACCGTCACCTCCAGGCCGCCGAATCAGCGGATAAAACCTGGCGATTTGCAGCAGCAATTGCTCGTAGCGAAAACCCAACGCGAGTTTCTGAATTTTCCATAGATATACTGCGGAGGAGCCCATTCAGCCTGTGTATGCGAAGAAGGTCGTTCCAGATCTTCCACCTGGAAGCATCGTCAAGCAAAAATGGGACCAGCCACCAACCCCGAGCGACTACAAATCGAGATTCGAGGCGACTGAAGCGGGGGCCAATGTTTTTGCGGCGAAAGCCAATGCTCTTACGACAGAATTGGCCAATGTGAATCAGCAGCTTCTCGAGTCGAAGCAGCGTGAAGCAGAAACCAACAACAAACTCACACAGGCTATGTCTATGGTACAGTCGGCGCTTCCGCGAGGCCAGTACGATTACGAGATTGCTGGTTCCTCTTATCCAGGTCCTGGTGATATGCGAACATTCGGCGGCCCGCCATCTGGCGCTCCGTCATGGCAGGGCCACAACCCTCAGCAGTTTCAACCTGCCTAGCCGAATCAACCTGCGATGCAAACCTTCGACGGTCCTTCGTGGCAGGGTCAAAACCCTCAGCAGTTTTAACCTGCCCAGCTGAATCAACCTGCGATGCAAGGGAACCATCAGGCGAACATTGGTTCTGCGATGCCAAATCAGCCAGCGATACCAGCGAACAATCAGATATACTGGGATTCTGCGACGCTATCTCGTCTACAGATCTCAGCGGATCCTGCGATAACTCCTGCGATGTATGCGAAGATCACCGAGGCGGTTGAAAAAGTGGACCCTAATTCCAACCGCGATGATAAGGAAGAATCCGCCAAATACGAAGCGGAGGTCTGCAGAGTAATAAATGCGGTATTGCAGTCAGGCAAGACCCAGGGCGGACAAGTCACCCGAACCAAAGAGTTCGGGACAGGTCGATTTGCGGCTAGTAAGCGTCTAGCGATTCTTTGGGAGCCCTTGTAATGTATCGTTCACTCGTCATCGATGGCCTTCTTCAAATGCAATTGGAGAAGGTTGCTTGATCTAAGGCCTTGAAACTGGGTACATGCACAGGTCTTCTTAGACCCATGTACCTATCGAGGTCTTTCAAGGGCTTAGGGTAACATTTCCGCGGTGTTGTTCACCATGCATGACGTTGCCTGCATCGATGTCAGTCGTTACAAGGTATATAAATTTAGTTAGTAATGAAATACATTGCACCACATCTACCTGCTAATGCATGATTCCTTGATGTCCTCGGGTACGATGTTTTGACTGCGTCTTTGTGAAATCATATCTTGAAATTTAGGACTATATTGGCCGTGTCGTGTATATCTACAGACTGTCGGGTTTACACAAAATCATCTCTCGACGTGAGTGTGGTAGTGACTTTGATATCCTTCTTTTCTTTAGATTCCGGCTTGGCTTGCGCCATGTTCTCTGCAATATACCTCTGCTCGATGGATCCTCGCAATATCATCTCCTCGCTCGCGTTATCGCTTCCCATTGCAACTGTGGTCTGCAGCAAACTCCCACCAGGACCCATATATATCTTCATGGTGTTTGGGGGGCTGTCGTTTTCGCCGCGGCTGCTCTTCGACTTCAAGTATCCCTTGAGTGGGTACGAGTTCTTGGCAGACGAGTCGCCTTGGGAACCGTATACGGCGCGGACGTAAAGTGGACGAAGGACAGGAATGCAGGCACAAATGATGGTGAGACAGACTTCGGAAGAAGACCAAAGGAGCATGCTGGCGGTGTCGTACACATAGTTTTCCATCGAGGAGAGGGACTGCAGTTCGATGGTGCGGACGATGGAACATGCGCCCGCGACAACGCCCAGCGAAAGACCGCATGCGATGGTGATTTTCTCCTTGCGCTTCATGTTGAGCCCCATGATTACATGCCAAGCTGATGTGAGTTAGCACTATCACAGTAAATCTTGGAACGGGATTTACTTACGGAGGATAGCGAGAACGAAGTCCATGGATGCGGACCACGCACCCATTGTCAGACCAACTTGGGTAAAATTCAGCCAGCAGTAGCCACCCTTGATTGTTCGGTCCCACAGAAATGCAGATGGTATGCACTGGGTGTACAGCAGAGTGGTGGTGATAGTACACAGTATAGCCGTGGTTATGATGCAGAACCAGAGGATGGCGACATGCCACCTCTTCATGACGATGCGCAGGAGAAAGATTGCCACAGAGCCTTTGGACGCAGCGATTCCCATGATACAGATACCCTGGCCGATGGCTTCCCACATGATGGACTTGGAGTAATCGAGTTCGAGACGTATAATATCTGCTGTCTTTTTCCCAACGCCATGTGTAACACCAACGGATATGCAGCCGACATAGCCTACGAAAGTGATCTGTGAACAGGTCAGAAGATGAGCATGAGTACGATCTGATGAGATTGAACTTACCAGATTGACTATCATCAGCACATCATCCCATCCGAAATTCCTCACAATGTACTGCCGTGTGTACAGTCGTAGGGCCACAAAGACAGTTCCGATAACCACCTGAAACCACATGACTCCATTGAGTATGTCGGCAAAGTCGGCTGGCTTACCCATCTTGACTGAGCAATCTAACGGTTCAGTTGGTGAAGATGGATGGGAGTAGGAGCCTCAATGTCTCTCGTCTCCACACCGTATTGGGTAACAAACCGAGGCTGAAGGATGTTGAAAATGAATGTAAAAGTGGCATGTGGATGTGTAGGTAGCGTATTTGACCACGACACCGGCCGGCCTGACTTTGAAATAGAAGCAAGGATGGATGGACATCGAATGAAGCACTGCCCCTGAGTCAAACGGTATGTGTACGTTCTTGTTGAAAATCTTAGATGATGGCAAACATTAGGAGCGGATTGCCATACTTCCGCATTCTGCTTTACGCAGATGCCCATGTAGAAGAAGCAACGGGATGCCTGTCGTGGCTCAAGCAGATCAGAGTCCCACAAACCCATTTAGACATGGAAGTGTGTGCCAACTTTGGGAGCGACACGAATCAGCTGCATCCCTGGTCTTCATTCAGGGTATTTTGGTGATACTTTTTCGTGCGCTTTACCTTGTAGGACCAAGGTGACGCTGGAGGCATGATCCCCCAGAAAACAAAAGCACTGTTAGTTCATAGCGACGGGGAGGGTCCCGTCTCACATTAGTCCCGACTTTGCCAAATGAACGGACGTGAGAGTAGACACGAGAGCAGAGTGAGCCCTAGCGTCGGAGGAGCACCTTTCTTCCCTGACAATGACGCTCGCTCTAGATGCTATACCGTGACCAAACGGGTATACGTGCATGACAACCTTGAAAAATATTCCCTGCAGAAGGCCCGCGCCGGTATCTACCCCATTTGCGCGTCTTCCCCGTTTCCGTGCTGTTAGCTCATTTTGCTTTTGGACCCCGGCTTCGCACGATCCACCTCTTAGCCCAACGAGTGCGCATATCACGAATGCGCCCGCTCTCTTTCATTCGCCGCTTCTACAGCTGTCATCGGTGAAGCAAGACTCTGCATGGCAAAATCGAGACACGCCTGCTTCGGCGTGCGATCTTGCCGTGCCTCAACAACCTCCCTATGCGCCCATCGGTTATGCTGATGACGATACAGGCAGCCAATCCAATTGCGGGAATGGAAGTGTGCCGCTGTCGGCGATTTTCTGACTCGTGAGTAGATGGGATGGTGTTTTGAGAGTGTGAAAAATCGCAGCACTCTGTTGCGATTGTGAATGTCGAGGCCCACTGAGGCCGAGGCAAACGATCGACACGTGATAGACCTTGCACTACCCGGGGCAGACAGTCACGAGTCTAAATATCAGTTTTTCCTTCCGCCAACAAATTATGAAATGAAGTTTTAAGCAGCCTTCTCTACCGTCGTGGGCAGATGCGGGTGGCGTCAGGACAGACCTCAGGACGTTTGCACTATCCTTCCGCCACGGGCCGTTGCTTACCGCCGTCACTTTACACAAAGGTTCCCTTTCTTCTTGTGAGCCAACTTTGTTCTCTTCCTGTCCCAAGCTACCACTTAGCTTATATTTCATACCAACAAATACCTCCGTGTTCTATCGCTTCAGCGTTCGCTATGCCTCGTTGGGCATCAAAAGCGAACAAGTCTCCTCTAGAAACTGCATATCCCGTCAATCTTAACGTAAGCAATTCTCATTCTGTGTTAGCTAATTCGCGCTCCGTGGGTTCATGGTCAAGCGTGTAGGGCCGTGTTCCGCAGAGTGCAAGCGAGCCTCGGCGGCTCATCGTATCTGACAGCTTCCTTAATCCCAAGATGGAACCAGCCAGCAGCGGCGAATGTGGAAATGAGGGGCCATCACGGATCTCATGGCCAGTGGCTGTTCCCAGCTGGACCATCCCAGTCGACGTACATGACGCCCTGAGCCACCAGCATCATCATGCCGGCATACTGACCCACAACCCGCTATTCGTCCGCAGGGTCGCAGTCAACACGGAAATAGGTTCTCTCCAGACCCAGATGACCGTATTCCTCCTCTGCTATTCCTGCTTCACGGGGAATATGACATGTCCTTGCTACCCACCCCTGTGCCTAGCGTGTCGCGTAGAAGAAGTAGCTTCCCCGGCATCCCTCAACGACTAGATATCCAATCATTGTACGTGTGATGGTGATGGTAGCGTGGCAGGAAAAAGCAATCCTTCGACCATGATCTAAGACAAGGAGGTCAACTCAGATCGCTAGCGTACCACTATCTTCCTAGTAGTACACCCCCCGTTCCTAGCCATGTGAGGGTGTAGTGTTGCGCCCATATTCGGGCCGTCACTTATTCGCTTCCCTTCCAACTCTGCTCTCTTAATCCCCTCTCGGATATTCTTACAGCCAAACCACAAGGTCGGTACAATGGCACTGATGGGGCTGCTCGTCAAGGTACTTGGTCTGGGAGCCCTCTTCATCATCTCTCAATACGTTCTAGCGTACTTACAATCACCGCTCAAGAAGATCCCTGGGCCGTTCCTAGCCAAGTTCTCCGACATATGGCGTTTCTTGAACCACTATGGGCAAACCCACATTGAAACACAGAGGAAGCTCCATGAGCAGCATGGTGACATTGTCCGCCTTGGCCCCAACACCGTGAGTGTTGCAGATCAGAGTCTGATCAAGACTATCTACAATACGCGCGGGACATTTTTGAAGGTAAGTTCCGGACACTTGAGTCGTGCTGCTCGAGAATGGAGGTGATGGACACTGACTTGGGCTAGAGTGACTACTACGTAAGGCATGAGCAATCTTCTGCAGGAATAACACACTGACCTCCGCTCGGACTATCAATGATGCTCTCCAAGATGGGCATGTTATCCAGAATATCTTCAGCACCCGAAGCAATGAATTCCACTCCAAGAGCGTCAAACCCGTCCAGAAATTATACAGTCTTCAAAATGCACTCCAAATCGAGAGCATCATGAACGACAACCTTCGTACGTTGTGTGCTCAACTTGAAACTCGGTTCGTAGAAGGAGCGAACAAGGGAAAGACGTGCGATATTGCAGACTGGATCTCATTCTTTGCTTACGACTTTCTTGGCGATATGACATGGAGCAAGCGTATTGGCTTCACGGAAAAGGGTGAAGACATTGATGATATGTTCGTACATCGTAAACGAATACTTTGCAATCCGCTGACTTATGGGCCCACGTGAAGGTTGGGTACAGCTGAGCGAGTGATGCGCTATTTCTCCGTGGTACGTGGTAGCCGTGTTCTATACTCTCTATGAGTTTCACAGGGACTTGGATGTGAAACACCTACTAAGCTCATACAGGTTGGCCAAATCCCCCATCTTGACAAATGGCTTGGCAAGAATCCCAAATGGCCCCGCTCACTTTACAAATTCGATGACTTCGCTGTCGCTGCCGGCTTCTCGGTTGAGCGCTTTATGGAGCGTATGCAGAACCCTGAACTTGGTAATGGCAAGAATGACTTTCTCAACGGCTTCCTCGAGGCCAAGAAGGAGTTTCCCGAGCTCGTTACTGATAATGAAGTTATTGGGTACATGATCATCAACGTAAATAGCCTGCCTTCTACTACAGGGGAAGTTTATTCCCAAACCAACGCACCAGTACTGACGATGCCATGTAGGTTCTCGGCGGCGCAGATACCCTTGCAATTGTGATCAAAGCCATATTCTATCATATCCTCAAAAGCCCCGCTGCCAAAGCGCGCCTCGTCCAGGAACTCCTTTTCGCACATCTGTCCTACCCAGCGCCCTACAAGACCATTGAACAACTTCCATACCTTGACGCTTGTATCAAAGAGGGGCTACGTATGCATCCTGTAGTTGGTCACATTCTCGAACGCGTTGTACCTGCCACTGGTCTCACCTTGTCCAACGGAATAACTCTACCACCAGGGACAATCGTCGGCGTGAACCCATGGGTCATGCATTACAAAGAAAGCATCTTCGGAGCGCAGCCACACACGTTCCGTCCGGAACGTTGGATGCGCGACGAGAATGAAGAGCAGGCTGTGTATGATGCCAGAATCAAGAACATGAAAGAAGCAGACATGGTGTTTGGCGGTGGTAACAGGATTTGCCTCGGCAAGCCGTTGGCACTGGTGGAGGTATACAAAGTTGTTGCAACTTTATTTGCAAAGTACAAGGTACGTCTAATTCTAGTTGATAGCAGGTGATTGTAATCCAAGGAAAATGTACTAACTATCGAGCAGATTGACCTCGAGGATGCAAACAAGGAGTGGGATCTACATAAGCAGTGGTTTGTATGGCCCCATGATATCAAGGTCAAGCTGAGTCCACTTGAGAGCGCCCCGTAGATATGTTGGAGCAAGCGCGGAGCATCTCGTTCGAAAGGATTCGGAGATACCTAGGTATTGTTGGGGGGCATAGTGAATCATTGTCGCATCTTCTGAGTACATGCAATCGTCGTTACAAAATTCGTGATCTATGTAAAGTTCTGTCATAGCAAGCCTGTCTTCACAATGTGCTAATGAGTGTCGCTCGTGGTGATGTTATGTCATGTGATATTAATCCCACTAGCCGCTTCGGTCTAAGAGCACGGTCCTTCCGCTCAGGCTGGCTGTCATTCGTGACATGCACACTCGACTCATACCCATCCTCAACAAGTTCAAGACCCCATTCAATAAGTAATGGTGAGACTATCTGGGCTTCAGAAAGACGTTCTATCGCTCTACCGACAATGCCTGCGAGCCGTAAGAGCAAAGCCGAACGTATGCTATCAGTTCGCTTGCATGTGAGACCTCTACTAACGGGCTGAAAGGACGTACAATCGCATTTCCGTGATTTCGCAAGGTGCGATTTCGCCCACTGTACGATTCGTAGACGCGATGACTGATGAAAATTGCCAGGGCCCAGTTTCACAAGCACAAAGATGTTGGGAAGAAGGACTTTGGAACCATCGAGTACCTACTCCGGAGGGGACGGAATCAATTAGAGTCATGGTCTGATCCAGGAATCCGGGATATCCACAAGTAGTGAGAGGAGTGCGTGGTGCACGAGCTCCACAGAGGATGACGCGTATTGCCTTTGCAATTGGGACAGCAGTCGACTGCCACGCGGCATCAATGCTTCTCGGAAAAAGAACACAGCGCAAGCTTCGTATTGATGTTATCAAATGGTATTGACAAGAAGTGCTCACGAGTTGCATCAATATCACTGTGCTGGAATCTTCGGTGTTTGTGGTCACGTGACACGATCTGCACGGCGGAACTTTCCAGCGGATGCTCGTCGCTGCTTCACGAGGGGTAATCTGGATGATTGGTATGGGGTTTACCCCTCTCTTCGGACTGGAAACTCACAGTACCATGATGTGGTCTGATCACATACGTGTGTATGACGGCAACCACAATGGTCGAAAGCTCTAGAATTGACCCGAAAGGTCGCGCAACATCGTATGATGGTTTGACACAACAACACCATCACAACGTACGATGTTTCCAGAACCGCTCTGTTAATGTATATATACCCCTCGAGCCAGCTTCTATCAACAGCATCAGAACAACAAAGCACATCAGATCTTCTATGCAATCACTTCGCACAACCATCTCACGCTTTCCACGACAACTCAACCGTATCGCGAAACCAACTGCTACTCGACACTTCACAACCACACCAGCAAAAATGTCTCTCTTCCCACGATTCACTCAGGAGTTCGCTCCCATCTTCCGCCTGTTCGACGAATACGATCGCCAGGCCTTCCGCAACCTCGACCGCGAGTTCCAAAACGTCCGGTCCTTCACTCCCAAGTTCGACGTCAAGGAGACAAAGGAGAGCTACGAACTCCATGGAGAGCTCCCCGGTGTTCAGCAGAAGAATATCAACATTGAATGGACCGACAACAACACCTTGACCATTTCCGGTCGTCACGAACATGTCCGCGAAGAAGGCCAGCGCCCACAGGGCTTCATCGAGAACGGCGAGAACGCGGACCAGAAGAAGATTGGTCACCAGCCTACCGTGGAGGATGATCCTTCCGAGTCCAACACCAAGGTCGCAAAGCAGTCCGACAAGAAGGAGGTTTCCAAGCAGGATGAGTCTGGTAAGGCGAAGTACTGGGTTAGCGAGCGCTCCGTTGGAGAGTTCCACCGCTCTTTCGCCTTCCCTGCCCGTGTCGACCAGGACGCTGTCAAGGCCAGTTTGAAGGACGGTATCCTCAGCATTGTCGTCCCCAAGGCTCAGGCTCCTCAGACTCGTAAGATCAACATCGAGTAAGCAAGTCCTACCGATAAACTTGCTATGGATAGTATTGGAGGGCCCCCACCAAGACGACTCCCTATTCACGACTCACGACTTTCACTCCTTACTATCAAGCGTGGCATTGGGACGGTGTTTATCAAGGTAATATTGGGTATTTGATTGGGTTATTTGATAGCATTATTGACTCTCCTTGAATGTGTATCGATCATCGTGAGGGAAGGTGCTGTATCTAGTTTCAAATGCATCAGTCATGACAACAATGTGTTCCCTACCTCTTCAATTCTTGCTATTACAAATAGTGAAGCCTTTCTATGACTGCAATGTTGTTGAATGAGAACTTCGGATACTGTCTGGTGAGGGAAAGGCAGATCATGTTCTGTTGTTGCAGTCCTGCAAGCCTCAGACTCATGGGCTGTTACAGACGTCTTAGATTACCGAAATGCTTCACGTCAGCGTGGGTATGAAGGCAGTTATGCCAGGCGCTACCGCCCCTCGGTGAGACCGGATGCTTCCTAGCGCGGGGTATGCTGTGCTGATTGGACGTCATCCCGCAGAAAAATTGAAGCCGCATACCGGGCCCTCTTACTCAAAACTACTTACTCCAATTGCGATATTTCCAGAGACTTGAGCGTATACGAATCTACATGGTATAAATCTGGCCAGTAATTAAGTTTCCGAGAGCTCCACATCCACCGGAGTCCCGCACGTGTAGGCGATTACCCCTCATTGAGTCACTTTTCAGGACGCGCTTCAATCTGCAAGGACAAGCTGTACTCTCCGAAACGACACACGCTACCCACGCATCTGCTGCATTCTTGGCTGGCCAGCGCAAGGTTATCACTCTCCACAACAGCACGCCATCGTCTGACTAAGGCCTCCAGCGTGGGACCTGTGCCTAGTCTGTTTAAAGAATAACAGGGCTCTATTCACGGGCACAACACTCGCGTTTGCATCGGTAAAGGAAGCTTATCACTGTGCGCCTATATAAGAAGCATGGATCTCGTCAATTCGTACGTGTTGATCATTTTCTCCTCATTTCCTGTCCTTTTATATATCCAATATCATGGGCCACACCAATGGCATAAATGGCGCGAATGGCGTTCAAGAAATAGCGCAAAGAGCCCGTCAGGGTAGTAGAAGTCTCCCATTCTTGACTGACCTGTTGGGTAATAGTCTGAACGACCGCCTCCTTTTCGCGGTGCCCAAGAGTACGTTTCCCACAGCAGCATGGCTTGAGGCAAGATGCTAACGCTCGTCTCAGAGGGCCGCCTGCACCAAGCTTGTCTTGATCTTCTCCATGGCTCAGATATCCAGTTTCACCGCCACTCACGCCTTGATATTGCGCTCGTAAAGAACCTGCCACTCGCGCTTGTATTCCTCCCGGCGGCCGATATCCCCACATTCGTAGGAGAGGGCCGCGTAGACTTGGGGATTACTGGACGCGACCAGGTAGCAGAGCACGAGTGCGTCACACCACCTACTGCCACGACCGGTGTAGACGAGGTCCTCGATCTCGGTTTTGGGAAATGCAGCTTGCAAGTGCAAGTTCCAGCAAAAGGCGATTTGACAAAACCAGAAGACTTGATCGGCAAGAATGTTGTTACTAGCTTTACCAACCTCACAGAGCAATACTACAGGAGGTTAGAAGCAGAACAAGCCGGGAACACAGACGGGAAAACCAATGGCGATGCGAAACTGAAGACGGTCATCAAGTACGTTGGCGGCAGTGTCGAAGCGGCGTGCGCACTGGGCGTTGCAGATGGCATCGTTGATCTGGTTGAATCTGGAGAGACGATGCGCGCTGCAGGACTAAAGGCCATCTCTACAGTCATCTCATCGAGTGCGATCCTTATCAAGTCAAAGCACCCATCAGATCCTAAGCTGGTAGAGCTCATCACAGCTAGGATCAAGGGTGTCATAAGTAAGTTATATCATCTGCTAGAAGCTGGGGTCTAAAGCTAACATACCGCAGCTGCTCAAAAGTATGTATTGTGCACATACAATATTGAGCGTTCAAAACTCGATACGGCGCGTAAGATTACTCCTGGGCGTCGCGCTCCCACAGTCAACGCTTTGGAAGAAGACGGTTGGGTGGCCGTCCAGGCCATGGTGCTACGGAAAGACATTGCTATTGCCATGGACAAGTTGACGGAAATTGGTGCCAGCGACTTGATTGTGACAAAAATCGAAAACTCGAGAACAGGGGATTAGAATATGGGCTACGGAGAAGAATTCGCCCCGGGGGTTGTGTAGTGGCATGTGACAAGAATTTAAGTTGATGAAAAGTTGAAATTACTTGGAACGGGTTTGAAGGTACAGATGACTAGGCAGCACATGGTACATGCAGAATCCATTAATGGATACTCACTGCAATGTCGTGAAACTTGGTTCCTCGAAAAAAGAGACTATAAGAGTGATGGTCCCGTGCCCGCTGTGATTGGGCAGCGACGTACGAGACAATTTTTAGGACTGCGGAAGCGAGCCACGCGCAGTTGGCCGAGCCCAACCATTGTCCGGCGACGTAGGCATCCTTTTTAACATTTCCTTCACCCACACCACTCAGCCGTAACATATCCCATAGCGACAGAGACAGTTGTTCTATAGCGCCTCCTACACACCAACTGCGCTTTTATACAGCACCATGGCTCCTGGAAAGTGGGGTACGTCATATCCGCTGCTACTGCGCGCGCTTTCAAGATGAATATCTGCATCGACTGGGACTGACGAGTGCGCAGACGACGAGGAAGAGGGCAGCACGCCTGCCACCTCTCCAACAATAGCGCCCATCTCGCGCCGCAGCAAGTTCGACGACGAGGAAGAAGATGACGATGTGCGTTAGCCCAGCATGCCCCGCGCTTGCATAATTCCCACCCCGCTATGCACAAGCCGGCGATACTGACCATACAAACCACAGGTACTAGAATCATGGGACGCGGCCGAAGACTCTGAAGTAGAGCGCGAAAAGGCGAAGAAGGCGGCTGAGGCCAAGGCGAAGGCAGAGGCAGAGGCCAAGGCAAACCACAAGTCCAAGGCGCAACGAATCGAGGAGCACAGACAGGCCGCTCTCCGCCGGCGGCAGATGGAAGATGACGGCGAGACGGACGAAGACGAGACTGAGGCCGAACGTCGTGCACGCCTCCGCCAGCAGGAAGTTGACGGCTCGCGCGCCCAAGCCGAAGAACTCTTTGGCGACCTCAGCATCAGCAACAAGCGCGCAGGCAAGGCCGTCACCATCACAGATGAGGGCGACCCGGGCAAGGCCATCGACCTCTCGTCGCTCGCAATCTTCAACCCAAACACCAAAGACCAATTCACCAAGCTGCGCGAAACCCTCACACCTCTGCTCGTGGCAAACTCCAAGAAGGGGCAATACTCGCTGTTCCTGCAGGAGTTTACAAAGCAGATTGCAAAGGAGCTGCCGAGTGAGCAGATTAAGAAGATTGCCTCTGGCCTGACGACGCTGAGCAACGAGAAGATGAAGGAGGAGAAGGCGGCGGAGAAGGGCGGCAAGAAGTCAAAGGCGGCAAAGACCAAGACGACGCTTAATGCGAGTAGGGACGTGGGTGTTCGCGCGGATACTAGGGCATATGATGATGAGGACTTTGGCGAGTAAGTATCACCCTTGGTTGATTGACGTACAAAAGGAAGAGCTAACTTGTGTGTCTAGTGATGATTTTATGTGAAGACTTACGACATTTTTCTACTCTCCCTTTCAACAACACGGCCTGACGCGACCCCCCGTATGGCATAACATGGTACCACCTTGGATCGCCAAGGGCTTCAATGTTGGGGTTGGCGCTAGGTCGTGGTAGATGGAGTTATGCTTTATGCATCATCTTACGTTGAGTTCTTCTTCTTGACTTTACATCGGGTTTCTTGGGAGTCCAGCGGCATTAGTTAGTGGGTTCGTCTATGGCGGGACATGGTCAATGGCATGTACAAAGTAGACAGACGACCATGATTACGACGTAAAATGAGCATGATTATTACTATTTCTAACCTTTTTTGTCTTCCGCCCAGCGTCCGCTCTCCCAATCTCTCAAGTACGCCTAACTAATCATCGAAAATTGCACAGACAAGCAAGTCGAACCGCTCGACCACGGTAATTACAGCCTTATAGATGGATTCCACCGCAAAGAAAAACGATGATTGAAATGGAAAGGGGTGAAGAGATTGAATAAAAGACTTGAAATGGGGGAGTAGATAAAGAAGAAAGGGAGAATAGACAAAAAAGAGAAGATGCGTAAATCATCGCACTGGAACCTCCCAGGGCCTCCAAAACTTCCACCCTTCTCTAACTTCCTTGACGGTACGGCGTCTATAACTCGACACACCGACCAATCTCTCAATGCCGACATTGCCCTCGGCCTTGAGAAACTTTTCCTGGTCAATCTCCTCGCCACCTTCCTCTTCATTGCCATTGTGCAGCACAGCAGGCCAGAGGACACCCACGCCATCGCCTGCGAGCGTAGTTTCAAACTTTTCAAAGCCTTCTTGTTCCAGCTTGACTTCGAGCGAGTCGAGGATCTTGTACTTTAGTTTGGTGCCGTTTGAAATGACAGACGAGCCGCAGTCTACGTCGGCTTCGGACGATTCGTCCGATGATGGCTCGTCGTGTGAGTGGCCGTTTGTAAGTGCCGGTGGCTGTGGTTTAAGAATGGTGATGGCGCATCCGCCGCCACCCGCACCAGTGAGCTTCGTCCATCCAATGCCCGTGTGGTCGATGATTTCGCGAATGCGCTCAAGCTTTGGGTGCGAGACGCCAAGCGAGACAAGCAGGCCGTGATTTATCGTGACAAGCTCGCCAAGGTGCTTGAGCGCTGCGGGCGAAGTGGCGTCAAAGTCTGGGGAAGTTAGGAGCTTGTGTGCAGATTCGGTAACTAAGCCGATGGCGTTGAGTATGTTTTCTGTGAGGGCGGGGTGGACGTTGCGCAGATGTGCGACTTTGGCGACTTCGGTGGCGGTGCTGCGCGACTGGCGCGTGTTGACCAAAAGAAGTGGCAGTTCGGGGAAGCTGTGGAGCGGTACAACCAGAGGCGGCTTGTCGTAGTCTCTCCGTTGGAAGAGGACGGCCTTGCCACCTGAAGAGACTGTGTTATCGACACCTGAGGGATTTCCATGTATGCACATTTCGCCCACAAACGCCCAGCGGTTGATGCGCTCAATGTTGAGCTCGCACTCTTGTGGAGGCTGATCCTGATGTGGACCACTCAGGGCGCGGATCTGCAGCAGCAGTGCAGTACTGATGCACACGGAGATGCTGGCGCTGCTCCCCAGACCGGCGCCAATGGGGATGGTGGAGCGCAACGTGTACACGCACGGCGGTACTTTGCGCGAGGCCAGCGACATAAAGAGGTACAGGAAGGAGTAGGCCGAAGCATGGTGGATCTTGCGTATGTGTTCGGGGGCTTTGGCCGACACCTCGTCGATGAAGGGCTTGATGGCGGCCATGAGGTCGGGGTCTAACGAAGTGACGAGGTCGTAGTAGTACTTCTTCTTGCCCGGCTGGGTGAAGCTGTCCCATGGCAGCTGGTCAATGTCCCACGTGTGTTCCATCTGTATGTCGGGAAAGCGCAGCTTGACGGTTCGATTCGATTTGGAGAGAAAAGAGACGTGGAGGTAGGAGCGGAGCGATATGGCAGCGGCAATGGCAGCCTACAGGATGTTAGTATGTGCCATGGCCTCTTCATATGGGTGCTTCTTGCCTTTCCATGGACAACGGCATGTTCGCCGTACACAATGACCTTGCCGGGCGCAGAGACCATGAAAGGAGGCATCATGGGCGACGACTGCTTCCTAAGCATGACAGGAGCACCATTTTTGGACGACATTGTGGCAGGAGGCAGATTCGCAGCTAACTGGGCGGGCATTGAGTCTATGGCGGTTTGTGCCGGATGTGAAGACGAAGATGTAGTGAAGGGATGAAAGTTGGCTGCCGGGGGTGTCAGCCATGTTTATCGAGCATGCATCTCAGTCAGCCTACCTGGCGCGTCGAGCGTGGTCCGGCGCATGCTGCTGTTGGCTGCCATGGCGGTGAATGAGGTGCACAAGTTAATCAAGTCACGGCGCCGCTCTGTGCGTCAGACGTCAAAGGAGGCGTTGCACTCGACGGCTAGGTATTGTCCAACCTTAGACGGTTGGGCGCGGTCATCATACAGCGATCCACGTTGGCCAGCCACTAGCGCGCTGCTCCACCATGCAGGAACTGCCAGGGGTAAACCGACTATCCTGGTTTTCTGGAAACGCCCTACAGGAGGCCACACATTATAAAAGCCTTCACGCCTGCCCGTCTTCTCACCCGACAAACCCCACCCTGTTTGGCCTACGACATATGCCTCGTCCGTCGTCATAGATTCATTTGCTTTCGTTTTAGTCATCCTGGACGCGCAATCGATGAACAATACCAAGCCCCACCCTTGTGACTGCATCAACCCTTGTGACGTACGGCTACTCACCTCCGCCGTCAGCACTGTTGGTACGGTGAGGAGAAGGTTGCCTCGAATCAAAGTTACATGTCCTCCAGCACCACTCCAACAATGGCAGGGATCTCCTCCATACGGCCCTTCCACATCCGACTGTCCGCGCTTACTTCCCCTCTTAAGTGATATGTACCGCCATAATATGATATGCTCGCAATCCTGGTCACTATCAGACACGACACCGAGTCGCACCGCCTCAACGTGATGCCCAATGCATGTCTTATAGGGCCGAATCTCTGCATCATCAACTGTCTTCACATTGGTCCTTTTGAATCTACCTCAAGAAGACATCTAGTTGGAGTGCCTTTGACAGCTGTAGAATAAGAAAACGCCTCGCTATGCAGGTACAAACCAGCCACCAACCTAAACTTATGACGGTGTTTTTATCATGAAAATCTGCATTCAAGTTAGCGGGGACTAGGATACGGTGAAGTCACATAATACATACTTCTTTCATGGCTTGCGCATCCATAGTCGCTGCCTTTTTCTGACGAATCCACTTTGCCCTGACCGCATGCATGCCTCTTGGGTTGTAGGCTAGCCCTGCAGGGACCGGAGTTGATGTAGCAGCCACTGGAACCGTTGAGATTGTTGTCGGTACATCCTCTTCTGCCTCGCTTTCCGAGCTGGAGTCGTCTGAGTTGTCCTTTGACTTCGCGGCTCTCTTCGCCGCCTTCTTGAGCGCCTTCTTCGCCCGTTTTTCTTGCTTGCGGGCCTTCTTCTCTGCTTTCCGCCGTGCCTTGTCCGTGACGGGTTCTGGAGCGACAGCATCGTTGCTAGAGGCTTCCGAGTCTGACGAAGCCGACCGCTTGGACTTTCTGGATTTGTCCTTCTTGCCTTTCTTCGACTTCTTATCCTTTACTTCCTTGGACTCGTCGCGCAGGTCGATGCTCTTCTTCTTGCGCTTCAACTTCGGCTCGTCTTCAGTGCGCTCCTCGTGTTTCCTCTTCTTGCGCTTCTTGTCCACCGCACCGTCGTCGCTCTCCGGCTCCGACTTGATCTCCGACTTGATCTCGACTTCCTTCTTGATATCTGACTTCTTCGTAATCTTGTCTCCCACCAGGAAACCGCCACTAACAAAGTTCATCATGCCGTATTTCCGGTACACAAAAGCCCTCTTCTCAATCTCCTCTCGCCTCTCCTCTTCCTTCTTGACCTCGGCCTCCTTGCCATTCAGTCGCCCAAGAATGCTTTCTAGCCCTGCCAGCCCAAAATTCTCCGCTCGCTCACTCCCTCGCTTTGCGCCCAAACCAAGGTTGTCGTCTTTGAGCAAGACCCGAATATGCGATTGCGACGCGGCCGTGTAATGAGCGGCGTGAGAGGCACCTTTTGCTCCCAAAGAGTCTCCAGGCTGCCACCCTTGCGAGCTTAGTATGCGATGCCCGAAGCGAGAGGTATTGTTCGCCCAGGTCGTGTTTTGTGGGTCATTGGAAATCTTCGTGCGGCTGACAGAGCGTTAGTATTGCTGTCAAGAAGCAAAGGAAGACGGCGATCCATACTTCTTGGGCGCGGCGAGACCCATTGTGAAAGTCGGCCTGACAAAATAATCGGATTGTTGCTGGAGTGAAAGCGGGAGTCCGCAAACCAAGCCAAAAATTTGTGGATGCGCCCTAGCGCGGAATCTTGGCGCCCGTCCCAATGTCCATGTGGGGAAGGCCCGATCATTCGACCAACCTTCAGCCCAAAGTAGCAGGCCACTCAAACTTCACGCTCTCGGGACACAGACTCGATTAATCCCAAGATTAACAAGCGAAACTCTCATACAGCAAGTCATCAAGCCAACATTACCACCCACAATGAACGAATCCACCTCTCACCCCGCCAAGCCCGAGCATCTCAATCACTGCGAAGACGTCAACACTGCCGAGCCAGTCCCCCAAAATAAATCCGATGCTGTACCAGAAGGATTAAAGGCCAAGATAGTCGAAGACGTATGTCACAGACTAACGTCTTCGCATCACCACCTGCACTCACACATGGCCTACTACACCTTCTCTCCTCAACACTGACGCTCACATCCAGCAATGCAAACGCTACATGATACAAAAGACAGCCATAGACAATACCTACAACGTCTCCGTCTCCGAAACGGAGGTTTCCATCAATGCCCTCTTGAACACTGTCGCCAGCTATCCAGCCCATCAAGCACAGCTCCAGCGTCTCCAGCAGCTCCTCGCACAGAAGACCAGCATTGAGGCAAGCATGGCAAAGCAGTTGGCGAACCTACAGGCTACGTATGAGGCTCATTCATACGACGTGGAAATGGTTTTACAGCGCTATATGAAGGAAATGAAGTGACTGGGACTGCTTACTGGGGCGGTGACACTGAACGTCTTCAGCACAGCTTCTCATATACATACACGTCCACACTCGTTCTACACTCAAGTCCACCGGCCCGAGAACAACTTTCAGCCCATCTTATACCCAAGCATCCTTAAGATTCCAAGCAATTACACAGATGAGTATACTGAACAAGCTTCATTCATTCGAGATTAAGATATATCAATTCATTCCAGGTATCATAAAGTAAATTTCACGCCAAGCCGCTGTCATATGGCCGTATGCCATACGGTAAGAATACCACAATCCATGCTTATGCAAAGTGTGGAAGACCCGCCACTGAAACGCCTGTAATTAAGCGCCTTCACCTCTGATACTCTGGCAAGGCTTCGCTTTGTCTTTTGCTTGCTTCTGCCGGACCACGACCCCGCCGCACAGCATCTACCAGGTCCTCCTCTTCGTCATCGAGAACGGGTGCTGAAGGCGCCAGATGCGAGCTGTGTATTCTGTGAAGAGGCGGTGCTGAGGGCGCATACGACGACGCACCCTCTTCATCTTGCTCTGGTGGTGGTGGTGCACTTCTTTCCATTTCTAGTCTCCGCCGTTGTAACTCTTGCTTGTCGTCTGTTGGCGCAACATATGATGACGAGGCTGCATACTGCGGTGCAGCACCTCGAGCTTCAGTCACGTCTGCTGGGGGCAGTGGAGGCAGTGGTTTGACATGTCCGGTTGCATTGCCATTGACGGGTGTTCCTTGACGGTCGGCGTGTACTGTGCGTGACGACCCATTTCCGGGAGTCGTCGCTTCGTCATTGTCCGGGCCTGTTGCATGACGTTGTAATGGCGGTGCTGTCGGCGTGCGCGAGGACGAGGGCGACGTAGCCGTAGGGAATGGTGGTGGAGGATGTGCCGGATTTGACGATGACGAAGCTGCAACGTAGGGAATGTTTGCATCGTCGTCCTCTGGTAGCACGGGTGCTGACGCTGGCATACCGTGTTGAACTGCGCCCGAAGTGGTAGATGGCCCTGCAACATCTGGCGGCTGAGATGGCAGTAGGCGTTCTTCTGCTCGTCGTAAACGCTCCTTCTCAGAAATTCCTTGCTCCTCTTCAGCCACATTAGGCACTGGGAAAGACGTGGCACCCCCTGTGCTGTGTTGTTCATACCCGGGAACGTCCCAGAACGTCGAGTCATAGCCATAATTATAATATTGGCCGTTCTCATCTTGGTTGTAGTAGTAAGGATCATATGCGTGCTCGCCATACGGATCCATCTGTTCATGAGGGTATTCGTTCAGTCCATTGTGGTGGGCGGGGTGCTCTTGGGGTTGTTTTCTTTTCCCGTTCCTCTCACTATCTTTGGTACCAATGACAACCTCAAACAAAGCACTGACGATGCCCTTTTCGCGGCGAATTTGGTCAGTATCAACAAAGTTGCCAGCCCAGGTTGAAAACATGCCGCCTGTGGCATCTTCGCCAGTCATAGGGGCATTACCTCCAGCAGAAGGTAGATTGACAAGGCCGGCATTTGCTACCATTCGGTCGAGCCCGGTCAACTTGCCTTGTATATCAATCACCACTTCGACATAGTATTTGAACGATATCATGGCACCTGGGACGTTTGCAATCGTGGGGAATGCCTCATCTGGTACGCGGACTGCACACTTGACCTCGGCCGTGAGTGTCCGGGGGTCAACGAAAAGCGGTGCAAACGATTGGCACAGATCCTTCCGGAACAAATGACACGAGCCAGCCGAAGATAGCGACAGCCCTCCTAGGCCGGTCCTTGATTTTGGGTAGTAATCCTCCGACTTTGTCTTGGCACCTTTACTGTTTGGCACTACAGGCAGTGCAGGATGCATGTCGACTCGGGCCTGACGGTACAATGTGATGATGATACCTTTTAAGCTTCGAATATGCTTGGTATGATTTACAGTGACCTTGATCGGTATCTGATCGCCTCTGAGGAAGGCGGGCTTGAGCACGTCAATTGTGGCTGTGATGGTCTTTCCTTTAAGCATCGTTTGACTTGCAATCTGTGAGGCCGATCCATCTATGGTGGTGTGAATGGAGCGAACACCATACTCGGTCCCCGAGGCGTTCCCACTACTTCTTTGACTTTCGTAGCTCACGTCACTGGGCGACGGACTTCGTGGACCCTCGTTGTCATCAATGGTACTGCCCGGGCCTAAGGTGGACCCTGTTGGCGGGGGTTCCGAGCCTGCGGGTTTTTGGAGCGCGTCGTCAGGCCCACGTTTGCGCGGTTTGGCGCGCGCTCGCCTGGATATGGGTTCTAGAGATATCACCCGGGGCTTCAACGCCGGGATGGGTGCGATGTCAACCGTGTCTGTCAGGTAAACTTTGGTATCGCACGAAGCCGTCGGCGACATTGTAGTGGGGCGGGTTAATGTGGCATTGAGCATATAGGAGATGGTCCCGCGCTCAAACTGCGTTCATCATCAGCAGGTGCGTCCGTTGCAGGGTGAGCATGTGACCTACATCGATGCTGCTGGGCAATCCTGTGGATGGAAATTCAAGTTCAAAATTAAAATGGTACACGCCTTCTGCAAGTCGGCCTTCTCCGCAGAGCACTACCTCGTCCTCGAACAGCGAAACGAAGCCATTGCCAAAGTAGCTGCCCGCCTTCCTTACCCTAGCGGATCCGGTAGTCGAGCAGTAGTTTTTGTAGGCATCGCCTGGTGTATTCGGGTTCTTGAAGACTTGAGCATAACCATGTAGACATACGACCAAATGGGTCACACGCAGCGGTTTAACAATCTTGATAATGACGGTTCCGCTGATCAGGTCCCCAGGCGCATACTGGCGGTGCGGGTCATCGGGCTGGATATAGAAATCGGTGTAGTTTCGAGACTTGGAAGACAAGGGTGATTTCAGGCGCGAGAGAAACGATCGGCTCGACACGGGGGGAGAGGACGGAGTGGACGTTGGGCGTATCTGGCTGGAAGTCATACTCCGTGTATCGCGCGCATGATGCGGCCGGCCGCGGTTTATCTGGTTATCGCAGCGCAGCCACGCGTCTCTGCAGACAAGCTGACGAAGGGTGGTAGTCCAGGTTAATGCAGCAAGTATGGCGGCTGCCCAGCTGAGGGTCCAAAGGGGAGCGCGACGGGCCGGAAGTGCGTCGACGGGAAGATACTCGGGAATGGAGCGCGGCGGCAGGCGTGATGGCGGTGACGGCGGTTACGGTAGCGGCGGCGGAGGGGTGGACGCGGTTAGGTGAAGGGCCTATGGTGCTGTGGTGTTGTCGCTGGCTGTTGGGCCGTCGCTTCAGGGCCGTCGCAAGCAACGGCGACGCGCAACTGTCTCAGATGGGCTAGGGGCTGTGGAGGCGGAGGCAGGCGTCGTCGGTTCAAGGCAACTAGATGGCGCGAGGCTCTGGTCAGCATCGCGGATGGCAAGATGCGCAGTAGTGGCAATAGGATGGGCACGTCTCGCGGCTCCAAGGCGGGGAGCGACGGTGATGACGGTGGCAGTGCTCCCTAGCGTGAGTGTAGAGTGACGGTCCCGGCCGGCGCAACTCGGTGGGAGCCACGACTGCGACGTCGAAGATGCTGTATATCGCAGCAGACTATAGACGAGAGAGAGAGTTGCGGAGTCGAGTGGAGCATGCATGGGGGGATCGTCAGTTACGTACCGCTTGGGTCACGCAGAAGGCTTGTTCAAGAGCCGCACTGGATCTTGGCTGCCAAGTCGTCAAGGGAACACAAGGTCTGCCCGGCGCGAAGCGACGTGGTGAGGTGGTGGGCGAGTTTGGATATATGGAATCGTGTAGTGTTGTCAGTAGTATGGCCGGAACATGGCTCTGGACCCGAAGCTACTACTTTGCGGGAGGGGAGGGGAGGGGGTGATTGCATGCGAAGGAGATAGGGTACGGCTGATCGGGTCGTCGTCAGCTATCAATGAGCTACCCGCACGACGCTGTACGCGTGCTCGTGCTGCACATCACTTGCGGATACCCGGTATTGGGTTGCTACACCGCTGTCGTTGTGCGGCCTTGCATGCCTGTTCCACCATCTACCATGGCCCAATAACAAACCCACCGGCGGCCATATGTTCTTGCCCCGATGCCGTCTCAGGCTTCCGATTGGGACCTCCGGAACCAAACAGTGGGTGCAACGGGGTACTGTGAAGCGGATGAGACAGTTGATGCAACAACAAGGAGCCATCAAGCTGTCAACCAGGCCAAGGCCCATGGCCACCTCGCTCAACGGCCCGGTAGCGATCGCTGCTAAGCTTCTTGCCAAGGACATCGTAAATGCTTGTCGTGCGCGTTTATGCGCCCAGCTAGTTGCTGTGATGCCCGTTTCACGCTCTCGTCACAGATGCATCTACACGGGCCAACATGGCAGATGTGCAGCTTGATTGCGCAAACTCCCAAGCCTCACTCAACACACTGGGGTTGTTCAGGCCGATCAAACGCTGCACGCCATCCATCGATACTTACATCATTAATGTGTGCTGTCTCGGGCCTGAGGCTGATGTCACGTGCTTCCTCCCGGCAGCGGGCGGCATCTTTTGTGAGAAAAGCACAGAAATGACTCGGACCACGACGACTATACGCCGGCACCGACTCGCTGCCATGAGGCCGCATTTGTGTTTTCAGATGCGATTTTTGCTATTTGCCATGCTATTCCGCTGCAGTGCACCAGCACCGCCTGCCAGTCCTCAATTCTCTAGGCTGTACTTCAAGCACGGGAGGCACAGGAGGAAGAAGCTAGAATTATCATTCTCTGTGCGGTGTTTTCGGGTTTCGCGGAAAAGGCCGTGAAGACAATTGCCCCGCTGTAGTCCCTCCGGTGCGGAGGTATTTTGATCACCATCTCTGTCTCTCTGCGAGGGGTTGCGGACAATGTCCGTCAATACGGCATCTTTGCCGAGTGTAGTCCCCTGTCAGATGACGTGCTTACATGCAAACTAGCATGGTGATATTAATTGGGATTGATTCAACGGTGAGCTGAACGAGCGCTGTCTCTGTGGCAGCAGTCTGCTGTGGGCTTGTCGTGGTGTTGAGTAGTGACAAGCGACGGCTGAGGCGTCGGTGTGCAGCCTGCAGCCATGTGCTGGCATGGGCGGCTAGCGCACTATGACATCGCCAACCCCGTACCCAGCATTCCTTCACCGTTTCACACGACAGAACGTCGTTTATGGCGACGCGAGACTTATCTTTGCAATGTTGAAGCCCAAAAACGATACTTGCCCGGGTAGCAGTGACGACATCTGGGGCACTTCGCGGCCGCGCGATGTCCGCCTCCAAATCTACCTATCATTCTCTCTTGGCTTGTTCGCCTTCTTGATCTTTTGCGTACGTTCTTCAACGGCCCCTGGAATGCACACTTACTCACCGGTTGCTTTAGTTCCTTCGTCCACGATGGAAGGGGCTCTATGCGGCACGCAAGAAGCAGAATGACCTCGCGACGTCGCTGCCCGAGCTTCCCGATAGCTTTTTTGGCTGGATCATACCCCTATGGAAGATTACCGACCAACAGGTGCTGGCCTCGGCCGGCCTCGATGCCTACGTATATCTTGCCTTCTTCAAGATGGCTATCAAGTTTCTGGTTGTTACCCTCTTCTTTGCACTGGCTGTCATCAAGCCGGTGCATGATACACACCAGGACAAGGAGGGAAAGAAGTCCCCTATTCGTGACGACCCTGACCCCGATCGCATTGAAGTTCGCTCCGACTTTTCCACATTTGTTGCCGACTACGAACGCTACACCGACTACCTATGGATGTACCTCGTCTTTGCGTACACCTTCACCGCCCTTATACTATATCTTATCGTCTCTGAGACAAGGAGAATCATCGATATCCGTCAGGCGTATCTGGGAAGTCAGACAACCATTACCGATCGCACCATCAAGTTGTCGGGCATTCCAGTCGAGCTCCGGTCCGAGGACAAGATCAAGGACTTTATCATGGATCTCGGCATCGGAAAAGTAGAGAGCGTTACCCTCTGCAGGAATTGGAAGGAACTGGACAACAAGGTCATCGAAAGACATGCTGTGCTGCGAAAGCTAGAGGAAGCATGGACTGTTCATCTTGGAAGCCGCAGGGTGGAACGAAGCCTAGAGACACTTCCGGTTGTCCAGCCACGGCCACCAGAACCCACTAGCGCCAACGGAAACGGCGACAGCGAAACAAGTCCGTTCTTAAGCGATGCAGACCGAGGATCCGACTTCATTACTCCGTACGCCAGACCGCGGCCGAAAGTCAAGATTTGGCACGGCTTCCTGAAGCTGAGATACCGGAAGGTAGATGCCATCGATTTTTACGAAGAGAAACTACGGAAGATCGATGACGAGATCCGGTCGCTGCGCAAGAAAGATTTTGAACCAACTCCATTAGCCTTTGTGACCATGGACAGTGTTGCTAGCGCGCAGATGGCCATTCAAGCTGTACTCGACCCGTCACCACTGCAACTTCTGGCAAAAAACAGCCCATCACCATCGGACGTTGTTTGGTCAAACACATACCTGTCTCGATCTCAGCGGATTTATCGGGCCTGGACTATCACAGTCATCATTGGGATACTTAGCGTCTTCTGGACCGTGCTCTTAGTGCCCATAGCAGGTGCTTTGAACACCTGCTCTATCCATGAGGTCTTTCCCCGATTGGCAAAGATGCTAAAAGACCATGAGCTCTTGGAATCTCTTGTCAACACCCAACTTCCGACGCTGTCTCTCACGCTCATCAACGTACTTGTCCCATTCCTGTACGATTGTAAGTATATCGATTCTGCGTATAAATGGCCCGTGATGCTAACATCCACTAGGGCTTGCAAACAAACAAGGTATGATTTCACAGGGTGACGTTGAGCTCTCGGTCATCTCGAAGAATTTCTTCTTCACATTTTTCAACTTCTTCATCCTCTTCACCATCCTGGGAACTGCCTCTGGCTTCCTGTCCATGCTTGAGCGCTTCGCTGAGAAGCTCACCAGCGCCACGGAAATTGCATACGCTTTGGCAACATCACTATCCGATTTGCTGGGTTTCTATACCAACTTCATCATCCTACAGGGATTCGGACTGTTCCCATTTAGGCTTCTGGAATTCGGTGCCCTGACTCTGTATCCAATCTACCTGATTGGCGCCAAAACGCCTCGAGACTACGCCGAACTAGTTCAACCCCCAGTTTTCAGCTACGGCTTCTTCCTTCCACAGACCATTCTCATATTCATCATTTGCATGGTCTATAGTGTGTTGAAAGACTCATGGCAGGTCTTGCTCACTGGTTTGGCCTACTTCATGATTGGCCACTTTGTGCACAAGTACCAGTTGCTATATGCTATGGAGCATCGCCAACACTCCACTGGCAGAGGCTGGACAATGATGTGCGACCGCGTCATTGTAGGCGTTGTTCTCTTCCAGATTACTGTCGCCGGTCAATTAGCTTTGAAGAAGGCATTCAAGCGTGCCGTCCTCGTCGCACCGTTGGTTATTTGTACTCTGTGGTTTTTGTTCATGTTTGCACGTACCTACCGACCACTGATGAAATTCATTGCACTCAGAAGTCTGCGGAATCCCGAGCAATCCGATATTGGGCGCGATGTTCAAGAAGAATCTGTCGCCGGCCAGCAACAGTGGCGAAGGACTGCTGGTCGGCTTACTCTGGACGAAGCCCGCGAGCGCGGGCTGCGATTTGAAAACCCGAGCATGATCATGCCGTATGTCACTCCTTATCCAATATCATGGCCAAAACTAACTACTTTCCAGTTTGGACGATGCATGGCTCCTGCACAAACGTGCCAGACCTGTGAACGGGTCGACTGGCTCAGAAATTGACAATAGCAGCGCTTGGGAGTAGCCCCATGCACTTTCCTCAGTATGACGCTCATGATGCATATCATTGTAAACATCCGCAGTAGTTCCTTCCTGTATCGCGTATCGCTCTTCCCTGTTTGTGTTTTGTTGATACCCACTTACGCAATGAATTCCGTCATAAACTCGCGTTGCAAACTCCATCCAAGCAACCCGACCGTCCACCCTTCTCAGACTTGGCCTGTATTCTCAGGTCAAGTATTCTTTCGGGCAATCATCAATTAAATCCATATCTTCAACGCGACTACGCACTCGACCCCCTGCCCTTTGACCTATTCACCAACAATATCGCTTGTGCCCACTGTGCATCTCCACACCGGGGGTGCTACGACCACGTCTTCCCAGATATACCTATCGCGCGGGGTAGCCGGAAACAAATCCGAACCCGCAGCTCCTATCCTTAACCTTGAGCCTCTCCAAGTGTGTTCGTATATAGATTCGCCAAACACACAAGCGCTCACCCTTAGCTCACCCCGGCCCCACAACGAATCAATGTCCGACACGCTGGAGCACACAGTCACAGATCCATTACTTGCTAGACCAAGTAACCCAAGGACGAACCCGCAACAGATTTTCTTGTCCCACGATACTACCAATGCCCAACCGTCGCCCAGACGATCAGAAGTCCTCCGCCACGTTTTTCCTCGGCCATCACGAAGTCGAACTCACGTCCGCAAGATTTCACCCCGCGTCACCAAAGCTGATCGTTCTAGTGTCGCGATCGCATCTAAGCTTCAATTAAGGCCACGAGTTGCCTTCCACAAGTACATTTCATCGTTCTTTGGTACCGCCCACGACCGCGATATAGCTACAATCAGCCCAGAGGCAAGGTCTAGGGCATCCAGCTTTGCATCTAGACCGGGATCCTCTTTGTGTGGATCAGAGCCTAGCTTGGATATGGTCTCGCCGGCCACATTCTTCTTCAGTGGACCAAGTCTTCGATCAGTTGGATCTTACAGTGACTCGATGTCTCGCCTTCCAAGCCTTGCGGAGACTAGCAGTGACATCGAACTCTTCCGCCGAGCACGAACTTCTTCTTTCTCCGTACTGGACGATGCAGATGTACTTGAAGACGCCATCCTAGAGCCTGGCGTCGATCAAGGCATCACCCGTACTGTATCTGACGTCTTACTCAGTGCTGATACACCAACTGAAGAAGAGAAAGATTCTTTTCTTGGTGAGCCCGAAGATGGTGACCCTCCCACTCAAGATGATACACAAGGTCATGGTGTGTACGAGGACCCTCGTTTCCTGAACCATACAACAATCTCGCCAGTGATAACATTTGCCATTCTCCTCTCGCCCTACCTGGATAAGGCGGAATGGAAAGCATTGCGATTGACAAACCGAGCATGGTACCTTGCTTTGAGCGTCGCCGCGCCACCAAGGTATCCCAAGGCGTATCATCTACCTGTCGAAATCGTGCAACACGTGTACGACTATCTCAGCCCAAAAGATTTCAACGCCGCGCGCCATACATGCCGAGCTTGGATGCGGGCAAGTCTTGACAAGAAGTTGTTGATGACGATGCTGAGTCGAGGTGGCTGGCTGAGTAGTGCTGAAAATGCTGTGGTTTCTCCTCCCGACTCGATTATCCCTCGATGCGAGGAGTGGCTACTAAGCTGTCACCTCTCTCGACAGTGCGCTTTGACCTCTGGTTGGAGCGGAAATGGACTGGATACGCGAGCCGCCCTTGTGGAAAGCTCCAACATTGACTTTTCAGAGCTAGCCAATGGTTATGCCAGTGGTCTAATTTTCACAACAAGTCTCTGTAGCCGATACCTATGCGTAGCACGGGAAACAGTCATCTACATCTACGATATTGGGAACAGACTTCCAGTACCTGTTACTAGCGTTTTGTGCCCAAGAAGAGTTCTCGGGATGAGTATGGATGTCTCTTCTGGTCGACACGCTATCGCTGCGCTTTTGGAAGGCCGAATGGGTCTGGTTTGCGAACTACGGTACGGACGCTTTAGTGATGGAAGCCCTGTAGAGGTTTATGTTGAGGATGATGGACAGCAATCGGGTATCACAGCCAAACCATCAACTGAGACCAGCCACGCCGGTGTGTCTACGGAAGGTGTGTCTTTTGAGAAAAAAGGCTTACTGCGAGATCAATACGATCGCACATACATCCAAGAGCGAGACGCTACAACTTTCGACGCCATCGCTGTACGCTCCAATAACGAAGACGTCAACCTCCAAGGTACCAACGACCATCGAACCTACGACGAACACCTTATCAATCGCACGTAGAATATGCAACTAGACTCAAGCGGTCCTCCGAAAATTCAGTCCGCCAAGGCAGAAACTCTGCCGGAGTCGTGCGCACATGGTATTCCGATTGAGAATGAAACCTCGACAATCTATCGCCATCTATGCTCCGAGGATGATCCACCACGCAGTGTCGCTATCTGCCCAAAGCGTCGCTGTGTTGCATTTGGATGTTCTGCGGGTATTGAACTGCATTGGATAGACGCACTCACGGGCCAAAGTCTGAGTCGCTGGTTCCCTCTTACCGCACCAAGTAGGTGCCACACGTTGCTTCTCGACGCGGTGCTAACATTTACCAGGTGACTATTTGTACTTTCTCTCGCCACGACCTGGTTTTGAATCGGCCAAGAAACTACGCCTCATCTCCAGTGCTGCTCATCCCGAAGATCGACCTGTTATCCGCCGGAAATTCTTTGGTCTACAGGCTGTAAGCTCGTTATGGGGCTCTTTTGGGTTCGAGGCAGCGTCCCGTAACCCAGGGTCGCCAAATTGCGATCACTATCATGCAGTTCCGCTGAGTGACGGGCATCACATTTTGTTCATCGATCCGGTCAGTGGGAGACTGGCCCTCGGCTGCGATGCGCCCCTCGGTGGGCCCACGAAGCTTCTGCGTAAGCTCATGTTCATATCGCCAGACAACAATGCAGTACCTAGGCTCTATAGCGCAGCCACCGACTTGTCCCAAGGCGTTCGGATCGTTGTGACTTATGAAGACAGTATCATGTTGTACAGCGTTCCGCCAGATATGCTCCGGCTCTCGCATGAGGAGCAAAAGACCGAGAGATCTGAACTCAGTAGTGTGTCTTCACACTCAGCAAATGAGCGCCAGAGAAACCATTGGCTCAACTAGTGGGACGAGCCTTCCATCGCAAACCCAGAAAATCAAGACGATGGTGAGAATGAGAGTTATATATGGCCCTTAGCTATTCGCGGCACGGAAATCGGCAAACTGGCAGGCGTTTGTGAAGTCGCAGTTCAGACACGGCCCGAAATCATTGTTTGGGCCTTCACACACGCCTTTCAGTGTAAAGCTTGGTGTCTGCACAACTACATCGACCCAGTCATTTGCTCACAAAGTTATGTATGCAGAAGCGGCATGGTGCATAACTCATACTGTATCGATGAGTCTGGAGACGTCATCATGAAAGACGCACAATCGGACGCACATACCAGCGAACCCCTCTACTTTTCTGACGAGGCCGTAATGAGACAGCCGGAGATTTCCGGCCTCACTGGATTTGATGGTAGTTCTTCTGGCTTTTTGAAGAGGATTTCGAAAGCACTAGCCGTGGAAAATGATGTGTGGGTCGATTGTGTGGATGTGAGAGCTTGTTCCAGAGCGTGGTATGATGCTGATGGTGATGTTGTGGGGTAGTATCCAGTTCGACAAAGGATGAGGATGGGTTCAGAGTGCAGACGCGCTTAGGACAGTGAAGGACGGCAGTAGTGGGCCTTGTTTTGAATGGATGACTAGTCTCTCGAACCTTTAACCTATACAAGAAATCCTAGATTGCATCGGATCACACAGATTTTGTAGAAGAATACATCGATAGTCTATACTGTCTCTAACAGAAATTCTCCCGATGATGATGTATTCGTCTTCTCTCAGAGAATTGATTGGACGTTGTTCAAACAGAAGAAGCGGCTTCTGGCCTGTATTAATTATGAGGATTCAAGTAAAACAGGTCGCGCAACTAAGTGTAAAAAGCTGCCACTGTACGTTAGGGCTGAGATGGTTAATGTGGCAGAAGGTGTTGGGCGTGTTTAACCTCGGCAAAAAGGAAAGAGATAAGGACAGCAGAGAAGTCAAGCACATCTTGAAGAAGTTCCCAAGTGAGCCCGTCCTCGTAGACAACGCGTGAGACATGTCTATGCATACCAATATGCGCAAAGGAGCGCGTACCTGCAATCTCTCTTTGGTTGCTGCCTTTCAGCAGACGTTCCTCGACCGCAAGCCGCTCCGTCTTCCCGGGTCCCGCATCTCAACAGCAGCTCATAGGCGCGCATAATGGTTTCCGCTTAGCACAAGCAGATCCTGAACGCGAAATCATGTCAGCCGCTCTAGTCTATCCTCGAGATAATTGTCCGAGCTACGGACGGGCGCAACGGCTCTACGGGCCTGCTTCCAATACGTACCACAGTATACCACTCCATGCCGACGTGCCGAGCTTCCCAACGGCGTATGTGACTACATCTGCTTTCTATCTAGATGAAGCATACGGGCAAACCAATATTTGGGTTAGTCAAGTGGGTAGAATAGGCTGAAAGGGGGGGGTGCGTTGTGCGTTCTCCACGATATTGAGCCCGCAGCCCAGGCGCCACCAACGCTGGACTTGCCCAACGGGTGTGCATCAACAGGAGGTGTATAAGAAGGCCCAGGTATCTCGATAATGAAGGTAAACTTAGCGATACCCAAATCACAAAGATGCCATCTACCAAGAGCAAGAACATTATCATCACAGGCGGTGCGCGAGGCATAGGCCGCTGCACAGCACGACACCTACTGTCGCTACCAGTCTCGCACCGCGTCTTCATCATCGACTTTGACGCCGACGAGCTCGACTACGTCGTCAACACGCACCTCTCGGCCTACGCACCCCGCGTCAGCTCCTCAATAACCAATCTGCGCCACCCAGAGGAAATCCGCAGCGCCGTACAAAAAGCCGCAGACTTCTTCGGTGGCCGCATAGACGTGCTGATCAACAATGCAGGCGTCGCCCGCGGCTTCTTCAACGCCGGCAACGGCACCATGGAAGACGTGGCTACGGGCGAGCAATGGGAACAGTACATTGCTACGAACCTCAGTGCACCCTTTTATATGAGCCAGGCTGTTATTCCGTTCATGAAGAGTCGGAATACGCAAAAGGAAGGTGCCGAGGGCGTCGATCGCAAGAAAGATCTTAAGCGCACAGCCGAGTTCAACCAGCTACCACTCAACTTGCACGGAGACGACAAGCTAGACGAAGGCGGGTGCATCATCAATATTGCCTCGTTTCGTGCTCATCAGTCTGACCCTGATTGCGAGGGCTATGCAGCGAGCAAAGGCGGTGTCTTGGCGCTCACACAAGCCATGTCTGTGTCTTGCCAGCGCTGGGGCATCCGCGTCATAGCTATTTCACCAGGCTGGGTCAGTGTAGACCATGAGAACAAGGCGAGGGATTTGAAGATAAAGGAGATGCAAGATAGGTCGTACAAGGAGATGGCGGCGCATGAGGCTGAAGCAGAGAAGCTGAGGATGATGGCATGGGCGGAAGATTTAGACGAATTGTATCATAAGCAGCACCCCGCTGGTAGGGTGGGTAGGGGAGAAGATCTTGCTGAGATGGTTGAGTACGTCATGGGTGCTGGGTTCCTGAGCGGGCAGGAGTTGGTGTTGGATGGGGGTGCAAACCGGAGGAAGAACCCAAATATATGAGTGCATGTGGGGGATATTGTCTGAATATTATAGCCATTGATAAAGCTATGAGTATCAATCAAGCCCATTGCCTATCGAAATGCACAGACGTGATGCTATTGCAAGCAAGATTGTAATTCTATAGTACGTAGATTTTAACGTCCGTCTCAGCATATCGTATGCACCTACGGCGCCTGCAACAGGAGCTCAAACTCAAACGGCTCACATAACAGACTGTACTCGTCCAGCGTCCTAGGCCCGCAGCTTCCACTGCCCAGTCCATGGTGTTGCGCGTCCAACCTGAGTACCACATCCTCCCTCTTCTTCTTCCTCAGCTCATGCGGATGATCGGCAGCCGCGACATCCTTCATTCTGTAATGACTGGCCTGGAAATCAAACAATTTGCGGCTTCCACTCTCTTTGTCTACAAATTGAGCGAGTAGCCCAGCGCCCCTGCCATTCCCAATACTAACGTAGCGGGTATCGGTACGGTTCGCCGACTCTTGGGGGACCTCGTAATCGACCCAGAGAGCGTCGATGTTGGATGCAGTGTACTTTCCGACGGGCTGCGAGAACTTGCTGTCGCGGTAGGATTCGCCGAAGCCGCGGCCGAACCACTCGACGTTTTGGAACTGCGATGGAAGTTCCATGACGAGACCGATACGTGGGAGGGTTCGGGGTAGGTTCTCGCCCTTTGGTGTACCCGTGACATGCACTGTCAGAGTGCCGTCGGCGCTGAAGGTGTATGTCAGAGCGCAGTCAATGGACCACGATAGAATGGGAGGTGCGACGCGCTGGTACACGGTGATTCTGAGTGATTCTGAGCCAGATTGTGACCATTCGACTTTGCGGGTCAGTGGCTTTGCATGGTGGAGCTGCTTGTCTTTCCAGTCCCAACCGTCTTGCGGAATGTCGTTGTCAGTAGGAGCACGGAAAATATCGATTTCTGGTGCCTTGGAGATGAGCTCAGTAGAGCCTTGGACCCAGGATGTAAGGGAGCCGTGGAGCGTATTGAACTTCCATGTAGCTTTGTCACTCTTAATGGCGAGGACATTCTTGGTGGACGTTTCAACCTTGAGTTGCTTTCCCTTTGCTTCAGGTCGCTGCAGGGACGATACTGGAGTCACAGATATCTGTGTTGTTGCAATCTCAAAGCCTGCCTTGAGGTACGGTGTGGCTTCCTTCAACTGGAAGGAGATGCTGAGCAAAACCTCGCTCTCAGATCCTTCAACCTTTGGAAGTTGAAGCTCGAAAGTTTGGCCAGGAGAGATACCGGTTGGTATATCCAAAGTTCCAGACGCACTCACACTTCCCGATGCCGATGTCGTCGTGTATAGGCAGCTCAGGTGATCGAGTGTGATGAAGTCGTACCGATTAATGAACTTGGCGTTTGACCCAATAGCTTCCAGTAGCTGCACGGGCTCAATAGCCTTCTTGTACTCAACCAAACCTGCATTAGGCTTATGATCTGAGTTGACAAGACCGTCCATGACGAATGTAGAGTCGTGTACTTCTTCGCCAAAGCCACCTCCATAAGCATAGAACTCTTCGCCAGTTTGCTTGTCCTTGGTGAGGAGCCCATGATTAGCCCATTCCCAAGCAAAACCACCTTGCAGGGTCGGGTATTTGTAGAATGCATCTACATACTCCTTGATGTTTCCGGGGCCGTTACCCATTGCATGTATCTAGCGGAGTTAGTGGTTTTTGTCTCCTGAATCAACACGTTACATACGTATTCGCAGAGCACGAGTGGCTTCTTCTTCTCCTTGTCTTGACCGAACTTGACAATCTCTTCGATAGGTGGGTACATTCTGGAGTACATATCCATGGTATCCGCGTGGATATCCGCCTCGTAGTGGATAGGCCTGCTATCGTCGTACGCCTTGATGTGGTTATACATGGCCACAAAGTTGCGTCCCATGAAGCCTTCGTTTCCAAGACTCCAGATGATAACAGAAGGATGTAACTGATCTCTCTTGACGAGCGCTTCAGCGCGATCTACGTATGCATGCGTCCAGGCTTCGTTGTCAGTTGTCCATTCTGCGGCCTTCTTCCTGGTAAGAAGTTGGCGCTCGCGGAAAGGTAGAGCGCGCTGTTCTTTGGATAATGCGGCGTCGGCAATGCTCTCAAAGCCGTGGCATTCCAGGTCAGCTTCATCAATGACCCAGAAACCCATCTCATCCGCGAGATCATACAGGCGTGGGTCATTTAACTGATGAGAAGTGCGAATAGCGTTGATGTTGTAGCGCTTCATGGTCAAAAGGTCCTCTTTCATGAACTCGTACGGGACAGCACGGCCGAAAGTGGGATGGTGTTCGTGTCGGTTGACGCCGCGGAAGACGACTCTCTTGCCATTGACTTTGAGCAGCCCGTCTTTCATCTCGACTTGCCTGAAGCCGATACGTTGAGCAACAACTTGTTCGCCTGTAGAGACGACGAGGTGGTAGAGATTGGGCGATTCAGCAGTCCATTTCAGAGGATTTTTGACCTGAATGTTGACATGTGTCGTGCCGCTACTTTCAATGCTAGCGTCTGAAGAAACAACTTCCTTCTTTTGCGCATCCAAAAGCTTCACCGAAACCTTACCAGATCCAGTTGCGCTAATCTTGACCTTGAGCTCTGCATCGGTGTAGGATGAGTCCAAGAGTGTCTGGGCAAACACATTTTCGATCCGGGAAGCTTTAGGAAAGCCAACCAGGAAGACATCGCGGAATCTGCAGTAATGAGCTTCTGAACCTAATTCTTTGTAGATCATACTTACATGCCGCTCAGCCACCACTGATCCTGATCTTCGATGTAAGTTCCGTCACAGTGCTGGTACACCCTGACAGCCAAAGTGTTCTCCGCATTGAGATCAACAAGCGCAGTCACATCGAACTCGTCAGGATTCCTACTGCCCTGAGAATATCCAACTTCTTTCCCATTGACCCAAACATGGAACGCAGCATCAACGCCCTCGAAGCGAAGACGAATTTGGCCATCTTTTAGCTCTTGTGGAACGCTGAATTTACGGACATACGACCCAGTCTCGTTCTCAGTAAATGGGACGTTGGGAGGGTCTACTGGGATGTGATAGATGACGTTTGTGTACTGGGGCCCTTTGCCGAAGCCCTGCAATTGCCACATGCCAGGAACGGCAATGTCGCTCCATGATGATGTGTCGTACGAGGTCGATTCGAAGCCTTCAGGGGCCTCAAAAGGAGAGTATGCATGCTGAAATTTCCATGTGCCTGAGAGCAAATGTGTTTTGGATTTAGTAATATCCGCGTCGAGCGCATCGGCTTCGGTTATATAGTTGTGGAAGTATGCACGTGCGGGCAGCGTGTTCTTGTGGAGGATATCGAGGTTGTTCCAGTCCGGGACGCTCGCGGGATGCTGACCTGAAGCCATGATGAATCAATTGGATGCTGATGGTGCTCCTACAAACAATCACCCTGCTTTCACCACCTCTGATGATGTCGTAGTAAGCTCCCCACTTCACAGCCGTGGAAACGGCTGCTTGGACGGATTGGGGAAGCCATCCGATCAAGATCCTTTGGAGAGGCCAAGAGACAGACTGGTTCTCAGGTGACAGCGACAGGGAAAACGTTTAACGGCGCTTGTGCCGTGTGGAGGTGGTCGTATCGGGGCATGAATGGGGCGGCCGGGGTCGAGATGCAAGTGCACGGGCGAAACTGCCTCTTGATCCACGGAGGACCTGCTCCATGCGGTTAGCGCACTTCTCCAGACTCTCCACGTGCTAGTCCGTCTCCACGTTCCGCTGCCAAGCTTTAGTGGACAGCTCCAAATTTTCTCTCGTCAGTCCTTCCAAGAGTTATAGAAGGGCCGAAGTTAAGCATGCATGATTCGCATATATTCGCGTGGCGTTTGTGAGTTGGTGCTTACCAAGAAGTTTATCCGCCCGCCGTGCTGTTTTCAGACTTTTATCCGCTATCCAAGTAGGCCCTATTGCTTGGCCCAAGTACCCCATGGGTTAGCGACATACGACGTTGACAGTTACGAGTCAGTCCGCTGCCATTCCGTCCCTGAAGCGGTGCCATTGCCGTTCAACAAGCATGCTTGGCTAACGGGAGGCGCTTATGCTCGCGCTTTTCACCTGCAGGAAAGAAGCGATGCGTCGGGTTGTGGCAAGCACGGTAAGAACCTCGGTCTCCTAATTTGGGGTCGTCTGCATTTCTTGCTTTGCGGGGAGGCCTGTATAGTATAAGATGACCCGGTATCCCGGTTCCTTGGGCATCGCTGTTCCCCAAGCTGTCAAGTGGAGCGCAATTCCACATTTTCTTCTCCACCCCTTTTGTTTCCCTTCTCTTTGATAGTTCATCATGGAGGAAGCAAAGGACAATATGAATCCCGTGACACAGCAGATCAGTACAGCCGACGATGACATGCACAAGCAGAGGCATGTCGTCAAGGAGACCAATGTAGCTTCAGTGGCTCTGGGTAAGTCATCCTCCAAGTATCCAGCACTATGTGTTGAACGAATTCTAACCGTCAAAAGCCGCGGCCATGGAGGCAGAGAAGCCAAAACTGCTTTCCAAAGGCATGATTCAGCTCTACATGATTATGGGTATTGGTTACCTCGTCTCGACACTCAACGGTTTCGACAGCTCCCTCATGGGTTCCATCAATGCCATGAAAGGCTACCAAAACACCTTTGGTTTGACCGGCGCGGGCTCCAGCACTGGTATCATCTTCATTATCTACAATCTTGGACAAATCGCGGCTTTCCCCGTTTGTGGTTTCCTCGCTGATGGCTACGGACGACGTATTTGTATCTTCGTTGGCTGTGCGCTCGTCATTGTTGGTACCGCTATCCAAGCAACAGCCCATGAGACAGGCCACTTCATTGGTGGTCGCTTCGTACTCGGATTCGGTGCTTCTATCGCTTCGGCCGCTGGTCCTGCTTACACTGTTGAGCTTGCCCATCCTGCTTACCGTGGACTTATGGCAGGCATGTACAATAACTTCTGGTGGCTTGGCAACATTCTGGCTGGCTGGACTACTTACGGCACTAATTTACACATGGGCAACTCGTCATGGGCCTGGAGGATCCCCACCATTGTCCAGTGCATCCTGCCTACCATTGTCATGTCCCTGATCATGTGTAAGCACCGCCACCCTAACTGGTTCTCGTGAGCATATGCTAACATTGTTATAGTCTTCCCTGAAACCCCACGATGGCTTTTAGCCCATGACAGGAGGGAAGAAGCCATTGCCATCATGGCAAAGTACCATGGTAACGGAAACCCCGACTCACCCATTGTACAACTCCAACTCCACGAGATCACAGAGGACTTTGCCCTGTCACGTGACGACAACCCATGGTGGGACTTCCGCGAGCTGGCCAACACCCGCGCTGCGCGTTACCGTCTCGCCATGGTCATCGCCATGGCTTTCTTCGGTCAATGGAGTGGAAACAACGTCGTCAGCTACTTCATGCCTTCAATGATCAAGAACGCTGGTATCACCGACCCCAACAAGCAACTCCTCATCAACGCAATCAACCCCATATTTAGTATGCTTGCGGCCATTTACGGTGCTACAATCCTAGACCGCGTGGGCCGCAGAAAGATGCTCATGGGCGGTCTCTGGGGCGGTCTCTTCGCCTACGTCCTCCTTACCGCCTTCACCGCAACTGCAAACTCAGGAAACAACCTCGCCTACGGCACAATCGTCTCAATCTACCTCTTCGGCATCTTCTTCGCCGGTGGCTGGACTCCCCTGCAGACTCTCTACTCTGTCGAGTGCCTTGAGAACCGCACCCGTGCAAAGGGCTCCGGTCTCAACTTTTTGTTCTTGAACGTCGCCATGATGGTGAACACGTACGGAATCTCCGTTGGTATTGAGAAGATTGGGTGGAAGTTGTACTTGGTCTACATTGGCTGGATTTGCGTAGAAATTACCGTCATATTCTTCTTCTTCGTGGAGACGAGTGGCAAGACGCTTGAAGAGCTCAAGGAGATTTTCGAAGCTCCAAACCCTGCAAAGGCAAGTTTGAGAAAGTCAAGGGTTGCCATTGATGAGACTGGTCAGATTCACAGTGTGGAGGATTAGTTCCAGAAAAATGGGGGCATGGGATTCTTATAGTTTATCTTGCGTCATAGAGATGTGAATGCAGACCCTTCAATCTACCCTGATCTAGTCCACCTTGATGTCCTCATTCAGTTGGATAGATTCCAATCGCTTATCGTCACAGATCCCCTCTTGACAAGAATACCTGTCTTGTCCTAGTCCCTTGTAATCGTCTCGGCGTAATCTATTGCTCGAATTAGTAACCACGTATCATATTTGCACGCTCCAAAACATACCAAGGGCGTGCTTGATAGTTCCGTAGAGCACATCGACGAGCTCCTGGTTCAGACGACGAATCTCGGCATCTACCTTGTTCCGCTTGTTCTGCAGCTCTCCAAGTTCCTTTGCAAACTGCTTCATGGCCTCGGAATGCTCTTGTGCAGCGCGGATACTATGGGTCGCTTGTAGGTACATGGTAGCCTTGTCGTTTTCATGTGCGGTGGCCTGCGCCCTTTCCAGCCTGGTCGCGAAACGATCGTTCAACTGCAACATATTGACTTCGCAGATACGCAACTTCTCTTCTGTGGCAATAATTTGCGCTTCGATAGTGTCGCGGACGGTGTTGGCGTGGTTTTGCTTATTGCGGAGGGTGCTGTAGGCCTCTGTGAGTGTGTTGCGAAGGCCGTTGGCGTGGGCTCCCTTGAGGTCGGAAAGTGTCGACAGCGTCTTCTCATCGATGATGAGCTCTGCAGCATCGTCCATGGAAACGGGTGTAGTCTTAGTGGTATATTTACTCTTTGCATCAGGGATGAGCTTCGGAGTGGTGGGCATGAACGAGACTGTCGAAAGCGTGGCGCAGGCAGACACAGCTTCGTTGAGGGGCTGCATATTGAACATGAGTTGAGGAGTTGGCATCATAAGGGTGGGGCTAGACCCTGATGTCGGAGTGGTTGCATCCATAGTTGCTTCTCCCTTGTTCTTGCCTTGGCCTCTACCGTGCATCGAAGGCGTAAACGGAGCGATATCGGCTTTGGGTCCAGGAGTGACCTTGGGAAGATTCTCTTTACCCTTGGAACCTGGAAACTGCAGGGGAGCGGTCTCTGGTATGGTACTTTTGTGGCTCATGCCCGAGGAATGGCTGATTTGAACGGAGGCGTTAGTGTCAGGTTGCGGACCGATCGACTTGTTGCCACGATGCTTCCCCCGATTGTTGCCCCTGTTGTTCCTGTGGCTGCCTTGCGTATAGCGCTGATGGCGACCTTCGTTATTGTGTGGATTCTGGCCGTTGTTGGAGCCGACGTCCTGACCGCCATGATCGTTGACATCCGTGCTGTCGTAGTGTCCGTTGTACGGAGTCTCCTCAGAATCGACCATTTGGGGGGATGAGCCTTTGAGAAAGCACGTGTGATTGTGGAGATTGAGTAGACAAAAAAATTGAGCGAACCCGACGTAGTCTCTACTGGAGAAGGAAGGAGGAAGAAAAGGAAATGCGTGCAATATGTAATTAGTGGGCAATCACGCAACAGAGAAAGCGCGCTTGTGCGCAGTTTTCAGACTGCTCTTTCACTTTCACCAGTGCGCTCTCGCCTGTGAGATGCAAGCAAACAGATTTTAGCGGCCCTTTTTATACACCTACGCTTGACACATGGCGACATGTGAGCTGTTTGTAGTTGTTTCTATCGCAATGCGGTCTCGGCCTGCAGATGAAGATACTCATATTGAGTAGACTTTTATACAGGTAGAGACTGCGTGTTCGAGAGATTCGGTTTTTAATGGTCACAAAGCAATAAGTATATAGGTAGGAGAGTTGAATGACGTTAAGAGACAATAGCCTGCAATAATCTGCACGTGACACGAGTTGAACGGAGACTTGAATGAGTCTGGGATGCTGGACTGCAGATGCGGAAGGACGAGAACAAGCTTGAATAATGCTAGAAATTACTAACGAAAGACGTTTGTTCGTTGGTCTTGAACAATGTATCTAAACTCACAGGGAGGGAGATAAGAGCGCAGGCGAAAGACGATTTGGCAATGTCGCCTACGAGGTTGGCGCCGAGGAGTTCTAGGTCCTCTCTACCGAACTGATCCAGGTCTGTCACACATGTGTAGTTACGGACCAGAACGACGGTAGTCATCTGGTTACACCTGACGGCCTGAAGTGCTAGTGTGTTGTACGTCATGACTAAGTCCGGTCGTACAGACCCAGACACGGTGAGGGTTTGCGTAATCGTCGCTATTATTATGAACCCACGGAGACCGTAACGGTCGGCAGATAGCACTTGATAAGTCTGTCGGTAATGGTCACAGACGAGCACAGCATGAAAGAGCCGTCACCGGCCGATCGGGTTGAACGTGGGGTCGATGAGCTAAGAGCCAGGCTAAGAGCCGCGGTAGGCTTACAAGTTTGTGACAGAGTGGTGCATGAGTTGAGCTGGATATATTGGTGCACACTATGGAGGTTCCATCTGACTGTAAGCAGTGACTGAGGTCCTGTTTTGAGACTGTGCAAGGTCGTGGAAGCATCGACTTGCATGCAGGCGCAGTACGGAGTATTCATCAGCGTGGGGGTTGACTTAAGGGCTTGACCGCTGCGCATGAAATCCTTCAGTGGAGTCTGTCAGCAGTGACGTAGGGTGCAGTTCATGTGAAGAGGCTGCGATGGAAGGCACAAGACAAGACATGAGGTTGCAAGAAAGGGCGAGTATAATTATGCTACCTGACGACATGCAGGCGGCGCCAAAGCAGGTACAGACTACCGACATGCCGTACGAAGCCAAGACAACAGGCGGGCTTGCTGCGAGTAACGCGTAGTGAAGAGTCAAGGTTCAGGTCCATGGGGTGGCGGTCTGGAAGCTGAGGCAGGCTGACAGACAAGGATGTATGGCAACGGTGGTCAGCGAAAAACGAGGGTTTGATCAGCTGCTGACGGGGAAAAGACTGGGGAGAGAGGTGGGAAGTGGGAAGGACGTGAGGCGCTGCGGTAGAAAAGGGAAGCTCGAGGAAGTGGCGATGCGATCGACGCAGGTGGAGCGTGGCCAATCACAAGCGGGGGGAGAGCAGGAAGGAGCCAATGGCGGACAGGGAGGAGCGAGGTGAAGCCCGAGGAAGTGGCGATGCAGGAAGCGTGATCGACGCGCCAATTACCGTCGCAGTCACAGTCGACAGTGAACAGTTCTTGGGACGTGTGGGCGCGCGCGTCTGTCGATGGGGCGCGAGGTGTGATATGTGATATCGCTCATGTCATGTGCAATGGCATGTCTGGCATGCCGACGGCGGCACTGCCAGCCGCTGAGGGCTGATGGTGCTGGGGGGCTAGGTGGTGGCCATCACCAGTCTGTGTCTCGTCTCATCGGGCCGCCCCAGTATATTTTATCCGGCCCGGTTGGTAAAGAGGTAGGATTGGGTACCGACAGCATGGCACGCTGCGTGCACCAAGACGAGCGACGGCCTGGCTCAGTAGGCCGAGTCTGGCTCAAGCGAAACGCATACTCGTCCGGGCGAGTGTTGAGCAAAGAAGCAACGATTAGCGCTCGCGCGTGGTGGTATGGCGACGTTTAACCGCTGTAGCCCCAAGTATCACGAGAAAGACCAGGGCGTCGCACTGCCAA